TTATTCCAGAAAGCATACCAGGTGTTTTGGTAGAACTACGTTGATAAATCAAAAAAGGCTAATTGTCACCCATTTTGTCTTTGATAAGTTTTGAGACAAGTTTCCATTTTTCAGGATCATATCGACCATTGTCCCATCGTGATATTATTATCATTGTATCTGAGAGGCCAAGTTCTGCAATTGTATTCCTGATTGTACGTCCCATACCATTGTCTCCATCATCTTGAAAATCATAATATTTCCTGGCACCATTTTTGATCACAAATGCATAGCTATTATTTGTAGCTTTTGCAACATATGGATCACCGCATGCTTTCAGAAGCGCTGGTTTCACATCAGTCAGGTTTTGCACTCTGGCTACATGTACTTGGTAAGACCCTCCAGCGCCTGTCACCACTGGACCATTTTTCAGATTAGTGTCAAGGGCATCTTGGACAGTATCAGAATTAGAGATAGGGGTCTTGAGGGGATATATCAATCTACCATTCACCAACATTTTATCCTTAGTGATGGTGCATCTTACGTCAGGATTCTCTTGTAGGATTTGTTTCTTTGTTTCATACATGTATCGCTGTTTTTCAATCTGAGGCTTAGGATGCTGTTCTGTTATGAATTTGCCACTTCCTTTTAGCCGCCATGCATTGGCAAGGACTAATTCCTTACCCTTATAAGGATTAAATTTGGCAACGATACTTCTTGGGTAAAGGTCTTGCTTCTGTTGTCCGATCCTGTGTACCCTATCAATCATAATCTCATCTTCAATTTTTAGATCATTTTTCAAGAATTCATTCAGTATTCTTCTTGTATCAGTTGACGACTCATCTTTGATCTCTGGAATTTTGAAGAATAATAAATTGTCTCGCATAGATCGGTCCTTCAGGCTCATAACTTCATCTTGTGTATCTGCAAGTTCTTTCTCGGATCTTTCTGCTCTTCCTTCTGCAAAGAGAAGCCTATCTCTTAAGTCCTTGTTGTCGAGTTTTAACGATTTAATGTCAGCGTCTTGATTTAGGATAGTTTCTTTCAGTAATTTTAATTCATTTGAATGTTCTTCCTTCATGTTCTGTATATCAACTTTCATTTTAGAAAGTTCAATAAAAAGCACTGAGTTTGAGGCATCAGGCAACTTTTCAAGATCTGAATCAGAAACTATTGTTTCAGGATCTGGTGTCTCTAAGTTAGACATAGCATCTGTGTTTTTTATCTGCTTTTTAGACTTTTTAGTATCAGGTAATTTAAGAGGCTCTTCTGTTGACAGTGTTTTTGATCTCAGTCTTTTTTCTCTTTTTTCAGAGTTATTCTGTTTGAGCTTGGCATTGTTTGTAAAATTTGCCTAATGTTTACAAAATAATTGGACCAATATAATGAAGAAATGTTACTGGTTATTGACCTACTGTATGTTGCATGGGCTCAGTGCATGGCCATATAAATGTTAGTAAATTGTAAATCCTTTGTCAGAAATGTTCAATCCTATGACTCCAAATATCTCATAAGTATAATATCCTATTAAAATACGAATTAGTCCATCATGTTCCTGATAACTTCACACAGATATATATATAGATTAAAACTCCAAATTATCCATCTGTAGCAGTAAAATCAAGTTTATTTGAGAGCTACATTTTTGGCTTCCATGAGCTAACTGTCAAACACCTTCAACGACTTTTGGATCAACACAATTGTTTTTTCATCAACTTAAAATTTATTTCTAGAACTTCTATCTCTTTGAACAAAGTAACTTAAGGATTTGTTTCATTGACATTCAAAATATTGCCCCACCTACCAAAAGCATAAGTAACAATAGTAACAATATTTTGCTCTCAATAGGTTGATGGTTATACTCAATGAATTTTGCATCTCATGTGAAAAATCAAATAACATTATATCGGAACTTATTAATTGGCCTGGTAAATCCTATCTTCAACCTATGTGGTGTCCCATCTCTCAACTGTAAGACCATAGTGCGATGGAAAGTGGTCTTTAATATAATATTAATGTTTTTATTGCAAATGCTTCCTGTATCATTCTCTTCACCACATGACATTGATGATAAAAGATAACATGCACATGAACAGAATCAGGTACACTCGCACTATTTAATGCAAATGTAAGAAAAAGTGAATATCGTAAAAACCTTTACAGTATTAGATAAATACCATCTAAAGTTCAATATAAAGAAGACCTTTAATTATATGAAAGATACATATTGCAAGAATCAATACCTACTCCTAGGTAAAGGTTAATGAATTAGTTGTACAAAAGATGAAGTTATTTTTGAAGTATGTTTGGAATAAGGTCAAAGCAACAGCTGCTTTGAGAAGGAGTATTTAGTGACATTCATCTAAATAAACAACTACATTTATAATTAACTCAGGCTGTATTAAAACATAGGCTTTTAGGTCAAAGTGACACAAGTATACTGTTTAATGGTTTATGGCTTGTGGATGTGCTATTTTAGAAAATAATACATAAATGACATTTTAAGTAAATAAAAGTCATATAAGACTTTAATGGCTGAAATCATTATTATTATTATCATGAAACAATTTTTTGTGATTGTTAAAGAGTATTAGCCATATTCATTTAACCCAAAACCGGAATACCGTAGATTAAATACCTTTAATTAGAAAGAGACACTCAAATAAGAAAGAATTTCTTATTTTCTTGCAGAATTGTGATTTCCTCATGCTGAAAACTAGTATGTGTGATCCATGTAGTAATGTACTTTACTCAGCTGGCAAGATAAATTGATTTTACTCTAGAATGATATGAACTTTGCCACTCGAAATGAAAATTTTTGATTTTGTAATAAGAATTCTAAATGACGTGATATTGCAAAATTAAAAAATTAAATGATAAATATTTTAAGCTCTGATTTCTGCATTTCATTTATCTTTTACGATTTATGATGTTTTAAAATTCAATGAAATTAAGCTTTTCTTAATTCTAAATATTTCTAGAAAGAGGCCAAGATACTTAACTTTTTTTTGCACTTGTAAATGATGATGAAAATAGATGAAATAAAGTAGTCTGCATATTTGAAATAATGGGCAGGTTGACAGGAAATTGCTGTCTACGGCTAATTGTTTCTAATCCATCCTATGGGTGTCCGTAAGTAGGCCTAGTAATAAGATGGGATGTACGGCCAGGAAGACCTTTTGCATTTGTTTGATCTGCATTAGTTTCTAACTAGATTCTCTGAGTGCTCGGGATAGGTCAGACTATCTCTTTTCTTTTTTCTTGTACTTGTTTATGGCCACAATAGAGGTTTTATGTTTTAAACAAGCCAGCCATATACTAAAGAATGGACATGTCATAGGCTAAAAAGTTCAATATTATGCATCCATATAACTAACTCTGATCTTAAGATATGAAAAATAACCTAAATTGCACCATATATAAACAGGGATACAAACCTTATTTTGTGTAAACATTACAGTTTTAAAAAATGTTAGCTTTCATCTGCTTCTTGGAATTATTTTTTGAGACTAGGTTGAGAATGCACCTTTTATAATTTGCATTGTTTTTGTGGTTACTAAGGCAATAAATAAGTTTGTATTATAGTCTATTTATGGAGCAAATGTCTGTTTTGGTTATATATTACCATGTACCAAGAAGAAGAGATGTCATAACTACCACTTTTTTGTGGCTTTGACATTTGGCTGTCTCTATTTGGGAAGATGTTGATGCATCTCTTCTGCACATTAATATTGCTATAATCTGACTTTATCTGATTAAATTACTTCTTATTTGTAATATTTGATGACAGTACGTCAACAGATCTAGAATTGAATAATTGCTGCACTGCAACAGAAAAACAACTACTTATTTTATTTAAGTATTTCCATCACTGCATCTGGACTAAAGTCAGCAAATAAAGGTCATTGTGCAATGTTACTAATCAGTCACTGGACACCTGGGTTTTATCATGGGCTTTCAATTCTATGGTTCTATCAAAAAGTATTTCATTTGCAATTGTTGCATATCAGCGAATGATAAGATTTTGCTCAGCCAATTTAAATGCAAGTTAATAGACACAAATGACTCGTTTAGTGAAATCTTGGAGAATTGTCACATTATAGCTACAAGACCTTGGTTGTCACATTATAACTACGATATCAACATCAACATTGGACCACCCCCCATTCCCCCTGGTTACGGGCCTGCACTTCTATGATATCGATAGTAATGAATATTTTTTTGTTTGTTTTTTTAAATTACATTATACATTTTCTTCATTATAGTGTTTTATTTGCGCATTTGAAGCAAAAGTGCTATGGTCTTTTTCAAATAACGTTATCTCAACAAAACAACTCATTTTGTCCATTATAAAATGTTTATTCCAAGATGGCAAAAATGTGAATCGATGTTGTATTCTTTGTCTAATAAAAAGATTAGTAGAAAATAAAAAGCTAAGAAAATTATCTGAAATGAATAACTTGCATCATGATTGATGATTAGTATAACTGCTATGAATTCACAATAGTCTGTCATATATTATAGTATTATCGACTGGAAGAAAGTCAATTTGTTGGTCAAGTGTCTTATTTCTAATGAGTTTTGCTTGACATATTAAGCATTTGAAATAAGACTTTTGACTCATTGACTAATATATAAGCACTGCGTTGTCCATTGAGCAAATGTTATATATATTAAATAAATAAACAAAAGGAAATGTATGCCGAGTGTTTTTTACCGTGCTCTCAGAGTCTAGTTACTACTACCCTCTGCCTAGTATAGACTATATTACGGTTTAGCAGCCCCGTCCCCATGACCGATGCCCGTGACAGCTCGGGTCATAAATCATTTCACACCTACCGTGCTGGCCTATTCTCAACCAATCAGCAAACTGGAAGGAACAAGTGTTAAATGCATGCACAATAATTATGCAATTATGTCAGAGAAAATGACCATGTATATAGAAAGTCGTTCGTATTTCGACGACAAACTCTGATTCGCTTGGTGAGTTCAGAGATGTATTGCAAACTGAAGGAGTGAAGATGAAGCTCTCTTTTGTGAAGCGAAGTAGAACGAATGCAAAGGGTAAGTATGTTTTATTCTGCACACTTCTTGCTGATGTTTACATCCATTTAATAGGCAACATTTAGGCGTGTGGCACTTTAGATGATTTTAAAAGGAAAACTGGCATTAAATAATCATGTTGGACTGGATTTTATCTATTCCACATCATTTGAGACTGAATGCTCCATCTTGTATGAGTACTTGTATCTACAACTATATTTAAGGTTATGAGTATTGGCTATCAACTTCCAATTTTTTCTTCAACATGTATTGTAATGACTTCAGTATGAATGAAATGTCCCTTGGTCTTCTGGTCCTGGATTGTGATATTGGTTCTTGAATGGTGGGGGGAAAGGGGGTATTAGACATTGTTTCTTTTCACGTTAGATCATGGTTTTGGGCTATATGGGGTTTGTTTTTCTTGACTGGTATGCACTTAGAGTTTGCTTTTTCTTGCTAAATTCCATTACAACTTTTAGTCCTTTCCCTTTGGCACTAGTGCTTATATATATATTTATGATATTCATATACATACTAATGTGAGTTCCAACTATTTACTAATTGACTTAAATAATCATGTTATGATATTGATACATACTTATGTCAGTTCCAACTATTTACTTATTGACTCAAAAATAATCATGTTATGATATTAATACATACTAATGTCAGTTCCAACTATTTACTAATTGACTTAAATAATCATGTTATGATATTCATATACATACTAATGTCAGTTCCAACTATTTACTTATTGACTTTAATAATCATGTTATGACATTCATATACATACTAATGTCAGTTCCAACTATTTACTTATTGACTTAAGTAACATTGTTATGATATTCATACATACTAATGTCAGTTCCAACTATTTACTTATTTGACCAGGTCATTTTCTTTTATAGCAGCACATCTTCACTAATATAAAAGTTGTGAATTGTAAACAACTGTCTGATGAGCTATAAATGTGTTTTACAGCCGTTAACTCGAATGTAGTTTTTCTTAATTCTATGTTGTATTATAGTCCGCTCATCTTTAAATTAATAAACGACACAAACTGACAGCACAGAGTAGCGACAGCCAGAAATTTAAATTAATTGTAAAGCAGTAATGTGGAATAGCCATAGAAAGCTTTATAAAGGGAGTAATTGCATAGAAAGCTCACTTAGATAATGACAGTCAATACACAAGACATGGATGTTAATGTATTAGGTAGCCACTTTTCATCGGCTTATCCAACTATGCTGTTTATTTTGTATTCTCTTAGTTACATTGTTGTGAGTACAGGGGGAAACTCGACAAAAGATGAAGGTAAGGGTTTATGCTTTTCATTGTGAAATCACACAATTATATGATGAAACAAGTGAGGTTTAAGTGAATATGTGTATACAGATGACATCGTATGGACCTACTGGATATTTAGTTATTTTTAAGGGAAATGAGTTGAATTCATTTTGAGAAAAATATTTGGTGTATTTCTACATATTATGAGTATATATACTTTGATGATATAATTTCTCAGTTAAGGTATTTGTATAGTTATAAATAGTTTGAATAGTTTGTGTTGTTTTGTCACATCATGGGCATTCAATAATCTATTGAAAGCCCATGGTCACATATAGTTATGCTCTCATTTCTTATCTTTCCGTGGACAGTGTTCAGTGGTTGGTGTTTGGTGGTCTGTTTTTGGTGGGTGGTGTTCAGCATCTGTAACAAATGGCGGCTGGTGATATTTTGCTTGTTTACACCTTGTTTTGCCGATAGAGTATATATATATATTAAAGGTCCTGTACTGCTCAAAGTATTTAATATCAGTACTGATACATGTATTTTATATTTTTTAATGTATTTTGCTGTGTATCACCAATCATCTAAAAATGATTATTCTTTTTAATTTGATCACAAACTTTATTTTGGAGTTTTGTTATCATTTTACATGCTTTTCTCAACAATGTTTTTAAATCATCGCCATATGTTGTTATTTGTTCCATTTTTATCTGATTGATTTATGGGTCAAATGCCAGGCTAGCTTAAGTGATGGACATTCTGCTTAGGATTCATACAGACAATATTATAATGCAGGCCTCGGGATAATTGCAATATCCTGAACCTCGAATAGGATAATCTCTATATATGGTGTGGGTGATTGCATTATTTTGTGTATCATATTCTTAGCTACATATTGAGATAGATATCAGGTTGTAAGAGCATGTATCATATAGAACCAATGTTAGGTATATATTTATGAGAAGTTACCATTGAGTACTACTAGCCTTATAATGTAAGACATAATTATTCTAACATTGTTTTATAGGAAATTTGTATGCATTATTTATTTGCAAATCCCAGTTTTTTATGTTATTTTGAAGTACAAAAAAATCTGCTGCAAAAGCCATCAAAGCGTGATACCATGTCAGGTTAGATAGGACTATATTAAAATTAAAAATGTTTTTAAAGTAACCAAAACAAGGATGTACAAAATTCTAAATAGTTTTTATGGTAATAATAAAAAAAATTTATATGTGAGGTAAGGCCATTATTTTTTCACTTTTCTGTTGAAAATTTTATTTTTATTTCTGTTTCATCGTTTGTCATGTTACAGTTTGTTACCATTGTGTAGTTTCTAATAGCCGCAATACGATATTGCTGATGTTTATTATGACATTGTGTATATCTAAAAATATATAAATGTGCTATAAATATTGCTCTAAAAGCCGCATACTGACAAAAGTAAAACCTGTATTATCCAAACACCTGTCTAATCTGAACAGTTCTTTATATGAATGCTTATTTCAGGCCCATTTTTTCATCTGATATAGACTCCCATGTTAAAAAACTCAAAATGTGAACACCTGTGAAATGGAACATTTTTTGGCCAGGCCCAGTATACACTAGTAGTGTTCAAGTTGGGCAGGTTTCAGATGAATGACTCCTCTAGGATGCATGTTTATACAGATTGCCTCAAAAATGTTCGCAAGAACATTCACTTCCATTTACTTGGACAATTGGCTAGCGGATAACCTTGATTAACTTATCTAATACTTTTCTGGCTCATTTTACGGAAATTGACTCATGTGTGCAAAAGATAATGAAGTCATTATTTTCAAGTCTATCAACACCATTGTACTGTCAGGGACATAGGCAGAATCTAGGTCTTGGTGAAGTGAGTTTGATATGGTGAAGTATATTATGATATAATGACATCATTGACTTCAATTTTCAAAGTTTCCACTGAAAAAGCTGTCTACGTGCAAATATTCTCTCGTCTTTGTTGCTACTTAATCATTGTCTTATGTTTGCTCTCTGATTATGTCCATATTTTCTCATTTAGAATTGTACTACAGTCCATTGATTGCTTATTTTGTCATAAAAAGAGCAGAAGTAACCTTAGCTTGTGATTTTAACTGTAGTAATGAAGACTTAATGAAAAAAATCCCATCCAATTAATATTATGAATGTGAAGCCATTTATTTTCTGTCACTCAGTTCACATTCTGCCTACCTGGGGAACAACTCATTTTGAGTCATTTTTTTTCATTTTCATTATATATTTATTCAATTCAAAAGTATACAGAAGTTACAGTAGTGCTGCCTAGCGCATTTTGCATTATAGGCTAGCATTTCAAGTTATACATAAAACAAAAATTAGAGAAGGCGAGTGAGTAAGTGCCAGTAAGCTTAAATGCCAACAGTAAATCAAGAAGAAATGAATTAAGTAATACTAGAAACGAATTCAACAAACTTTTCTTTTAATTCAGAATCATTTTCAAGTGAAAGGGAATTTTGAAAAATTAGAGATTCAATTTTTGAGTAGAGAAATGTTCTCCATATTTGGTGGTTAGGATATATAATGGGAAAATGTGTATATAGATGGATATTACTTTATTTATCATATTGGATTGCGGATTAAGAAATCAGAAATCAGATATTTGTGTCATATTTTCCAGTGGAAGAAAGATTGTATTGTATCAACAACTTTGAGATTTTGAGACATCACGTGTTCCATCCAGGTATGATCTTGGTGAAATTGTAAAAAAATGTTCAAAAGTTCAATTTTCTGAAATTTGGATTTCTGTCTTAGCCATTATTTGAATCATTTTTGGATTGCTGTCACATATTTTATCATTAATATGTAATTTCTACCCACTTTCTTCGATAATTTTGTAAAATTTGATAAACTGACTCTCTTATAGGATAAATTAAAAAAACAGATTTATACTTTTGAGTGATTTTGTGTCAGAGTATATCTGAAAATGAGATATCTCTTAATATCAAACTTGTTGATGCTATGCAAGCATACCAAAATAAATTCCAAAATTAATGGGTGGCATATTTTGTGATACCATATATATCTATTTGTTTGTTATACAGTATATTAAAAAAGAACTTTGGCAAGTAGCCCATAATGGTTTGCTATTCTGTGGAGTTATCAGTTTTTCTTTACATCACATTGAGGAAAACAATACACAGAAAGGTTCAATCACCATTTTATTTTTGAGCAATTTTGGGAGATTGTAAAGCAATAGATCTAAATTTTCTGTTTTTCTCATACATCTTAGGTGTTTACTTCAAGCAAGTTTACTTCAACCAAAACATTCGATTGATTGTATTTTTCTAAAAAAAAAGTTGAAAACACAATTATATCAATTGTGCAATTGTAACTTAATTACATTAATTTTGAATATTTGCAATTGTCACATCCGGATTTGAGCATTTATGACTAATCAAATGGGATGCAAATTGGATTTCAGTATTTTTATCCTCATAAAACTTCAGGAACTTATCAATAGACATGAATAGGCAATCTTAACATAATGTACCCGCTATGCACAGGAATTCCCAATTGGACATCTTGAAGTGCCCATAAGACCACTTTCGGAATAAAATTCTTTAATTTGTTGATCAGTAGAATGATCAAACAAATTCAGGTTCCGTGGATGTTTTGAACAAGCCTCGCAAAATTTAATTTGAGGAAAGGGATTGTGCTTCAAGAACTAGTGCTCTATTAAACCCAGTTTAGTAGGATATTAAAGCATAATAGCAACATCCTTGTACTTTATGATTGAATTACTGTATCGTCACAAAGCTAAGGTTAACACCATTTTATAGATGGAATATTGCTCCATGAAGTAGCATTAGCCTCATTAAATCGCAAATAATTAACTTCATTACAGCTCTGTTATATCATGTAGGAGGAGGGTACAAAGCAATTTTCCTTTTGCTGGGTTTCTAATGTCTTCCATAAAACTCTACAGAAATGGAAATCAGCCTACTATTGATCTGTTTATGACCATGGACAAAACAAAAATATGAGTACATTGTTAATTGGATGTTAATGAGTGCATTGTTCTCATATAATATTTTGCTAACCAAGGGTTTCCTTCAAGCCTAGAGATCCCAGGAAAATGTGTTTTTTTTCAAGAAAATTTCAATGAATTTTCAAATTATACGTCTTAAAGCCCCGAAAATGTCAGGTAATTTAGAAATTATGAAATGTGTCTGAGTGTTAATAAAGTTATCAATGAGTTACATGGAGCATTGTGAAGAAATAAAAACTAGAAATAAATATTTGAGCTCAATTAAATGCAAAGGGTACCACTTGTTCATCTATCCTTTCATTTTGTTAATCCATCACAGATTGAAAACATAGCAGTGGCTTTATCTGGATCACAAATTTAGTGAGGCAAATATAAATAGGCGAGGCAAAATATGACTAATCAATGGGATGATGAGGAAAAAATTACTTATATATGTACTACATTTGGGGATCATTTCCACAGATTTAATTGGAAAATTGTAGATATATTTCTGTAAAGTTTTGGTTAGTGCGACAGTTGCCTCTACTGCCTCTTGCCTGGCTATATTATTTCTTTTATTGACTCAATAATCATGTCGTATAAATGACATATCAGTCAATAAAGTATACAAAAATACTTTACATCAATTTCACATGTTAAAAGTATAACAAATAACAAAATATCAGTTTGGTGTATCCATAATATGTTTTTGAATTTTTACGACATTCTATACTTTAGAAGGTATTTTTGGTTGTCTTTATTTCATATATTACAAGATGAGGGAAGATGTTTAGGGCTGGAGCCTGAGGCATGTAATTCTCCTTTAAAAGTCATAAAATTAATACCAGGTGTATAATGTTCTTAACAAAAGGAAATTTCCATTTTCCATATTGATATTGCTTGACTTCAATATTGTCACTTAGACATTAGAATGGGGCTCGCAATTAATTGAAGTGCTAAAACTGTTAAATTACACGCCTTGGATTAACTTTATTTCCTTGGCTGTTGAGGTCAAAGTAATTTAAATCACAAGGCTTAATCCCTTGGATATAATATAATTAAGAAACAAAGTTGTAGAGATTCCAGAAAACATGGTTTGATTTCAAGTTAATGCATGTAAAAGGACCTCTTTTCCTGTCTTCTGGCTTCAACATGTGATTCTGTTTGTCTCATACTGTATTCTTTCTAAAGAGTGCACTGACCCCAAAAGAGCACACATGACATGGCAGTGTATATGATAGATTCAGTGAAAATTAACTTACCAGGAAATGATATTTTATTTATTTTCCAGCAGGGCTTTGAGCTTTTTGATATCTTCTTGATTATATTTGATACAAAGAAAGTAATGTGGAACCTGTAGATCTAAAATATATGATTTTTATCTATTAACAGTAATATTTTTCTCTAAAGTTTTCGTAGCGTTTCCTAGTTACTTGCAATAGATTTCATTAAAGAGTTATATCCAGTTTAAGTGCAATATAAGAATTTCTCAATGTTAAACTATTTTACATGTAAATATGTGGGGTGCATTGTGCTCTTTTTCAAGATAATATGGTATCTTTGTTTTGTTTCATAAACACATTAGACATTAAGTCTAGGGATGGACTCATAGATATGAACTCATATTACGTTACAATTATTAAATGTCATATAAATGTCATGTGAATCTCGAATATAATACACAGCTATTGTTAGCGTTTGATTAAAATTATGTTCCTAAAGTCTTTTTTATTGTTTTTTTATTGAAATGTACATGATATTTCTAGTACATTGTATTGGATCTGTTTGAATTAATCTAAGTCATGACATTTTGAATGTTATGTCATCTGAAACAGACAAATCCTAATGTGATTTGTCTCTTGTATGAAATATAATAACTAGCATCCTGGATAATAAATTTATTTTGAGACAGTTTGATTGAGGAGATTATGAAGTTAGATCCATATAAAAGTATAAGGTATAGTTAACAGTATAACAAATTGTCAAGGAAATGACAAACAAAAATAGATACATTATTTTTTGTCCAAGCTACTTATAGTTATCACTGTTCACTTAAATTGCAATAGATTTCATTAATATAGAGTTATATCTAGTGATTACTTCTAAATGATAAGTTTCAGTGTTCATAACTCTTATTGCAAGTTTATTATCTTTGTGTGTAAATGATGGTTTATTAACGATGTGGCTGTACAAAACTGGAAATGGGAAATTCTCTTGAAAATTATGGGATTCAAAATAATGCACTAAAAATTTGGAAAGTCTAGGTTCAAAAATCCTTCTACTGTTGATAATAGGGTATCTACATGTTGATAATTGGTTGATTTAATAGAAATATTATTATATTAAGAAATAAGGCCTGGGAAAAATATATTTGTTTCTAGTCACTATGGGCTTTTAAGTTTTTGATCTGCCATGCTGAAACTTTTCGTTTTTATGTCATCACCACAAGTGGTGATGTATTGTATTGTTATAGTTTCCTTTTTTTACTTTTTGTGGATAGTGTTCAGTGTTAGGTAATCGTCTTTTGTAACAAATGGTAGGTAGTGATATTTTGCATGTTAATGCCTTCCTTGTTGTCTCTGTTGTTACAAACAAAATTGTGTTCTCAAGCTGTTGCAATGTTTTATGTTTTTATTTTTATTGAATGGTAGGATTGCTAGATAGCATGAAGAGACAGAAATTGGTACAAATTATGTTTTCCTTGAAATTTTCTGACATTTCCCAGGCTTCTAAAAACTAGCCCAATTTTCAACAGCCTTGATCATGTTCACAAAATATTGTTATATAGTGCTGTGTTAATACAAGAAGTGTGGTCTAATGTTCCTACTAAAACAACAAAACAGATTCCAATATAAGACAATGTCCATGCATGGTACATGACAACAATTATCTTCTTCATAAAAACTAAACAATTTTTCATTTCTATTGTTGTTTCAATGTTCTCATAGAGATATTTGACAGATTATTAATTAATTGATTCATTGTTCTGATGTTTGTGTTTTTATACAGAATGGTGCATACAAAAAGAATTCACATTACCAGACAAAGAAACAACTGATTTTATAAATGTGAGCTTCACAGAAAGACAGCAGAGCGATTTCTGTTTCCTATTAATACACTTCAGACATGACTCAGAATTCAGGTAACTATTTTAATTATGCCACTAACAGAAGAGGTGACATATTGTCTCCAACTATTTTATGGACAGTGTTTGGTCTAAAACATCTTTAACATGGTGTCTGTAACAAATGGGAGGTGGTACATTTTGCATGTTAATGCCTTCAGTTGCTTTATAAGATTCTAAGGTCAAGGTCATTGTTGGAATATGTTACTTTAGAATATGCCAAGTTGGAGGGCTTATGTACTGGTCAAAGAGCTTATGTAATTAGCATATCCAACATGATGAACTTTTTACATGCTCCCTTTAAATTTGTCATGTCTGTCGTGTTGTAGTCATTTTATTTTGATTTTTATACTCCAGGTAAGTATTCAATATTGTTAGATTGCCCCCCCCCCCTTCCCCCTCTATCCATCTGGCATTTGCCCAACTATGAGTCTTTGGTAATATTTTTTTTCTTCCCATTACTTAATAAAGACAAATATCAATTTATAATGAGCTTTTGTAGAAGCCACAGTAAGTAGTGTTTTATTGAGGCTTATATGACCCCAGTATTGTGGTATTTATTTCTAGAATTCCAGATAAAAGCAATTGTGTCAGTAAATCTGCAATATTGTAACAGTGTCCCTAGCTGTTCTGTTCATCTATAAAATATAATGATGGAAAATTGACTGATATGTTTTTGGGGAATTTGAAATTAGAATACACATTACAAGTCAGGTCAAAGGTTAGGATCAAATTAAATTTTTAAAGTCATCTTATTTATCAAGTATGTCTCCCAATGTTTATTTTTGATGTCAAATAGTTTAGTTCCTTTCAAAGCTGCAATATTTTACACACTGTGTTCTTGTTTAGATATACATGAGAAAACCGCTCAACCATGACAGTTTTTTTTATTTAATCACAAATTTTAAATGGTATGTAAAATATATGCTCTTATCAGTTTATGTTCTTTTAATGATGTAGATTAAGCATATGCTGTAATAAAGCTATAGTTTATGTCATAATATGAGTTTCTCTTTAATACCTTTTAGCACTATTAAACTGTTGATTCAAGGTGAGAATCCATTTGTTCATTATGTGATTCTTTAATTTTCAGTTTGGAGTTCACTTCGAACCACTCAGAAAATGGGTGCAGAGATGCCTATATGGTAGTCATGGAAACAGGGTATGCAGCTTATAATGTTTGTATCCATAGCAACCAGGGTGATTCATCTTTGAATAATCAATCCAGGCTCTCAAGTGTTAATGCAGCTAACAATAACTCAACATTCTACAATTATTCATATATCGACCAATCACTGAGAACCTCCAGCAACTATTACCATAGCAACCACCACGAGTTGCCAAGCAACAAAAACAAAATGCATCATTTAAAACTTACACCTGTATTATCAGAATCAAACACTGTAAATATCAGTATCAGATATACAATCATACAAAAAGACATTAAACAATGCAAAAATGATATAATTGCTCAAGCATTTGAAACAGGTATTATTGAAAGTCCAAACTTTGGGCATGAGCCTTCCCCTGACAATTTTAAGTGTGTTACAACAATCAGAGCCCCGGAAGGACATCGTATCCAACTGCTGTTCAATAGCACTTTTGAGTTGGAAGATTCGCCTTCTTGCACCAATGATTATCTCCATATTGGGAATGACATCACAAGGATCGGGGAGCCCTCTATGACATCATATAAATTCTGTGGGAGTGCATCCCCAATTGAGGTTGTCTCCAGAGGAGAGGTTCTATGGATTGTATTCAACACTAATTATGCAAAGACATTCCAAGGTTATCAGGCGCTTTATTCCATATTACTTCCAGGTTAGTATGAATTGATAAAAGAAGTAACTAAGGGATGGTGTCAAATTATCAACAGTTGTGGATTAACGAAGTTAATTTCATTATGGTTTGACCCACCCTCCCTCAACTCAACACTATTCCCTCATGAAACCATCATTTACCCCCTCCCCTTAATGAAACTAACTTAGTTATTCAACAACTGTTGATAATTGGACACAATCCCTAAAAGCCCTTAAGATGTAGCCTATGTTATATGGAATGAGTTATGTTTACCTTAAAATTGCATAATAGGACTTCAGTTTAATTGGACACAATCCCTAAAAGCCCTTAAAGATGTAGCCTATGTTATATGGAATGAGTTATGTTTACCTTAAAATTGCATAATAGGACTTCAGTTTAATTGGACACAATCCCTAAAAGCCCTTAAAGATGTAGCCTATGTTATATGGAATGAGTTATGTTTACCTTAAAATTGCATAATAGGACTTCAGTTTAATTGGACACAATCCCTAAAAGCCCTTAAAGATGTAGCCTATGTTATATGGAATGAGTTATGTTTACCTTAAAATTGCATAATAGGACTTCAGTTTAATTGGACACAATCCCTAAAAGCCCTTAAAGATGTAGCCTATGTTATATAGAATGAGTTATGTTTACCTTAAAATTGCATAATAGAACTTCAGTTTAATTGGACACAATCCCTAAAAGCCCTTAAAGATGTAGCCTATGTTTATATGGAATGAGTTATGTTTACCTTAAAATTGCATAATAAGACTTCAGTTAGAAAGCCATTAAAATTTTTCGAAATGCAGGAAGTACCTTAAAAACTTCATGTTTCTAAACTAATCATAATAAGTAACGATCAAATGACAATAAAAAAAATTACATTCCTAAATTGAGGAATTTGCTTTTTCAAATAGGATACTCTTGTCTAAAAATATTATTGGATCACTTCATATAGATAGTTGTGGTTTTCTAGTAGATGATTGTGCAATTCAAAAACAATTTTCTTTTAAGCTAGCTTAAGTGAGATCTATACAAACTACTTCCATTTGATTACCAATGCGTTATCTAGTTGTAATGAAGCGTAATATTTTGTAATAAGTCCAATAAAGCTTGTAATATATCTGAACACATCTCTAATGTGAACACTTCTCAAAGTTATGCTTTCTTGGTTACATATTTCATCTGCTGTAGGTTTCCCTGTTAAAATCCTTGAAAAGTGAACACCTGTCAGTTTTAGCACTATTGGTTAGTGATTAGTCCTTGTTGCATTCAGATTAAACAGGTTTTACTGTATGTGCATTTATTAATGATCTTCAGTCTATTTTCAGCATTTCATCTTCTTCAAATTAAGGTCAGTCCAAAACAACTGCCCCTTATGGGAGAAACCTCTTAGTTTGTTTCACTGTTTTTGATAATTTCTCACAATAGGTTATAGTAAGATATACGTCCATTGCAGATTGGATTGGTACACAGATTCAGGGTTTGTTTGAGAATCATAAGGTCTAATTGACTGTCAAGTATTTTCAACCCTGGGAAATCAGCTGGGTCAGGTTGACATCAGAATAAAATAGCTGTGTTTAGTACAACCCATCATATCCCAGACATGCTTTTTCCAGAAACTGGTGTTTGTGACAGAATTGTAAATATTGCTGCATCATAAAAATTCAATTTTGCTCAATGCTTTCAAACAAAATTTGAAGAATTCATCTGAAAGTTTCAGGGATGTTTATACCTATGAAAGTTAACTGATTAGTTTTTGACATTCTGGGTAAGTGTTAAGGCAGCCATTTTGGATTTTCCATCCTAAAATCTTATTTGTCGAGGCTCGCCTACAGGTTTCCAGCCAAACCATTTCATGGATTCATCTGAAATTTTCGGGGATCTTTTTGGGCAGTCTGGGTATAATGTTAGGGTGGCAATTTTGAATTTTCCATCCATCAATTTTGAATTTTCCTGTTCACTACATTTTATTGTTTGATTGTAGTGAGTTGTAATAAGAGTGACTTTCACTGTTCAGATGTCCAATGTGTCCACCCAGACAGAGTATGTGATGGTGTACAGGACTGTAGCAACAACAGGGATGAGTATTGTGGTAGGTTGAATATTGGCCACTTGTCCAATTTTGTTTTTCTTTCAATTCATTTGTGTGTGTTGTCTAAAGACATTACCTGTAGATGTCTGTACTTTGATTGGTTCAGATATAGACCATATCATATTGTAAATGCTCAGCAATAACATTGTCTCAAAAATCTGAAAAAACACAAAATTATGTGGGGAAAATGCAGATTATGCAACCATTTTCAGTATGGGTGATTTTAACACATAATTCTGGGATCTATGATAAAATAATTTTATATTGTATACAGTAGAAACTGTCAAGTGGAATTCTGTAATATAAGTGAAACACATAATTTGTAGAGTGTCATGGCCCATTGGCTCAGTGTTTTATGAACCAGCTCTCAGTGTTCAGATGTTCAGATACCAAATCTGTTCCGCAAAATACAAGTTTTACTCTATGTTGTCCCTTGCATTATATGATTTATACTTTTCATTCATTTTGTTTTATTAGGTCTGACCACCAGTCAAGAGGAACCATGTTTTATGTGTAAAGATGGCGCTTGTATCAAGCCAAGACTCCTACGCTACAGTGTTGACTGGGGTAGGAGCTACTGGTGGCTATGTGATGGCTTCAAACATTGCTCAGATGGCACAGATGAAAGATATGGTATGTACTCATTTTTGATTCACAGATCACTCTTATCTACCACTTTTCTTTCTACTTATTAATCTGCCATAGATTTTCATGTTAAAAAAATTAACAGGGTTTACTTTATCTTTTTGCCTTATATTATTAAGCAAATTAATGTCTCGAACTTCAATGTGCCCCTTGTTCATATACTTCTCAGCTTCTAGGACACAAACCAGACATTGTTTCAGCTTCAGCTTTCAATCATGAACTTCATGTTGACGAACACCAGGCTTTTCTAATGAGGGGTTTCACTGGTCTCCCACTGTAAAATACGTAAAATATGGGGTAGCCAAAAGAATTTAAGAAATCAATCTACTTGCAGATGTGTGCCTTAGACTAGATGGGCGGTCAAATGCATTGATGCAGTGTCAGCCAGCCAATCACAATCCTTCACAGGACTTCAATGTGCTCATTTTGAAGCTGTTCAGATGTAACGGCAAGAAGGATTGTTACAATGGGGAGGATGAGATGTGTGAAGAGAAGATTCCAGGTATAAAGCATAACAGCACTGTGTTATAATAAGCATAAAGCATCATTGCAGTAAACCCTGTCTAAGTGAACACCTCTCTCTCTCTCTCTCTCATGAACACCTCTCTCTAGTGGGCACCCTTCCTCCACACATACTATACTAACTTCTGTATAAATAACCCTCTCTGTAGTGAACACCTGTCTCTAGTGGGCACCCTTCCTCCACACATACTATACTAACTTCTGTATGTATAACCCTCTCTGTAGTGAACACCTGTCTCTAGTGGGCACCCTTCCTCCACACATACTATACTAACTTCTGTATAAATTACCCCTGTCGTGAACACCTAGCAACACTGAACTTTTATTCTCAGCAAAAGATGTTCAATGTACAAAAGTTTAATACTTGTATATTACTACAATAAACACAAAACATGTGTTATGTATAAGATAAGGATAAAAAATATAATGAGTGACATTGAAGGTCGATCACTAAAAAATGGGCGTGATAACAGTATGGTTCCACTCCATGGTGGTGGCATATTGTTATACAAGTGGTGGCATATTGTTATACAAGTGATGACATATTGTTGTACAAGTGGTAACATATTGTTATACAAGTGGTGACATATTGTTGTACAAGTGGTAACATATTGTTGTACAAGTGGTGGCATATTGTTGTACAAGTGGTAACATATTGTTATAGTCTCCAACTTTTTTGTGGGTGGTGTTGGATGGATGGTGTTCGGTATCTGTAACAAATGGCAGGTAGTGACATGTAAGTGGCATGTAAGTGCCTTGTATACTATCTTAAAAACATAATATTTATTTTCTGTAAATTCATATTCCAGAAAAATGGTTGATTAAACCTGAGTTTGTCTGTGTTCCCATTGGAGCCATGGTCCTGGTTGCACTCGTCATGACTGCCATATATTGTATGAGTAAGTAAATGTACATATATTGTATGAGTATTGAGTATAGGCATATGTTATATGAGTAAATAATATATTTATGAGAAAGTAAAGGGATTGTATAAGTAAAAATAGTATGAGAAGGTATATACGATATATTGTATGGGATAGTATGAGTATGAACATATATTGTAGTAAAACCTGTGTAGTGAACACCTATGGAGCCACAAAACTGTGTTCATGTTCACTACAGAGAGGCAATGTGCTGAGAACACCTCTTTAATGGGAACACTTTGGTAGGAACCCTTCTCCTTCCTATTAGCTTTCATATTTCATATCCACCTCTCTAAGATGAACATTTAACACCCCCAAACTTGAACACTTTTTGCTTAGTCATATTAATTGTATAGGGGTTTTAGTGTACTCAAAGAATGATCTGACTGTTTCTTTCAAACATATATTTCCAGGCAAACGCAATAGAAAACCTCCATTGCCACGTTACAGATTGAACTCCAGCCAGCAATCTGGCCCCTGTGATCAAACACAAGCTTTACAAGGCACAGAACAGCTGAACAACAAAGACAAATATGACTCTCTTTATAAACCCGAAATCTTGGAGAGAAAACATCCTCAGAGTAAACTTCCAATATGTCAAAGTGACCCTGAGTCAAGTTTAAAGTTCATTGAATCAAATTCCAAGCCTCTAACTAAAGAGAATAGCCTCTAACTAAAGAGAATTGTCTCATTCAGCAGACAAGTGTATAGTTACCCTGAGCTCAATGTTTAGTCCACCATGCTCTAACTAAAGAGATCGTCTTCAGAAGTAGACAAGTGTATAGTTACTCTGAGCTCAATGTTTAGTCCACTAGCCTCTAACTAAAGAGAATTGTCTCCTGCAGCAGACAAGTGTATAGTTACCCTGAGCTCAATGTTTAGTCCACCAGGCTCTAACTAAAGAGATTGTCTTCAGAAGCAGACAAGTGTATAGTTACCCTGAGCTCAATGTTTAGTCCAAAAGGCTCTAACTAAAGAGAATTGTCTCCTGCAGCGGACAAGTGTATAGTTACCCTGAGCTCAATGTTTAGTCCACTAGCCTCTTACTAAAGAGAATTGTCTCCTGCAGCAGACAAGTGTATAGTTACTCTGAGCTCAATGTTTAGTCCACTAGCCTCTAACTAAAGAGAATTGTCTCCTGCAGCAGACAAGTGTATAGTTACCCTGAGCTCAATGTTTAGTCCACCAGGCTCTAACTAAAGAGATTGTCTTCAGAAGCAGACAAGTGTATAGTTACCCTGAGCTCAATGTTTAGTCCACCAGGATCTAACTAAAGAGATTGTCTTCAGAAGCAGACAAGTGTATAGTTACCCTGAGCTCAATGTTTAGTCCAAAAGGCTCTAACTAAAGAGATTGTCTCCTGCAGCAGACAAGTGTATAGTTACCCTGAGCTCAATGTTTAGTCCAAAAGGCTCTAACTAAAGAGATTGTCTCCTGCAGCAGACAAGTGTATAGTTACCCTGAGCTCAATGTTTAGTCCACTAGCCTCTAACTAAAGAGAATTGTCTCCTGCAGCAGACAAGTGTATAGTTACCCTGAGCTCAATGTTTAGTCCAATAGCCTCTAACTAAAGAGAATTGTCTCCTGCAGCAGACAAGTGTATAGTTACCCTGAGCTCAATGTTTAGTCCACTAGCCTCTAACTAAAGAGAATTGTCTCCTGCAGCAGACAAGTGTATAGTTACCCTGAGCTCATTGTTTATATTTCATTATAATTTTTGAAGGTGATTTAGATTCAAACATGATTGTTCTCTTATTGAATTTCTCGACCAACCATAGAATCGAGGTCTTTGTTTTGATTCTAACATGATAAGAGCAACATGTATTTTTCTTCCAATTCAAATTTTTTCAAGATGGAAAATTCTCAATGCTTTGGACATTCTGTTTAAGGAATAAATAATGATAGGCCATCATGGTAAAATTCAGCATGAGCTGGACAGAATGTTTTACAATGTATGAAACGGAAAGTAGAGTGCATTTTTACTATCATTCCGTCCAATGAGTGTAGAATTTCACCATATTGAATAGCCTATCATTATTTATCATACTAGGTTTATAAGAACATGTATTTTTACATATTATAGAGACTTATCAAACGGTGTAGATAGTGTCCAAGTTCTACTATATTATTACTGTAAAACTTGATCTAGTCTGTTGAAAATATCACTTGAATTGGTCTGATAATAAAATCAATAAACTTGGAATTTCTTCTTTTGTTTTTAGTGATCAGAATAGGCTGAAAATAACTAAAACATCAAGAGTTTCAGATATGTATGTAAGGCAATGTTTATTTACATTAAAATAAAATAACATAGTATACATTAGATTTAAGTGTGCCTTACATAACATGCAATATTTATACATTCACATTGATATACATGTATATATAATACCCAGGACAAATTAAATCACCTTATATATTTATAAACATTAAGTTATTTACATTATTTCTATTCTTAAATGCCAGGAAACAAAAAATTATTGCAAAAACATTGGCACGTGAAAAAATAGTTCTTGAGCTGAAATGAATGCTGTCATTTTTATGGGAAACTTATTACAAAAGAGAATTCGTTAAAAACATTGAGTGGGGGATAATGGAGAGCATGGGTGTTGCAAAAATGAGATTTAGTCTGACCCCGATTGACTGCTTTATTTGTCATTCATTGCAGTAAACCTAACTCTGTTAATATCTACATGTTCTTCATAATTTTATTCACATATTGAATACATACATACTAAAATCATTGAAATAACATGTTTCCCCATGATTTTTAAATAATTGAATCTTACATTACCTTTACATTATCTTCTTGGAAACACTGAACACTGAATAGTACTAGATAGAAGATGGTCTAATTTAATACCCCAAGAATGAGATGGATTATTAGTTCCTTGGCACTCTAAATTTATCAGCTGCCAATATTCTTAAAGTGGCAAGTTATCCATTGAATTAAAGAGTATTGGAATTAAACCAACTTACATACACTCCTTGTGTTATTATGGTAAATACTAGAGCACCTGAATAACGGCTATTTAACTCCTAGAGACGCTGGTTAAGTAAATAGCTTCTGTTTCAATACAAGGCGCCGGGGAGACATTGTGAATTGAATTATCACTTTTTTTCATGGCAGCACACATGCTATATTTCCCTAAACAATTTCCACATAATCAATTTCCTTGTAAGCTTCACTGTATAATGTTGCATATAATTTCATATTCCCTCACTACACATCATGTTTGACATCCACTTGGTGTTATATTGAATAATTCCTATTACATCATGTATGGTAATTATTATAATCCATTTATGATCTATTTGAGATTTCATATGTCAAATGTTTTAATATTTTTGTCCTTATGCCTCCTCGTCTGAAAATATAAGAAACAATTTTAATTTGAATATCAGAATTATAGAAGTAAATAACAGTTGAAAGTGAAGGGATTTAAAGTGGCTATAACAGTTGAAAGTGAAGGGATTTTAAGTGGCTATAACAGTTGAAAGTGAAGGGATTTAAAGTGGCTATAACAGTTGAAAGTGAAGGGTTTTAAAGTGGCTATAGCAGTTGAAAGTGAAGGGAATTAAAGTGGCTATAACAGTTGAAAGTGAAGGGAATTAAAGTGGCTATAACAGTTGAAAGTGAAGGGATTTAAAGTGGTTATAACAGTTGAAAGTGAAGGGATTTAAAGTGGCTATAACAGTTGAAAGTGAAGGGATTTAAAGTGGCTTTAACAGTTGAAAGTGAAGGGATTTAAAGTGGCTATAACAGTTAAAAGTGAAGGGATTTAAAGTGGCTTTAACAGTTGAAAGTGAAGGGCTTTAAAGTGGCTATAACAATTGAATCTCACCATCTAGAATCTCATCAAAGCCAAATGATGTCTCAATATTCTTCCTCTTTTCTTCCTCACGCTGTCTCTCCTCTACTTCTTCAGCTGCAAATAAAGCAATAAACACATGAAGAGTTGACAAAATATCTTTTACAATTATTGTTTCAATATTTCAATTATAATTTCCAATTATTTTGCCTGTAATATTTATTTGAGTATTGTCAGTAATTGCCTAATGTTATCATCCCAAGACCATTTCTCTTAGTTTTATGCTTTTATGACCCAAACCTTCAGATCCCCCTAAGCCAACTAATGTCCAATATTCAAATCATCCTTTCCATTGAATTAGGTCTGCCTGTTCAGTGAACCATACTAAGAGGCAGCAACTTCAAACTAACTAGAACTTTGATCTACCATATGTTATATCATTACCTGTTTCTTGAGGAGCCTTTTTTCTGCCCCTGGTGGACCTTGGGGTTCTTGCTACTTTAGCAGGGCTTGCTTCTTCCACTGCTTGGGCAGCTGCTCTCTTTGGGCGACCCCTGGAAAAATTCATCAGTAGAAACGAGTTATAAGATAATGAAAATAGGTGATCATTAAATTTTATTCTCTGATCTCATTATGCATCTTTAAAGGAATATTCCTTGCCAAACCATCTCTCTCCTCATATGGTAGCTATAACCATATATATGCTTGCCATGTTTAGCAAAACACGCAAAAATGTTTTGATATGGTCAAATTTGATCACTTAGAAATGTGATGCTCAATTCCAGTAAGCTGCCATCTTTTAAAATTTCACACAGGAAGTGATGTCATCGACTCTCAACTTTGCATATAACATTAGGTGAGGAGCTATTAAGAATTACAAAACCAGTTAAATATTCTTTTTCAACTTTGTATCTTATTTAATCCTTCTGAAAATCTCTTCTTTTATTCTAAGTTTACAAGCCCTGAAAATATTTTTGCACAGAAAGTAATGATCACTTGTCTAGAAGTGATTTTGTGCTACTTTCCTATTCTGTTATGGGCAAGGTTATAGAAGTTGAGAGTTGATGACATCACTTCCTGCAAGAAATCTTAAAAGATGGCAGCTCACTGGAAATAAGCACTAGATTTTTAAATGATCAATATTGACCATATTAAAACATTTTCCCATGTTTTGCTAAATATGGAAACTATATATATGATTATAGCTACCATATCAAGAGAGAAAGGGTCTGGCAAGGAATATTCCTTTAATTCTATGAAATATGCTATTTGTATTACATTTTATTAATTATTTCAGTTCAGAATTGACATGTCCCTAACTTATTTTCAAAGTTCCCTGACATTGCCATGTCTGAACAGAACGAGACCCTGAGCATGATTAAAATGAAAAATGTACCTTTTCTTAGATGGAGTAACAACAATCTCAGGTATAGGCTCTTCTTCTTCCTCTTCTTCTTCTCCCTCTTCCTCTTCTGCTTCCTCCCCTTCATCATCTGGGGCTTCTATCACATGGTACCCAGACTCCTGGGATACCTCTTCACCCTCCTCTTCCTCATTCTCTGATGCATCTTGGCTATAACCCTTCCTCATTTCATTCATCTCCTCCTGGTTGGAATCTTCCTCTACAGCTTGTGCGGAGACTAACTGAGCGGCAGTTAGATGACCTGGGGTGGAGAGGTGACTGTCCTTGGAAACTGGTCCTCGGTCATTCTTTGGAGGACGTCCTAAATGTGTCAAGAATGAAACATAAATTGCATGGAAAGGTGAAATAAATAATTTATAAAAGAAGACGAAATTTTTAATCAACTGCATATTGATCTGATGCTAAGAAGTCTTACTTATGATAAGTTCAATTCATATAAGCAATCTTCCTCTACCAAGGCTATGGATTGACTTCTAAGCAAAACGAAACCAAAAAACAAAAAGAGAAACTCTGGCCTAACACACATTATCAAATCAACACATTTAGACTTACCTCGTCTTGCCTTAAAGCCTCTTGCTACAAAGGACTGTCCAGGGTCAAGGATCTTAGAGTTTGAAGGTCCTGCCTCTGAAACTTGCCTTGGGACTTCAACTACACGCTGGCTTTGTTGTGGTCCACTCTCCATGACAACCTGGCCAGCCTCTGCAGGGACCTCTATCACAACATAACCTTCACCTGCAAATGAAGTTAAAATGTGTTGTTTAAATTTGGGTGAAAAAATGTGCATGAAACAGTTCAATCACTAGCCCAGCCACTCACAGCTTAAATTGTCAATTACTTACTTTGTGATGTCATACATTTATAGAAAATACACCCTTCATATGCAACAACTAACTTTCTTCCGCTTTTAAAAGCTCATGCAATGTTGGTTCTTAGAGTTATCAAATAACTTGGTAAAATTCACTCTAACACACCACAATATATAATTACATTACTAAACAAGGCATTACCATGTAAAATGTCACCATCTAACATTTTTACAGACGCTGACCACTAAATACCATCCACAAAAAGTTAGAGACTATTTGTGGTGACAAAACAAAAGATCAAATAAAGGTGTTCTCTACTTCAGTGAAATATTTCCTTATAAGAAGTTTCAAATGTAGCATGGTAGTGCATGTGTACTCACTCTCAGATCTTATTGGCTTTATCTCCACCTGTTGAACACCATCTACATCATGACTGATGATTTGAGCAACAGTCTCTTCCTCTTCATCCTCATCACTTAGATTCTCTCCCTCAGATTCTTCAAGGTCCTTGCCTAGAATATACAATAGAATATACAATAGCTCTGTTATAACTCTGTCAGGCTTAGAGTATACAACAGTTCATAGAATACTCTAAAACTATTAAAAGTTGGAATTTACTATAACTCTTGGGATATACAATATATATAATATTCCATCAAGCTACACACATAACACCAAAAATAAGTTAATATTTATGAATGCATGTTGTTCATTTGTAATGCATATGCACTTTAAGTATACTTTAATAAATGCTCCCATGCTTTAAATGCATTTTTTGACTTACCAAAGTCTGGGTTATTGGGGTCATGCATCTGTACATGCCTCAACAGATTGCCCTTGTGTGCAAATGCCTTGTCACACTCCATGCACTGGAACTGCTTTTCCTTAGGGGTAGGGGGGACATAGTCGGGGGTGTGGTACAAATTTTTGTGACGTCGCAATAACTGCTTCTGACGGAAACACTGCTGACACTCTTCACACTGGTAGGGTTTCTCACCTACAATTGTGACATCATGATAAAGATTGACACAATTTGTGTTGTGTAATTAATAGTCTATATAAAATGTTGATTTCTGGCACGTTACTTTCCTCCAAAATAACTGATATAGCACAATGTATAAAACAAGACATTATCCTATCAGATCAAACAAAATTGCTTCAGTATTAACAGCATTAATACATCCCCCATTATAAACCTAGATATCAATTCTTATAAACCTAGATATACATTCTTTTATACTGACCTGTATGCGTAAGGATGTGGCTCTCCAAATGACGTGGCGAGAGAGCAGCATATGCGCATAGTTCACATTTGTAGCATTTCTCCCCATCATGGACCTTTACATGAAGTCTGTATGTGTACCTAGTGTATTAAGAGATCATGGTTTAATAGATATTCTATAAATTTAGGAGTATAGTATGGTTGGCATAGAGTGGAATCATTGTTGGATCTGTCTAAATTTGCCTTTGAAAATATACTTAGAACAACCTCCTCATGTTCTGATATTTACTGGAATTTTCTGTAAAGGGCACTTATTTACCAATTGGAATTTAAACAAAATCAATAAATATAAAGGAATATGGTTATTGCTGCAAGTTATTTATATGCTATGAATAATCTAAATCATTCATTCATTCTGAATTCCAAAGGCAAATTCCCGAATCTGTTCTTTCCTGATTCTGTTCTACATCAACTGCTTATACAAAGAAAGTGTCATGATTATCTGACGATATCAATCTGATTGGGGGTAGATCAACGTCATAATTGTCTCTTATTCTAAGTGTAAATGAAGCTGAAGATTCAAACTCTTACGTAGTCTGAAAAATGATTTTTCTTTGTTTTCGAAACACACTAATGGTCAAATAATTGGCTAAATCAACATCTCTAATGGAACACATACCTATCAGGGAATGACTTGTTGCATTTCTTGCAGCACAGGGGTACGTCACTGGTGTGAAGCTTCTGAACGTGAATCTTCAAGTCTGTCTTGCGTCCACATGTTGTAGGGCACAACTCACACTGGTATATAGGCTTATTGCCAGAGTGGATCAACTTGTGAGACTTAAGACTGTTACTCTGGGTGAACCTGGAGAACATAGCAATAATTGTATAATCTATTTTCAAAATGACCAATTCAAAATAATTGTACATTCTATTTTCAAAAGGACCAATTCAAAATAATTGTACAATCTATTTTAAAAGGACCAATTCAAAATAATTGTACAATCTGTTTTCAAAAGGACCAATTCAAAATAATTGTGCAATCTATTTTCAAAAGGACCAATTCAAAATAATCGTACAATTTATTTTCAAAAGGACCAATTCAAAATAATTCTACAATGATCTTTTAAAGCAATGGATCAAAATAATTGGCAGAACAGCTAGCAAGTTGACAACACCTTTAAGCACAAATATAATGTTGTATTTAAAAGTTGTAGTCTCGTAGCTCCAAACTTTTGTTTCCATCTTCTAAGCATTGATTATATATAATGTTGCAGCCTAATATGATAGTATCAGATGAAGCCTTAGAAGATATAATTCTGCCTTTGATCATCATGAGAGAAGTAATATCTTACCTAGCATGGCAGATGTCACATTCATAGGGTTTCTCGCCAGTATGTATTCTCAAATGGCGCTTTAGTTTGAATGTGTCAGGGCTGGCATACAAACAATGAGGACAAGCATAGGGCCTCTCTCCTGAAATGAACGATATATTTATTACATCATATATCAATTGTACATTATGCATAGGACCTCTCTCCTTAAACAACAAAGAAAAACATTCATTGTCAATACTTGCCACAAGTTTTTTAAAGAGTAAGCAAAGAACATTGGCCATAGATGATCTTTCCCCCATACTCTCTTCGGTATAATACTGAAGTTTTAATAGACCAAGGCATAAAATGATGCAATAAAACTGAATAGAAGATGCATTTACCTGTATGGGACCTCATATGCCTCTTTAATTTGCTTAGTTCAACACTAGCGTAGTCACACTCTGTACATTTGTGGGGCTTCTCAAATGTATGTCTGTAACGAGTATGGCGCACCTGGAAAATAAAACACAAGAATTTTTTATTGAATTGAATTTTTTATTGTTTGATACTGCACTGGACATTATCCATAGGGCTTATCATTTTTCTCCTGAAGTGGTCAATGCAGTCTCCTTCTGGAAGTGAAAAAGAGGGAATGGAGACAGAGACATGAGGCAGGACTAATTCATATTTAAATAGTTCTCCATCAATATATCAATTGTAATCTCAATCATTTTTGATGTTATTAAACAGTCCTCAATAGAACACAATTTTATCAACAATGACATACCAGTTCTCCCGAAGAAGCCAATGCAGCTCCCTCTGTATATGGAGGTATGACTACTTCATATGGAAACAGTTCTCAATCGGCCATAGTGTATCAAAAGTGACTTACCAGTTCTCCTGAGGTGGTGAATGCAGCCTCACAGTCCTTACATTTATGTGGACGTGTGCCTGTATGTGTGTTCACATGATTCTGCAATGAAGCAATTGTCTTGAAACCTCTATTGCAGATGGAACACTTATGGGGACGCTCGTCTGAATGAGTCTTCATATGACGTGTAAGTAGGTACCTTGAAAATATTCATAGCTTGCAATGACATTTTTTACATGTTTTGACATACAGTGAACCATGTATATCAGAACACCTCTCAATATCACCCCGGAATAGCCTGACAATGGTTAAGTCAGATACCCAATTTGATCGAAAATGGGATTTCATATGATACATTATCACAAGAGCTTAATGCATGCACAGAATTAGCTACGATAAAATCCCATGAAATGAGGACCAAGTGATTAAAGAGACGGTTATGTCTGCCATTTGTGACAACGGTATCTGACTTTACCATAAGCTATTCCGGTGTGAATATGAACACTTTTTCTCAGTCCTAATTTTGTTATATCTAATAGACTCACATATTAAGAAGACTTTGAAATGTGAAACCTACCAATCCAAACACTTTGGCAGGTTCCAATGGTGTTTGAATTAGTCAGGTTTTACTGTACAATACAGTCTGACGAGATATACAGGGGAAACCAATATATGAGTAAGGTAAACAAGTGTGCACTTTGCAAGGGAGACTGCTGCAACCTGCGACACATCCTCAGCTCTTGCCCCCAGTCCCTGAGTGAAGGAAGATTCACATGGAGACATAACAAGGTACTCCAAGAAGTCTCTAAGTACATAGACCAGCAAAGAGGCATTGCCAATAGAGGTTCCATCACTAAGCAAATAGAATTTATCAGGGAAGGAAAACCCAAAGCTGCAAAGACCCCCAAACCACAACCCAAGCCAAGCATTTTAGCCAAAGCAACAGATTGGCAACTCCAGGTAGATCTCTATCAGAAACTAGTCTTCCCACAGAATGTGGCCGTAACAACCCTGCGCCCAGACATGGTTATGACTTCCAGTTCAACCAAGACCATTATCATCATCGAACTAACAGTCCCATGGGAGGATAGGCTAGAGGTTTCACACGAGATCAAAGCAACAAAGTATCAAGACCTTAAAGACGAAGCTGAGACAAGAGGGTGGCACGCATCTGTCTTCCCTATCGAAGTTGGTTGCAGGGGGTTTCCAGCAACATCAGTCAGAACCCTATTATCCAAGATAGGACTGCAACCCAAGGAGCTCAAGAGTGCCTTAAAGTCTATCAGCTCAGCAGCAGAAGACAGCTCCAGATGGCTGTGGATCAGAAGAAGAGATAAGTGGAACCCAAAGGCGACCCAGTCCACCTAAGTCCCACTAGAACAATGCTTGTTTATGTGGTCTACCACCAGACCACAGGTGTTCCATATGATAGCTCATATGGACGGGGAGTATACAGCAGGAGGCGCTTACTCGGCCGAACCCGACCTCACACCGATATTCAAGCATGTCCTAGTCCCCCCTTTGGCATGCCATTCCCATTCCTCAGTCCAATATGTCATGTAGCGAAGCATCATGGATGTTTAACAAATGAAAGTGCCCTCATTGAATGGGAACAAATAAAGATGTTGATAAACACAAAAAACACAATTTAAATAATCATTCATGGCCTACCTCTTAGGGCTTGTGTAGTTGCAGTAATTACACATGAGTGCAGATGTACTAGCTGGGGGCATCTTCTTGGGGGTGACCCGTATCACCTTGTTGCGTGGTGTCCCTGCAGCACCCCCACCATCCTCATCAGAATCCTGGGTGAGAGTTGTCATCTCCTCCCCCTACAATCAAATCAGTTGTCTTGCAATTGAAGAATTCTTAAAGAAAAAATATCTATGAAGAACAAGATTTTCAGAACTACTTTTGAAAATGTTTGTGATCTAACCTGTTGCATCTTACAGTGCCCAATGGCAAAATACATGTATTGTTTTAAAGTGATTGTATGATTAAACATATAGGTCGGTCTGACCTGTATGTATTTAATTGGAGAAATCAAACCTCAGAACATAGAGGAAAACTTAACAATTATGAAACTAATATTCTTCTGGTATATTGGCTATATTCAACAGAAAACTCATAAACATTGAACAGAATAACAACAATTTCAATAATCTTCTTTGAATGTACCTAAAATTTGCTTATAGCATAATGAATATGGAATTCTAAAAATAGGAACATTCTGAGATCACTGGGTAATAAGGGACAGGTCAAAAATATCGATGTTTTGCTGAAACTCATTTAGAGTAAGCTCAAACCTCTTTTATTCATAAACCTTGTTGACATCTTTTAGTGAAACATTATTTTTTCCAATTTTCCAAACACAGGGTTCCATACATCATTTACTATGATTCCTTTATTTCTCCGGAGTTATGTGTGTGGAGGATGCATTTATTATGACACTTATAACAAGTTTCACCAAAGGATGATACACTGATTTTTGATCTTGTCAGTTAGTTTTAATATGACATGCATTAAAGTCAACAATAAACATGAATATTAACTAAATGTGAACTCTTAATTCTAGCCCACCTGTTGCAAGAGGTGCTGAATGCGCTAAATAATTCAACTAAATTATATATTCATACATTTTACAAGTCAGAAGATTGGTTGAAAATGATAGGTCTTATATTTCTGTTTTAATAAAGAAGGAGCTCTCCATATGCCAAATTTTTAAAATATGGTCTTCAGATCAGCTGCTTTTGCATCAAACTTGTCAATATTTTGTGATTTGGAAAAGTAACTAATAGTTGAGGATACATCTAGAAAATACAAAAACATGTTATGCATACTTATAAAGGGTGTGAAGTCTTACCTTGAAATCATAGACAGACATGTCCATATTCTCAGCATCTTTGTCCCCATCAGGCTGGGACACAATGAGGACATAACTGACCTCCCCACCACCTTGTTGATTGTCAGAGGGGACAATTGTCACTGTTTGGTAATTGTCCTGATTCAACACAACCTGGCCTTCATTTGAGGTTCCCTGCTAGAAATAAGAGTGTTTGCAAATGTAATATTCTAAACAGTTGAAGTTCATTAAGTTACACATCTCAAAATCTATGCTTGAAATACACATTGTATCGTAAATGTTTTAAATTGCACAAAAATATGATGACAAAACGAAAAAAACGAAAAAATAAGTAAAATAGACACCGTATAAATCCCATTTTTGGTTGATCTCTAACTCTGAAGCTGACTTGTGTCTCCTTTGAGAAATGTACCAGAATATCATGAATAAATATAAAAAGAGTAATTCAGAGTTTTTATTAGATTTAACTTAAAAATTATGAAACAATTTAAGTCTGGAAAGGAGTAAATGCACTTAAATTACCTGTGTTGAAGGGACAATAATCTGCGCCTGTCCTTGGTCCCCTGCTTGGAGGGCGACCATCTCCCCATCTCCCACCTGAATCATCTGGGCACCTTCCTGATTGGTCACTATGAAATAAAGTTAACAATTATACAATGATAATCAAACCCCATTTGAATACCCACTCAAATCACACTCTATATCTGAAATGTCAATACAAAAATAGCTCCTCACAAAAATATTTTTTCTTCTTTTCACAACCTTTATTTTTTTTATTTCTTGTTCAGTAAAATAAAGGTTGTGAAAAGAAAAAAATATTTTTGTGATTTGATAATCCAACCTGGAGAACATGTTTAAGAACAAAAATAGCTCCATTTAAAATACATTACTTAAAATTTGCATTGGTGGGTCTAGCGTTTATAGTCCACTTACCTTGTTTTTCCAAAGCTGGTGGCTCCACCTGCTGGCCTTCTTCACCCTCTTCTCCATTCTGAAATAATATAACATAAATATTACCATAAATTCACTACACAATTTTCTGACAAGTTTAAATAGAATATTATTACAAACTGTGTACAGTGTGCCAAAATTACTTTACATAAAACATATTGATTACACTGATAAAGTTTACAAGAACAGTCAAAAATATGTGCTATTGCAATAAAAACAAGGCATTAACATGTAAAATGTCACCAACTGACATTTGTTACAGACGCAAAACGCTTCCACATAAAAGTTGGAGACTATAACAATATGTCACCACTTGTGACATAATAAAATGCAAAAAGCAATGCATATTTCTATTCAAAAATCTTTTCATAATCCACAAAGAGATTCCAAAGATATCAACAAAAAATACTCTAATAGCATCAAAAAATAGCAACTCAATAGTATATACAAAATGAAGTGTCAATGGCTTGTAATTTTTGACCGAAAAATGGTTATAGAATGAGTGTTTCTAAAAAGGACACAACATTGCATAGAAACATGGTTAAACTTCCTTATAGGCCTACCTGGACAACTTTCTTGATATCTTCTTGGCCTTGTTGCGCCTGGCTTCCATCAGCTGTTGTGTAAGTCCCATATGTTTGTTGTTGCTGTTGGAACTGAGAGTATCCTGGTGGTGCCCCCTGGTAGTAACCTTCTACATTATAAGCCTGGTTGGTCCCTAGAATATAATACACTATGTTAGGTTTGGATCTAAATATAGAATAAAATCTTAACTATGGTCCAGTGTCTCATAAGCCGACATAGGCTGGTGTTTTTTTAGAATATGTATTTATTTGTACCAATTGTAAACCAGTGACAATAATAAAATATTTTAATAAATAAATAAATAAAACTATGGTTATTATGTCTGTTGTCTGTCTTAGTTTACTCTGGGAACACTCGTTATCAGCATGTTATTAGCAGTTTGATGTCATTGTTGTCCAAGTGTGCCACGCTTGTAAAAATACAAAGTACTGAGACTGAAGGAATAACTTAGTTTTGCAATAAGCTTGTGTTGTGTCTCCCTGCAACTCTATCTAGCTTTCTCCTTTAGAGGGATGTTTGACAGAAGGGCTTAGCAAGACTATAGAAATAACTTTGTTCAGTGAATTTAACAGATGTGGAAACAACCATAGCTTACCCCCAGATTGTATCTCTTTGTTGAAATCAGTCAAGTAGTTCTGTATATCATTGAATGCATCACCTGTAGCTGCAGTTGCTGGAGCTGTTGTTGTGGCAACTGCTTCTTGCTCCATGCTGAAGAGAAAAAAATATAATTTATGATTTTGTTTCAGATTTCACATTACTCATGTGATAAAAAATGGAGAGAATTATGTTCAAACTATCACATAAGGCAATGACATAATTACAGTGATCATGAAAAACAAACAGAATTGTAAACACAATCTGGAGTTACCTAAGATGAGAACATGCAACCAAACAAATTCATTCAACTTTAGATAATGATGTTTTGTCAGTGCAATACAAATACACTTCTGCATGAAAACTGAGCTACCGACAACCTCCAATCACAGGGCTTCAAAATCCAGAATATATTCTTTCTTTTTACCCCCTGTGATTGACTGTCGCAACACTGCGACAGAAATCATGTATAAGTCATTGCCCATAATAAGATCACATGATTCAGTTTAATCGGGCGCTTCCAAATTGGTTATAGCAGGGGGAAGAAGTAGGTATGGATTCTGGACACCTGCTTAGGAGGATGAGCTACCGACTGTCCCATACACATTGACTCAACTTTAAAACAATTATGTTTCATCAATACAAATGCATGTCTGCATGAGAACTGGGGAAATCAAATGTACTGATTGTGCACAGCACAACATTCATATGTGTAATGCAAAAATCCAATCACATTCACAATTTGACCGTGTATCGATACATATGAATTAATTTTCATTTGCTGTTTCAATCACGAAAGTTTCACTCCTGCATCAAAACCACAAAGGAACAGGATACCAATTGTGTTGATTGTACAGCACAATATTTCACATCCATCATGAACATTAATTATGCATCATGGCCGCCATTTTATCAGGTTGTCTGTCTGGTAAATGTAGGTCAACAGACATTCCCCTCACTCAAATCACTCCACAGCTCGTGTGAAGCTAAAACAAATGAGTAAATACAACAAAATACAATCAAGATGAAGAAAAGGAACATTTACAGCGCCTCTAGTAGCCTTTTATAGCGCCATCTGCCCGCAACAGAGATCACTTCCAAAATGTCGAGAAAGAAGTCGGCATTTTAGTTGGCGATTTCAAACAACAATTTTACAATATATACGCAAGAATATATAGTATATAAGATAACATATTGCGCAATTCGTTTCGATCTATAAACTGAGTTAGAAACAGAGACAGATATTGATGTAGAAGCAAAATATTTGGATTTGACTGCTCGAAGCGAGATCAAAACAATTTTTTGAACAAAGAAGAAAATTTGGGTTCTCTCGAAAATCATCGTTATCTACCCGAGATAGACGATGAAGCACAGCCAAATAATAATTTTCTAATGCCCTGGTATGTTAGCCACGTCCATAATACGTTATAACTATGAAAACAATAAATATACTTACATTTAATTGCCTTTTTTGGACACTTGAGGGCGTTGGATTACACCCAAAAGATGGCGAACAGCAAGCTTTCAATTACGCATGCGCACATAAAAATTTCGTAGTGCATTGTGGGAGACCACAAGCACAACCCAAATTCCCGGGAAATTTGAAATTGATTTGAAAGGCATCCCGGTGTGAAAGAAATGATGGTCCCCCAGGGATTATGGTCCCCTTTCTTAACGGCCCTTACTGGCCCTGATTGTGTATAAGATAATGAGGGAAAGAGTTGTATTTAGGTCACCATATAAATCAATGGAGAGTAGGACCATAATTTGATAGGACCTCCTACCCTTTTACACCGGTGTAAAACTTCTCAACTATTACTTTATAGGTCTATCATTCTATTTTTTGTTGCCTTTCCCATATATTTACATTCAAAGCCTGGGATATAACAATAACATACAGTATTTCTGGACCTCAATCACCTGAGTCTTGTGATCTTGGATTATAAACCCAGGGTTATAAACCCAAAGGAAATAATATGTATGAGGTATGGGAAGTTGCCTACCCTTCTAGTTGAAAGCCCATGGATTAACGAATTAACATATGAGTCTTGTGATCTTGGGATTATAATCACCTGGGGGCCCATGGCACTACAATGCCTCATCATTAATTCAAGGTCACAGTGACTGTGGTCATTTACATGTAGGACCAGGACAAGTTTTGTTACATGTAGCCTATAAATACCAGAGAGGGATTACATATAGATGGGGCTCAGATTTGGATTTACATAGAGTTTTGACTAAAATAAGATACTGTATAAGTGGTAATAAGTGGCATAATCATTTAATTTGCCTATTACGTAATTTCTGCAAAGTTCGGAAAATTAAATGTCATAAATATTATCTTCATAATGTTATCCAATGGGAAGTTTTTTGTCACTAGGAAAATTAAAATTAGGAAAATGATAAAATTTGACCATTCAGCAAATTAACCACTCGGACTATTAATACCACTTATACAGTAACTTAGTCATCTATTACAGTAAAAGAAAGAAACAACATGTTTTAAGAAAGACTAAGAGGACCTGCCTCCATTTATTTCAGGTATAAATGTAGAAATGAATACATGTTACATTCAATAGATTGAAAGCCCATGATATCAGTATAATATACTGTACATGTATATACCCAGTCATGCTATTTCATTCTATACCTTTTTAAAAGAATGAATTCTAGATCCACTGCAATGATCTGATTATATGTTTCCAGGCTAATTGGCTGTTTCACAGGATTTATTGGGAAAATTACCCAGTGGCCAGACTATTGTTTTTCATTTTACTCTCTATTAAATTGAGGACATGTCAAAAGAAAATCCTTTAACAAGCTTCTTTGAAAGTACAGAGCGATGATGCAAAATACATTGCTACTCTATGATGTATTGGTTGTGCCATTGAGGGGGGAGGTGCAGCACAGGTGGTTATATTTTCCTTTCATATCTTGATCACTATGATACAAAGCATTTCAATCCCAGCCTTTCAGTAGGTGATGTAGGTTCGAACCTAAAGCGAACCTAAAAGTGAATCCCACAATTTGATGGCTACCTAAACGAACCTACTTCATGTAGGTTCGCTTTAGGTTTGAACCTAAAACTACCTAAAGCACTTTAAAAAAATCAGAAACTTGTAGGTAGTTTTAGGTTCGAACCTAAGGCGAACCTAAAAATGTTATACTTTTTCAGGATTTACCTAAACCGAACCAAAAAATCTTAGAAATTATCTAGAGTTACCTAAAACTACCTAAAACACTTAAAAAAATCGAAAAGTTGTAGGTAGTTATAGGTTCGAACCCAAAGCGAACCTAAAAAACATAGTCATACTTCAAGAGTTACCTAAAGCGAACCTAAAAATCTTAAATCTACCTAAAACACTTCAAACTTGTAGGTAGTTTTAGGTTCGAACCCAAAGCTACCTAAAGCTACCTAAAGCAAACCTACAAAACAGAAGTTCTGTCACAGCCACTAGGGGCGCTGATAGCAGGAAGTATCAATGCATTGTGGGTATAATATTCAAACTAAAATCAGTTAGACAGGAAATTTGGAAATAGCCAGGAAAATGGGGAAATATGCTGAAATGACCATCACATCAGTGCTCATTTACAAAGTACATGTAAGTAAGTGTACAAATGATCAATCAATATATTATTTTAACCTCTTGAATACCCAGAATGACGGATATATCTGTCACAGAATTTTTCACTAAAACTGCTCTAACTTTGGCAATTTTTATCCAATCTTCACAAATGATGTTTTAAAATGAATGTAATGGGTCTATGTTTACTATTCTTATGAAATCAAACATCAACTGTTGTGTTTTTAGATGTAAATATCAAAAAAACTGGCAAAAAATAAACAATACTCTGGTTTCAAACCCTTTTTAGAGGCTGGTATTCAAGAGGTTAAGTGTTATAAAAGCATGCAATTATAAAATAGGAGGAATTTTAAATAAATGTACCTGAGTGAGAAACTAAGCATCAAAATGTGTGAGAAATAAATAAACAGTTGACATAGCCTATACAGTTCACAAGTTTGTAGGGTCCAGACACCCGGCTACCTCCATAGGCCAGCTTAGGACCATCATTGTAAATAAATGTACTTGCGTGAGAATATATGCATCAAAATGTGTGAGAAATATATAAACAGTTCAAATCAACAAATCAAGTCATCCAGCTGCTGGGTGGTCTAAAGCCAACCCAGCCCTTGGAAGTATTTACCTAATGCGAACCTACGTAGGTTCGCTTTAGGTAGTTTTAGGTTCACTTTAGGCGATGTTCAAATATGCTAATTAGATTCAGGTTCGCTTTAGGTGACCACCTAAAGTGAACCTATAATTACCTAGAGCGAACCTATAATTACCTAAAGCGAACCTACCTAGGTTCGCTTTAGGTAGTTTAGGTAGTTATAGGTAGTTATAGGTTCGCTTTAGGTGATCACCTAAAGTAAACCTAGACCTAATTAGCATATTTGAACATCACCTAAAGCGAACCTACCAATGGAGTTTTTATATGGGGAACTACCTAAAGCGAACCTAGAAATCCTAGTTAAATATATCACCTAAAGCGAACCTACTGAAAGGCTGGGATTTAACTTGATTTACAGTTTTTAACCTGCATACTCCCCGAAGGATTGGTTCATTGATGTTTCTGTATGTTTCATCAACTTTGAGTTTAAATCAACACACACACAATTCACTTATTCAATAAAACCTTAAAGTGGAACACCTTTTTAAGATCAACACTTTGCAATCCCATGACAAAATGAATTTATGTTTATTGAACTTCTATAAGTAGAGCACCTTTAGTGGGACCAACTTACAATTGTTTTGCGGTAAATGTTTTGTTACCAACTGAATTTTTACCAGATAAATAAATATGGGACTTAAAGTTTACTAAATGTCTACAGGTAGATCTGCTTGGATTTGAAGCCACAAAATAAAAGACAATGAGATAACGCACCAAACCATGATGAACACTGTTTATGTTTACAATATCAAATAAGAAATATATCTTTATCATAATTAAAGGGGTAACAAAAACTAGAGATGAGTCGATGGAAAATTGTGACAATTCTACAATTTATTTTGCTTACTACATTCCATGTCATGCTTATTTTTCTAAAAGGTCCAAAAGCTCTGAATTCATGATAATGCTTTGAATTCTTCAATTATCTGGTAAAAATCTTGAAAAATTGGACATTCACATTTTGCTATTTAAGTGAACTTGAAAACATTGAACATTTCTGCAGTTTAAAACATCAATATCTTTCAAGTAACTTTTTTCAGATAATAGCTGTATGATAATTAAAAGGGTACATTGACATAATTTTTGAAAAGAAAGCTTCCAATATTTTACACTGACACTCTATTCTTGGTTGCCCCTTTAAGTACAACTAATGTAGTATTCTGCTACATAACTTTACAGTCCTGAGTTAACTTGGAGGATTTTCTTTCATAGTTTGTGTTATCCATGGTATATAACTAGCCACTTTAACAAAGCCTGCTGGAGAGCTGTTCTCGTTGACACAACGTACAGGACTGAAACTGGTGACTCCTGCCAATGTCCATTTATTAGGATTAGTACTGGATCTGCACACTAGAGGGCCCCCACTGTCACCCTGAAACATGAAACAGGTTTTTATTTTTGAATACAGCAAAACCTGTCTAATCCGAATGCCACTGGGACCGGCCAAAAGTGTTCAGATTAGCGAGGTGTTCAGATTAGCGAGGTGTTCAGATACATAGGTTTCAATGTACATGGAATGGAGGAAATGTTACTGAAAATAGGCCAAGTTTTGTATGTTTACATTTTAATCTGAAAATCATGGTAGCCTAATAATTTTATTGTAATTTCCATAATTTGCTTGCATGTTCTTTAAATAGGGCTTCCGTAAGCTCAATATGGAGAATTCGAACATGATATGTGATGTCACAATAACAAGAACAATTGATTTATTGGTCTATATTGGGGTATGTATGACCTGTAAATTTCAATATAGACCAAAAAACACCAACCAGCTCAAAAATGTGACGTCAGTTTCATTATTGATATTTTTGCAAACTATTTAGCGAGGCTGAAATCCGGTAAATAGAATGTCCAAAGCAGATTTTTTCAGATTGAAAATAATCAAATCGGAAGAAACTCGAAACTCAAAGACCTCGATTCTATGATTTATGGCAAATATATGACCTCAAATTTTATTCTGCCCATTACCAAAGACCTCAATCGCTAACCGATTTCGGTCTTTTACAATGAACAGAATAAATATTTTGGTCATTTATTGCGCCATAAATCATAGAATCTCGGTCTTTATTCCTTAAATAAATCAGATGTTCATAAAATCTAAATGCGTTCCCCAACACAGAGTTTCAATATGTAATAAATGCCAGGTACATGTACCTGTACATGTATGAAAGTGATACATTTTGTGACTGTTGTTTATTGTTGTTGATATTGATCAACAATATTTTATTATTTTCATAGGGCATGAGAGGAACAAAGAATTACTTCTCACTCAAAGAGTGTGGATGAATAAATATTAAAATAGTATACATAGTACATGTATTGGAAACAGTAGTATTTGCTTTAATTAATGGGAGAAGGGACAAAGCTTTTTTCCGCGTTTCATTAATCATTTGCTAAAAATATTTCTTTACGAGTGTATGCTTGTAGTTATGCCACTAAACTATTTAAGACTTACATTACATGGTACAATAATTCCAGAGCTATACCCCACACACAATACAGAGTCAGTATTTACAAGACCACGGTAGATTTTGCTACATGCATTGTCTGTCCATACATTGGTCTTGATCTCCAATAGTTCATTAGATGCAGGACCTACAATATAATATAATATAGACTAACATAATAAAATATAATATGATGTAATTAGTACTATATAATATAATAATATAATATTGAAATGTAATGTGATACGAGGGTTGTCCCAGAAGTAATGCACTATTTGCTCTAACTTTCTTTAATATTCTTCAATTCAGCTGATATTTTGTGTATATAACAATTGAAGTTTTATCTATTATATCCTGAAGTTTCAGCATCAAACATTAATATTAAGTCTTAATATGGTTGCTATAACAACATGGGGGTAGGGGTGGGCGGGGCAGGTACCAATTTGTCTAATTATGAAAATATCTAAAGTGTTATTTTATTAACATTTCTTTCCTTTAAATGATCAAAATGTTTGGGATATTGTTAAATTTATTCAGCATGATGTTAACCAAGTACAAATAATGACATTTAGCACTGTGATGTCATAATACCACATTTCAATAGTCACGAATTCAAATACAGTCACAGTCGAGAAATTGCAAAAATGGCTGCAAATCTCACCTGATAACAGAAGGCCTTGCATTTGGTGGCCTAATTTCACACTTCACTTGGACTCACAGCCACGCAAAACAATGCTACCATGAAGAAAGTATATAAGGAGTATATACCAGATAGAACTACAATTATGGGGTGGCAGAAGATATTTAAAAGAGACGATTTGACCCTGGATGACAACTCCAAACATGGGAGGCAAAAACTCCACAAGTCACAGTGGAAGAAATTGCCAAGAGTGTTTGACCTGACAGGCATCAAAAGTACATAGCATGCAAGTGGCAATATTTTGAGAAAATGTGAAATGGGACACTGTGCAATATACATCCATTAAATCTATGATGTGCTCATAGTAATTTAGTATCTTAGAATGTATTTTTTAGCATACTTCTTATAGCTACACAAAATGGTATTTGTTGATTAATTATTTCATATTTTCAATTTTTTATTCCTTTTGACGTGACTGTAAAACCTGCCCCGCCCTACCCAAACTCACCAACTTGATTTTATTATAACATTAATATAGTTTTATCAGTCAACATGAAAATTTGTAGAATAATCAAAATGTCTCTAAGGAACATTTACTGAAGATTTCATGGAAAAATATCAATTATTGATAAAGCTAGAGCATATAGTGCATTACTTCTGGGACAACCCTCGTATAATAATATAATACAATATAATGTAATATGATATAATATAATATAATTATTTTTTTCATTTGAGCCTAAAAGAGGACTCATTTAATAAAAAGTGCCCTATGATCTGGTTTTCAAAATCTGACTCACAATATTTATCTTAAACCTCTCTCTTAATAAGAACCCCTCTATTAATACCAACTCTCTCTTTAATAGTGCTCCTCCCATTTAAAAGTTACTGGCCCTTTATTAGAACTTCTCCCAGTTATTTGTCTCTCTTCCCTTTAATTTTATCACTTCCCGTCTAACAGTTTCATGTCCCTTTGATAGTATGTCTCCCCTCTCCCTTTTGATAGCCCCACTTCCCTTTAATGGTATCATTTCCCTCTTAAAGTACATTTCCCTTTAATGGTATCATTTCCCTCTAAAAGTACCTCTCCCTTTTAATAACCCCACTCTAATGTTATCATTTTTCTTTAATGTTACCTCCCCTTTTAACGGTTTCATCTTCCTGTTAATAGTACCTCTTTAATAGCACTGATCCCCTTTAATGGTATCAATTCCCTTTCATAGTACCCCTCCCCTTTATAATTTCTGTTTGGTAAGACTCCTCTCTGTTAAAGCTATCACTTAGCACATCCCACTTTAATAGCAGTTCTCCCACTGAATTGTGCCTCTCCCTTCCTTTTAGTAGTAATTCTCCCCTATGAAAGTACCTCTCTATTTTAATACACAATCCCCTTCTTTTATTATTTCGATCACCATTAAAAGTCACCTTCCTATCCAAGTTTCTTGCTAAAAGTCCCATATATATAATTTAAAATTTGTTGTTTTTAAAGTCCTCACCAGCTGGTTTCTTGTAGCCAAATCCAGTTGTATAACATTCCAGACTAGATGCAAACTGTTGCTCAAGTTCAGGTAAACATATGGGATATGTTCGCTCCGTGTATGTAACTGGCCTTGTAAATCTAATGAGGGTCAAGTCATGTTCTGGTGGTGCGAATGAGGCAAGGTAAAGGTCAGGGTGATGCCAATAATCACTGATGTAGAGCACCTGCTCGTATTGACCTCTCACAGTCTGTCCAGTGTGAATCATAGTTCGCACTTTACCAAACGAGTATGTTTCCCTAAAACATATAAGATAGTTATGTCAAATCCAGATAAAATTTCAAGGGGTGTGTATACGATTGACCATGTTTCCTTCAACCATTTTGATTATATTATTTTTCAAAAGATCAGTGATAGTTGTCAAGATTCACTAGTGATTCAAAGTTCAATTAGAATAAAGTAAGGAGAATAATACAATATACTATGGTAAAACAAGATGCTACTCACATGGCTCTAATACAATGCCCCGCAGTTAAGGCCCACTGTTTATCTATGAGGACTGCACCGCAAAAGTAATTGGTACTGGTGTAATAACTTAATGACAATTGCCAAGGCCACCTTCCTAAAAACATAAACCTCACATTATACAAATTATATGGACATTATGCAGAGATTTCACCCAACACTTCAGTTGATGAGGATATCTACATTTAAATCAGAACTAACAAAACATAAATGTTGTAAAAACAAAAAAGTTAGTAAAAGAGCCTCATTATTTAATCCTTGACACTAGTACATTCTTAAGTATAAAACTCGTAATATATGCAGTATTTAAAATGTTCAGTATTTGAAAGTGACAGGTACCTGGCTTTGCATATCCACCCCCAATTATAAGAGGCACCAATGGGTTACTCTTCTCAGAGACTCCACAATGTGCCTTAGCGCAACTAAGATGAACAACCTGGTCATCAGGACAAGTATCTGCTACTTTAAACTTAGCAATCAGCTCTGTTGAGTCAGAACTTGAAGATATCTGGATGAACTTTGAAGTTGTGTAGAAGGAACCAGTCGTAGACGCAGCATTACTAAAAAGGTGATGACAATGGGTTGATGCTACTCATATTGATATATGTGATGATGTTAAATTATGAAAATGGGTTGATGCTACTCATATTGATATATGTGATGATGTTCCATTGTCAACATTAGTCAAATAACAATGTTTTAAGGTCTTCAAAAAGATTCTGTGAGGCAACTTTGGGTTATATTGTAGTCTTTTAATATTTAAAATTAATAGGATATTATTATTTCATTAAATTCCACGTTCAATGACAATATAACAATCAGTTATGACATCATAATTGAAGATTTCATCAGCTAATACATAATTCATACTTGGAAATGAATATGAAATTTTATCGGCATGCATTCAATTTAAATATTAAATCCATGATCTTTCAGAATTTCAACTCATATACAGGTATCAACACGCAATCACATATTAATAGCATCTTACCCTTGTCCCAGATATGTACATATTGCTTGGCTGTGCTCTGTTCCCCATGTATTAGAACAGACTGGCAGCCATGCTTGGTTCTTGTAAACCTCCACTCGCTTGTCTCCTTCTTGATTTATAATGTTCAGTCTCACTAAAACATACCAGAGTTTTCATTTAGGTTTATGTTTTAAAAGAATATCTATATTTCATTAGCACTGTACATCCCTCAAGCTGTAGATATTATATATAATATGATAGTATTACATGAACAGTGGAACACCTCTGTGAGTGATACAGCTTTGGTAGTGGAACACTTTAATCCTGTGTCCCATTATTTTAAAGTTACCTACCAAGTTAAACATCATTTAGAGGTGCCAATGGTGTAGCATATATACAGGTTTTACTGAATTTCCACTTGGACAATGCATTATTTGAATAATGCTTAAAAATTATTCAAAGTTATTTCTGTTAAATATGTTATGTTTCTATAGTTCAACATTGAACATGTATAGATCATATTTTGTTCAATGACTTTTCTTGCACACAGTACAATTAGAAACATGATCAATGTATTTTACCACGAAATAAACAAACCACATTTCTAAAGATTTTTTGTCATTTTATTTTTTTATTTTCATAGCCTAATGACATACTTTAAAATGAGAGCCATATTTTAATTGACCAAATAAAAATAAATATTCCATTGCGTCAGTATTATCTTTTCTAAGTACAAAACTATATCTAAAACCGTAATAATTTCAATAAACATGGTACACAGACAAGAATATTAATTGATCTAAATTTGTACTGTTTCCTGTTACTTGCTAAAAATAAATAACTCAGATATGATTGTGCAATTCTTTATATTTTGATTCTGTTTACACATACTGATTTGAATACAAGCAAACTGCAAAGTACAATTCTCACATTACAGTATATGGTTTTTCCAAAATAACATCAACATTTATTGATGAAATATATAGTCTTAATGATAGAAGAAATTCATTTTAATGAAACCCTTTCAAATGTTATAATATATATGCACAAATTAGAGTAGGTATTTTCATAGCTGCAGAAATTGGCAGGAAGTCTTCATAATGATGTAGTTTATGTCTATCTGTTTTCTTGTATTGTTTTTTCAATCCATTGTACAGCTTTAGCAACTTCTGTGAAGGCTGATGGATACCCATACTGGCTTATGCAAGTGGTCAGCGAGAAGGATGAAATTCCAGCTACAGTCCATTTGTTGTCATGTGACCTACACATTAGTGGGCCACCACTATCCCCCTGAAACAAAACAGTAATTTAATTACATGGACAACATACAACTTATGGATTATTGATTGATAAAGTAATTTGCCTCTTTTGATTTTTGGATAGAATATACAATATGATGATGTATGAACTTACACGGCAGGTGGAGATGTGCCCTGTGTCATAACCAGCACATAATAAATTGCGAGTATCAAGCCATCCTTCATATGCCCAGCTACAATTTGGCTGTATGACCATCTTAGCGTACCCTAAAATCTGTGCTCCAGGCCCTGTACAAATAAAAGTTTAATGATAAAAATACATTCATATCTGAAAATGGACATTATCTTCTTATTCTACAGTATTTGCACACATGAATAATGCTTTAATATATATTAATATTCTTGGCCTCTTACCATCATTTTATTTTTCCTATTATAATTATCAACTTCATTCATATTTTTTGAGTCTTAATTTCAAATGAAAAATACTCACCATGTGGTTTGGTATAACCGAAGCCAGACATGTAACACTCTAGGGAATCATCATCCCTAAAATCATGGTCCTTTGAAGGTAAGCATACTGGGCGAACATAATCTGTGATTCTGAACTTCCTTGCCAATCTGATCAAACCAATATCCATTGTTTGAGCAATTCCTGTCCTTGGTACATATACAGGGTGCATAAAAGAAAATTATTCAAAGTTATTTCTGTTAAATATGTTATGTCTCTATAGTTCAACATTGAACATGTATAGATCATATTTTGTTCAATGACTTTTCTTGCACACAGTACAATTAGAAACATGATCAATGTATTTTACCACGAAATAAACAAACCACATTTCTAAAGATTTTTTGTCATTTTATTTTTTTATTTTCATAGCCTAATGACATACTTTAAAATGAGAGCCATATTTTAATTGACCGAATAAAAATAAATATTCCATTGCGTCAGTATTATCTTTTCTAAGTACAAAACTATATCTAAAACCGTAATAATTTCAATAAACATGGTACACAGACAAGAATATTAATTGATCTAAATTTGTACTGTTTCCTGTTACTTGCTAAAAATAAATAACTCAGATATGATTGTGCAATTCTTTATATTTTGATTCTGTTTACACATACTGATTTGAATACAAGCAAACTGCAAAGTACAATTCTCACATTACAGTATATGGTTTTTCCAAAATAACATCAACATTTATTGATGAAATATATAGTCTTAATGATAGAAGAAATTCATTTTAATGAAACCCTTTCAAATGTTATAATATATATGCACAAATTAGAGTAGGTATTTTCATAGCTGCAGAAATTGGCAGGAAGTCTTCATAATGATGTAGTTTATGTCTATCTGTTTTCTTGTATTGTTTTTTCAATCCATTGTACAGCTTTAGCAACTTCTGTGAAGGCTGATGGATACCCATACTGGCTTATGCAAGTGGTCAGCGAGAAGGATGAAATTCCAGCTACAGTCCATTTGTTGTCATGTGACCTACACATTAGTGGGCCACCACTATCCCCCTGAAACAAAACAGTAATTTAATTACATGGACAACATACAACTTATGGAATAATTATTGATAAAGTAATTTGCCTCTTTTGATTTTTGGATAGAATATACAATATGATGATGTATGAACTTACACGGCAGGTGGAGATGTGCCCTGTGTCATAACCAGCACATAATAAATTGCGAGTATCAAGCCATCCTTCATATGCCCAGCTACAATTTGGCTGTATGACCATCTTAGCGTACCCTAAAATCTGTGCTCCAGGCCCTGTACAAATAAAAGTTTAATGATAAAAATACATTCATATCTGAAAATGGACATTATCTTCTTATTCTACAGTATTTGCACACATGAATAATGCTTTAATATATATTAATATTCTTGGCCTCTTACCATCATTTTATTTTTCCTATTATAATTATCAACTTCATTCATATTTTTTGAGTCTTAATTTCAAATGAAAAATACTCACCATGTGGTTTGGTATAACCGAAGCCAGACATGTAACACTCTAGGGAATCATCATCCCTAAAATCATGGTCCTTCGAAGGTAAGCATACTGGGCGAACATAATCTGTGATTCTGAACTTCCTTGCCAATCTGATCAAACCAATATCCATTGTTTGAGCAATTCCTGTCCTTGGTACATATACAGGGTGCATAAAAGAAGCAGAGACTGGTGACCATTGCCTTTTAGCACCCCTAACATGTGCACCAGCTAATATATATGTTCTTGATAATCTACCAAGTGACCTCCTGAAACAATTACAGTCTTTCAATACAATTTCAATTTGTTTCAATATTCATTATGTAAGAACTATGGCCAAACTTAGTTATGTGCTAATATCACATGTATTTCAGCACTAAGATTAAAGTAATGAGGGTGGGTAAAAAAGTGTCACAAAGTCAACATCAATTCCCAACACTGTTGGTGGTTTAAAAAATTCATTGGATTGAATTGTAAATAAAAAAGGGATGATTTATAATGATAACATGTTCATCATTAAATTGCTGTTCTTTTTGGAGTAGGCAATTATGAGACACTTACAAAACATCAATACAATGTCCTGCTGTAAGCACCCATTCCTCCGCAACCAGTACTCCACCACAAAAATGTGCAAACCCTAAATATGCTAGGCCGACTTGCCATGGCCAATCACCTTAAAAGTAAATTTACAATTTCCATTACTTATTTTTTAAAAACAAACATTATTACAGTATATCAATTTAATCACATATAAAACAATAACAACTTGATAATAATTAAAATAACAAATACTAATTGTCAATTTTTCCATTTTACAATGAAATGATAAATTTTATCAACCTGACTGAGCTTGATTCCCACCAACAATTAATGGCACCAATGGGTTGTTTTTACTTTTAGTGCCACATTCTGCCAAGTTGCAGGAAAGATGTACCACATATTTTCCTCTACAAGTTCTAGCAAACTGAAAGCATAACAATTCAAAACATCTATATGACATTGGACTTTCTCAAGAAAATGAGGAATAATTCTAAAATGTGATATGGTAGGCTACAATATTTCATATGTAATTCTTCCAGGCACATAATTCAGTTCATTAATTTTTTGTGGGGTGCAGCAATTTTATGGTTTCCAGGAGCTGTATTTTCTAAAAGTAACAAAAGTTCCATCATAGTTCAGAAGAGGCACTTACCTTTAAATCTGACATGTTACCAAAGCGTTCTTGGACAATTAGGTATCTAGGTGATGACTCGGATATTGAACTTGTTTTGTTCATTGTACCATATCCCAGCATGCTACACACATCACTGCTGTCCTCTTTATTCCAGTTGGAACTGCACACTGGGAGCCATCCTCCTTTGTATGCCTCTAGTCTACCCTGGCTCCTTTCAGCACCAATAAGTCTCACTAGAACATAATAAATGTCATGGAATTTTGCATACAGGGATCCTCTTCCTTACATATATTCAGTGATCCATTAATTTACTTGCAGTGTCTACAGTGACAAGTTACAACCCAGTTGTTTTTGCATATGTATGCAGCCACAATATTGCTTTGGTGTTAAGATTACCAATGCAGTTTATTCTATGCAACATCACAGATATACATGTAGGGGCCAATACAAATATTGCATAATGACGAGCTATATTTACAATTTACTTTTCTTTTGTAAAATAAAGCAATAAAAATGTTATCTGCAAAGCTTGAGACAACTTAAATGAAAGTTACCATAAGCCACATTTACATAAGTTATGCAATTTAATTATGTAAACTAAAAAGCTTACCTTTTTGTTAGATCAGCAAAATATTATAACAAGTCTCCAAGCTTCACATAGAGAAGTAAAAGTTATTGCAATTTCCCAGTTGAAGCATCCAGCAGCTGTAGTTGAAGCACCAATTGAAGTTTGGCAAAACTATTAAACATCTTCACATAAAATGCGGACACTTTTCCAAAATGAATCAATACCAATTGGTTGGTGAAAATAAAATAAGTGCATTATTTGACCCTCCGACTCTAGACTAGTTGCACTCCGCGCAGTTGTGATCACAAATATCAAATGCCAATGATTTTACCTAACTCAAGCATACTTCCCATGATACCAGAATTCACGAGTTTAGATTTATGCAAGTACAGCATTAGTTTATTCAATGGCTTAAAGCAAGTATCATATTATTTCATTAGTGAAATAACAATCACAATTTTAAATCAATTATTCTTTCTTTTGAAACTCAATGAAGAGTTTTTTGTTTTTGTAACAAACATGTTTTACGAACAGCATTGGATGTAAAAAAAATATATGGGTCTTGATGTACATTGTTCAGTATAGGTATAGTACCCAAGACAGGTTCGATGATACGGTCATGTTTTTACTCTATATTTGAAATGGAAAAACCATTCTTACTGAAGTTTTCAGGATTTATTTTGGAGACAATTTCCAGCATGGAAATTAAATATTTTATCAAAATTCCTATATTTAATACTCAAATGCTTTGCTTTTATAATACATGTAATGGTTAGAGGTGTCACGGATACCCAATTTTGTTCCGATCCGCGGAATTATGCCTTCGGAACGGAACATGGAAGAAATATTAAGAATTTCGGTTCAGTTCCGGAACAAGAACATTTTACCCTTTCACAACTTCTGGCCCTTGAATCTCCACAAAACAGCATTTTATTTTCAATATTTTGTATCAAAAGAGGTCCATTCTTTCTACTTCTTCTCTTTGAAGAGTTTTGAAGAGCTTTTCACTACCAAATAGACCTTGATGATCAAATTATTTTAATCTAATACACGCAGTGACTCTGTTCCGAACTGTTCCGAAATTGTTCCGTTCCGAGCAAAATGAACCGAACCGAACCGTTCCGATGTTTTTTGTTCCGTGATATCTCTAGTAATGGTATTTAAAACATTCAAAATCAGTCCATGTGTTGCCAATGTAGATGTCATTAGGAAGTTAGGTCATTTACACATTAAACAATTAAGAATAGCTTTCAGCATATAATACCATGCATCTTTGATAGTAAACTAATGTTACAAGACAATGCAAAATGTCACCACCTGCCATTTGTTACATATGCTGACTGCCAAAAACCATATGTTACAGAAGCCAACAACACTAAATACTGGCTAAATAACATAATAACAATATGTCATCACTTCTGGTGGTGACATAAAAAGTACAGGATGGTCAAAATATGGAAACCCTAACACTATTTTCCTCATATCTTTGTCATTTTAGGAAATAACTCCCTGATATTTTACACATAAGTACATCATTCATATTCCTAACAGCCTAATATTATATTTCATGACCATCAGATAATCACAATGTTACAGCACTTTAAAGAGCATGCCTCAGTGGCCACTATTGTGCTGTAAGGAAACCTGCACACGTTGTTCAAAATGTCCCTACCTGTGGGGATATGGCAGAGATAGAGTGTATGAGAATGACCTCAAGACAATTGCGAACCTCAAAAGTTATCCATGGTTATTCAGGCCATACCTGCTGAGGGATGCATTTGGGTCATTGACAACTGTGTAGGTTTGCCTACAGCGCGATGATGGCCAAAACTGAAGCATGTTATTCAAAGTGCTGTAAAATTGTGTCTATCCGTCTGATGGTCATAAAATGGTAGAAAAATGTATGATGTACAAATGTGTGAAATATCAGGGAGTAATTTTTTAAAATAACAAAGATACAAGCATGAGGAAAATGCAGAGTTTCCATTTTTTGACTACCCTGTACATACCCCTACATACAATGAAATCAATTAAATCCAAAAATAGAGTAAAACTTACCACATTCCTGTTCATCTGATTCGTCTTTGCATTGCTTGATGCCATCACACCTTCCAGCTTCTGCTATGCACTCATAATTCCTGCACTTGAACTTTCCACTCCCACACTGACCTAAAGTTAAGAATATGTGAAACATTACATTCATTAATTCCTATACTTGAATTCTCAACACTGACCTAAAGTAAAATACATTGAACTACACACTTGAATTCAGCACTCCCACACTGACCTAAAGTAAAATACATTGAACTACACACTTGAATTCAGCACTCCCACACTGAGCTAAAGTAAAATACATTGAACAACACACTTGAATTCAGCACTCCAACATCTAAAGTAAAGTACATTGAACTACACACTTGAATTCAGCACTCCAACACTGACCTAAAGTAAAGTACATTGAACTACACACTTGAATTCAGCACTCCCACACTGACCTAAAGTAAAGTACATTGAATTACACACTTGAATTCAGCACTCCCACACTGACCTAAAGTAAAATACATTGAACAACACACTTGAATTCAGCAATCCCACACTGACCTAAAGTAAAATACATTGAACTACACACTTTAATTCAGCACTCCCACACTGACCAAAAGTAAAGTACATTGAACTACACACTTTGAATTCAGCACTCCCACACTGACCAAAAGTAAAGTACATTGAACTACACACTTTGAATTCAGCACTCCCACACTGAGCTAAAGTAAAGTACATTGAACTACACACTTTGTATTCAGCACTCCCACAGTGACCTAAAGTAAAGTACATTGAACTACACACTTGAATTCAGCACTCCCACACTGACTAAAAATAAAGTACATTGAACTACACACTTTGAATTCAGCACTCCCACACTGACCAAAAGTAAAGTACATTGAACTACACACTTTGAATTCAGCACTCCCACACTGACCAAAAGTAGAGTACATTGAACTACACACTTTGAATTCAGCACTCCCACACTGACCAAAAGTAAAGTACATTGAACTACACACTTTGAATTCAGCACTCCCACACTGAGCTAAAGTAAAGTACATTGAACTACACACTTTGTATTCAGCACTCCCACAGTGACCTAAAGTAAAGTACATTGAATTACACACTTGAATTCAGCACTCCCACACTGACCTAAAGTAAAGTACATTGAACTACACACTTTGAATTCAGCACTCCTACACTGAGCTAAAGTAAAGTACATTGAACTACACACTTGAATTCAGCACTCCCACACTGAGCTAAAGTAAAGTACATTGAACTACACACTTTGAATTCAGCACTCCTACACTGAGCTAAAGTAAAGTACATTGAACTACACACTTTGAATTCAGCACTCCTACACTGAGCTAAAGTAAAGTACATTGAACTACACACTTCAATTCAGCACTTCCACACTGACCTAAAGTAAAGTACATTGAACTACACACTTGAATTCAGCAATCCCACATTGAACCACATTCATCATATATGTAAAATGGTGGCCATTTTGAATTAAACGACCATATTGGGAATTCATACAAGCAAAGGCTCTGATTGTCATGTCAATAAGACTATAAGATTTGAACTAAATACCAGGCCCGTAGCCAGGGGGGGGTCTCGCAGGGTTCGAGCGACAGGCAAACCCCTCCTGGCCAAAAATTCGTTCACAATCATGCAGTTTTTCACCATTTTGAGCACTTCTCAAGTGATTTTAGCCATATTTGGGACAAAATTGTCAAATGTGAACCCCCCTGGAAATTTTAGAAAACTGAACCGCCCTTGGCAAATCTTGGATACGGGCCTGAATACAGTACACAAGGTTTTAATATTATGTTATCACCCTTGACAAATACAGATTGATAAATGAATAACTTCTCCATATCCCTATTTAAACTTCAGTATTTGTACTGTACTGTAGAATAATAATAAAGTTCTTACCACATCCATTTTCATCTTCTCCACCAATACAATCCATCACACCATCACACCTGGACTGGTTCTGTATACATACACCATCTTTCCCACACTGGAACTCATCAGATCTACAGGCTACAATGATACAATAAACACATTAGAATATACAGGGTGTCCATATAAAGCCAATAACAATACATAGTCTTTTTGTAAAGTGTAAAGAGATTTTATTGGCACCCTGTACTGTACGAGTTAAAGAGAGAATCAGATACTAGTATAGCGAGCAGGCTAAACAAAAAATTGTTTTAATTTTAGAATATTTTTGGCTCTTGTCATTCCTTGTCATGTCTATTTTCTACAAATCACAAAAGTGCATACTTTATTCCAGGAAAACTAAAGATTTTTACAATAATGTATTATTGTTCTATAAGAATGGTTACTATTCTTATTATTTGGGAGAATTTAAACATTTTTCACCCATTTTTGCGCTTTGAATCATTAATAACTTCACCAATTTATAACATATTGTGAATCTTTTTGGAGATATTGTATTTGATATTGTAAGGAATAGATTGGTAGGTCAATTATACATGTTGCTTGAAATTTTGTCACCCCCTATAGATCAGATTCTACTACCTCCGATTTCCAATTTTTGAATAAAAATTTTATACTATACAATTTTGAGAAAATATTGAGATATTTGTATTTGGGCTTTTACAAGGCAAGTAAGCCCAAGGCTATTTGCCTAGGGTTTAATTTATCTAAATATTTCCACTATACAGAGGTCAATTCCTGGGGTCCTATTTGACACAAGATTTTACTCTCTGGTTGTGTGGTTTGCATGTCCACTGTGGTGTATTTTCAATGGACCAAAAACTCGGTTGTATTCCACCTAATAGTGTCTTTAATGTTTGTCAATGACTTTCGAAAAATATACGTGTATGTCATATGCTTACTCACTTCGAGAGCCATGTTAGATTTTGAAACTTATGGCTCTCAAACGGAGAAGTGAACAGCTGATCAATCGTGACCTTTGAAATCGAATTAAGTCGATCCGCGGCTTACTTTTGGTCTCTAACTGTGTCTTACATCAGTATCATCAATCCGTGTAAGTATTGGAGCGCTGGAGTACTTCTTTTTCGATCAAGACTTGTAAATTGTTCATCGAGTTAAAGTTTTACAGACCTATTTCCAATATGGCGGTTTGCTAGGTGCGAGATACGCAACGAACGAAATGAATTTTGAGAATTAGTTAGGTTCGGACAACCTCCGGAGATTTACGAAAATGTCCGAGCAGAAACCGCCATATTGGAATTTGGCAGTAAAACGATTCATTCGTCTAACAATTACAAGTCTTGATCGAAAAAGAAGTACTCCAGCGCTCCAATACTTACACGGATTGATGATACTGATGTAAGACACAGTTAGAGACCAAAAGTAAGCCGCGGATCGACTTAATTCGATTTCAAAGGTCACGATCATTGAGCTGTCCAAATGCTCCGTGGGAAAGCTATTATATCAAAATCCAAATAGCTTTCGCAGGAAGTAATCATATGCCTTTCTGTGTGACAATTTGAACTTTTGTAATTTAACCCCTAAACTGCTGGAGAAGATGATCTGATAGAACTGACTAAATAGTACAAAAGCCTACTTATGGCCACTTGAATTTTAGAACTGATTCTCTCATAGACTTTTAATAAGGTATTGTTATTACTTCTAAAATACAACTTACGACATCCAAATTCATCATCCATAAATGGACAGTCCCCGATGTGGTCACATTTCTTGTAAATTGGGATGCAGACATTACTATTGTTACACTTTGTCTCATTGAACAGGCAATCTAAAAATACAAGAATAATCATTCATGTTCGTTATTGTGCAATTGTACAATACATTTAAATATAAATTAGAATGCATACATTCTATAGTTTTACTTGAAAGGCCAGTTACCAATTGCAATGGAATCTACTGGTAATCACTGAAAACCACCATTTTACAAAAAAATCCAACATATCAAAGGAAAAACTACCAGATTTTAAAAAATTCTATGCAAAATTACAGCAAGTTTAAACAATCTACCACAATTTTCTATTTAGGTGCCAGGTCTGAGAATAAACCCTTTTGTAATGTTTACATATTTAGTTGCATTTATAAACTCATTTCAAGTTTACCATAATTATCAATGTTTGCCTAATGTCTTTGTTGCTGCTCTACACAAAGGATACAACTTTATAATATAGAAATCTGTTAATATGATGTTCATATTTACCCCAAAAACCTTCAAGATATATTCTATGTAAAATGATATCATGATTTATATGTTTTCCTTATTTACAGTTTAATCAGGAGTTTACAATTGATCAACATGTCACTAAATGTTAAACATGTGGTACAATACAAATCAGAACTTTTCATTTTCAAATTTCCCTCCAATACAATTTCAAAACTATTTCCCACGATGTCCTTCTCCCACAATGCAATAGGTGAAGTCATATAAACAGGAAGTGCTAGTAGAAATGCAACAACACAGGTGAGTAATGTACTTTACCATGTACTGAAACAAGGTATTACAATGACAAAATGTCACCAACTAGTTGCTCACAATATTATTAGTTCAATCTTACTTCTTCAAGACACATCACTTTTTGGAAAAATGAAAATAAAATAAATAAAAATCTATAGATAGTCTGTATAAATGAATCTAGAAGGTGGGTATAGAACTTAGAAGCAAGAAAAGGAAGCAAGACACAATAAGTTATATATCATTTTCAAGGGCTAGACCCATATTTTATGTTTTGTTGGAAAAAATGCAACTACAAATATGCAAATGAGATAAGGTTTTATTTTTTATTCTGGGAAGCAGTTCATATAACGAAATGATGTGATGTAACCATGTAAAAAATTCAAAACAAAAAGGAATAAAGAAAAAATAAAGAAAAAATGCCAGGGAGAAGTCTCATTAGAATATCTTTAAACCCTGCTTCAGTAAACTTGATTTTTTATTTTCAAGGACAATCAACTTTATTCAATGTGGTAGATTTTTTTACGGTGGTTTTTACGGGAAAAAATGGTAAATTTTTTACGGTAGGTTGTCATTTTTTACGGAAAAGCAAAAAATTTACTGTAGATTCCTGTTAAAATATGGTAGGTTGGCAGGTATGTATATGATGACCATTTTGGATCTGGTGGCCATTTTGAAAATCAACTTTTCAGCAGAACAATGCAATTGTATTCATATGGGGCAGATACATGAAAAATATAAACGATATTACATGTACTAGGCCAACAGTATTGAAGTTTTTGCCCTGACAGACATATGCTAGGATGGAAGTGTTCTCTATATTCCCCCAAACTTTGTTCTTTGGGATAAATAGTAAGATCAAATCTTAGGATCTCAGGACTTCATCACACAACATCATGAACTATAGAGACCCTTTGCAGCTTTATGTCAAGTTGCATTTATAAACTTGGTACTTCATTTCAAGTCTACCATAAGTATTAATGCTACAAACACAAAGGAACGCCACTTTATAATGTAGTAATCTGAAAATATAAAGATTTTTCATTCACCAAAGGACTAAACCAATTATACATGATTGTTATGTTGAAATGATACCATGATTAAGTTTTTCTTCATTTACATAAAGGTTAACATAAAGATGAACATGTTATATTTGTGTACAATACAAAACAGAACTTTACACATTCAAATTTCCCTCCAAAACAATTTCAAAACTATTTCCCATGATGCACTTCTCCCACAATGCAACAGTTTATTGATGAAGCCAAAACAGGAAGTGCTATAGTAGACACATTGTAAGTATTGTAGCTATGTATTCTGCCTTATTTTGACACTACTTAATTTGACAGATTTGCTCAATTTCAAATATTGATGGCTATTTAATTTGGCAGATTCAGGACAGAAGTTTAATTTTTGTATGTTATGTCATTAGGACAGTTGTTAGGTATACAGCTGGAAAATAACATTTTGGTAAAAAATTGCTGTGCAGATATATAATAATAAAGGGTGCGTTTTCAAACTAAACAGAGTGCTCCTACCAAAATGAATTTGTCTACATACCCCTGAGCCTCTTATCTAATAGATAGAATGCACAAATAAAGTGTTTGTGTAAAAAAACCATCATGATAAACCATGGCATCTTATTTCTTCTCAGCCCTGAGATGTTTCAGGTGAAGCAGAAAGATGCTATGAGTATCAGAATGTAAAAAAATGGGTAACCGGGTAGCCGGGTACCCTACCTTCCTACCAGGGTTAGGAATTTGATTTTTTCATTTTATGCCTCAAAACGCCCAACTGACATCACAATCAACGTACCAGTGACACAACCAATCAAGCAAACAGCCAAACAATTGCAACAAAATTTATTTACCAATAAATCAACTGGCAAAATGACAAACAAAATTAATATAATGTCAATCAGTGAGGCAATAAATCAAGCAACTAACATTGTATTGTACATCGTACACTAATGAACAGATAAAAACGGCAAATAACGTTTCAATTAATGTGTACATAAATTTTCCAGATTTGCTTAATACATGTATCTAGAAGAAATTGCCATCATATATAGAAAACAATCATCGGTATCCTGTCAATCACTCAGACAATAAATCAAGCAACTAACGTCATCGTACGTGTAAACTATGTAAATAACTACCTAGGACTTCCGAAATTAAGTCTCTTACAGGTTCTTGGTAAAATGATAACGTAAAGATATTGAAGGTAGTCTACAAATGTGCAACTTTGAAAGTTGGTAACCCTGCAAGGAACGTTAAGTACCCTGCCACCCGGTCACCCAGTTTTTTAAACAAACCCCACACAAATAAAATTAAAAAAAAGTTTTGCTATATTATAGGTGAAAAGTTCTCTTCAAAATTCGAAGTGATTTTACCATTAAACATTAGGTTAGTGGATACATTATATTCTCAGCTTAATAAACTGAGAGTGAAGTCTTAGATGGACTTTAAGGGAAAAAATACCAATGAAATCTCCACATAAATTAGCAGTACTGTCAACCCCTAAAGATTTTCTCGCGGGACAGATTTTTTAGACCCAGTGCCCAAAATTCGCGGGATTTTGCGGGACATCTACTAAATTCGCGGGATTTTGCGGGACATTTAAGGGATTTGCGTGATTGCGCTAATAGGAGATTTTTTTTATCGAATTCGCGGGATTTCGCGGGACCATTCGAGGGACAAACACCCTAATTGCGGGACAGTTAACAGGTGTACCACCAAAAACTTCATAGAGGGACAGATTTTTTAGACAAAGTGCCCTAAATTTGCGGGATTTCGCGGGACATCCACCTAAATTTGCAGGATGTCCCGGGACATTCAAGGGATTTGCGTGATTGGGACTAATGTAAAAGCGTGTAGAAGTACTTAAATCAAACTTTCAGATACCGATTAATCAAATATAATGCACCGTTACATTGTAACTTAAATAAACGTCAACACAATTTCAAAAAATACGCATAGGAATATTATTAAACTTTATTGTAATTTATCAAAAACAAAAACCATGCTTCAGGTGTGATTACCGTAATCTAACACGAAATTCAAAAATTCGGAACAATACTTTGCACTTCTGGCGTCGTGACCAACTATGAAACGCTTACCCCCATAATGTTATATATTAAAATGTACCTATTCATATACTGTAGGCATGGGCTTTCAATTGAAAGGCCATGAAATAGGGGTTCGATTAATCTACATCAAATTATAGGGAATGAGGTTAATTTTCTAGATAGGGTTTGTATAAAAATCGGGTACCGGGTAGTAAATCCTCCATGCTGGGTTCAAACTTGGTACCCGGTCAAAAAAACCAAAAAACGGAATATACGAATACACAACATAATTAGATCATTAGAAAACGTGTAAGATTTGTTTTGAATTTACAAAAATGTATGTAACTTCCTTCAAAATTGAGCTAGAAGCTTCAAATAAAAAGCATTTTAAGGCTCTTTTCTTCCTCTATCATCTTGGTCATATTTCCATTGGTAATGAAGGGGGGGGGGTGCGATCGCACCCCCTCCTGGCTACGCCAATGACATTGTAAGACGATTTGAAAAACAAGACAAATCAATCTTACTCTATTTTCAATAGTTCGTATGTTGGTACGTGAATTGTTATGATTATGATTTAAATCTGTAAATAGCTATCGTTGCTTTAGCAGAGAGGTGGCGTGTGTTAATTTGCATGATGCAACGTGTAAGATTTTGATTATTAATCATAATTTAAGTTATCCCAATTTATGACAAAATGTCCACTGAATTGTAAATTGTTATGTCTTACAATGTCATAGGCATAGCCAGGAGAGGGTGCGATGGTGCGATCGCACCCCCCCCCCATAACCAATGAAAATATGGCCATAACGATAGAGGAAGAAAAGTGCCTTAAAATATGCTTTTTATTTGAAGCTTCTAGCTCAATTTTGAATCATGTTACATACATTTTTGCAAATTCAAAACAAATCTTACACGTTTTCTCATAATCTAATTATGTTATATATTCGTATTTTTCGTTTTTTGGGTACCCGTTTTTTTTGACCGGGTACTGGGTACCAAGTTTGAACCCAGCATGGAGGATTTACTACCCGGTACCCGGTTTTTTATACAAACCCTTTCTAGATATCAGCGTACATTTATTGTAACTCACGTTTGCTAACATTTGCTCAGTTCTGAGATGAAGGCCACACGGGTAGTAAAAAGGCCAACGTTGGAACTATTTGTGACCTACATCCCTATTTTCGTAATTAAAATGAAAGTTGAACCCTTCCCCTTTATTTTGATACAACAGCATGCTAGGTACTTAAAATTAGGTAAACTTTACTCCTCAAAAGTGCAAAAACTTAGCTTCTTATATAAGATGAAGATAATCAAAATATAGGGGATTGCAACAATTTCGGAAATTCGCGGAGGTCAAAGCCACATTTTGCGGGACTTCGCGGGACAATGCGGGACACGCGAATTAGCCTAATTTTGATCAAATTCGCGGGATAATCCCGCCATTTGCGGGACACTTGACAGCTCTGAATTAGACAGGCCATTGAGTTCAACTAATTTCCAGAAATTCCTTTCTATACATTGCAAAGAGTTAATCAACATGACTATTAACATGAAATATCAAACATATGTTTATAGCTTTGGCTGTAGGTCACATCTCATTGCAGGTAATTTAGCTGTAGGTCGCATCTCATTTATGGTAGACATTTTCTGAATAACATCTTATAATTATGCAGTAATGTACATTTACACAATTTTTTATGAACATCGGATAATAATGTATGCCTACACATGTGTGTCTGACTAGATCTGTATGTTGCTACAGTATATACATGTAAAGTGGTAAGAACTGATACTCTTAATCTTTAATGAAAATATGAGGAAAATACTTTTCCATTGATTGAATGCATGGAACCTATGTGAACATTTTAATTTATCATGAGGTTTATTATGTTCCCTGTATTGCAATTAGGGACCTGAGCCAGAATGAATTCATATCTATCTCCTGAACACTATACACCAATTCACTCACTAGATCATATTCTACTCACATTCGAAAATAGCGTTCAATTCTCCAAATGCTAAACACTATATACTCTGTGTAGAAATTATTTATATTCTATTAATCTTTTCACAACCAAATATATATAAAACAAATTAATATCTGTCTCATATTTTCCACAATTTTACATTTCTGGTTTCAAGTAATTAATTATTTGATTATTAACTCCATTATCTTATGGATTTAGAACTGGTGCGGATATCATGTGAACACAGTGTGTGGATATAACCTATTGAATCCAAGGCTCTAAAATCAGTTGAAACCAGAGATTTTTTCATTTTTGCCACCTTTTGACATTATACCTACATACCTATACAACTTCAGATGCTCAACTTAGTAAAATTAGATGGCAGAGATCATATCTACACATTTAAAACAATTTTTGTGTAAATTGGATGAAAATTGTTCAAATAAGAGCAATTTTAGTGAAAAATTTTGTGACGGATTTTCTTGTCACTCTTGGTTTCAAGGTGTCTAAGGTGACGAGAAATCTCGTCACTCCAGGTAGTCAAGAGGTTAATGGTCATTTTTGAATTTAAAATTTGATACTTCATAAACCTTAGTTTAGTTGGCTAATAAGTTATGTTAAAAACATTTTTTGTTTGACAATTTGTTTGGCACTTTGCTAAACATAACATAACTTATTTGTTAACTTACAATGTCCTATTGACATCAATTGACAAATCATTCTATCAACCCTACCTAATACAAAAGCCTTTAGTCTACTAAATGATATGGTTATAGATAATTACCACAGCAAACCTTCCCTTTAACTTGATTTGCATGTAGTTCAACCAAGGGCAGTGAGAAATATCAAATAACTATAGTTTAAAAAGTTTAAAATATTTTATTTCTGTGTCACAGGTTTAAAAACTACATTCAATACTCGTATCATATAATAAATACTTTTTTTTTAAAAAACCACCAGCCGGCATCGGCTTAGGAGACACCATTAAATGTATATCTAATTGTAATTGAGTATTGACTAGAGTAAGTTGACTTAATAGAGCACTGTAGATAGAGTAGTATTCAAGTGCTGCCATCTTTAAATGCTTTGACAAATATTTTCTATTAATGGCCATTATCACAATAAATGAATATGCATGCAAACATAAACAAACTGTATTGATACAATAAATTTTGCAGTCAAATGCTGGAAAATGACTATAACAGATTGGGGACACACACCTGCTGCCCAGTTATATCTTTAATTCTAAAAAGTATCAGTTTTAACCAAGTCTGGACTTCACAAATGTAACTCCTATAATCTGCCATAGTCAAATTGCCTTTTTGAATACATATTATGAATAAGAGCTGCTAGAGGTTTTTGAATCTTCTTGGCAAGCATTAGGCTAACAAATGTCAAAAGTGAATTTGCATTATTCAAGTCTATACATGGCAATTGCTCTTGCACAATCTCTCTATAGAAGGTATCCCTTAGGAGCTTATAGTGTGGACATTTTATCAGAAAATGAATTTCATTCTCAACTTCATCCAAATCACAGAGTTTGCAAGTTCTCTGGTCCAGAGGAGTACCATCATATCTACCAGTTTCTATACGGAGTTGCAGCGTCCCAGTTCTCAGTTTAGCCAATGCACTTCGATGGTGTCTTGGGATGAACAAGTTACATAACTTTCTGCTACTACTCCATACTTAAATTGCCTGAAAGTTCTTAATTTATTACCGTTCACTTCATTGTTTTTGTCATTCCAAATGTTTTTTAGAAAGGGATCTTGAGATTGTTGATAAAGCTTGACCTCTTCTAAAATAGCTTTAGCATTTAAGTTTTCCATTTGAGTTATATTCCCTTGGCCTGATGCCTCTAAGAACCTGTAGACTCTGTAGTCCCAACTATTTTTACATCTTAAGGACCAATGATGTATTTTTGAGTTTACCCTATCTTTGTCCAAATTTTGCAGGCGTATAAAAAGATGTGCACTCTCTATCTATAGTCATGGATAGGAGAATTATTATTCTAAAAGTACCATAGTGTTTAATATTACAAATTTAACAAATCAATAATCTGAAAAGATTCTGACCATGTCATAGCCCTTTACAATTAATGAAACATTAGTACTATTTTTTTGCTCATGCTTTTCTTTATCTCAAAATTGAATAAATTGAAAATGAATAAAATTTTAGAATGGTTCAGGACCTTGTCAAAAACATCATATGTGGAAACTAGTTCTAAAATACTAATGGCACAGGTTTAATTCTTTATTGAATGATCAATAAATCTGAACAACAGTAAATTAGTTGTACATCTAATCTCAAGGGCCTAAATTACATTAGTTTAGAGAATAAATGACGAATAAAATGCATGATGGGGATCCTGGAGGGTAAATACCTATTCGGTGGATTGTAAAAATGCTAAACATTTTATCAAATGAGATGTTATGTTTGGCAAAGGCGCCTAGCAATTATTTGTGAATTGTAAAAAGTGCTAAATATTTTATCATTAATGATATGTTCTGCTTAACAAAAGTGCCAACATCTATCAAACAATTCCTTTATGTATGGTTTCTGACATTGCACAACATGTCAAACATGATGAACCACTCTATGACTTGTTCACAATAATGAAAGTATTATGCTTACATTTTATCATCTTGAATTTTTTTTATCCTTGGATGAGTTTGAATAACTGAATAGGCCTAGACAAGATAATTCGATAGCTCCCTCCTTTGACATCAGACAGAGACTTTTATACCCCTTGAGGGAATTATATGGCCACATAAAATTCCACACATCTCATCTCTCAAATTACTGACCAACAGAAAAACAGGACAATGAGTGGAAGAACTAAAAATAGATGTGCAGTTTGAAAAGTAATCAAATAACAAAAGGCCATTTTGTAACACTATTTTCAAAACCATTGTAGCTATTATCGCTTAATATTTTAGGGTACCACCTGTTACACTGTCAAAGAAGCTTTCTTGAGATTTAACTTACTATTTTTGCTGAATTTTCTTGTCTACTGCCTTTTTACCAACGAAATTTTTCTAACAAAAATGGTTACAGTGGCACAAAATTCCTTCATTACAAAGCTTTCCGTCAAACTGACGCTTCATAAACACAATTAAAATATGATGTCTGACAAACTAATATTAAAGGTAATCTTCAGAAAGAGTATTACAGGGTACTGTTAAAAACCCTGTTATAATTGTGTTAGCAAGCATAAAAATGTCACATGCAAAAAAGTATGAGAAGTTATTTTTTATCACACATCTGTTTATTGTTTGTTCACTTCACATGTTTCTTTCAGATCAATATTGACAAATTTTCTATAGCTGTCCCAATAACATTTGTTAAACCATTTTTAGTAGATTTTTGAATGCATTTTATATACTTTGAAGTGAATAACAAATCACATGTTATTTCAGCACCATGGATGTTGAAGACATACATGTAGCAGCACAAACAAGGAATGAACTACAATCTGTTCTCATGCATAAAACCACTGAACAGGATAAAGATGAGCACAACCTTACACCTACAACAACACCTGAACCAGTGACTCTAATCAGCAATGGGAAAGTTCCATATGTATCTCTTGATCGTATTGAGGCCTTGGACAAAATAGCAAAGTACAATGCAAAATCAGGAGGAAATATATTCACCATACACTTATCAAATATAAAGTTTGATACTTTTACTAAAGGAAGACCAACAAATGAACCCTGTGACAACTCATTAACGGAGAGTTACATAATAGATGAAACATACAAACCCTGCATGATCATGAAAGAAGAGAGTGGTACCTCATTTATCAAACATGTTAAAAGTGAACCACATTCAGCAGATATATTCTCAAATACTACAAGTGAGACATGCGGTATTGAATGTCAGTCAAAAAACAGAAATCCTAATAAGGAGAACATTAGTGAAATAAATGCAATTAAGAATGACCTGTTTGTGGATTACAGCATTAAAGGAGTAAAAGGTGATCTGCTAACTGGTGAAAAGACTAAAGCCAAAACAGACAATAAGACATCCATCACTACAAATATTCCATACATTCCAATATGTATCCAAGAAGAAGACAAAAGTGACATCAACCTCAAAGATGTATGTACAAGCAGTATTGACAAAACAGACTATCAGACATCTGATGATACAAACATTCCTGACAGAATGGGTGACATTCCAATATGTATCAAAGAAGAGGAAGACAAAAGTGACATCAACCTGAAAGATGGAAATGAAATCATTTTTGACAAAACAGACAGTCAGACATCCGATGCAACAAACATTTCAGATTTAATGAGTTATAGCCCAATGTTTATCAGTGAAGAGGAAGATAATTGTAACATCAACCTGAAAGATGGAAATGAAATCATTTTTGACAAAACAGACAGTCAGACATCCGATGCAACAAACATTTCAGATTTAATGAGTTATAGCCCAATGTTTATCAGTGAAGAGGAAGATAATTGTAACATCAACCTGAAAGATGGAAATGCAATCAATTTTGACAAAACAGACAGTCAGACATCCGATGCAACAAACATTTCAGATTTAATGAGTTATAGCCCAATGTTTATCAGTGAAGAGGAAGATAATTGTAACATCAACCTGAAAAATGGAATTGAAATCATTTGTGACATAACAGACAGTCAGACATCCGATGCAACAAACATTTCAGACTTAATGAGTTCCGACTCAATGTATATCAAAAAAGAGAAATTTAATGGTAACATCAACCTCAAAGATGTAACCACAAACAGTACTGACAAAACAAAAATTCAGACATCTTACACTTCAAACATTCCAGACTCAGTGGGTGACATTCCAATATGTATCAAAGAAGAGGAAAACAATAGTAATTTCAACCTCAAAGATCTTACTGCAAAAACAGACTACCAGATACCCAAAGCTAGTAACATTCCAAACTCAATTAAAGACATTCAAATGTGTATTAAGTATGATGAAGATAGTAGCACAAACCTCGAAGATCTAAATGAAATCAGTGTTGATCTCAAAGAAGAGAAGTATAATGATAACATCAACCTTAAAGATGTAACTACAAGTAGTTTAGACAAAACAAACAGTCAGACAACCAATACCACAAACATTTCAGACTTACTGAGTTACGACTCAATGTGTATCAAAGAAGAGAAATATAATAGTAACATCAACCTCAAAGATGTAACTACGAGTAGTATAGACAAAACAAACAGTCAGACAACGTATACAACGAACATTCCAGACTTACTGAGTTACGACTCAATGTGTATCAAAGAAGAGAAATATAATAGTAACATCAACCTCAAAGATGTAACTACAAGTACTATAGACAAAACAAACAGTCAGACAACCAACACCACGAACATTTCAGACTTACTGAGTTACAACTCAATGTGTATCAAAGAAGAGAAATATAATAGTAACATCAACCTCAAAGATGTAACTTCAAGTAGTATAGACAAAACAAACAGTCAGACAACCTATACTACGAACATTCCAGACTTAATGAGTTGCGACTCAATATGTATCAAAGAAGAGAAATATAATAGTAACATCAACCTCAAAGATGTAACTACAAGTAGTATAGACAAAACAAACAGTCAGACAACCTATACTACGAACATTCCAGACTTAATGAGTTGCGACTCAATATGTATCAAAGAAGAGAAATATAATAGTAACATCAACCTCAAAGATGTAACTACAAGTAGTATAGACAAAACAAACAGTCAGACAACCTATACTACGAACATTCCAGACTTAATGAGTTGCGACTCAATATGTATCAAAGAAGAGAAATATAATGGTAACATCAACCTCAAAGATGTAACTGGAATTAATATAGATGAAACAGATAGTCAGACATATGAAACTTTGCACATTCCAAACTCAATGACTGACATTCAAATATGTATTGAAAATGTTGAAGATAGTAACAATACAAACCTCAAAGATCTAACTGAAATCAAGCCAGGTGGCTTTGAAAGGAAATGGAAAGATGAATCATGTAATTCAAACCAGATGATCCTTAGGCATGAAGCACATCATGTAGATAAAACAAAAGAAAACAACACTCATGGTGACATTGATGGTGCAGCAAATAAACTTGATGACAATACTGCTCAGACCCTCCAATACACTTGCCTCATATGTGCAAAAGCATTCAACAGAGATCAGAAACTAAAAGCTCACATAAAAATGGTACATTGTCAAGACACAAAACATGATGATGATGATGATGATGATAAAAGTCTTAGTGATAGTGACAATGATGATGATAACAATGATGATGATTATTATGACACTTCAACAGACACATCTGAAGATGAGTATGAACTGGAACATGAAATGCAAAATATTCATGTTAATAGTGAGTTGAAAAGAATGGGTCTGAATTTTACCAAGCAAAAGAGACAGTGTTTTGAAACAGAAAGTGTTCAGTTAAATGAAAGAGAACTAACACAAATATTACCATCAAATACAACAAATCAAGCTAAACATGAAGAAATCAAATGGATTGAGCTTGTTAGAACTCAATCGAGACAACAGACACAAGGAGTCACCGTTGAATATCCTCATTTACTCGATCACAGTTACATGTTAAAAACAAAACAGCCTTTGACTAATAATGCTACTAAAAACAATCATGTTGAAACAAAAACAAAAAGCGACAAATGTGAATTGTTGAAGACCACAGTTGATGTTTGCATAAAGAAGGAATATGAAGATCCAAATGGCAAAAATACAATTGATAAAGATAAGATGGAAGTTCAAAGTAATAAAATCAAAACCCTACCATATACTAGTCTCATGATACATTTTGGTATTTTAGCCAAAACTGTTGGAGATTCGCTGTGTAAACATATTACGAATGAATATAAAACAAACACATTAACGCACAACACAAACAATCATAAACCCAATACAAATATCAAAGTGGGAGAACAGAGACATAAGCCTCAGTCAGCAACTGATAAACATGTCCACCAGCATCCATATTTACAAAATCGCAATATATTGCAGCTTATTGAGAAGTGTAGTTCAAAAGAAGCAAAGCCAGATGGGTCATATTCATTGAAATGTGGTACATGTTTTCGAGTTTTCAAGTCAAATGATCAATTCTTAAGTCACCTACATGGTGATTTGAAGCTTATCTTTGACTGTGCAGTAGAGGAGGAAAAGATTGAAAAAGAAGGAAACAAATTAGATACCCTAACATGTGAGTTTTGTAAAAAGAAGAAATATCTTACTACTAAAACACTTAAATACCACGAGTCCCATTGCAAAGAAAATAAAACGGTGTGCAATAATTGTCATGATTTTACAAGCAATGATGAAACAATGCTCAAGGAACATACCAACACATGCTCTTTGAAAACTTATCCATGCCAGGGCTGTAATAAGAAATTCAATTATTTCGCTGACTATAAATACCATAGAAAATGGTGTGAACCAAGACATTGTTGTCCTTTCTGCAAATCGGATCTGTGTGAAGGCAAGATAGGAAAGGATTTTGAAAAATGTGCTATCATGCATTTCAAATATACAAACAAATGCCCAGTTTGTGATAAGAACATATGTGAAAATCTTAAATACAGTCATGTGAAAGATTGTTTAAGAATCTGCAGGGAGAGGACAATGAGAGAAAATAAGTTATTTTCTATATTGTGTGAATTATGTGGAAAACTATTTAAACATAAGGAAACATCAAAGCACAAAAAAGTATGTCGCGTAAAAGATAGATATAACAGGCACTTATCAAATGTTCATGGAATTGGTGACTACCTTTGCGATAAATGTGACAGAATCTTCATGGATCAAAAAGGTTAGTAACTTTAATCATACAGGTCATAAATCATAATCATAAAAGTTTATTCAAAAAGAGATTCTTTGTGTCCATTACATTGTTTTAAAAGAATGTGGCTTCCGTTTTCTATGTTCTTTTCATTTTTGAGATTCTGGCTGCCTACTAGCCAAAGTGTCATTTTAGTCGTATATTGAATATGAACAAAATCACTCTATTACTTTTTGAGTTATTGTAACAAAGAAAAGTAAAATAGAACACGTAGAAATGGTGGCAATTTTCAAAATGGCTGACTTCTAGCAAAGGTGTTCTAAAACAGTGTGCCATGCTTATGAGTATTCACATATCAAATTTGATCAAAATTGCTCTATCACTGTTTGAGTTATAGTAAAAATGTAAATAACACACTTGAAAATGGTGGCCATTTTAAAAAATGTCCGCCTTCTAGCAAAAGTGTCATAAAACAGTGTGACATGCTAATGAGTATCCACACACTCAAATATGAACAATCCACTACTTTTCAAGTTACAGCAAAAATTGTAAAATAGTGTGTAAAAGCCGTCTTTTTTCAAGATGGCTGCTATGTCTTTTTTAAATATCTACATGCCTAGCTTTATTAATGTCCAATATAACTTTTTTACATTTGAAACAAATTGCTATTCCAATTTTATATACATATGTATATTCTCCATAAATTACTGAAAAATCAACACTAAGACAATTTTCAAAATTTCACAATTTTTAAAATCAATTTTCGAGCAGAACTTCTACCCCCATAGGGCACATGTGTACAAAATATGAAAAAATTGGGTCAATGGTATTTGAGTTATCTTTCGGTTGGATGCATGGATGGACAGGCGGAGGTATTTCCTATATCCGACGGATGGATGGACAGACAGAGGCGTTTTCTATACCTGACGGATGGATGGACAGGTGGAGGCGTTCCTATATCCGACGGATGGATGGACAGACGGAGGCGTTTCCTATATCCCTCCGAACTTTGTTAAATGTTATAAAAATGAGAAGCTTTCCACCAAACTGACAAAAATGTCATACCTTTTTTTAGGCACGATAAAAGACCTTTGAATAACAAGGTATTTATTCTTTATGTTTCAGAATTGGAAAGTCATTATTACAAGACTCACAGTGGAGTGAAACCACACCAATGTGAAGTCTGTGGGAAGAAATTCAGAGTGAAAAGCTTGTTCAAACAACACATGGCATTTCACACAAATGAACGGAAACACGTATGCGAGACTTGTGGAGCATCCTTTAATTGCCCTACTGCACTGTTGAGACATATCGTTATTCATACTGGTAAATACTCTTTATAATTTTTTTTATTTAATTAAATCAGTTTTTTATATTTTATTATCCATTCACTCATTGCATTGCATTGCAGTTTTTCTGAAAATGTCAAATAAAAATCAGGGTGATTACTTTAACAAGCAGGCCAATAAAATGAGCCCCTCTAAGTAATTACTACAATTTCTGAGAAAAAATACTCACTTTAGTAATATCCAGTTGACCATTTTCTATACAGATATATAGAAAAGGATTAATAGATGGCAGTGTGAGAGTTGGTAGTGCTAGAATACCATTACCAGATTTTCTCGCATATAAGCCCTGGGCGTATAACTGAAAGAAGGGGTAATTTCGTCTGTTATTTTACCTCTTATTTTTCGCCCATGGGCGTATAAGTGTACTACTTTCGATTTTTGGCCCAGTGGGCGTAAAAGTGAGAAGAGCTGATGAATACAATGGACTACCGTACCTACTGTTGTAGTCCTACCCCATGTTTTGCAAGAATTATAAAGGAAATGTCACCTACAACCTTGGACTTAATGTTGAAACAAAGTAACAACAGAACGATCCACCACTGCCACTTACGGCACAGGGTTGAACTTAATGTTGAAACAAAGTAACTACAGAACGATCTGCCAGTGACAAAATACTCTTGAATTTATTGAAAAAATCAATAAATAGTCATTTTTTATAGGCCCATTCGATTTTTGGCCCATGGGCCTAAATTTAGGGGGGCGTATATGCGAGAAAATCCGGTACAATTTTACAGTGCATCCCAAAAATACGCAACAAGCAACATTGCAAAACCACAAAATCAGTGAAGATTACATCAATTTCATTTAATCTACCATGAAACCATGTGTCTTCTCTTTCCAATGGTATGTCATTTGTGCATATCTGATAATGACCAATAAATAATCTTTTTTTTCGCACATGGGTGAAAATGTCTTTGTGCCAAGTTTTGAAATATCCTCGGTCAATTGATTGTATTGTGCAATCAGGTAAATCATTATGTAATTGGGACTGCGGATTAAATTCTGGTCAAAAGAGTTACATAACACAAGTTTCAGATTTATATTGCCGACAATGTTGAAAAACGTAGGCAATAATATTGTAATGTATTTTATGTTATATTTGGAATAAATGAGAAATGAAAAAAAAAAAAAAGTTTCAGATTTAGATTAACCAAGAAAAAAGATTAAACTTTAACTTTTCATTAGTATCCTTGATGGTTCAGTTAACGTTACAAACATGGAAAAAGAAGTGGCATAAACAGTTAAGTCAGTAAAGTCACAATCATTGCCGGTGTCTGTCATCTTATGAAAGATAACTCGTGAAAGATTACATTCTATGCCCCTTCACATGGCCACCATTTCTCTACACAGAGAGATTGGCTCGTCTCTCCATGTCATGAATACCTCTTTGAATCATCTGTGGGTTCTGGCGGAGAGCAGCAACCTCATTGGTGATTCTCTATTAACTGTTGTAATGTCTAAAACTTGGTCCAGAGCAGATTTTGGCGTGTTGTACAAAAGTAATGATTATTCAGTGATCTGTGGTCATATATGAATAAATGACATACCATTGGAAAGAAGAGACATGTGGTAAAATAAATGAAATTGATGTAATCATACACTGGTTTTGTGGTTTTACAATGTTTTTGCTTGTTGCAGAAAGTCACTTAATCCCTTGATTTTCAAATATTTCAATTTGGATTCATATGCAAGTCCATTGGAATGTGACCATGTGATCTTGTTGACATGTGGATTTTGACTTAAAGGGGCATGAAGGACTATAGAGAGAAAATTCAAAAGATTTTATTTTTTCTGAGCTATCAGGTCAATATTTGGCTTAAAATCGTCTTTGACATACCTATTTTCTTACAATGTATGGAATTGGATAAACTATAAATTTCAGCATTTAAGAAGTGTAAATCCAATTCAAAGCTTCTATAAAGGGATTCCCACTTATAGATTTTTAAGATCCACCACATTTCAAGAGGAATATAAGCTGAAATAATATTCATCCAGGGGGTTTCTTTGTAGAAAATAAAAATATATGTTAGTCTTGATGAAATCATCCAAACTAAAGTATATTTTGACACTGACTGGTCAATGATTGTTGAATGGCCCCCCCCCTGCACTAATTGTTGCACCTTTAACTTTAAAATTGTGACCCTTGAAGGATCAGATGGATATCTAAAGCATTTGCAACATTGTGTCAATGGGGATTTAGACTCAGAAAACTTGAAAATCCTAGAATTTTGAATAAAGGTAAATAACAGTGCAAATCAAAGTTGTTTTGATACCTAGAATTCAAATATGCCATCAAATAGAAGAAAATGTTGGTCTCTAATGGTTAAAAATGAAGATCTCCAAAAATCTCATTAAAAACGAGTCTTAAACTAGATTTCAAAGCTATGTGGAAAAGACTCTATGGCAGTAAAATTGTAAAGGAGTATACAGATTATTGCAAATATATTTGACAACGATATTCTCAGAACTTAAGTAAAAGCTCTTTGAAAAAGCTTGGAATAATTCTACATAGTTCATGAATGGCCTCCTTTTTTGGTTTTAGAGAAAAAAGTAGTGTTTCAATCTCTGTGACAAAATAAAATGATGACATCATATTAAAAACATGTAAAATTAAACCATGAATTTTCTTGGCATATTTTAGTAAACATCTGCAGTTCCAAATTAACTTAATGACATTGTACTCGTATTAATAAGACTGTTCTATGAGAGTTCAGAGCAATTCCATTAATCTACATAACATTTTGTAGGGGAGAGAAAATATAAATGTGATGTCTGTCTGAAAGGTTTTACCCAACACTATGCACTCAAAAGACACAAGCAAACTGTACATGATAAATTGAGGGCATTCAAATGTGATACATGTGATGTCAGCTACACGCAACGCTATGCATTGACCCTACATTTGAAGGAGAAACATGGGATAGAACCAACCATGAAAGTAGTAAGTAATCTGTACCTATATAATTAATGAGTTATAATATTGTTTTTAGATTTCAAATTTATTCTACCATACACAAGACTTAAAACTAAGGTCAAAGGATAGGTATCGATATAGCGAACTGAATTCAACAATGTTTTTCTCTTAAACCGATTATTGAAAACATTCTGTAAAAAACATGGTCCTTTATGTAATGTTGACTGATTGGCAACAATTAAAAGCAAAAATTATATATAAATTTTTTTTATATAACTGTTTTTGTTAAATTTTTTGTTTTTTAGTGCAATTGTTTTTTGTTCCTTTCTACCAATTCTTGAGAATGAAATAAAATGTCTTTCCGAACCGAACCTTGTTGGAACAAAATGGCAAAATTTTCTGAGACCTCTCAATATTATAGTTATACAAAAGAAATGTTGGTTGATTTAACAAAAAGTATGCAAAAACTTAAAACAAAACCCCAAAAATAGATAAAAATGAAGATAAACCTTTTATTTCATGAACAGATACTATTTAAAATCAACCAAACTTTCCTTTGTGCAATCACAATATTGAGTGACCTAAATACGTTGTGTTCAAATGAGGTACGGATAGATGTTTCATTTCATTCCGAACATATGATACCAAGAACAAAAGAAGTGTCTGATGTGTTTCCTAAAAGAATATAGAGTAAAGTATATTTATATATATTTCAAATTATAATGTTACCATCCAAAAGATGACCATTAAATTGACGATGTGTAAAATTTTCAGAATGTTTTGATGACTGGTTTAAGAGAAACGCGTGTCCAAAAAGTTCACCATATCGATACCACTCCTTTGAACTCTGAGTTAGTTACTGTTACTTACTTTAAATTAATTTTCTTTGACCTTGAAAAAATTACTTTATTTAGAGCTCAGAAGGTCTTTTGTGATTAAGCTAACCTAAATTTGAATCCAAAAAATCAATTTCAAAAATCATTGTAAGCAATTTGTAGAGAATGCTTAAATGTAAACTTTACATTTACTTCATTGATATAATGAAGTACAAAGACAAATTATGAGAAATTTAAATTTGACCTATATTATGACCAGTTGACCTCAATAAGAATTATTTTCCTGCCAAGTTAAGCCTAGGTCCTTAATAGGAGCATATAGTCGCTAGTTGAAAGCTAGTTGGAACTAGTTGACACGGGTCAGTCAATTTTGATCCATCCTAGACCATATCACCATCAAATGACAATATTTCAACCTCATCTAGCGAGGTCATTTTAATGTGAAACATCTTAAAGGATAGGTATCGATATGGAGAACTGAATTCAACAATGTTTTTCTCTTACACAAATCATTGAAAACATTCTGTAAAAAAACATGGTATTTTATGTAATGTTGACTGATTGACGACAATTTAATGCGAAAATTATTTAGAAATATTTTATAAAACTGTTTTTGTTAACATTTTTTGTTTTTTTAGTGCAATTGGTTTTGCTCCTTTCTACCAATTCTTGAGAATGAAATAAAATGTCTTTCCGAACCTTGTTGGAACAAAATAGCATATACAACATGTTTTTAGACCTCTCAATATTAAAGTTATACAAAGGAATTTTTGGTTGATTTTAAAAAAGTATTCAAAAAATTAAAACAAAATCCCCCCAAAATAGATAAAAATCAAGAAAAACCTTTTTTTCATTAACAAGATACTTTTTTAAAATCAACCAAAATTTCCTTTGTACAATTACAATATTGAGAGACATAAACATGTTGTGTTTATGTCGTTTTGTTCCAATGAGGTTCGGAAAGATGTTTCATTTCACTCTGGAAACATGATACCAAGAACCAAACAAGTGTTTGATGGGGTTTTTAAAACAATATAGATGAAAGTATGTATATCTATTTTAAATTATATTGTTAACATTCAAAAGATGGCCATTAAATTGACAATTTGTGAGATATTCAGAAATTTTTGATCACTTGTTTAAGAGAAACGTGTGTTCAAAAAGTTTGCCATATCGATACCCATTCTTTAGTGTCAAAATAAAGCTAGTCACGCCAACTTTTAATATTTATAATGAATCATTTATTACGACTACTATATTCATTTAGGAGCCGTGTATAGTGAACCAATCAGAGAGATAAAGTTTCCATATACGGCAGTTCATTTTCATGTTAAGTGTCTACTACTGCCTTTTGTGTCATGGCAACAATCTTCAGAGCACATATGTTGCACATATAGCAACTACTAGCATTTATTTGAAAGTTCTACTTCTAGTTTATTTGAAAGTGTTAGATATTTAAAGAAAATTTGACTTATTCACGTCAGTATCGGCAGCTTCATATTAGGATGTACATCCCACTGTCATTGTAGATATACATGTATTGTACACATACTGGTGAGTATTGTACACATACTGATGAGTATTGTACACATACTGGTGAGGTGGATAGTTTGATAGTTAGAAAGTGTCTACAATCTTCTATTTATTCTGAGGATAAAATACTTTAATTCAACAGAGGTGGACCAAAACTTATTTTGAGTTCACATTTTCCAAGCTTGCTCAATAACCCCCAGTAAATTCCTCTACTGAAAATGTGATATCTCTAGATCTCCAAGTTGTTGATGCTACACAATTAAAACAATTTTTCTTCCATTAAACATTCAATGTGTATTAGTATTTTATAACTTGTATTTTGTTTAAATTATTTATGATGATTAATGTATTATTAAGTGTACATTATATTTCAGAACAAAAGGGATAACTACAATCGAAGGCTAGGTGTAGGTAAGAGATCATCTCCAGCACAGTTTGTGAGACGGTCACAGAGAGGACGCAAGCGTAAAGTGGACAGTGAATCTGATACTAGCACTGATTCTGAAGCTGATTTTACTTCACCAAACAGAAAGGTAACACATGCAATGCTATAAATGTCCGCTTCAATATTTGGCCGAGCAATGTATTAAACTTATTTTAATATTTGATCAAGCATTTTGTTTTTTATAGTTCCTTAATATGTAGTTTAATTTTCTAATACATTACCCACAAATTGAAAAATTAATGAAACCCAAATTCAATAACTCCCAGAAAATAACCTCTTTATACATGTTATATCAGTATATGTAGACAATGTATATTTTGTCTGAAATTATTTACAACAATTAATTTAAAATACATTGTACATTTTATTTCAGAACAGTAGGGATAACTACAATCTAAGGCTAGGTGTGGGTAAGAGATCATCTCCAGCACAGTGTGTGAGACTGTCACAGAAAGGAAGCAAGCGTAAAGCAGACAGTGAATCTGATACTAGCACTGATTCTGAATCTGGTGTAATTTCGTCAAACAAAAAGGTATAATACATACACAATTACAAAACTTATAGTGATGAAAAAGTCTTTATATTACTAACTCGAAAACAGCAACTCCACGGAGTAGCAAATCCCAACGAACACTATAACATATATGAATGTGTATTTGTCACAATAAAATATTTACCATTTACCCTTCCCTTGAAAATATGATTGGTAGGCCTACATACACAAATAATAAAGACAATATATTTTACATTTAATAAAGTATCATGTCACCATACTCTTAGTAAAAAACAGAGAATTCCTTCTTGGCAGCCATTTTGAATTTTCTGAGACACAAATCAGAAAAACAATACCATAATTGTGATCTACTCCATATTTCCTTCAATTTGAGTATAATATAGCCATACTTTGATGAGATCAGAAAATTATTGTGAAATCACACATGAGATGGCCATATTGAATTTTACAAGGCCCAAATCAAAAAAATGATTATAATGAAGCTATACTTTTGAAAGATCTCAAAATTGACGTAAATCCCTGTTGGCAGCCATTTTTGAATTTTCTGAGGCACAAATCAGTATAACAATAGCATATTTGTGATCTACCATTTTCCTTCAATTTGAGTATAATATAGCCATACTTTGAAAAGATCAGAAAATTATTGCTAAATCCCACAAAAGGCAGCCATTTTGAATTTTTCGGGACCCATATTAGAAAAATGATACAACAATTGTAATCTACTCTAAATTGACTTACATTTGAGTATCATAAAGCTATACTTTAGAAAGATCTCAAAATTAACACAAATTCCTGTTTTCCCGACCCCCCATACACAGCCCATGGGGGTCAGTCTGAAAAACTCAGAATATATGTGACATAAATGTTGTGAATATATTATCAAAATTTCAAACAAAAATAATCATTTCTTTGGTTTAAAATGAAAAACTAAAGATTTTCCCCAAATATTCCCGCCCTTTCTAAAGCGGAGGCCATCTTGAAAAAATATTTTTGCGTAAAACTATTCACCAATATACATCTTTCAACAAATTTTGAAGCAAATCTGTCCACTAGTATTCAAGCTATATTCTGGACAGACAGATGGACAGAGGGCTTCACTATATCTCTACCAAACTTCGTTCGTTGGGATAATGATTGAGTTCATGGATTTAGATTGTGAATGAATGGCAATTTTTGAAATAGAAAAACAAGTTCCTACCATCCTGACTCAGTCACTATATAGTATATACCCCCAATCACATCGTTTTTTTTTTAGAAGGTTGTAAAAATCATATTTTCCAAGTATTTTCTGTACTAGTTTTGTGCCTGTGGTTTAACAGAGTATCATATTCATATTGCCATCATTCTGTTGTTTCAGCATAATCGTAGTAACAAGGAGACAAAGGTGCCTCGCAAAAGAAAACAGCCTTGAAATGGACTCATGTAATCATAACACAAAGTCAACTGTTACAACAGGGAGACGAGGGATTCCCAACATGGCATTTGAGCACAGAAAAAAGGATCTGACCCTCGATGTGTTACAGCCTGTACAGACATTATAGTGTTAGAGCGTTATAAAGGGACAATGTTTGTTTGAAATAAACAATCTGTGAATGATGGATGTAGGTTTGCAGTGAATCAGGGAGAAGTTGTGAAAATTGACAGAACTAGTGTGTAGATGAGTCCAAAAAATTAACAATTCCTTCTCAAATTATGGGGAGGGGGAAGCCAACAGTCATCTCTTTAACAGCTGGAATACCTATATGGACTCTAATCTCTTCATTATACACAACTATATGTTGTTTATCTATTCTAGTATCAAGACTGTCAGTCTGTGTTTATGGTTCTAATTTTAAGATCGTAGTTTGTTATGTTTTGTATACCAGAGTTTCTCTTGAATAGGCCCACTGGGCATTTATTCTGCAGAGGGTTTTATTTGAAAGGACTCAAATCAGGAAACTGACAGAGTAATCAGCAACCTGCCAGAGTAGCAAATACCAAAGAAAATAATACAGGGTGACACTAAAAATGCCATCCACTATTATGGTATTGTTTTTTTTATTCATGTGTGAGGAAATTCAAAATGGCTGCCTAAGGAGGGAATTCGCTATGATTATAAATCTCTTCAAAGTATGTTTTATTCTATATTAGATCTCATATATCAAACAGTATTGTCTTTGTGATTTGTGCCTTTGAAACTCCTAAATGGTCACCCAAATGCTTAAATACAGAGTGACAAAAAAATGTCACCACTTATTTTGTAATTACTTTCTCAATAAAGAAGGAATCTTCATGATTTTTATTCCTTTGTGATAATAAATGCCCATAGGCCTTCATTAAGAGGGAAAAACATTTTTCCCAGGGGAATGGGCATTTATTGAGAGGGAAAAATAGCTTTCCCAAGGCGATCCTGAACTGACGTAGCATTGAAGCTACTGTGCGCTATGAAGTTAATACTAGTTTAATTAATCATGATTTTGATTATGCAGCTCTGCTATATATTGTTCTGTTATGATTTGAAAAGAGTGATAGCATTGAGCGTTTTATACTGGTTTTGAATGTTTGCGCCAGCAATGCTATAATTTAACTGAAGTTCTATTGTTCTGATACAATTTGAAATACAATCTATAATTCAACAATTAAATGGTGGCATATTTTTGATTACTTAAACATTAAGTGTTTGAACGGCAGAAATCACCTGTTACCATATATTGTTTTTAAGCTATTTCAATCCTTTTCTTAAATGTTTTCACCTCAAAATGAATGCTCATGGGCCTTTATAAAGAGGGGAAAAACATTTGAATAACCCCCCTTTCAAATGTTCAATTTTCAATTCAATTGAGTTTTTCTTGCAATATTCCCTTCATGGATGATTGGATTTTATTATTGCAAAATCCAACATTAGGCAGCCATTTGAACTCTCTGAAGCCTAAGACAGAAAAACGATACAATTGATACTTGCAATCTACTCTAAGTTGTCTTTCATTTGAGTATAATAAAGCTACCAAAGTGAAAAACAACTTGTCACATCACTCTAGTATTCCACTAATAGTTTACTTGTATACAGCTCATAGGCTTAGGTCGATATAAATAAATTTATGGCATGGTAATTAAAGATCTGTGTTTATTTATAATTATCTTTAGAAAAATATAAAATTGGATTCTGGTGCTGCCATCTTTATTACGGCTCAAAACCTACAGTAATACCCTACAAATTATACATCACTCTCCAAGTGTGGAATGCTAAATACCAATAATACACTACTAATTCCCTACTAACGATCACTCCTGAAATCTCAGAATTTTATGCATAGTGTACAAAATCTCTAATGCTAAATTCAGCAAGAAATGTGAATATGATTCAACATGTACATCTTTTACATATGATTACGTTGAACTAGGTTCAATAAAGTCCAGTCACTCTTCTGGTTGTAATGAATGAACACCACTGTTAGTCCGCATTTATGGCATGGCAGTCAAAACTAGTTCTATAAAATAAATGCTATATACATGAATAGATGTCTCTGCATACAGTGTCTTTTGGGTCTGATGGGTCATTTAGTACAGTAAGTTGATGGAACAAGTTGACATGGGCAGCTTGAAGTTCATTTTGTTTTCACTGCAGAAAAACAGCGCATTTATACACTGTTTAATTTTGAGTGATTCGGCCACTAACTATGGAGCTCTTGATGGGGGAGGAGATGAAACCATGACAAGAAAGAAATTAATGTACCGATTTTTTTTCTTGAGGACATTGTTAGTTAATATTCGACCTATGCAAAATAATTGTGGTGTTCATTCAATGCTGCTTTTCATTGCAGAATCAATTCCATCAAATTTTATTATTTCTGCCATTTTAAAAGGGAACATGTTTTAATATTCAACTAATACATCATTTTACAAAAAAAGTTAATATACAACTCACACCCCACTCAACTCTTCTTCTACCTCACAGTGATGTTTTAGTTGATTATTGCATAACTTACAATATACACACCACTTGACTAAATCTCTAGGTGATGTATTAGTGGTATATTAGATTTCCTTTTTTTACCTCAGAGATCTCACAATTAACAAAATGTACTGGCTGTTTTCCCGCATAAAGGGCCCATGGGGGTCAGGCTGAAAAATTTTGAATTATTACCACCGTTTATGCCTAGGGCTGAAATAGCAAGAATGGAGTGCCACTGAAAGAAATTATACCCACTAAACAATATCTCATTTCCCTGGGAACATTGGCGGGCTGAAATATCGTCACATATTTCTCAGGTCAATATACAGGGTGTCCCGAAAGTATGCCCCCCCCCCTAGGCAGACATACACCAATGTTCCCATAGTATGTCATATGTTAAACTTCCTGATTCATCCTCAAAAAATACATTCTTAAAATCTGTTAAACAAAAACTTATCATTAAATGCAATGACCAGTGGAAGATGAAAATAAATGCTGGTAGCAAACCAAGTAACAATAGTAAAATGAGAACCTACGTAAAATTCAAAAATAATATACATCTTGAAGAATATCTCACTACTGAAACTAACTTTGAAAAAAGAAAACTATTTACAAAGCTGAGACTCAGTGACCATTCATTAGAGGTTGAAGCAGGAAGATACAAAAATAAAAATGTAGAAGAACGCATATGTACAAAATGTTCAGATAATTGTGTTGAAGATGAGCTGTCACTTTGTTATGAGATGCAAAATCTACGAAAGTGAGCGCACTATATTATTAGATAAAATTCAAATGTTAAATAAGGACTTTTCTAACATGACTGGGGAAACAAGTTCCTATACATTATGTCATACAAATCAAATATGGAGGAAGTCCTGCATTTCATTGAAATATGCTTTAAGGAAAGAAATCTATAACATCGCAACCATTACAACACAATATCTTTGTAGATTAATGTAACTGTATGAATGTAGTTTGTATAATTGTAGTCTGGCCATGCCCTGATAACACAGTGGCCTTAATAAATTCTAATTCTAATTCTATATCATTTTTAAGTATCCAAAGTTACATTGATTTGCCAAGTATCATTGTTCAACTCACAAATGGTAAAAAGTTACAACCATTTCAAAACTTAGTGTTTGGCCAAAAATATAGATCATTTCAGTATCCTGGAAACAGCCCTAACCTGAATGTGACCAAAAATATGGGTGCTATCGTTAAAGAGAGGGTGGATATTGAGTTGTAAAAAGAGGTCGCTAAGGGCAGATACTCCAAGGAAACTCTTTTAAAATGCCTTAAAAAGGTTTTATGAGGATTATTTAATGTCATCCCCATATCTGCAGTGTAATTAAGGTATATCTGGAAAGAATTGCTGCTGTTAACATGGCCAAGGGAGACACGGCGACTATTAATTTTGGAAAAACATTACATTTAGAAATATGTGTAACTTTTTCCCATTTGTGAGTTGAACCATGATACTTGGCAAATCAATGTAACTTTGGACAAGCTTTAAAATGATATATGATAGATACTATGGGGACATTGGTGTATGTCTGCCTAGGGGTGGGGGGGGCTTATACTTTCCAGACACCCTGTAGTAAAATAAAAGCCTTCTAAACTAGCACTAATACCTCTAGAACAGGCCCGGCAAGGTGGTAATAATAAAACTTTATAATGTTGCAGACTGAAAATGGAATGATATTCAGATTCCATCAGGACTATCAATATTACTATGTACATCCGTACATTGCCCGTGGGTGGCAATCAAATATAAAAGTAGATGTAGTTAAAATGTTTTCTAAAATATCTATTTGAAAATACTCTGTGTATGTACAGTCACAAACTCTAGGCAACACTAACTAGTAATAGGACAACACCACAACTCAGCTACATGTAAGTGAATGCTATATTATATGGAAAACAAAAACAGTACGAAACAATCACCATGCAAAGCTAAAAACTGGTTTAAAGGAAGCTAAAGTAGAAAGTATACAAAAGAATTGAAAACATTGGAGTTAAATATTTGACAAACTGGTGTAAGAGTAATGAAGGGACCTGTTAAAATGACATGGATGGGGATTGGTCAATATGAATAGTAGAAATATAAACAATGTGAAAGTGACCATGTTACACTGTTAAAATGATAGATGATGCACATGCATGTACAACATTTTAATTTCAATACTTTATTTCAGTTAAACATAATGAGTAACATTGTTACTTCAATATGTGGTACAATACATAGTAGCACTTTACATATTCAAATGTCCCTCCAAAACAATTTCAAAAAGCTATTTCCCATGATGCCTTTCACCCACAATGCAATAGTTTATTGATGAAGCCATAACAGGAAGTGCTAAGAATCCAGCAACCATACACATGTAAGTAATGTACTTTAATGTACCTATAGCAATGCATTCTGTTGAGGTACAGCTGGAAATTAACATTTTGGGAAAAATTGCTACACCTGCATATGTTATTTTCTGGTACAAAATAAAGTATGAAGGCATTATTTCCTTGCTTTTTTACAGTTTGGAACATAAATAAATGACAGGTGGATTTGCTGAAGTGAGGATTTCCCATGTTAAAAATAAGAGAATTTTCAGGAGACCCATACATCAGTGGATGAGATTATACAAAATGTAAAATATACAAATTTTAAGGGATATGTGTCAGACAATATTAGAAATTATGGGCTTTCAGACGACGCATGATTAGGAAATGGTGATAGAAAATCAACCTGTCACTATTTATTTTTGTTCCCAACTGTAGTATCATTAGTAAATCTGGTATAAGAGGTCAATGGAATCCAGGAAATTCTGTTATTTTTTCGCTTTCTATTTTTCCAAAATTCCAAGTTTCCAGACAACACAGGAGCAATTGACAATGGCATCCAGCGTCATATACGCATAAAACACCATGGCATTCTCTCACAAGAATTCGTCTAGAAGGAAAAAGAAGTATGCAACAGAGCGAGCCTTATTTGACTCAATAAGCATATAAAAGTAAAAAGGAAGTTATCCTCGTAAAGTTACCGCATTTTGATGAAGGCCAAAAAATGCAGGGAATGTAAAGTGGGAGACAAAAATAAACCTCAACCATCAAAAGTTGTCACAATGAGCTAAATTCTAAGTTTCGTCCCAATTGAAAAATAAAACTTATTACCAACTAATTTACAACTAATTATCAACAATTCTGCTGGCAATTGGAATTAAAGTTAAGCGTTAATTAAATCAATGATAATTATGGCCTAATTATCAGTAGCAAGTTCAACGCAAATTAACTTACAATAATGCTGATTTATGATTTTTAGTTGATAATTAAGATATGAAATGTTTGAGGGTGATAGTAAGTGGTAAATTAAAACAATTTTGGTCTGAAGTAGATTATTGGTTGATAGTTAACATATAGGATGATTTTAATGATAATTAGTCGTAAATTAGGCCCATGATTTAGAAATACAAACCCCCTAAATTTAATTTCAAGATGGTGGAAAAAGAAAACATGTGAGAGATATTTCTCTCATAAAATTGAGAATTACAACGTGAATGGTGCGTATACTACCATGAAATTTGGTCAACATTATCATAAGGGTATGTAGAACATGAATACAATGTATGTTAAATCTTATTCACACTTCTGTCTGAAATGTTTATGAATTTAAATTTTTTTTGAATCAGATCATATAATATTAATCCTAGAATGCAATTTAGGTACTAACATGGGTTATCTATATTTCACAAATAATCCAAATGTGCTCTTCTAAATAATGATTGTTAGATCAAAGACATTTCAAAACATATTTTTGATTATATCTGTTACGTCCTTATTATGTAACATTATAGTCTAATGTTTGTGTTCTGATTTTAGTTGTTGATGGCAATAATGATGTCTTCACATGCTTTTCATGAATCTTAAAAATTTGCAAAATAGAATTAAAAAAGAGGGGGAGAAACCCCAGGGTTCAAAGATGACATACGCTTATACTGTAAATCTGTATTGAGATGACATCGTCGCTGATTGGTTTAGCGAGTCGATCGTTGATTGGTTTAAATCTAGGTCAATTTGAAAACTTTAAAAACCAAGATGGAGGGTACGTTTTCGACAAAAGAAGGTGTGCGAAGGAGGAAATCTTATGTCATCAATTGAATCATGGGGTTTTCCCTCCTCTTGCTGTGAAATTTCAATAGTTCAAGTTCAATGTTGTCTGTTCTGAAAGATCCTAATTAAGATGAATATTCCGTCACAAAATAGTTCAAGATGAAGCAAAAATCTCCGAGTGAAGGGAAGCAAAAAAGAAGCGAGTCATTTTTGAGATGTCACAAATCTGACTTAAACCTAACTTTCAACTAATTATCAATAGTAAGTTAGGTGATAATTAGAGATTAACTTACATCAAACTTACAACTAACTTTCAACTAATTTACGTAAATAGCTCATTTGCATATTGATGGTAGTTAATCGTTAATTAAGTTGCAAATTAAGCGTTAATTAAGTTGATAATTAGCTCATTTGCATGTGAATTTTTACACCTTACTTTCAACTAATTATCAATAGTAAGTTAGGTGATAATTGGAGATGATTTTCCATAGGCTTTTTTCAATTGGGGTGTCACAAATTATTCTCCAACGAAAACATTTTGAAAAAATTACTAAAGTCATGATCATAAATTATGACATTCTGAAATAACACGGGGGGTTGAAAAATTAGCTCCAGGGTCAGAAAACTGAGAAGGCCCACTGAGCTCAACAGATATACAGTATAGCCTTCAAACAGGTTCAATTATGGTCCTTAATCAAGGGGGGTAAGTCACCCCCTTTCTTATATCCCTAATATTAACAGGCTAGTATAGGCTACAGAATATAAGACAGAGGGGAAGAGAGAGGGGTGACTTATTCCTTATGCCCTATAAATGAACTTCTTTATACTTCTGTGTCTAAATCTTTAAAATTATTTTTGTCTATTATTTCAATATTTATCGCTATCATCGAAGCTATAATATCACGCGGTCCTAACTTCGACCGTTAATTTGAATTTTTCACCTACCAGGTGCTTGAAAATCAAGGATTGCGAGTCTCATACACAGGCAAATTACATCGGGCCCCGTACGAGCCTCGAGAATTACGAGTCATTACGGACAAAAAGGAGCACCATCCTTGTACGGGCTCGTACGAAGCTCGTTTTCGAGGCCCGTGCGAGCTTGTACGATGCTCGTAATTGTTGTTTTCAAGGCCCGTACAAGCACATACGAGGTTTGTAATTTCGAGGCCTTAACAAGCTCGTACGAGGCCCGTTATCGAACTCGGAACAAAAAAATAATTGATGTCATGCTACATGATTCACGTATCTATCCAGAACATGCTGTGTACTAGAATGATACAACTACGAGTTGTGTTCTTATTTACACATTCAAGAACGAGAATACTTATTTACATCACATTTGAACTTATTCTAGTAGCGCACGCAAATGGTTTTATATGCATTTGCTTCACTTGTAGAGAAATATGGTGTCTCCTATCGGTTACCCTCCTGTTTATTTAGTTTCCTAGCTTTAATACTTTAATAATATTTTGAAATTATTGAAGACATATTAATACATAATTAGATATAATTGAAATGTCATTTCCCAAGTATGCTGTATTTTATTTCATCGATCAAAAAGTGTTCCTTAAAATAAACGAGCAATTACGACCCTCGTTACAAGCCCCGTACAGGCAAATACAGTGCTCGAAAGTTACGAGCCATTACGGGCCTTGTTACGGGCATAGCACAGGCAAGTACAAGGCTCGAAAGTTACGAGCCATTACGGGCCTTGTTACGGGCATAGCACAGGCAAGTACAAGGCTCGAAAGTTACGAGCCATTACGGGCCTTGTTACGGGCATAGCACAGGCAAGTACAACGCTCGAAAATTACGAGCTATTGCGGGCCTCGTAACAGGCACCGTACTAGCAAGGACGGGGATCGAAAATTACGATTTATTACGGGGCTTGTTACGGGCACTGTACGGTCAAGTACGGGGGTCGAAAATTACGAGCTATTACGGGCCTTGTAATCACAAGCACTTACGAGGCTCGAAAATTACAACCAATTACAAGACTCGTAACGAGGCCCGAACGAGGTTGTACAGGGTCCGTTGACACAACAACCTCCGTACGGGCTTGTACGGGGTCCGATATAATTTGCCTGTGAACTGCACCGTTTTTCTTCAAACTTATACCATTAAAAGCAAAACAAAATTGCCTGTCTGTCGGTGCATTACTTTATTGTAAAGAGTCCCTCGTTCTAGCAGCGTTTTGGTCCCCAGCTGTTAGAAGGCCTTCTTACAGCTGGGGACCAAAATGCCGCTGGAAGTAGGGACTCTGTTTAAGAGAATAATGTACCATCAGAAAGGGATTTTTGTTATGCTTTGAATGGAACAAGTTTCAAGAAAAACGGTGAAGTATGAGACTCGTAATCCTTGATTTTCAAACATCCGGTAGGTCAAAAATTCAAATTAACGGTCGAAGTTAGGACCGCGTGAATATGGTATTAACAGAACTATAACATGATATTTTGTGCTCTTGGGCATTGGTTTGTGTATATTACAAACTGCCCAACCCAATATCAATGACGCTATAGAGTTGAAACTTAACTGCCACTTACAACATGAGTTGTCAAACAGATGGTGAACATAAAAATATTCTAGGTTTATATCATGATCAGACATTATAGGCAATGGAGATATTAATTAGCTGAGTTTGATTCTTTTTTAAATTTCACAAAATATGTTATCTATGAAATTGAAGGAATGCAGGGAAAGGTGAGAAATTACATTCACACTGCATTTACAGGTTGGGGCAATAAGAAACATTAGTAAATAATAATTATTTTAATCCAGCATAAAAGTAATTATAGGATATCCTATGATTTTGAGAAATACCACTTTTATCTACAAAGTGATGTATCTGCACGAGAGAGCGAAGCGAACAAGTGCGTATATCAATATCACAGAGTAGATTAAAATGATATTCTGAAAAATCGTGGCATGTTCTTATTTTCCTACACTGATACTCGTCGTGTACTAAATGTATAATCTCATTGAAAATTAAATTTCATGTTCAATTTGGCGGGAAATCAACAAGCGGAGTATATCGTCACAATATCCTCCGCATATTTGTATTCTGGAGTATATTGTCACAATGTCCTCCGCATATTGGATTTCCGGAGTATATCGAGGCAATATCCTCTGGTTATTCATTTTGCCAAAATATATCAAATTTATTTTTAATGTTATTATACATTTAGTACACTAAGTGTAGGATAATATGTAGTATAAACATAGAGTGCACTTATGATATTTATGTTTATCAACTTGTAAATACCACTGCTTACTTTAGTATTTTGTAACTAAGTACCTTGTAGTAGTGGTGTCAAGTATTAACTGGTTAACCGGTTAACCGCCGACAATGCCTTGACCGGTCTGTTTTAATGGGTGGTTAGTTGACCGTGTATAATTCTGTTATTTCCCGCGCTTATTTTGCATGCTAATCTGTTTGGTTTTATGTGTCAGTTTCACGTAAGCAACTCATACATGTCATAAGTCCGAAAACTCCTTACAAACATCCAATCAGCAACTTTAATCCCTGCCACATTGCTTTCCCGCGCTTACTTTGCATTTTAATCTGTTTGTTTTTCAAGCGTCAGTTTCATGTGAGCTACTCATACATGTGATAGGTCCGATTATTCCTTACAAACATCCAATCAGCAACTTTAATCCCTGCCACATTGCTTTCCCGCGCTTACTTTGCATGTTAATCTGTTTGTTTTTCAAAAAAAGATCCCAACTCACTCCAAAACATGTTAATGCGATTGTCTTTCTTAATAAAAACAAAAAATCTCATTGTTGGTCTAATATCAGTGCGTGAAATAAGGATTTTTTTAACCTAGACATTTTGGCAGGCCAGCCAGATTTTAACCAGCCATATCATTTTTTCTCAGGCCAATTTTTTGCAGGCTGTTTCTTACTTCTCTGGCCAAAAATTTCATTTTCCATATTTCTCCACAACCACTCTAAAATGAGATTTAGTTTAGTACAATATTAACAAAGTAAAACTAATTCCATTGCATGTCATGTATTATCCACTATACTGCACTTGATGACTTAACCAATAGCCTGGGTGTGTTGATTTCCCCCTAGATTCACCTTACCAAAACATGATGAACATGTACATATTGATCAAACTAAATTGTACTGATTTTGGTCGGTTTAGAATTGCTCTCAGAAGCTTCAAGGTATTCAAAAACACATACTATGTACACAGACTCCACTAACAGACTAAAATTCAAGGTATATATTAGAGGTGTCACGGTCCAAAAAAATTTCGGTACGGTACGGAACGGTACAAATGGTCTCGGGACACGATACTTTCGGGACAGGACGGGACAGAACATTAAAAATGATACAATGTCTGATGATGATAGTTTCACTTTCAGTTTCACTTTTCAAAATCATATTCAGAAATACGTCAATTAAAATCGAATATAAAGCATCTGCCGCAAATGTGATCGGCATTTCACATAATCTGCATGGTGAACTATCACCAATTCGTTTACCTTGTGATATCGGAGTCCCAAAATACTTCCAAACTGCCGACTTTTTGGACTTAGATGCCGGCTCGATTTTTCAATTTCTTTTCTACATCCGGCATACTGATAATGCACTCGATTTGCGAACGACGATGAAGAAATGAGTCATCCATAGCCAATCAAAATCACCGTAATTTCAACAAACAACAACAGCCAATCAAAAGTCACGTTATATCTTGGGCTTCAGTACGAAAACAAAAATATTTGAAATTTTTTTAAATCTTCAACAAAAGTCATGGAATAAGCCGAAATCGCTGGGAATTCGGAGGATTTCCGGACTGAAATGTGAGTTCTATTCATGGGCAATCTAACGAATGCCACAAATATCTGGCAGGCCAAAATGTCTGGGTGTTTTTATCAAAACAAGCCATCTATAATTTTGTCAGGCCAATGGCCGATGTCGGACGTCTATTTCGCGCACTGAATATACCTGGTTTTGTACCAAGACAGTAGATTTGCCGACTTCAAGCTGACAAGAGTAGTCCTCAGAATCTGGCGCAGATTTAATTTTATTCACAAATTTTACACATTTATTTTAGTTTTAGATATTTAACCATTTAACAATTTTACATATTGCAAAACAATTTCATGCATTATATGCATTTTTAAATTCGTCAGTTTTGTTATTATTGTTGTCTATCAACGTCACCAAAATGTCAAAGGTCAAAGCCTCACTTTGGTAGTGAGAAAATTAAAATTAAAATAAACATAACCAGCTGCAATTCTCGTTGTTATGGTGCGTTCGTTGAGATTCCAAAGGTAAACCAGTGTGGTATGTGATTAAGAGGTACCGGTAGTCAGGTAGTGTATGAATAGAATAGAGTAAAGCTTGACGAACGTAAAAAATAAACGCCGATATATCATTTTTCCAATTTTTTTCAACTTTCAAGATCGAAGATGAAGATTTCATTTGAAATTATCAGTTCAAATTTCCCGCCGGTTAACCAACTTTAACCGGTAAAAACACCCGGTTAACCGGTTAATGCTCAAGCGGTTAATTGACACCACTACCTTGTAGTCAATGATAAATCACTAATTGTGTTTCAGTATCATGGATGGTAAAGACATAAGAGGACAAACAAGGAGTGGGCTGCATGACAACACTGTTCCCATACATAAAACAACTGAACAGGATCAAAATGAGAAGGACTATACACCTACCAAAACATCAGAATGGGTGACTCTAATAAGTAACTGGAAAGTTCCATGTGTAACTCTTGATCGTATTGAGGCCTTGGACAAAATCGCAAAGTACAATGCAAAATGTGGAAATCTATTCGCAATACACTTATCAAATATAAAGTTTGATACTTTTACTAAGGGAAGACCATCAAATGAACCTTGTAATAAGGTATTTACAGAGACTTACATCATAGATGAGACATATGAACCGAGCATAGATAATAACTCTCTTCTTGAACCAAAAGCAGAGAGCAGTGCCTCATATATTAAACATGTTAAAAGTGAACCACATTTAGCAGAAATAATCTCAAATACCAGGAGTGAGTCACATGATATTAGATGTCAATCACGAGCAACAAACATAACTCCAAATAAAGAGAATATCAGTGAATCATTTGACATGAATAATGACCTCTATGCCAATCTAACTGATGATAAGACTAATGCCAATAATAAAAAAACAGACACTAATACATCCATTACTTCAAATATTCCAGACTCATTAAGTTACATTCCAATATGTATCAAAGAAGAGGAAGACAAAAGTGACATCAACCTAAAAGATGGAAGTGAAATTATTATTGACAAACCAGATAGTCAGACATCCGATGCTACAGACATTTCAGATTTAATGAGTTATAGCCCAATGTTTATCAGTGAAGAGGAAGATAATTGTAACATCAACCTGAAAGATGGAAATGAAATCATTGTTGACAAACCAGATAGTCAGACATCCGATGCTACAGACATTTCAGATTTAATGAGTTATAGCCCAATGTTTATCAGTGAAGAGGAAGATAATTGTAACATCAACCTGAAAGATGGAAATGAAATCATTGTTGACAAACCAGATAGTCAGACATCCGATGCTACAGACATTTCAGATTTAATGAGTTATAGCCCAATGTTTATCAGTGAAGAGGAAGATAATTGTAACATCAACCTGAAAGATGGAATTGAAATCAGTATTGACAAAACAGATAGTCAGTCATCCAACACTATTCCAGACTTAATGAATTACCAATCAATTCATATCAAAGAGAAATATAATAGTAACGTCAACCTCAAACATGGAAATGAAATCAGTATTGACAAAAAGGACAATCAGACATCTGCTGCTTCAAACATTCAAGACTCACAGAGTCTAATATGTATCTTAAAAGACAAAAATATGACTAGCACAAACCTCAAAGATCTAAGTGAAATAAAGCCAAGTAACTTTGTAAGTAAATGGGAAGATGACTCACTTGATACCAACAAGATGATCCATATGAATATAGAATCTCATTCAGAACATAACAATCACAATGATACTGGCAAAGACATGCCTGACGATGCAACAAATAAAACTGGTGACAATACTGCTGAGACTCCACAATACACTTGCCTCATATGTGGAAAAGCATTCAACAGAGATCAGAAACTTAAGGCTCATATCAAAATGGTACATTGTCAAGACACAAAACAAAAAGATGATGATGATAATGTTCTTGGTGATAGTGACAATGATGATGATTATTATGAACTCCCAACAGACTCATCTGGAGATGAGTATGAACTGGAACATGATAATATTCATGTAAATAGTGAGTTGAAAAGAATGGGGCTAAATTTTAGCAAGAAAAAGAGGCAGCGTTTTGAAATAGAAATGCCTAAATCAAAAAATGAAAGGGAAATGAAACAAACATTGCCATCAAATACAACAAATGAACCCAAAAATAAAGAAACCAGATCAATTGAGCTAATTGGAACGCAACCTACACAACCGAGAGTCCTTGTAGAAAATCCTCAAGGACACAATCATAGCGACGTGTTACAAACAAAAAATACTTTGACTCGGCCTGATAACAAAGACAATCATGTTGAAACAAAACACTATAGAGTAATTGACAGACATGGTGAGTTTGAAATGTTAAAGACTACAGATGATGTCTGCATTAAATCAGAAAATAAAGATTCAAATGTCCAAAATACACTGAATGACAGAGATGAGAGATTCCACAAGAAGGAAGTTCAAAGTAACAAAATCATAAGTAATCAAAATATGAATCAAAATAAAACAAACAAAACAAATCAACATAAACCTACTGCAAGTATCAAAGTGAGTGAGAAGAAAGATAAGCTTCAGCCAGCAACTGAAAAATATGTCTCTGAGCATCCATATTTACAGTATCAAAAAATACTGCAGCTTATTGAGAAATGTAGTTCGAAAAAAACAAAGCCAGATGGGTCATATTCATTGAAATGTGATACATGTTTTCGAGTTTTCAAGTCACATGGTCAATTCCTAAAACATCGACATGGTGAGTTGAAGTTTATCTTTGACAGTGCAGCTGAGGAGGAAACGATTGAAAAGGAAGGAAACAAAGTAAATACCCTAACATGTGAGTTTTGTAAAAAGAAGGAATATTTAACAACTAAAACACTTAAATACCATGAGTCCCATTGCAAAGAAAATAAAAAGGTTTGCAGAAATTGTTATGATTTTACAAGCAATGATGAAACAATGCTGAAAGAACATACCAGAATCTGCAGTTTGAAAACCTGGTCCTGCCGTCGCTGTAATACTAACTTCAATAATTATCCTGACTGTTCTTACCATAGAAGCTGGTGTGAACTGACACATTGTTGTTCTTTCTGCAAAGTGAATATGTGTGAAGGCAAGTTAAGAAAGCATTTTCAAAAATGTGCTATGAAGCATTCCAAGCAGACAAACAAATGCCCAGTTTGTGATAAAAACCTCCTAGGTTTGCATCATAAATATCCACATGTAAAAGCTTGCATGAGAATTTGCAAGGACAAAAAAGAGCCTGATTTATACTTTTCATTGTGTGAATTATGTGGAAAACTCTTTACAATAAAGAAAAAGGGAAAATATAACATAAATGACAGATACAAGCAGCATTTATCCCATGTTCATAAAATTGGTGACTACCCATGCGATAAATGTGACAAAGTCTTCTTCTATAAAAAAGGTATGTAACTTAGATAAAATGTTATGGTTTTGCAATAGTTTCTCAAAAATCAGTTGTGTAACCATTGCAACTATACATGTAAAAAAGGTTGAAAAGATTGGGTGAAGTAAAGGTTGCGCAATGGTTTCTCATGGTTGAAATGATGATATTTCCTTTGATCTTAAAGGTTGAAATGATGGTTACATGGTTACATGATATGCAATGAAACCATTGAAAGAACCATGTGCAGTATGGCAAGTAATTTTAAACAGTCATATCCTTCACCATGAGTACTTTCTGGGCATAAATACAGTGGTTTTTATTAAAACAATATGTTTTCTTTCAAGTGAAGTACCCATGATGATAAAAATATCAATCAATTTTTTCAAAATGTTGAACTTATTTACAAAAAGCGGATTTCCTTTTTCTGATTTTTCTTGCATGAAAATATTATTCAAAAAGGGGTCTAAAACTTCTTTAAAAGTAGAATGGTATTGAAAGTCTAGTTTTGAAGATATCAATTTCCGATGACCAAAATTATGCTGAAAACAATGGATAGCACGAGTTTCACTATGGGAAAATAACATGGGATACGGTTTTTAACTTTAACGCATTTCAATACCAATCCCCTTTTCAGAAGTTGTAAATATAGTGTAGATGAAACATTTGCGATGGATAAATCAAGAAAAACAAGATCCTCTTTTTTAGAAAATAAGCCTAACATTTTTTTAAAAGTGCCCGGATCCTAAACCATGATTTACCAGAGTTGGATTAATATTTTACTATCAAGGGAATTTCCCTTGAAAGAAAACATGTTGTTTTTATTAAAAACACTGTATTTATGGTGAGAAAGTACTCATGGTGGAAGATATGACTGTCTAAAATCACTTGCCATACTGCACATGGACCTTTGGGAAAAAATGGTTACTCCAAATACTTTGTATTTACTTCTCATTTTTTCAGATTGTTTTTTAAGATTGTAGTACCAGTACATATATAACTCAAGACAGAGTATCAGGTCTTAAATGGTGGTAAAAGACCTTGGAAATAACAAGGTTTTCATTTTCCCATGTTTTAGGTTTTTACCACTATTTGTATCTATGTTTCAGGTGTTCATTCTTTCATGTTTCAGAATTGGAAAGTCATTACAGAGCTCACACAGGTGAAAAACCACATCAATGTGAAGTCTGTGGCAAGAGATTCAGGACCAGAACTGAATGGACAAGTCACATAGCATTCCACACAAATGAACGGAAACATGTTTGTGAGACTTGTGGAGCATCCTTTAATAGTCAAGCTGCAACACAAAGACATATGGTCATTCATACTGGTAAACATATTAAACTTATATAACATACCAGATCTTTGAAAGTCAAGAATTGCGAGTATCATACTTCATCGTTTTTCTTCAAACTTGGTCCATTCAAGGCAAAACAAAATTGCCTTTCTGCCGGTGCATAATGCTTAATTGGAAAGAGTCCCTACTTTTAGCAGCGTTTTGGTCACCAGCTATTAAAACCCCTTCTCACAGCTGGAAGGAGAGACTCTGTCTAACAGAATACTGTACCAACAGAAAGGCATTTTTGTTATGCTTTGAATGGAACAAGTTTAAAGAAAAACGGTGCAGTATGATACTCGCAATCCTTGATTTTCAAACATCATCAAAAATTCTAATTAATGGTCGAAATTACATGTAGTACCACGTTGCACGGTGCTAATGTAATGATAATACCGTCGTTCAGTTCATATCAATGTTCAGTTCATATCAATGTTCAGTTCATATCAATGTTCAGTTCATATCAATGTCCAGTTCATATCAATGTTCAGTTCATATCAATGTTCAGTTCATATCAATGTTCAGTTCATATCAATGTTCAGTTCATATCAATGTTCATATCAATGTTCAGTTCATATCAATGTTCAGTTCATATCAATGTTCAGTTCATATCAATGTTCAGTTCATATCAATGTTCAGTTCATATCAATGTTTTGTAGGTGAGAGAAAGCATAAGTGTGATGTCTGTCTGAAATGTTTTACCCAACAATCTGCACTCAAAAGACACAAGCAATCTATACATGATAAAATTAGGGCATTCAAGTGTGATACATGTGATGTCAGCTACACACAACGCTATGCATTGACCCTACATTTGAAGGAGAAACATGGGATAGAACCAGCCACCAAAGCAGTAAGTGACTTTTAACAACAGTAATCGCTGTATTTAGAACCTACCTAAATTAAAACAATAAGGTAATTACTTAATATCAATATTGAACAGTCTGTAATGGAGATTATGAAGATAATCAGGGAAAACCATTCATTTAATTCAAGGGGCTCTTCTGTGTAAACATTAATGTTGTTGCTTCATTCTAGTGTTGCAAATAAGCAATTCCTGCCCAAATATTGCAATACTTGAAATTCACAGTGATTATTAACTTTTTTCACATCTTTGTGCTTATTAGAATGGTCTGGAGGAGGTATTTTGAGTTTTTAAATGCCCATGCACTTAATACAGAGAATACGGTCATAATATTTCAAAGGAGAAGGGAAAGTATCGCAACAGATTTCGGACAGTCATATGTTGGATTTTGGCTATTTTCTGAGGATTTAAACAGGTGCATATGTTAGACCAATGCATTAACTCCAGGACAAGCACTGATAGAGATGATAAAATGATTTCCACTTTGAGACAGGGAAGATGTAAACAATCCACCCACATGTTTTTTGTGAAATGTTTTTCAACCCCTGCTTTTTCAATTTTCGTTGTATCTATATGTTGCGTTTTGAGACAGTTTAATCCTTTAAAGGAATAGGTAATTCCTTTTAGATTAAGTCGAAAACAATATTTCCCATGTTATTTTCCCATAGGGAAAACTCATGCGATCCATTGCTTTCAGCTTAATTTTGGTCACCCATAATGGATATCTTTAAAACCTCTGAAGGAATTCACTTATTCCTTTAAAGGGATTAACTGTGTGTGTATATGAGGGAGATAGTTCAGAGAAAAGAAAGTGTCTTTAATCCTCAATTAATTCTGAATATAATTTCTTTTCTAATACATTACCCAAATTCAATAACTCCCAGAAAATAACCTCTTTATATCAGTACAGTATATGTAGACAATGTATATTTTGTCTAAAATTATTTACAACAATTAATTTAAAATACATTATATTTCAGAACAATAGGGATAACTACAATCGAAGGTTAGGTGTAGGTAAGAGATCATCTCCAGCACAGTTTGTGAGACGGTCACAGAAAGGACGCAAGCGTAAAGTGGACAGTGAATCTGATACTAGCACTGATTCTGAAGCTGATTTTACTTCAGCAAACAGAAAGGTAACACATGCAATGCTATAAATGTCCGCTTCAATATTTGGCCAAGCAATGTATTAAACTTATTTTATTTTATTTTTATTCCTTTTTTATTCATTGAAAAATATTTGATCAAGCATATTGTTTTTTATAGTTCCTTAATTTGTAGTATCTATTCTGATTTCTCAATTAAGCAATTCTTCATCCTGTTGTTTCAGCTGGATCAGAGAGGTACAGATGTCTCAGAGAAGAAAACCCCAACACTGAGAAGGAGGAATTCTGGATCCAGTGTATCAACAATACCTATTGATGATAAAGTGACTGCGAAAAGGAAGAAGTCATATAACACAAGTGAAGATAATTCTGAATCCAGCGTATCAACAAAACCTATACAGGATAAAGTTACTGTGAAAAGGAAAACTCGCTCCCGGAAATAATGTTAGACAGTCTTATAGAGGGACAATAGCTAATTTACCAATACATATTATTAATTCAAATGAATTAATCTCAAAGTTTGAAAAAACTCTTTAAATGTTTATGTCAAGTTTAAAGTTGAAAAGACTACCTGCACCTTTTCCATTTTAAAAGGAAATGATGCGATTCGTTTCAAGCATAAAAAGTGTAAGTTTATGTTTAAGTTTCAGAAACAACATTTTGATACCATCTGTGGTCTGTTTTGATGAACATGAAATTGAAATAAAATCATGATACTGATGCACCAATCAGAAATATTTTGTTGAACCATTTGAACTTAGTTCAAGGGTTGTAGAAAACTGAAACTTCTTAAACAATGGATTTTCAATGTGGGATACCAATGTAATCCTGCATTTTGAAAATTTTCACCCAAAATGCAACTTAATTACCTTAAATTGATACAATTGTCTCTCGAACTACAGACTTGCCTCATTCAAAAGATCCTTGGAGACTATCTCTACTAAAATTTAGGGTCACAGAATTATTAAATATGCCAACAGTCCTCCATTGATTTTTTTAATGGATTTTTGTTGATCGCCAGTTTTCTCGACAAAGGGGCAAATGTTTTGTTTATAAATGTGAATTTCTGCACTCATTTAAGTTGCATGCACAAAGTGTATCTGATGGGTTAATTATTATCTCCTAATAGTATGTGTGTAGGCCTATCACTGAATAGAACTTACATGTGCAAGTTACACCATCTGATTCATCCCTACTCCATAATTAAAGCCCCCATATAAAGTTTAAACCACTTCGAGTTATATTGTAGTCTTACCCAATGTTATCAAAGTGTCATTTGTGAAACTTCTTATTTTAATTTCAAAAAGTGGTTTTTGAAGGACTTTTTGTTCGAAAAATCATGAATTTCTTTTAAACTAACTTTTAGACGTTTCATGTATCTTTTAATAAGGGATAATTCATACTAATGTTCAGCATTCATCCTCACATGTTTTTTGCCGAAAAAATCGGTTCATAAATAAGCGAGAAATGAACTCATCAATCCATGAAAATGGTTCAGAGAAAAATGCATTTCAAAATTTTAGTTCTCAAAGAAACCAATTGTACAATAATATCTAAAACATAATATATTCTTCCTTTTAACCTTGTAAGACAATCAACATTGATTTATTTTTGAAGTTTAGCATATTTAGAAAAGATTGATTTTTCAAAAAATGTTTTGCCAGCTGTTTGAGTCATCGATGACATCACTCAGGTTGTAAAATATTTTTGGTATGCTAAAACATTTAAGTGGCACATAAGATATGGCATTTTATTATTGAAATAGTGTGTCCTTTGTTCAATCTTTGCATAGGTGTTAAAAAGATAATCTTTTTTGAAATGCATGGTAGAATATTTGATAATTAAAAAAATTCATCATTTTTTGAAAAATGGCGGGAAATTTTCAAAAAATTCTTTTTTCAAAATATCTCTAAATTAACTTTTAAAGTCATGACAATTAGTAAATGAATGATAAAAACAAATTTTTAAACATTACACGGGGACTTAAAGGACAAACAAACAAAAAATCAAAAAGTAACAGCTCTCAGCTATTTTGTCCTCTCTTGCCCCTTATTGTCATTACCTCCATGAATAAAAAATAAGTGTTTATTTTTGTCTTACATTGGAATAGAAGTATAAGGTCTAGCATTTAATGAATCAGTGTCACAAATTGAACTCACAAGTAGATTGTTTTATCTGCAATTGGTATTTAAAAATCATTTCCTCATGTAATTACTGTCACTATTTGACTTTAAGTAGCACTATGGTTTGACCTTAAAGAAATAAAAGCATGATAAGACAATTGAAATGACGTTGCTTTGAATACAATTCATATTGTCCAGGAAGAGTTCTCATTACCTCCACCATGGATTATCTTAATTCATTCCAATAGGAAATTTCAATCAAGACATAAAAGGTGCAGGAGTCTTTTCCATAACTCATATATGTGGGCTTTAACATGTAAGTGCAATATATATAAAATGTGGTAAAACTAAGATTGTATTCGTGAATGCAACTGTTGGCTACCGGATTAACCTGCTATTTTATGGGCAACTCATTTAAATATGAATAGTACCTGCCACTATTCTATTCATATTTAAATGAGTTGGATATAAAATAGTAGGTCAATCCGGTAGCTGACAGGAGTTAGTTTTATTCGTGAATATAGGCTTAGACTTTACTGTTACAAAAGTCATGTTTTAACAATACAATCTTTCAATCTTATGTCATCTGCTACACCTTAACCTCAACCTAGTTTATCACAGTGATATATTTCTTCTTTTCGTCTACCATGTGTCTACTATAACACAAGAGTAATTATCACCAATAAACTATTTATTTACTTACATGTTGTGATGACATTGTGCACAGTAGAACTCATCACACGGGGATTAGCTAAATTCTATTTTGAAATGTCACTTCAAATTAAATTGCTTCCTAAAGTGATAACCACAAATCAAACTTACAGCAAGGACAAACTAACAAAACATGAATCATTCTAGTAGATACTAAATTATGGGTGATATTTAGTTAAATGCTATGACTTGAGCCAGGGATTGTTATACTTAGAAGACATGTGGATGTTGCAAAATGTCAAGTTAATGGTATAAATAGGAGAACATTGCTTGGAATATTTACCTTGCAGCTTTTAGCATTCCTGAGAATACCTCAATTAATACAACAAAAGGTAAGAATATTTTCAGAATGTAATCTTTACATTTTCTCTTGATTATTTTTAATATTTCATCACAAAATTGAATTTGACTTAAAATATTGTCTAACATGTAGCAAACTAATTATAATTTAATCAAATAAACCTTACAACTTGATACCAAGGTGTAGCAAAAATCATACATCTAATGAGTGTGAGACAACACTAGAAATCATGTCTCAAAATGGCTACCATAGATGTTTCAGCAAAAGATTATGTGTCATTTCAGCATGTATTTCCACATAAAATATCATTTATTAAAGAGAGAATCAGATCAAGCAAGCAAGCTAAACTAAAAATTGTTGTAAATTTTAAAATATTTTTGACTCATATCATTCCTTGTCATATTTATTTTCTAAAAATCCCAGAAGTGCATTTTTATTCTTGGGAAACTTAGGATTTTCACAATAATATGTTATTTCTCTATTTTCATGGTTTTTATTATTTGGGAAAATTTAAAGGGACATCAAGGCCTGAAGAGAGAAAAATAGAAAAATTTCCCTTTTTCTGAGCTATCATGGTGACGTTTGGCTTAACATCTTCTTAATAATGATGTTAGACCTAACTGCATTTTCTTAAAACGTATGGACATGCCAGTCTATTTCAGCCATTTCCATAAGAGGAGTCCCACTTTTAGATTTTTAAGATATACTACATTTCAAGATTTTAACTGTAGGAATTTCAGCAGAACTAAGGTTTATTCAATGGGTTTCTTTATAGATAATGAAAATAGATGTTAGCCTTGATGAAATATCCTAACTTCGATATATTTTGACACTAGTTCCATGATCGTTGGTATACTATAATGTTTCTGCACTAATTGTTCAACCTTTAGTCTTTTCTCCCATTTTTGCATTTTGAATCCTTAACTTAACCAATTTATAACATTTATTTATTTATTTATTTGGAATTACACTTTTAAAGCAGTGACACACTAACACTAGGTGCATCCAGGTAAAATATCCATTAAAATGATTACATCTATAGTAGTTTAAAAGTTATGACTATAAATCTGCTTGACACTATAAATCTGTTGACACTCTGTTTTTATAATAAAAAAATCATGTCCTCCAATCATTGCTCCTTCTCCCAAAATCCACTTTTCTGTTCAATAGGTAAAGGATACATTTGGATCTTTATTAGTGATTGAGTTTTAAAATGGTATACGGTTATCATTAAAATAGGGACATATTTAGAGTCTGTGTGTTATATCTTCTATGCTATTCAAACAACAGTATGTGCATTTATTGTCCAGTAGATCATTGCTCAGATTTCTCCATTTACAGGTTTCAGATCTTAAATTGAATCTACCAGTTCTTGCAAGGAATTTATATTTGCAGCCTAGGAAGTCATCCAAGGGTGTTTGAAGCTATTTTTCCTGAATGCCATATCTGTTCTTTAAATGCACATATGTTTTCAGACTAGACATATCATTAACACTCATTAAAATCCCCTTTCAACTTATCAGACGTATTACATTCAAACAATTGTTTTAGTTCACTAAAATCATGCAGTATTGCCTCCAGACTACAGTATGTTGCCAAACAGGGCAACCTTGGCAGGCTTGCAATGGACATTTATTTTATATATTACACAATATATACAATATTAGATGACATTTTACTGAAGTGTGACTTATTGTCAAGGAAAAGTATACCAGAGTGTATAAGAGTGATAGAAATTGCTGTTTTATCAAATCTATCACATTGTCATGATGTTCAGGTGTGCTTAATGATACATTTTCTATGGCAATGTAATTAATGAATCCTCCCCCTGGCCAAAAATTCTTTCAAAATCATGCAGTTTATCACCCTTCTTAGCACTTCTCAACTGATTTTTGGACCAAAATTGTCAAATGTGAACCCCCCTGGAAATTTTTGAAAACTGAACCCCCCCCTTGGCAAATCCTTGCTACGGGACCTGTATTGAATAATGATCTATTTGTTCTATTGTTTTAGTCTATGATGTCATAAGTAAAGGAATAATTTTCAGTTGCTTGAAGAAGCAAATCTAAATCAATTTGTTATTTTAACATAAAAACAACTACTTTTTGCATTAGCCTGATTATGCTTTTTTAACCTTTGTTAACCATGTACAGTTCCCCTAATGTATGATTAAAATCTTTCACCCTAACCTTGACCAACTTAGGTCACTAATATCAGAATGAGCACCTCAAAGCAAGTATGCATTCTACTGGAGAAAAGGGTTTTTTTCATGATAAAGCCCTGGGCTACAAAATGAAAGTCCACTGTAAAGCTTAAATAATATGAAGTACAGAACAATTTGACTTATTTTAAAAGCAAATGAAATCCCATGGGAGATGCTTCAACTGGGCCTAAAGTGACAAAAGAATTTGATAACTGTGAAAATGCATTTTGTTATTTCTATTTATTTCAGAATAAGTCTGAAGATGTCTGCCAAATTGGCTTGTTTGCTTTTGATGACAGTCTGTGTTGCTATGGTAGTGAAACAGAGCAGTGCCTTCGGCGACGTGTGTATCTGCGAACAATATAAATATGATATTGCAGGCTCTTGCAAACCTGAAGATTGTGATTGTTCAGATTCAAACTTGGCGGAATGTCTTTCCACACCTGAAGATTTAAGAACAAGTGAAATGTGCGACCCATGTCCCAAGAAATAATCATATACTGTACATCCTGATATCAATAGGAAATAAATACTAAATACAGTACTATGAGTTTATCATCTTGTGCATTATTTCCAATAAATGTGAAATCTCATTACATGTACTGGGCTTGGTTCACCAAAAAATGGAAAGATTTTCTCGAAGTCCCTCTATTGGTACATGTAATTCTTGAGTTTATGTAAATAAAACATTTCTATAATGTCTTGAACAGTGGTTTTTCTCATGTGACAAACAAATTGCGTAGAGAATAGAGGAGATGGAAACAATCAGATTACACCAAAATGGCAGATGTTACATGATTAAGTTTAATAACAACTTCTCCCAATCTTTCTTATGTCAAGCTGCAGTTTCTAATATAAGACCAAGCTATTCCATATTTCTAGCACTTCAACTATCAATCCTAACACATATTCAAAAAATCCATATACATGTACCAACAACTAACTTTAAAGGAAAACTAAAAATGAGCCTCATTTCATTTGCCAAAATCTAAAAGAAAGCTGAGAAAAATGGTATATCGTTTTCTAGTATTATACAATCTGTGTTAGAATATAAAGGAAGGGTTTCCTATAGTTTCTAAACTTTTGTAAATAAGTAATTTTGACACTGCAATTCACCAGAAATTGAATGTGATATCAGTTTTATCCTACGAGGGAGAAAAGTCATACTTGGTTTTATTATATCACAGTTAAGCTTTCCATCCTCATTTTGACAAAACAGCTTGATAAGTTCATAGATCGGCACATGTAATTCCACATGTAGTGTCTTCACTCACGTGCTTTTAAATTTCTCTTGAATGAATAGATGGCGTATTTGGTTCACACATAGACCAAATATGAATGACTAACATGGTAGTATGAGTACCTCTGCCATCTTTCAATTTTATTTGGAATAAAACTGACAAAACTTAAACAGATCGAAAATATTTTTGATAATCTATTATAAGCTCCAATGTGGCCATTTGAGCTGTCTTGGTGTCAAATGATCAAGTTTGAGTACATATCAATCCTTTGGAAAGAAATGGGAGATGAAAAATAAGTCTTTATTTTGCTTAAGAACACTGAAAAATATGCACTGAGTCACTTTAACTGGCATCATTCAACCATTTTGTGGTTGTAATTTCATTTGTTTCAAATTTTGAGTAATGCATGCTGTATTGGGTTTGCTTAATATGAAAATGGCAAGCATGACAGTGATATAACAACAATAAAACAAAATGGTACATACCTCTTGCGGAATACATGATATCATCGATGGCTATCTCTCCCAGTCTGCCTGCTGTAGCTTCTATGGTGAGAGAGTATTTGGCCGTTCCAGTCACTGGGATACTAGCCTGGTGCCAAGTGTTGCCTTGATCACCTACAACAAAATGCATGAAATCACATGAGTGCTGCATGGTTGTTATCTCTTATTCAAAGCCCTACCCTTTATACACATTGCTTTATCTCATATTCAATGCCCTACCTTTTATATAAAATGTTTTATCTTCTATTTAAAAGCCATAGTCTTTATACACAATGCTTTATCTCCTATTCAAAGCCCTACCCGTATACACAACCTTTTTATCCTATTCAATGCCCTCCCTTTTATACAAATGCTTTATCTCCTATTCAATGCCCTACCCTTTATACACATTGCTTTATCTCCTATTCAATGCCCTACCCTTTATACACAATGTTTTATCTCCTATTCAATGCCCTACCCTTTATACAAATGCTTTATCTCCTATTCAATGCCCTACCCTTAATACATAATGCTTCGTCTCCTATTCAATGCCCTTCCCTATATACACAATGCTTTATCACCTATTCAATGCCCTACGTTGTACACAATAGTTTATTTCATATTCAACGACCTACCCTTTATACAAAATGCCCTCATATATACAATTCAATACCCTTACAGAATACTTTACATAATATGTCCTATTCAATGCCCTACCCTTTATGTACAATGCTATATCACCTATTCAATGCCCTAACCCTTTATACACAATGCTTTATCACCCATTCAATGCCCTACCTTTCATGCTCCATATTGGTACCTCAGCACCTTCATTAAGGTACACTGTGAGGGTATTGATGTCCTGTCCATACATGTGATAGTTGAAGTGAAGATATGCAGAACCATCTTTTATAGAGGGAAGTTGCAGCCTTGCTTTGTCTCCTGTGTTGCGAAATTGTGTGTTTATGTACAGGTAATGCCCTGAAAGGTAAAATGTTTTGTGTTCAGATGTTTCATGCTTTGTCGATTCTTGCCCGCTGAATGTATTTCATATTATTTCACAATCTTACAGGTAGCATCCATGCTATTAGAACAAGTTGGACAGTCTGAACATTGCTGAAAGTCAGATTATTAAAAATTGTTGATAAATCTTTTTTGGCAGGAAAATGCAAATGTGTGCATACCATTTGAATTTTTATATGTGGCATCTGTGGTTGGTCCAGTGTTACTCTGTCCTGTGGCTCCTTGGCCAACTGACCAATCAAATTGACCAGTATTCTTTATGGAACATGATGCCTCCTCCATTGTACACTTGAACACAGGGGATGCTGGGATATCATTTACCTCCTCTGAAGAATAATAATTCAAACAAAAATCAGATCATCTGAGTACCCTGAATCCCCATTGGCTTACCATACTACACTCCGATTGCATCAAATGATTTTTCCTTGTGAAACAAAGCAATTTTAACACAAGGATTTACATGTTTATTCACTGATGCACATGCATCCTTTGGATAATTCACTCTCTCAATGTTTACAGAATTATTGTAACTGGATTATTTTATCTCCAAGACGATTTCAATAAACTGGAATTTCCCTTATTTCTCAAAAATGGACTGATCCAGTTGACTTACGTAGAGTGGCCATATTGTTTTTATATGGGATGCTTATTGTATGCTTTATAGCATTATATTATTCAATAACTTGATATCTATTTTCAGATTGACCCATACCCCATCCCAATCCTCAAAAACAAAGCCATACATTATTAAGATGTATAAAGTGAATTGAAAACAAGCAATTTAATTGGTCTAAAGCTTCATCATAGAAGGCAAAATATCTCACCTAGGTAAGGCATTAACATGACAAGATGTGTCACCTAGGTAAGTTCTTATGGATAGGATTTCAAAACTACAACAATTTGTTACAGAAGCTGACCACAGATATCAACCAATCACGCTCAATGTGAATCATGTCACGTTACTATCATCTCTTCCTGATGGTGACATAAGAACTGGCCATGCATGGAACAGTTTATATAGAATACCTACCATTACAATGGGCCAGTACCATAACATCATCAATGGCCAGATCTCCCCTGAACCCCAATACAGTAGGCTGAAAGACCACTCTGTATGTGCCAGGCTGCATATATTTTACTTTAACCTCTTTCCACCTTTGCTCCAAACCTAAAAAAAAACAAAACAGCTCAAATCTGAAGTGAACCTGGAATCTTAACTGGATGTATACACCTCCAATCCCCAATCTGAAATCACGGTACTGTGCAGTTACATTAACAATATGGTACCATATGGTACAGTTTGAGTATGGTTATGTACAGCGTTCACTGTTCAGTACATTACTGTTTTAGTCTACGGTACAATATGGTATCTATTTTACAATACCGTACAGTACCACAGTAAAAATGTTATCATATGGTTCTGTTTGAGATTGGCTGAGTATTATACTTGTAAATACTATATTTTGTCAACTTCTACAGTAAAACCTGTAAAGTGAAACACTTCTGGAATACCTTTGTAAGTGGAACACTTTTCAGGGTCCTGTACCAAAATGGCTTAAAGGCAGAATCAGATCTATAGGGGGTGACAAAATTACAAGCAACTTGTATAATTGACCTACCAATCTATTCCTTACAATCTCAAATACAATATCTCCCAAAAGAATCACAATATGTTATAAATTGGTAAAGTTATTAATGACTCAAAGTGCAAAAATGAGTGAAATTCTCCCAAATAATAAGAATGGTAACCATTCTTATAGAAAAATAATACATTATTGTAAAAATCTTTAGTTTTCCTTGAATAAAGTATGCAGTTTTGTGATTTTTAGAAAATAGACATGACAAGGAATGACATGAGCCAAAAATATTCTAAAATTGAGACAAATTTTTGTTTAGCCTACTCGCTATATCTGATTCTCTCTTTAATGTCTTATGAACCTCTGTACATGGGACATCTTTTTATTTGAAAACACCTCGTTGAAAGCTATAATTTGTCAAAAAATTTCATTTCATAAACATTTTGGCAATGTCATTCGTTTTCCTTAACTCCTTAAAGCTGAACTTAATTTCAGATTCAGATTTTAATGTATATATTAATAAAACACATTCTGCATCTTAAACTTTATAAGAATATTTAGTTTGCATTTTTTCAAGATCATTTACTCAAAACGGCCACTCCAACAAATATGAAGAAAATCCATCCAGTGACAACAAATGTGACTGGGTCGCTAGATTTTGGCCTGTTCTGATTGGGTAAGGCTAGAGAACAAAGGATTGTTTAAATAAAAAGCGTGTATATCAGCAAATACAAAAGAATATACTAACCTGAAGGTGTTATGGAATATATCAACTCTTGCTTTGTAGTTGATTCTCTCCTGTACACACTCAGCTTGCCTATATGTTCCCCATAGGCATGGTAGTGAAACACAAGACAATGGACCTGGTCTACAGAAATATTAGGAGAGGTCAATTCTGGAGTGAGGTCACTCACTGATGTTGGTGAGGCCTCAACGAAGATGAAATGTCCTGAAAATCATAACAAACATTTGAAAGGATCAGCACTTGATGTGTAAGAAGGAGATCAGTTATTGCATGGGCTTTCAATAGATTTAATGCCCATGGTTATTTTGTACATTAGTTTATGAAGCACAGAACTAAAATGTAAGGATTGATTGGTGCACATTGAATGGTTTTCATGTACAATGTCCAGCATGTACAATATATGCATCGAATATCCTGCATGTACAATATATGCATTGAATATCCTGCATGAACAATATCCTACATATTCAACACATCCTAGACATAATAATCAATCAAATAGATAAATGAACAAAATTATTTATTTTAATACTCTAACTTATAGAGATAACAAAAATTCAACAGATCCTGACAAAATGTATGTACAGGGTGTCAAATAAATATATTCTCCATCTTAATTTCAACAATATGATCCTTTATGCACAAAAGTGCATTTAGTTGAGCTATAGTGATCTGAATCCCTGTGGAGTTGCTCCATGAAGCCTAGTTTTAATGTGCTAAAGAACAAGTCATGATATCATACAGACAAAAAAGTTATGCAACATTGTGTGGGGGAGAGCATATTTATTTGACAACCTGTACATGTGCATTCAGGCCAGATCATAAACAAACCTATAGGCTGTCCAAGAGTATGATCATTATATGGTCCAGTCCCAGAGCTAGGAGTCTCTCTTTGCTGCCAGAACCAATCAAAATCATCGTTCAAGTTCTTGCTGAAGTTGCACGTTGTTGTCTCAAAATTACAAATGAAGAATTCCTTCTGTGACTGTTGTGTTGGCTTTTGTGATATAGTTGTTGGCGCTGAAAAATCATTCACAAATGATTCGAGTTTAACAAGGTTGCTTCAATGCATGAATTAATTTTCACACAAGATGATAACAATGTAGCATTTTAAGAAAATGTGCTAAAATATATTGTTAGTCTTGTATAGACGTGTCGCAAGAAGGTCGCGCACACATTGTTACACATTTTCGCTTTTTAACACCACAGAATGTGATGTTTTTTGAGAAAAATGTACACATATGGAAATCCTTTCGTCCTCCACATTTGCCTCTATATCTCAAAATATTTAAGGCGAATAACTCTGATATCGCATATGTATTAACAATGGGATAGGAGCATCATAAAACATGAATCAATTGATATTTTAGGTGAAATAAATATATGTGTTGCTGTGCTTGAAAATAAGCGAATGGGGTAAATTAGCCCTATTTTAATGAATTTTGAAAACCTTTCGTCCTCCACTTTTCCACATACAATAGAAAACGCATACTTCTGCGAACAAAATCAACTATATATCAATAAACTAGAGTTTAAGAGCAAAATAATCATGTATGATTTATTAAAAATTGATCTCGTATTTTTTGTTTAATGTACACCTGAAAAGTTGAAGGTAACAAAAAATGAGCAAAAAAGGTCGCTGTCAACTGATTCTATTTTTCAAACTATATGACGTCACAATATGGGATGCTTACTAAAATTCATCCTTTGAAATAAAACTTCCATCTACCTTTACTAAGACAAAAAATAAGTATAATAGTCATATATTGTTTGAGTTATGAGCTTTTAAAGACGAAAAATAATTCAAAATGTAACGTGTCAACAGGGGATATTTGCCAGATGTTTTGGTAAAAAACTATCTTTTTAAAAAAAAAAGAACGCGCAAGAATCGTGAACAAAGTGTAGTTGATCTAAAAACTTCATCGAAACAGCTTTAAAATGATATATAACTTTAATTAGAATATTATCTTATAATCCGGGGAATCAAAGTTACATTCACGCAATACCCTTGAAAAACAAATGCGCCACCTTTTTGCGACACATCATAGAATATGTATTTGACTGGTGGAGTGGGACACAAAGAGTTGATGAAAGGCTAAAATAATTTGTTTCTTTCTTAATGTATCCCTACCATGTTAAATGTGCACTTTTAGAATTAAATGCTATAAGACCATAAGTCAGATACTTATTGTCGTTATTCCATCATCTCATAGTTCATAGAGAAAAGGTTTAGTGTAAAAATTTATTAATCATATCAGTCACCTCATATTATAAATATAATACATATAATATGTATTTTATTTCCAAATATTAATAAGTCACATTAAAAAAAAGAACTCACCTACACATAACCCTGGTCTGATCTCTATGTCATCTATAGCAATGTCTCCTCTAAAACTATCCCCAGTCTCACCCTGTATCTGAAGTCTATATACCCCAACCTGTAGCTGGAGCTCTAGGGAGAGCCATCTATTCCCCTGATCACCTGGAGACAGAGCAGTAAATTGTTTAACAAGTGAGTGATTGCAAAAGCTCACCATGTGAGCTAAAAATCATGATATTGTATCACAAATCACTATATTGTATCACAAATCTTGATATTGTATCACAAGTCACTATATTGTATCACAAATCTTGACGTTGTATCACAAATCACTATGGTGTATCACAAATCATTGTACATGTATATAGTGTATCACAAATCACAATGTATTGTTCGTCAATCATTATTGCATCAACAATCAATCAATTGTAGTGTATCACAAATCAATGTATATTGTATCACAAATCAATGTACTATAACACAATTATTGTATCAGCTTCCTCCACACATGTAGTCTTTTTACCTTTAGCAATCCAAAGTGTCTGCTGGTTCATCTCATTAATCACCCTAAGAGCCCCTGTGGAGCTCCCATACATGTGGTAATACATCTTGAAACATGCAGAGCCGACTATAGACAACAGTGGAGTCAATAACCCAGCTGTGTCTCCCCTCACTCTCGGGCTTGAGGTCTCGATGAACATGAAATAGCCTGAAAATAAACTCTGTTCTACAATATATAAACATGTCTCAAAATTGGCAAATCCCTGTACACAATAATCTCAAATGTAACTATAAAGAATTTAAATAAATGCAGCTAAAATACTACATATTTGATTAGACAAAACAAGATGCACTCTAAATATTGCACTTTTAAAACTTCAAAATTACTAAAACCTAACCAGTTGGCAAACATTTGTTTTTCGATCAGTAAAAACTTCAAGTTTTCCTGGAATTTTGAAGACAAGATTTATATGATACCAACCTACCCAGCAGCACAAGACAACAACAAGAAAGCATGTTGAAAAGTGTGATAATATCATCTCTCTCTTGAAGAGTTAGGTCAAGATCAAACTCTTGCCAAGGGTGGGCATTAACATATAATAAACACCCACCTGTTCCTGATGTATGGTCACTAGTTGGTCCTGTTGAACTACTGGGAGTTTTACTTCTAGATCGAGACCATTTGAAATCTAACCCTGTGGCATTTGTGAATCCACACATATCAGAGTCAAAGTTACATGATACAGAAGATGCTACAGATCCAACTGTAGTTGAAGTAGGTGGTGTTGTTGGAGAAGTGCTAGCGGTTGTTGATGGTGGAGTAGTTGAAGGCACTGGTTGAACATCAATTTTTACTGGAAGTACATGTGTCTGTGAATTAATGTGCAATGAAATAAAGAGTGACTTTACATGCAGAGTCCATTTTTGATGAATCAGATATGGTGATTACTGAATAGAGCACAGGTCAGCCCAGTGATTGTTGAAAGGGAACTGGTTAAGTCTATTAATCTCACTACAACTTCAAGTCTGGAAGATATCGTTAAACACTGGTTGAGTAAATCGGTGACACTGGTTGAGTTGTTCATACAGAATGTTCTGAGAAGTTGTCAAAATGAATGTACAGTGACTTTCCTGCCATATTGCACTCATTCTATATTCCAAATAATGCCTTCACAGGCCTTACTCTAGGTACTCTGCCATATTCCACTTATTCTGAATTTTAATATTAAAACAAAGAGTGAAATTAACAAGCACTTACTACATCCTTGTGCCTCTGAGGCTGTTGCTGGTCGTATAGAGAGATCATCAATGGCAATGTCACCTCTAAAGGAATGGCCGACAGTACCTTCGAAGATCAACTGGAATGCATTCCCACTCTGAGTTAGTTTAACATTGTGCCAGAATTTGCCCCTATTACCTGTAATAAAAAAATAAGAAAAAGAACTTATATTCAGTGAGGATAGTCAGGGAATCATATTTGCACCTTGTTTGCAGCTGTGAAGATTTGCAACGCTGTTGCAACAATGTGATATAACATTAATCAATATAGGTTGCAAAGGAGTGGTATCCATATGGAGAACATTTTGAACAAACATTTCTCTTACACCAGTCATAAAAAAATCTAAAAATTTAACACATTGTCAATTTAATGGTCATCTTTTAAACGGTAACAATATAATTTGAAAAATATATATAAACTTTCATCTATATTGCTTTAGAAAACACATCAAACACTTGTTTTGTTCTTGGTATCATGTTTCCAGAGTGAAATGAAACATCTTTCCGAACCTCATTGGAAGAAAACGACATAAACACAACTTGTTTAGGTCTCTCAATATTGTAATTGTACAAAGGAAATTTTGGTTGATTTTAAAAAAGTATCTTGTTAATGAAATAAAAGGTTTATCTTGATTTTTATCTATTTTTGGGGGATTTTGTTTTAATTTTTTGAGTACTTTTTTAAAATCAACCAAAAATTCCTTTGTATAACTCTAATATTGAGAGGACTAAAAACATATTTGTATATGCTATTTTGTTCGGAAAGACATTTTATTTCATTCTCAAGAATTGGTAAAAAGGAGCAAAAATAATTGCACTAAAAAAACAAAAAATGTTAACAAAAACAGTCATATAAAAAAAATATTTTAAAATAATTTTTGCATAAAATTGTTGTCAATCAGACAACATTACATAAATTACTGTGTTTTTTACAGAATGTTTTCAATGATTGGTTTAAGAGAAAAACATTGTTGAATTCAGTTCACCATATTGACACCAATCCTTTGCAACTTCTATTCAAAGTGATTTAATGACCATAATGTATAACTAATAAAATTACAGCTATATTTAATCTAAATTAGTTTTTATTTATGTTTTCCAAAAATAAGCTCTGTTAAATGGCATTTCAGAAAAATTGCTTCATATTCAATATTGAATTGTCCAATTCCCTTATAAATGTTTCTGGACACCACATGTGCTAAACATAGATGTATACAAACCTTTGACTGAGTAGACTGACACCTCAGACTGACCGAAATGTTTGATATAGACAGTCAATGTGTCGACATCTATACCATACAACATGTCTACAAACTCAACGACGAGGCATCCATTGCCTGTGCCTTTTGAGGTCAACATTGGGGTCATAAGGCGGGCCTTCTGACCTTGAACCTGTGGCCCTGATGTCTCAATGTAAGCATAATGACCTAAAACATCAAGATTTCATATGTTTTAATCATCTTAATTCACTGTATTATCCAATAACGTTTCAATAATTTTGTCTTCAATTAATTGTTTCAATCAATTCCCCATTTTGCTTTTCTATGTACATGTAAAGTACTACACAGTAAAACCTGTATATCTGAGCAAGTCTCATCTGAAAAGCTCTCTATAAACAGTTTTTGCATTATGAAAAAACTGTCCAACTTTGATGTTTTCCCATTTGATATGGCTAAACTTGAAATGTGAACACCTGTTCATCAAAAATCCGAACACTTCTGTATGGTCTCAGTTGCATTCAGATTAGATTTGTTTTACTGAAGTTCATTTAGTTCTTATAGAGATGATTCCAATTTAGCTGAATATTTGCCTAGTAAACAAATCTACATTTAAGAGAATAATACTGTACCTTCTGAGGTGCCTAAAGTATGATCACTGGTAGGGCCAGTGGCATGACTGGGCGTCTCGCCTTTAGTTATGGTCCAGTTGAAGTCACCATTAGGGTCATGTAGCAGACCATTAAACCCGGATTCAAAGTCAGTTTGTAATGATGTCACTCCGTTAACAGTTGATTGGCTGGTTTGGTAGCTGGAGGAAGTGCTTGTTTGAGTGCTTGGCTTTGTTGTAGTGCTTGAAGGCTTTTTTGTAGTGCTTGAAGGCTTTGTTGTCGTGCTTGAAGGCTTGGTTGTAGTGCTTGAAGGCTTGGTTGTAGTTGTTGGAGGCAAAGTTGTTGTTGTAGTAAGTTTAAAGGTTGTCTTCGTTGAAGATGGTGAAGTTGTCGTGACTCCTGACTGCCCTGCACATGCCCCCTGTTGGAGAGATATACCATCTAATGCAATGTCACCTCTCCAGCCACTCCCTGTTGTAGCTCCAAAGTCAATTCTAGTCACAGAGGGTGCAATATCAACTGATTGACTGTACCAAAGGTTAGCCTGGTTACCTATAATAGTGAAAAGCCATTGAATATGCATGTACCTTTTTGTTACAAAATGAGTCTTAGAATTGATCTAAGAGTTTTAAAAAGGTAATTTTACATTTTAATCTTGAATTGTGAGATCTTAGGTAATATCAAATCTTTAATAGAGTTTCAAATGAGAAATTAATCTTGGTTATTTATATGCAGAAATGTACAAAAGTATTGTAGTAAATCATTATATTATTAGCTAAAACAAATAAACTCTAATAAATAATAAAAGAGTCTAAACACATTTAAAGAGTTTAAACAAAACTGATCTTTTGTGAATCTTGTATAAATGTTCTTACCTGTTCTTGTAAACAATGTAGTATTAGTGGACTGTGATCTAGCTGAGACCCATAGTGATCCTATGTCACTTCCCCACATGTGGTAGGCAAATGTTAAGTAATGTGAATCTTGTATAAATGTTCTTACCTGTTCTTGTAAACAATGTAGTATTAGTGGACTGTGATCTAGCAGAGACCCATAGTGATGCTATGTCACTTCCCCACATGTGGTAGGCAAATGTGAGGCAATGTGAATCTTGTATAAATGTTCTTACCTGTTCTTGTAAACAATGTAGTATTAGTGGACTGTGATCTAGCTGAGACCCATAGTGATCCTATGTCACTTCCCCACATGTGGTAGGCAAATGTGAGGCAATGAGAATCTTGTATAAATGTTCTTACCTGTTCTTGTAAACAATGTAGTATTAGTGGACTGTGATCTAGCTGAGACCCATAGTGATCCTACATCACTTCCCCACATGTGGTAGGCAAATGTTAAGTAATGTGAATCTTGTATAAATGTTCTTACCTGTTCTTGTAAACAATGTAGTATTAGTGGACTGTGATCTAGCAGAGACCCATAGTGATCCTACATCACTTCCCCACATGTGGTAGGCAAATGTGAGGAAATGTGAATCTTGTATAAATGTTCTTACCTGTTCTTGTAAACAATGTAGTATTAGTGGACTGTGATCTAGCTGAGACCCATAGTGATCCTACATCACTTCCCCACATGTGGTAGGCAAATGTGAGGCAATGAGAATCTTGTATAAATGTTCTTACCTGTTCTTGTAAACAATGTAGTATTAATGGACTGTGATCTAGTAGAGACCCAAAGTGATCCTATGTCACTTCCCCACATGTGGTAGGCAAATGTGAGGCAATGAGAATCTTGTATAAATGTTCTTACCTGTTCTTGTAAACAATGTAGTATTAGTGGACTGTGATCTAGCAGAGACCCATAGTGATCCTATGTCACTTCCCCACATGTGGTAGGCAAATGTGAGGAAATGTGAATCTTGTATAAATGTTCTTACCTGTTCTTGTAAACAATGTAGTATTAGTGGACTGTGATCTAGCTGAGACCCATAGTGATCCTATGTCACTTCCCCACATGTGGTAGGCAAATGTAAGGCAATGTGAATCTTGTATAAATGTTCTTACCTGTTCTTGTAAACAATGTAGTATTAGTGGACTGTGATCTAGCAGAGACCCATAGTGATCCTATGTCACTTCCCCACATGTGGTAGGCAAATGTGAGACAATGTGTATCTTGTATAAATGTTCTTACCTGTTCTTGTAAACAATGTAGTATTAGTGGACTGTGATCTAGCTGAGACCCATAGTGATCCTATGTCACTTCCCCACATGTGGTAGGCAAATGTGAGGCAATGAGAATCTTGTATAAATGTTCTTACCTGTTCTTGTAAACAATGTAGTATTAGTGGACTGTGATCTAGCTGAGACCCATAGTGATCCTATGTCACTTCCCCACATGTGGTAGGCAAATGTGAGGCAATGTGAATCTTGTATAAATGTTCTTACCTGTTCTTGTAAACAATGTAGTATTAGTGGACTGTGATCTAGCAGAGACCCATAGTGATCCTATGTCACTTCCCCACATGTGGTAGGCAACTGTGAGGCAATGTGTATCTTGTATTAATGTTCTTACCTGTTCTTGTAAACAATGTAGTATTAGTGGACTGTGATTTAGCAGAGACCCATAGTGATCCTACATCACTTCCCCACATGTGGTAGGCAAATGTGAGGCAATGAGAATCTTGTATAAATGTTCTTACCTGTTCTTGTAAACAATGAAGTATTAATGGACTGTGATCTAGCTGAGACCCATAGTGATCCTATGTCACTTACCCACATATGGTAGGCAATGTGAAGAAATGTGAATCTTGTATAAATGTTCTTACCTGTTCTTGTAAACAATGTAGTATTCGTGGACTGTGATTTAGTAGAGACCCATAGTGATCCTACATCACTTCCCCACATGTGGTAGGCAAATGTAAGGCAATGTGAATCTTGTATAAATGTTCTTACCTGTTCTTGTAAACAATGTAGTATTCGTGGACTGTGATTTAGCAGAGACCCATAGTGATCCTACATCACTTCCCCACATGTGGTAGGCAAATGTAAGGCAATGTGAATCTTGTATAAATGTTCTTACCTGTTCTTGTAAACAATGTAGTATTCGTGGACTGTGATTTAGCAGAGACCCATAGTGATCCTACGTCGCTTCCCCACATGTGGTAGGCAAATGTTAAGTAATGTGAATCTTGTATAAATGTTCTTACCTGTTCTTGTAAACAATGTAGTATTAGTGGACTGTGATTTAGCAGAGACCCATAGTGATCCTACATCACTTCCCCACATGTGGTAGGCAAATGTGAGGAAATGTGAATCTTGTATAAATGTTCTTACCTGTTCTTGTAAACAATGTAGTATTAGTGGACTGTGATCTAGCAGAGACCCATAGTGATCCTACATCACTTCCCCACATGTGGTAGGCAAATGTGAGGAAATGTGAATCTTGTATAAATGTTCTTACCTGTTCTTGTAAACAATGTAGTATTCGTGGACTGTGATCTAGCAGAGACCCAAAGTGATCCTATGTCACTTCCCCACATGTGGTAGGCAAATGTGAGGAAATGTGAATCTTGTATAAATGTTCTTACCTGTTCTTGTAAACAATGTAGTATTAGTGGACTGTGATTTAGCAGAGACCCATAGTGATCCTATGTCACTTCCCCACATGTGGTAGGCAAATGTGAGGCAATGAGAATCTTGTATAAATGTTCTTACCTGTTCTTGTAAACAATGTAGTATTAGTGGACTGTGATCTAGCTGAGACCCATAGTGATCCTATGTCACTTCCCCACATGTGGTAGGCAAATGTGAGGTAATGTGTATCTTGTATAAATGTTCTTACCTGTTCTTGTAAACAATGTAGTATTAGTGGACTGTGATCTAGCTGAGACCCATAGTGATCCTATGTCACTTCCCCACATGTGGTAGGCAAATGTGAGGAAATGTGAATCTTGTATAAATGTTCTTACCTGTTCTTGTAAACAATGTAGTATTAGTGGACTGTGATCTAGCTGAGACCCATAGTGATCCTATGTCACTTCCCCACATGTGGTAGGCAAATGTGAGGCAATGAGAATCTTGTATAAATGTTCTTACCTGTTCTTGTAAACAATGTAGTATTAGTGGACTGTGATCTAGCTGAGACCCATAGTGATCCTATGTCACTTCCCCACATGTGGTAGGCAAATGTGAGGAAATGTGAATCTTGTATAAATGTTCTTACCTGTTCTTGTAAACAATGTAGTATTAGTGGACTGTGATCTAGCTGAGACCCATAGTGATCCTATGTCACTTCCCCACATGTGGTAGGCAAATGTGAGGAAATGTGAATCTAGTATAAATGTTCTTACCTGTTCTTGTAAACAATGTAGTATTAGTGGACTGTGATTTAGCAGAGACCCATAGTGATCCTACATCACTTCCCCACATGTGGTAGGCAAATGTGAGGTAATGTGAATCTTGTATAAATGTTCTTACCTGTTCTTGTAAACAATGTAGTATTAGTGGACTGTGATCTAGCAGAGACCCATAGTGATCCTATGTCACTTCCCCACATGTGGTAGGCAAATGTGAGGCAATGAGAATCTTGTATAAATGTTCTTACCTGTTCTTGTAAACAATGTAGTATTAGTGGACTGTGATCTAGCAGAGACCCAAAGTGATCCTACGTCACTTCCCCACATATGGCAGGCAATGTGAGGCAATGTGAATCTTGTATAAATGTTCTTACCTGTTCTTGTAAACAATGTAGTATTAGTGGACTGTGATTTAGCAGAGACCCATAGTGATCCTATGTCACTTCCCCACATGTGGTAGGCAAATGTGAGGCAATGTGAATCTTGTATAAATGTTCTTACCTGTTCTTGTAAACAATGTAGTATTAGTGGACTGTGATCTAGCAGAGACCCAAAGTGATCCTACGTCACTTCCCCACATATGGCAGGCAATGTGAGGCAATGTGAATCTTGTATAAATGTTCTTACCTGTTCTTGTAAACAATGTAGTATTAGTGGACTGTGATCTAGCTGAGACCCATAGTGATCCTATATCACTTCCCCACATATGGTAGGCAAATGTGAGGAAATGTGAATCTTGTATAAATGTTCTTACCTGTTCTTGTAAACAATGTAGTATTAGTGGACTGTGATCTAGCAGAGACCCATAGTGATCCTATGTCACTTCCCCACATATGGTAGGCAAATGTGAGGAAATGTGAATCTTGTATAAATGTTCTTACCTGTTCTTGTAAACAATGTAGTATTAGTGGACTGTGATCTAGCTGAGACCCATAGTGATCCTATGTCACTTCCCCACATGTGGTAGGCAAATGTGAGGCAATGTGAATCTTGTATAAATGTTCTTACCTGTTCTTGTAAACAATGTAGTATTAGTGGACTGTGATCTAGCTGAGACCCATAGTGATCCTATGTCACTTCCCCACATGTGGTAGGCAAATGTGAGGCAATGTGAATCTTGTATAAATGTTCTTACCTGTTCTTGTAAACAATGTAGTATTAGTGGACTGTGATCTAGCAGAGACCCATAGTGATCCTATGTCACTTCCCCACATGTGGTAGGCAAATGTGAGGAAATGTGAATCTTGTATAAATGTTCTTACCTGTTCTTGTAAACAATGTAGTATTAGTGGACTGTGATCTAGCTGAGACCCATAGTGATCCTACATCACTTCCCCACATGTGGTAGGCAAATGTGAGGAAATGTGAATCTTGTATAAATGTTCTTACCTGTTCTTGTAAACAATGTAGTATTAGTGGACTGTGATCTAGCTGAGACCCATAGTGATCCTATGTCACTTCCCCACATGTGGTAGGCAAATGTGAGGCAATGTGTATCTTGTAGTGGAGTGAGTGAGGCATATATCATAGCCCTGTCCCCTTGTACCCTGGGGGTGGACGCCTCTATGTAGAGATACCCACCTTGAATTAGAAAGAAGTGAATTTATAGCATAGAGTAAGTTAAATCAAAGAATCTTCAGCATACATGAATATATCATACTTTCAACTCCCATCCCCTAATATTTGGCTCTTAATCAGGATGTTAAACATATAATTTTCTTTGAATGGCCTACACATGTAAACAATGGAACATATATGTACCATTGTGCGGTTTACACACACACAAGATAGTGGTTTCTTAGGTGATGGAATGGTCTTGCTTCAAGACCCTGACCCCCCCCCCTATCTTCTAGGTAAGGGGGGGCACAGTATTGAAGCAAGACTAGTGATGGAATTGACCTTTTGTGATCAGAATGCATGTATACTGTTGTCATGTATTTCGTCTTATTGGTGTGACATCAAATAAAACTGATATTAGACATGATGGACAGAGGAAATGGCGGACACGTGGCAGTTTTAAGCTAAAAATATTATCGTTTCTTCGATGAAAACCTTGGGTCGAATATTTACCACGTATGCCGATTTGACTAGATCATGAGTATATCTTTATATGTGTGAAGTTTCGGTGAAATTCATACTAATCATTAACCGCTATCTAAATCATGTCAGTAAGATCTTAGACTTGGCACATGCTTAGAATGAATGTTGATCTAGTCAAATCGAACACTCGTGAAAAATAGATAAATTAGTACGAAATACAGAAGATGATATCTCAAAATCAAACAGCTATAGCAATGTGGCCTAATTGTGACGTCACTGCAAGATAAAATCCATCCAGTGATCGCAAATCATCAATTTTAATAACACATAATTTGATATGATCAGAATTTCAAATCCCAAAGTCCATGGGGAAAGTGGTTTTAATTGATAAAAACAAAAGTTTTAAAGATAAACTGACAGCCATCATTGTATCATGAGCTTTATTTTAGGTGGATCCATGCAAGAACCATTGACCAATGAAGTAATAAAACATTTGCCAAGGGTAATCAATTTGAAGTACCAGAATCACAGGAGCAAGTGTAATCCTTGGTTGGACCTGTATCTCCACTTTTAGTTGACCCCTTGTTCCATGTCCAGGTGAAGTCCCCACTAAGGTCATTCTCAAGTGATGCACAGGTGTTTCCTCCATCAAAGTCACAAGAAAAGCTCACTTCTGATAATGGGGAGACTGTGCTAGGTTCAGGAGATGGCTTAGGATCACCTGAAGAAGACAGTGAAGTTCAAGCTGTTTAGTGATACATGTACATGTTGAGAATGTTGAGTTGAGTTATTGGCAGATCATTGTAGGCAGTACATGTATGTAAGATGAATTGTATACACATAATGAATAATTTTGAGTTAAGTTTTGAGTTGTGTTATCAAATGTAAGATCTTTTATAAATATCAAAAAACTACAAAACAAAATGTTTACTCTACCCATAAAGGTACAGTTTCTGACCTAACACTTTACCCTCATTTGTCAGTATAGATGTGCCTTCAAACTACAGGGTGACCCAAAAAAGCAGAACTCATAAAGTCTGAGTCTGTGTTTTACCTATTTGACATGTATGCCCACAGCCATTAAAACAACACATTGTATCACCAGTACACGAGTCTTTAGTATTCCTTGTTATGTTCTTCTGTGTACATGCTTCTACACATGCTCCTACTTTCCCTGCACTCACAGGCCGACAAACATGATCATCACTGTACTTGCCTACAAAGTAAAATCAGTCTGTTATAGTCAAATGTTCCATCTCATAAAGGAAACTATCACCAACCAGACCATTGCAAATTAATGTATTTGATTGGCCAGTTTCAGTCATGTGACTGTCCAGCATGGGGCAATCCCTGATGGGATGTGTTACTTATACTTTTTACTGATTATATCAGTAGGATTTCTCCAACTAGAAAAAGGTTCCTTCATAACTGTTGGTAAAGATAAAAAAAATCCCATAAATACTTGCACTACATCATGTGAGATGGGCGCTTATGTTCTGCTACAAGAGCCTAAATGAAGATCAACTTCTCACACCTGTGCCCATAACCTTGGAAACAACAATACATCACAAGCTAGTAGAATATATGTACTTCCATTCAGTTGTCTCTACCTATCTTACCTTTCTCACATGCATGGCCACAGCCATTAAAACAACACAATGTATCACCAGTACACGAGTCTTCAGTATTTGTGGTCGCATTCTCCTGTGTACAATCTTCAACACAGATGCCTACTTCATCATCACCCACGATTCTGCACTCATGAGTATCACTATACTTGCCTTTAAGGTTAAAAAGATTATAGTGTGAAAGAACAGTAAAAAATACAGTAAAACCTGTATAAGTGGAACACATTTGGTAGCTCTAAAAAGTGTTCCACTTTGGAGGTGTTCCACTTATTGAGGTTCATTTAACATAATGTCAGTTGGTCTTGGGACTCTGAAAAACTTTACAGGTTTCACTGCATTACCCTTTGATAGTTCAAATATGATAAGCTATTACTTTCTATGTGTGAACCTTTTCTATAAGGCAATTAATTCACTAATTACAATGTGAGAAATCTTTACTAGATTTGTAGAAAAGACTTGTAGCAAAATCTACAAATGGTCCAAGTTACAGGTTATTCTGAATTTCTTTCGATTTTGGTGCATTTTAGGATCAGAAATAGGCAAAGACCGCCTTTAATCTTATGATTTTAAGAAGGTGATTCAACTGTTTAACCTGATTGCTTTACTTGATTCAACTTGATTTAAATATATTTAACTTGATTCAATTTGTTTAACTTGATTCAACTTGATTTAAATATATTTAACTTGATTAAATTTGTTTAACTTGATTCAACTTGATTTAAATATATTTAACTTGATTTAACTTGTTTAGTTACCTCTTCTAGTGACAGTGATGTCATCAATGGCTATATCTCCTCTATAACTAACCCCACGAGTAGCCTCAAATATTAACTTGTGTTTCCCCTGGGGCAGGTATACTGCTGCTTGGAGCCACACATCACCCTGGGGGCCTGAAGAATAGAATGCATTTGAGGGGTCAGCCAAAAGTTTTGATAGGTAGGGGTTAATCACACCTTGATTGTGTAAAGTAGGTGAACAATGAATTTAGTGTCCATATAGGCTTTAATAATTAGGAAATGGACTAATAATTTAAGTTATTTTTACAGCTTATATAAAAATAACTAATTGAATTTATTTCTTCAATAAACCAAATCCACAGGTTCCGTTATTTTATTTGGTATATCGTTTGTCCACATTTCCATTTCTGATTTTCAACCAAACTCGCATCTCATGTTTTTATAACAATTATTTTGATCATGTTTATATGCTGATTTTTAGGATTCATCAGGAAATGACATTTAAACAAATAGCAGTTTTGAACAGTGTTTGAGTCAATTAACCATATTTACCTAAACACTCTAAAAACATATGACACAGAGATAGCTGAAGGTCAATTAATGACAATAATTAGCAATTACCTGTTCTCTGCCACAATATGTTCTCCTCTATCTTTACTCTAAGTTGTGCTACATCTTCTCCAAACATGTGATACCAGAATGTCAAGGTTGACCCCTCAGTGAGAGACAGTATAGGAGAGAACAGTCTTGCTACATCATCCTTTACTCTTGGATCTGAGGTCTCTATATACATATAGTAACCTGGAATAAGGAATGTACAGAATTTATTTTAAGTAAGGATAGTCCGAAGCCCTTAAGATATCAGCCTGTGATATTTAAATCAAATCACTCCACCATATTTGAGTTATAGCCCATACAAACAAAATCAGCTTGCGGTACCTTGATCATTAGCTTGAGTATGGTCATTTCTTGGGCCTGATGTGTCTGTCTTTGTGCTTTTTGAGTGACGGGTCCAATCAAAATCATCATTAGTATCATCCTCCATATTGCAGTCATCAACATCAAATGTACAGGAATATAACACTCTGTTTGGATATGATACTCCTTGGGATTGCATTGTTGTAGTAGTGGCTTGTTTTGAAGTGGTGGCTGGTTGTTTTGTAGTGGTAGTGGATTGTTTTGAAGTGGTTGTGGGTTGTTTTGTAGTTGTGGTGGGTTGTTTTGAAGTGGTGGTGGGTTGTTTTGTAGTGGTGGTAGGTTGTTTTGTAGTTGTTGGTTGTTTTGTAATTGTAGAGGGCTGTTTTGTTGTGGTTGTAGATTGTTTTGCATCTGGATCAGGTGATAAATCTGAAATATAAGAAAAGTACACATGAATACATGTGAACGTATAATCTAAAAACAATATTAAGCCATATGACAATATAAGTAAATACTACAAAGATAAAAAGAGAAAGCACAAAGGGCAACACTTGTAATTAACTGGATGCTTTAATTGTGACAGCTTTTGTTGGCTATAAAATCTATTTCAGTTCATGTAACTTATATTCAAAGAAGAGAATAGGGAAAATGACAGTGTTTTTCATATAATATCTATCAAAAGACTGAGTGACCAGGTTCACACTCTTGAATAAAATATAGTTTTCAGGAGGGAAAATTGAAAATGGCCACCCTAACATTTACCCAGACTGCCCAAAAACTCAGTTCTAAACTTTAATATGTTGAAATATCGCTAAAATTTTCAGATGAATCCATGAAACAGTTTGGCTGGAAACCTATAGAAGCCCTGAAATTTTCAGATAAATCAATTTAACAGTTTGTCTGAAAACCTGTAGACAAGATTTTAGGATGTCTGCTCACCCGGCAAACTAATCACAATATAGAAAAAGTAAAAATAGAAATCTATGTGACATCCCATGTAGCTATAGAGGAAAGAAAGGGATTAAACTGAATCGATGAATTTAACAATCCATTAAATATGAATCTTACCTGGAGAGAAAATACGAAGCTGAGAAAATGCAATATCAGATGACCAGAACTTTTCAACATTGGGGAGGGTAACATTAAATTCAACAGCTGCTGTTCCATCTGGCAGTGCTATATCTGCAGTCTTCCACAAATCCACTGATGTCATATTGAACCACATAGGACCTGCAAATCAACATTTATGAAATCATACCTTGAAACCCCATAATGAAATATATACCTAGATATTATACACATACATGCATGTGTTAGAATCTTACTAGCAATTATACTGTCACAGTCAAGATATTTTAGTCTATATGTACAGGGTGGTCAAAAAATGGCAACCTAAAAAAGTTATAACTCCTAGTTATATATGGCAACTCTTAGAGCCTGTAAGACTAGATACGCCATATGTAGACCATATATTTTCTCCAGTTGCCATAGGAATTTGCCAATTTCAGGGAACTATGGTCGACATATGGTTGCTGTAGAGTAAATGTGACTATGAGCTTTCTCTTGATGTGACTGAAGTGACTCTTACATGAACCACAGTGCCTTCTGTTGAGGTTTACTTACCAATAGGGATGTTGCTGAAACTGCTAGAGAGGGCTCTCACATTGATGGTACCTAGCACAAAACCCCTGGTGTGGTACCTACAATGTTCAAATACAAATTATTTCTCATATTTTGTCATGTTTTTTCAAATGTGTGTGTTACCTCTTGTCCATTATAGCTCATTGATCTTATCCCGTACCAGGACTATAGTCTATAGTCCTGGCACGGGATAACATTGATCCATTGAGCCAAATCTAGTAATGATCTAACTAATCATCTACATGTAAATGAAAGCCAAATGGAATATTAAAGTTAATATCAAAAGAAGAAAAAGGAAATTCAATTTGTTATTTCATCTCAAAATATTACACTAAATTCTATATATGACCATTCAACCATTCTTGGTATAATGAAGTACTTTGGAGATGAATTATTACAAAAAGAAATAATTCTAAAACTATAAATTATAATAAAAACAGTGTACCTAAATATTAATTGTTTCCTCAGACTGGGGTCCATCACTGGGGTCCTAATAGAGGCCACTTCATTCCTTCTGTCTGGGAGGAAGTCAGTTGGAGATGACTCGGTGTAAATGAAATAACCTGTAAGGTGGAAACAGTACTGCACAATGACCCCTTTAAAGTTACTGCTTATTGCACGATTATTGCTCTAATAAAATCTCCTTTTTTACTTTGACCTGGTTTCATGAATGATTTTATATTTCATTGTGTACATATATTATATGTATTTAAAGTACAGTATCTTTTCAATATTTTTAGTAAAATATTTGCAGATTTGATATCTATGAAAAATCTGGGCAAATATAGTAATATAGAGCCAAAATATTGTAGTCAGAGTACAACTGATATGTCACCAGATTAGACAACATACATAACAAGTCTTTTTGAGGAAACCATTTATTTGTGCAATATTGAGATCTAATTTGCAATACATGTAGATCTGTAACTTCTTGTCAAATGTCACTTCTAGAACTACATGAATACATACCTATTGGACTTTCTGAAGGTCCTGTTGGGCCAGAGTGCTGTGAAGGAGTTTCTCTGTTAAGGCGTGTAAAGTCAAAGTCATCAGACCTGAGCTGGGTCATTCCAAAGTTGTTATTACCACAACCATTGTTGTCTTGAGGGTTCTCCCATCCTGGGTTTGCAAAGTCACATGACCAAACAGTACCCCCTACACTGCCTGGAGTGTCTTCGGATGAACCACCTAATGGACACAAGCACAATCATTGGAATATGTCATTGGAACAGGATGAGTATATCAATATGACATCTAAACAACAATTCAATTTACATTACCAAATATTCCCCTTGCAATTGTGTACCTGTAGAACCTAGTCCCAACAATGTGTTTTGGGCCTCACTTTCAAAAGAAGACATAATTTTGGAGAAAATCCCCCCCCGCTCAAGTGTCCTTTTTCATGAAAGAGATTGTATTTACCTCCAAAACAATTGCCTTTGGTAAGTGTGATATCATCAAGGGCTATATCTCCTGTAAAACTTTCACCTATAGTAGCCTCAATCATAACAGCCCTACTCCCTTGTGGTACTGTAGCATTGACACTGTGCCAATTATTACCTTGATTACCTGCCAAAAAAGATTTCAAAACACATACAATAACTCCTTGAATTGATGCAAGAGACATTATGTATCAATATATGAGTAAACACACACACATTTTGTGTTATTAGTATATTTTCTACACTATGTAATATTTTCAAGTAATTATATTGTTAACTTATTAACATTACATTTTTATATTCAAAAGTTGCTGAAAAATTTCCATAGATTAAGATACATTAGAAATTCCCTAAGTTTACTCACACAGACTCATATAGTTTGACAATGCCATACTTAACCTGCTAGCAAGCTTAAGACATTAAGGCATTAACATGACATAATGTCACCACCTAGATGCACACAATCATTATGAGTTCAATCTCAAGTCAGATTTGAACTTCTGATAACTTACAGATGATTTTGTTATTGGAAGTTGGAAGAACTTGCTACAGAGGCCGGACGCCAGACACCAACCACCGTCACAAAAAGGAGACCATAACAATCTGTCACCACTTTTTGGTGGTGACATAAAAAATCAAATACATCTGTATTTTACCTCCAAACAATACTCAATGGACTACTCACCTTAAACCTCATTTTAAAAAACAATAAATGGTCCAAATAATGTATGGACCTTATTACAGAAAATGTAATAAAAATTAAGTTGAGAATCCCATAAATGGACAATTAATGGTCTTACCACTTTTGAAGAATAAAGTTTTGTTGGTTGCCCCAATGCTTATAATAGCCAGGCTCCCTATAGCTGCCCCATACATATGGTAGTTGATTGTGAGGCAATGTTCCTGTGTGGAGTCACTCACATTGAGAAGAATCCTGGCTGCATCTTTGGGTCGTTTAGGAGAAGAGGATTCTATGTAGATATACTGCCCTAGAATCAAAAGAAATAACAGAGGGGTGTAAAAGTTATCTCCTAGAGGCAGGAAATATTTTTATTTATATGATCAGTTATCACAGGTTTATTATTTGGGGATATATAAGGGTGGGCAAAACAATGGGACACTCACATATTCTATTTAAAAGAGCAGATATGAAACAAATGTCATGAAAATTAGCGAGTATGAAGTTTGAACACCATTCGTGTATGTCAAATTTCAAATCAAATAATGCAAGTTTTCATTATATTTTTCTTTAAGAAAGAAATGTGATGTGTTACCTCGAAAAATAGCTTTTGAAATTGAATTTTTCATGATTTCAATAATTTAAAATTTTTTTATTTCTTCTTATTTTTCCATCATTGTATGAGTATCAGAATATCAGAATATGGTGTCCGACAAGGATGTGCCCTCTCACCGACTCTATTTCTTGTTATAATGAATGATCTTACAGAAAGACTCAAATATGAAAATTTAGGAATCCCTTTAGGTGGACAAAGAATCCCTGCCCTTTTATATGCTGATGACGTAGTACTTTTAGCTGAATCAGAACATCAGTTATCCAAAATGTTAAATGTTGCTAATGAATTCTCTGTATACTGGGGGTTTCAGTTTGACACGAAAAAGTCCAAAATAATGCCAGTAGGTCGAAAAATCAATCCCAATGCATCATGGAAACTAGGCCATTTGAATCTCACTGAAACTAAAGTCTACAAATACCTAGGAGTTATTATAAGTAACAATCTAAGTGATACAGCACATTTTAAGGAACTTTTAAGACCCAAAGCTAAGAAAATAAGCCTCTATATTAATACAACCCTAAACAAGCACTCTAATATACAACGATTTAAATTTGGCGATACTCTTCACAATAATGTGTTCATTCCAGCAATATTACATGGGTGTGGTATTCTTACTTTTGAATCGAAATCCAAATGTAACGATATGAATTCTTTCCAATATAACATTGGAAGATCAGTTTTTAATCTAAATATGAAGCCTGCCAGGGAAGCGGTTATTGGTGATTTAGGATGGCGTCCGATTTTGAATACCATTGACAAAAGAATAATAGATTATTACCTTCATCTACAGAAGCGCATGGAAAAAAGTACACTTTTTAGAAATATATTTATGGAAATGTTTAAGCGTTTCGAAGATAATAAGATTTCATCCTGGCCCTATATTAAATCAATTTCTGATACCCTAATTAAACATGGCCTAGATAGTTGTTTAAAGTCAACCGATCAAACTTGGTATAAGTCCTTCCTAGAAATCTCTAATGAAATGAAGAATACAGATTTTTTCGGAGCTATAGATAAGAGAACATCACTGAAAACTTACACTGTTCTTAAGAAACATACATTTAAAGAGAACTACCTCCAAGATGACATCGATTTCTATTGCTCCAGGTTAAAATTCATGGCAAGAACTGGGTGCTTTAACTTGGAGGAGGATAATAAACGATGGAAGAAAAGTGATGGAATTTGCCCTCATTGTAAAAGTAATGACATTGAAGATTTAATTCACCGATTCATTGTATGCCCTAAGTTCATTAATGAAAGGTTACAATTTATAAATGATATAACTTCAAAATGTGACGCTCTTTTAGTAGCTGAATTCATCTCTCTCTCTCCTGAGGAGAAGCTAAAATACATGTTAGGGGATGATGTCTTTGAAATTTGGGGGAAAGAACAAGGTAGAATGTTTGACAAGTGTTTTAAAAGGTTTTTAAAATCAGTTTATATTAAATACTCAAAATGAATGTTTTTAGTAAGTTGTAATAATTGTTTTATCTTAATATGTACATTCGACGCACCTTTGCATTGCAGAGCGTGCCACTGTTTCAAAAGTGTAGATCGAAATAAATAAATAAATAAATAAATAAATATCATTAGGTTGCCTAGACAATCTTTTTTCAAAATTGTGACAACATTGTGATTTTTTATTATAGAAATGTATAATTGGCATCTTGTGTGAATTGTTCCAAAAAAGCCTGAAAATCATTAGGAACAAGTTGAGGTTAGAAAAATTAATGTACAGCATGGGCTTTCTACTATCATAGATAGAAGCAGGCATATTAGACATTTATTTATGAATTTCTTCATTTTTAGATTGTAAAATCTGTTCCTTGTGATATGTAACATCACAGTCAAAAACTGTCACAATATCTACAAGATTGAAGCTTAGTCACATAATATTATATCTTATTAAAGCTAAATCAATTCCCCATTTTTGGTGGACAATAAAAATGGTACACTTTGTGTCATTGTTGGAAGTATTTAGGATAACAACAATAAATCCTCAAATAACAAAAATATTTTACCATGTATTGTGCCTTTTGTGACGTCTGAGCTAGGACCAGTTAGGCCACTAGGTGTCTCTCCTTTATGGAGTTGCCACTTGAATTGTGCTTTTTCGTCATGAATGAAGTCACAGAAATCTTTTTCAAAGTTGCAAAAGCTAACAATGTCCTTGGTATCCCTTGTAATCCTTTGTTTATATTCACTACCAGGTCTCCCGTGGACAGCAGTTCCTACAACAAAAGAAAATAATCCTCCGTGTAATGAATCTGATTCATCATTTATGGATAACCTTTAAAATGGTGCAAGTGTATCATAATCTAAAATGTTCTAACAATCTAAGTTTTTCTTTTACGTTATTTTTATTTTTCATAAAATACTGGTACCCCCTGTACCATTTCTTACTTATTAAACATGTTGCTATGAAATGAATTATAATGTAAATGAAATCAAACTGTGAATAAAAAGGGTTTTCTTTTAAATTTCTAAAAAGTCAAAAATAGTGACCTGCTCATATCTCTAGTAGTATTAGTGAAACCTAGAGCAATGGGATTCCTCTATTATTTAAAAAAAGTTGATTTTTCCCACTATTAGGGATTCCTCGTGTCGTAAGGGGATCAAATTCAAACATGAAGTACATTTTTATTTAGGCATTATTGCATGTTAATACCACTAGTTGTTGTGAAGTATGGAAATATTATATCAAGAGTTTTAGACATTAAACATTTTATTACTCGGATCTTACCTGTTAGCAGTCCAAGTATTAAAGTTGAAATAAGGTACAATTTCTTGCTTTCCTTCATCATTTGTTTCATCTGGGTTCATCAATTAATTTTCACGAGTCTATCCTGAAAAAAGTAATAAAAATTTGAAACTAATACTGTATGCCAAACCATATATTCCTCAATTGAATGTTTATCTTTCTTATACTTAAAGGCCCAATATAAAGTTTAAACCACTATTTAGCTTATATTATACTATAGTCCTAACCAATGTTATCAAAATATGCTATGTGGAACTTTCAATTTAATTTCCAAAAGTAGATTTTGATGGACTTTTTGTTCCAAAAATTGTGAATTTATTTGAAATTGAATTTTAGTTGTCATGCACATGTATTGTTAGGTAATGATTTACACCAAAACATAATAGTACATATCCTGACGTTATTTTGAGTTGAAAAAATCAAGAAAATTGGTTGGAAAATATGCAAGAAATTAATTCATAAGAGCAGAAAGTGATTCAGAGAAAAAAGCATTTTAAAATTTGAATCCAATAGTACACAAAATATTTAAATTATGATAGAAACTCATTTTCAACCTAGACAGGCAACAATATTGCCTTATTTTGAAGGTAAATAGCATATTTAGAAAAATATTTGACAATTTTTGTAAAAATATTTTGTAAGCTGATCGAGTGACATGACAGCGCATCATTATAACATGACAAATTACAACACAAGATACTATAAAAGTCTATATGTTGAAATAATATGACTTAATTGCTGATCCAGAGTTAAAAGTTGAAGGTGATATCTGAATGATAAAACTATATTTTCAAACTTTACAAAGGCCTTTAACATGAATGGCATACATAATACCTAATTAGTAAGGTCGGATAAACATTTCGTGACAACAGATAAGTACTTGATGATTTTTTTTAGATTTTTATAGGTCACCCACAGGGCATTTAAGTTTACAAATGCTACTTTTTACCAGGACATTTTAACACGCATATATGGCAGAATATGTCATAATAAGTGTGGCAATGTCCCTAATGGCCCTAATCTCAGACACAGATCTAAGGTGAAATAAACCCAATGTACAGTAAAATCTGTATATCTAAACTCCTCTCTTGTCTGACCATCTCCAGGCCCGTAGCCAGGATTTGCCAAGGGGGGTGGTTCAGTTTTCAAAAATTTCCAGGGGAGTTCACATTTGACAATTTTGCCCCAAATATGGCTAAAATTACTTGAGAAGTGCTCAAAATGGTGAAAAACTGCATGATTTTGAAAGAAGTTTTGGCCAGGGGGGGGGAGTTCACCAGAACCCTGCGAACCCCCCTGGCTAAGGGCCTGACCTCTCATATGTGAACATTTATTTTCAGTCCCATTTTTCTGCTTTTGACCTTTGAAGACATCCAAGTTTTTTTCACCTTGAACCGTGAACACCTGTAATCTGAATCAGCTAGACACATTAACAAAATAATGTTCAGTAAAACCTGTCTAAGTGAACACCTCTCTCTAGTGAACACCTACTAACACTGAATGTTTTTTCTCTGGTTTTACTGTATATTGTTTTAATATCTTAACAATCTCAAATTTACCTATAGCAGCTTTTTATTGAATTTGGAATGCAAATGAATGTTAGCTACTGATAGATAAAAAATGATTTTCAGACAGCTCATACATGTATATGATTCAGGTATGGGTCAGCTCAAAGGTTTCTAATATTGAAAGAGTGAAGATGAGGTTAAGTTCTTACAAAGAGTAGACGAGGAGTGCCATTTGGAGCAAGGGTGTCTGAGGTAAGCCCAAATTGTGTATTGACATAATATCTGACATTTACATAAACATCAAATAGTTTTCAACATTGACCAAATCATTCAACTATAAAGCATTAAAACAGTGACTCAGCATATGTAATGAAACATAATTCAGCAATTTAAATCCAAAAACAAAGATTGATATTGTGGGCTTTGTAAATCATCAATCATACCTGTAAGGCCAGAGAAATTAAATTTCATGTTCAGCATACATGTATTTCATTCTTGTATGACGTAATATGTTAATAAGTGTTAAAAACAAAACAAAATGTTGAGATTTACAAATTTTCTATGTATTCATACATCTTCATCACAGACAACTGTTTACCTGGTGAAGATGTATGAATACATCGAAAATTTGTAAATCTCAACAATTTGTTTTATTCTTGTATGAGATAATGATGTTTTTAATGTTAACAGCAGAATTTGGCATTTTCTGTACATTGTGCATGATAAATAGATTAGATGAAATGTTCTAGAGTTATAGTTTATTTCTCAGTATGAAATATAGAATACACATGTACACATAAGATTAAATGCTAAACATGTAATTATTTATATTAGCCTTATATTTCTTTAGTCCAATCTGAGATGAGTCTGTCATCACTTTAAGTAGGTACAAGGAAATAACCAATAAGAAAATAAAGATCACGATTTCTTCTTAAAGAAACCTGACTCATCAATGACAAATATTTGAAGATTAAAAAACTAGCAAAAGGTATGCTATGGATAAAAGGAAGCAAATAGAGGAGTCATGACTTAATGGGCCTTGGGGTCAGTGTAAAGAAAACTTCATGTACAAGTGCTTTGTGTGTTGAATAACTGTGTTTTATGCCTAAAGTGTTAATATTTCAAAGAACAAATAAATATTCAGATTATGGTCTTATATCAGAACGCTGCCTGATGGAACAATCATATTCTCTAGCAAGAGTTACATTGTACAGTTGAACCCTTCCATGGTGAACATTCTTAGGACAGAAACAAAATGTTCAGGTTTGGGGATATTCATTCCAGAAAGAAGAATTTAGCATGGGAGACAATGGGAAGAATAAACAAGGAATTAACATGCAAACTGTCACAACCTGCCATTTGTTACAGACAATGAACACCAACCGCAGAAGACTGTTCACAAAAAAAGTTATTGGCTATAACAATATATCACTACCAGTGGTGACATATAGAAAAGTATTTAAGTTACAGAAATAATCATTTACAGAGCTGGGTTTAACATTCAAACCAATGGGAGGAATAATTAGGGACGATATATTTCTGTTTTAATCAGATGTTCAACTTTAGAGGTTTTACTGTCCTAGACCAAGTCATTTATTGTTAAAGATTTATTTTGTTTCAATCGAATGATTGGGATGAATCTTTTTATATTGTTATATCCTTATAATCTTTATGCATGTACAGTATACAATTGTTGACCTCTCCAGAGGTCAACCGGCAAAATTGTATACCGAGACTGTAAACCGAGACACTACTGTTGACAGAGACCGAAGGTCGAGGTCAACAGTAGTTTCAAGGTTTACAGTCAAGGTATATGATTTTGACGGTTGACCGAATGGAAAGGTCTACAATTGTTTTGTTAGTCAGAAGAATCTAATAATACACATATAGACGACAATCATCAATCATGGCTTCATTTTACAATCTTTTCTCCGAACCAAGCAATGATTTTTTAAGAAAATCTGAAGACAGTGGTAGCTTACATGTAACTCTCTGTTTCCGGCACATCACTGCGTACTTACTAGTAAATTAATGTTAATTTTACGTTTCTATTTGTATTTTTGCTATTCTTGTCGTCTAGTAAAGTAAAAATATCACGTTCATTAACGTTTACAAAATGTCCGTCGTCTACCATGTTTTTTTCTGTAAACATTATGACGTCATATTCCCCATAATTCACAAGTGTAGTACAGTAACAAACGCGGTCAATAATATGATATCCCATGATGCACAGGTGGGGTACAGGCAAAAATGTTGACCGCTAATTGACCAATCAGATGCGAGTTTTTACACTGAGGTACTAACAATAAAACCTGTATACCCAAACATCTCTCAAATCTGAATGTGATCACTTTTTGGTCCAATTTTTGAAAATCTGGCATACACTTCCATTTAAAACAACTTGAAATGTGAACACCTGTCACTCTTTATTCAGCCAATCCAGGGGTGTTCCAATAAGACAGGTTTTACTGTATATGTAATGATCACACATCTAAGTTATGCCAAAATAATAGATTAAAACAGACTAGACATCAATTAATATGTTTTTACAGTGTAGTCAACTCAGGTGGTTATGTTAAACATATTTTTTTACATTAGCCTTATACCAGTTTACCAGTGCTGCCACCATCACTTGTTCAATTTAACACTCTTCCTACTATTATACAACAGTCTACTGTCATCTAGCCAAAATTGTATAAGGTGAATATAACAATTAAACAAACAATTGTAAAATTCAGTTACATTCATTTGGGTTCATAATAATTGGCACAAAGAACCTAAAGTTAACCCTATAAAATAAATGGTGATTCATATGTATTGGAAATAATATGTGCACTTACTTACAATACAATTGGCTTTGGTAAGTGTCTCCGTGAGGTTTTTGTCAACAAAATGAATGCATACACCATTAACATTGAGACATTTACAGGCCTGTTTTAATATAATCCAATTACTATACTAGTATATAGTAGTCAGTATACAAAAGCATCGTACACTTTAATACATTTATGTATTTGTAAAGTAACCTTTAATTCTTCAAGCCGATTCAGGTAGAAAAACATTACTGCCTTTAATATTAAACATACATGGATATATGTGAAGTGTAGAACTGAAATTGTCATTCCAAATGTTTTATCAATTCCCTTACCTGTTGTCGTGTTCTTCTACATCCATTAATGAAATAAACACAAATGATGTTTTTTCATATATCCATAGTTTCAATATCAAGTTTTTTATGTCTATAGCTGTCACTCTTAATCATCAACATTAGTGGGTTGAAACTTTTCGCTATTCTGAATATATCCTTTAGTAATCGTACATAAAACACACAATAACTAGCACCTTTTAGAAGAGTTATCCAACCAGCTGACTTCTACACATGTAGCCCACATGAGTCTGTCACACGACTCCCATTAAAAACCACATTGGCCCTCTTCCAAAATATGGTCACTAAATAAGTAAATAATATTGGATAAGTATACCATTTATATCAAGACACTATGATTCGGCTCATTTATGTTTTTATATAAGAGGATACATAAATGTATGAGATAAAATGTACTTTCTTGGAAGGGCTAAAGGCCATATAAATTAATGTTTGTTTATTATCCTTGTAAACATTCCATTGGTCCAATCACTGACACTATTTATAATGCTGAAATGCTCAAAAATAAAAAGGAAAATAGTGTATTGTTTTGTTAAGGTGAACCCTGTTTTAAACAAATATAAAATGTATATATCCTCAACTTCTAAGCATAATACATTTAAAGAGCTAAATAAGCATACTTTCACATTAAGTTCATTATTTAAGTTAAGATGTGGTATGTTTGAACACAATTTAATACTTGAATGATTTACAAAAAAACTGATTTATGGCATACATGGAGCACCTTCTCTATTAATACCCAACCTCAAAAGTTGAATATATTATTTATAACATAGAAATCTATGAATATATTCAATAAATATATACATGTATGACACTTTTATTATAATAATGACACTTACCTATAATTGTTGAGATTTAAAAATCAATATTATGTCAAAATTGTTCAATGTCCTCAAGTCCCCACATTTATTGTCATGAAAACATTCACTGCCAAAATCTTACAAGATGTCTCATAAAAGTTTGAAGTAAGGCTCAACATTAGTTCTTACATTATTAGCATATATGGTTTCATAGTTGTAACAATTGTTACAGATGCTGACCACAATCTAAAGTCACTAATAGATATAACATATAACATCATCACTTTTTTGGTCTTGACATAACAATCACCAATTCTCAGGTCAGGACACATACTAAACAAGGCATTAACATGACAAAATGTCACCACCTAGTCGCTCACAATATTATCAGTTCAATCTTAAGTCAGATTTGAATTTCTGAGAACTTGTAGATGATTTTGAAAAAACATTGGTCAATTTGAAGCAAGTTGAAAAAGACCTTTTTGACCCTGAGAAGGTCATTGAGGGTGAAATATCTAAAGTCAGATTTGAACTTCTGAGAACTTGTAGATGATTTTGAAAAAACATTGGTCAATTTGAAGCAAAATGAAAAAGACCTTTTGACCTTGAGAATGTCATTGAAGGTCAAATCTTTTTTGACCTTGACAAAGTCATTGAAGGTAAAATCTATAGTCAGATTTGAACTGTTGAGAACTTGTAGATGATTTTGAAAAATAATAATTCAATTTGAAGCAAGTTGAAAAAGACTTCTGATAACTTGTAGATGATTTTGATAAAAACTTATGTCCGTCAAAACAGTATTTGTTAAGTATTGGAAATAGTTATAAGAATTTGTTACAGGCGCCAAATACCAACCATAACAATGTCACCACCAAAAAGTGGTGACATAAAATCACTTCATGGACATTTTATATGTTTTCAAATTCGTGATCATTTTAAGTTAGGTTCATGTGGATCATCAACTGTAAACGTCATTGTAAGTAACCTTGGTTTTGTCCCGAAGATGTCTGGATTCAATCAATATAATATAAAAATAGTTTTCACTCATTGTATTTAGATGGATATTAGTTAAATTCAATGGATAATTTACAAGATGATGATCTTGTTGAAATGCTGATTTTGATTGAACTTTATAATCCCTGAAATAGTAAATAAACATTTAACATTCCAATGAACATTTATATGTCAATGAGGATTTTAGTGTAATAATTTGCCCATCAGTAACTTGACCTTGTTAAATAATTTATTTCTTTGCTACAAAATTCACTCAAGAATTTTGATTTTATTCATTCACATTGAGAATGCTCAATTTGAAATAACAAATATGTTAGATATTATATGAATAGATGTCACCCTGGTAACCATGTGTCAATACATGAACATAAAACAATACATGTTATTTTCAGACATTCAAACAGCACCAATTTCTCTAATACTGGGGAGATCACTATTTTTGTTTGTTTTTAAAACACATTTTATCAATCATATTTGTACAAAATGATTTGATGATAGAAAATCAAACATTTGTTTATGAATAAAATATAATATTTGATTTATTTCAAATTCCAATTTTACAATAACCATTTCCTGAATCTTTTCTCCATTTAGAATGTATACTTTTCACCGTTACTGCCTAGATAAAATTTCCAATACAGTGAACATAGACTTGTTTTTATTATCAAATCTGCATTCGAATGGTTTTTAATAAGAAAAAAATAAAATTATCCACATTAACTAAAAGGACGGTATTGCAGTACGTCCCATGCACAAGATATCATGGACTTGCAGTCGTTATTCAGGCATGCCACATTAACTAAGAAATATAAAACTGAACAGTGAACTCTTAACTACATTATAATCATGAATCTTATCTTACCTCTGTCAGACATTACATTGTTATGCTACTTCTACTCGTATAAGCACCCTTTGGAAATGCTATATCAAATGTTTTTGAATTGTCCATGCTTATTACGTAGATTGTCAATAGCTTCAACTGTTCATTGCATATTTGATACATGTATGCTGTTGTACTGAGCATTGGGCAGTTCTAAGGTAATTGTTGTAAATACTCATCATCTTTTATCAACAAAAACGTTTTTAAATACTGAGTGTTTATTGGCTGTTATCAAGATCAATGGTGAATAGCTTTAGTGCATAGATTGTGTCCTAAATGCACAAAAAATGCTTATATGGATTATCTCATCATTGTGAATATCTATGTGAGCATTGGAGGATCTCTCATTAGAATGAAATTCTAGAAATTCTCAAGAGTCAAAATCACAAATTCTTTATCATGGTTTCATCATTGAGCATATGTAAGTAGCTGGGCAGTTTATCATAATGCAGCAGTTGACTAGAGTATAAGACATATCACTTGATGCATTTGAAGCAATTATATTGGCATTATATAAATCCTACAAATTGTTTTTGTCATCACTTGTGCAACTATGATTATCCTTCCTCTGATTTGACTCATTAACATTAATATGAATTTCATTAATAAATTTTTCATTATTATCATCCTCACTTTCATCTCCACTGGGATGATTATGTTTAACATGTGAGTAGTACCAGTCAAATCCTAAAGACACCGTGTTATCAAATAATACACGGAATCTTAAAGGCACAACGGCAAAGTTCATCAATTGAGCAGGGGGCCATATCATCAGTTCAGCCTTGAATAATGTCGGTCCTTTACATTTCAACTCCTGGTACAATGATTTTAGAGATTGTCCCTCAATAATTCCAACCACTATAAAAAATGTTGAAATATTCACTGGGGAAAAGATCAACTGATCCCAAAATATTTTTTTTGATACTGCCTTGATAGTTCTGCCAGGGATGACTCTATCTAAGAAACGATACCAGTAGTGGCACATAGGTCCAATAAAAACCCCTGAAGTTGCGAGTCGTAGAGTCCGAAGGGGGTCCCAATAGTCCTGCCTCCCTTGGACTATGTCATAATGTTGGACGAGGAAGTCCCCAGTTCCTGATAGAAAAACAGTTATCCCAGTGTTTGTGTATAAGAGGTATCGATCTGAGAATAATGGCCTTGTTGTTTGTTCAGCAATCCGTATTGCAGGGGCTAGTGTATGATAGATGCGTCTCAGCAGGTTATTAGAAGCCATGATACCTCCTGGAAGTAGAAAATAGTCAAAACATTACTTGACATTTTTTGATTTGTTAAAACAACATATCAACTGCTACATCATTTTTCTGACTCGGAGGAAGTGTAAGTTGTCACTCAAAAGTCAAGTGACATTCTATATTTCCACCAAGCTTACATATATTTTTTAAACTATATGAATAATGCAGGCCTGTCAACTTGGGAACACCTAACTGATGAGTGACTTACAAATGTTGAACAGCTTCATTCAAATTGTGGACACCTTGGTTCAAAACTGAACACCTTGATCAAAATATCTTATCTCAGTGAAATGAGTGCTCTTTTTCTTTGTCAAAATATATTGGAATTTGTGTCCATAATGACAAATAAGTGATATTCACATGTTAATGCTGACTCTTCAAATGTTGAGGCGATTTTGAAGCCCGATTATGCCGCAAGGAGGATTGGCTCCCAGAATGCTACATGACACATGCCAGCTTTCAAAATGCTGACACGAGTAAATAAGGTTAACTGATGTTGCATTCTGGGAGTCAATCTTCCTTGGATCACAAACATGGCAATTTGGTAGGAATTTATCCATCATTTGCAGGTATCACTGGGGGGTATCGTGATGCAACAACACCGTGTTGTTGCATCAAGATGGCCGGCCTTCCGGTGATAGATTTTCGCAAGATATTTTGTTTTCCCAATTTAAACCCATTTCTAGGACAAGTTTCTCGATAATCATACACGTACAGTTAGCGCACGATCTATATTTTAAAATACTGTCATTGATATACATGTAGCATCATTCAGAAGCGAAAAATTCACGGTTTTAGTTCCCCACTATTGATGCAACAACACCATTATGTTTATTATCAATGATGCAAAAACACCAATGTGATGATGCAACAACGCCAACGTCTTTATCAAACTTAAAAGGATATACGAGCCAAACGATAAACATAGTAATAGTATTCAATCACATATTATGATATTGTAGTACATGTACGTTTACTAAGTAAGTTAATCACTTTCTAAATGAAATCATAACAGACACTAATGTGATCCCAAGTCTGGAGGCCTGTGTTCGGAGGATGTCCCACATCTTGAAACTACTTTGAACTTAAAGTCAACTTAAACGTGAAAAGGCTGGTCGCCCAATTCGTTCGAAAACACAATGGTCCGAACCCTATTTTTCAGGAATGCGTAGAATAAATCATCGCGTTGATTAATTATTGAATAAAATAGATTTCCCGTTAAGCCGTGTTTATTGGAAATATTACGTTTAGCTTTTTACACTTTTCATGCTTTGGTCAAGTAAATATTTCTGATTTTGGTCTGATTTTATTAACAAAGAACTAATATAATTATGGAAAGTTAACAGATGTCAGTCATTTTTGTGTTGCACACTCCCCTCCAAATGTTTGGCAACCTTAGCTCCCTCATTGAATTACATGTTAAAGCCTCTTTATATTTGAATTTTTATTCACTTGACCTGTGAGGAAGATACATGATTGAAATGTAACTTGACTTCATTTCCAATGCCTCCAAATTTCCCCAAATTTTCCCTCAATTACAACAAAGGTAGAAAATTGATAATTTTGATGAATTTTCGAAAATCGTCACAGGGTTCTCACCAGGTAATTTTTAGACCCCGGATTTTTAGCGGTATTGTGACTACTTTTTTTTCGCGGTTTCGCGACTACTTCTACCCCATGTGAGATCAGATATATCCTATTAGTATACTTTTCAACATATTTCTTAAGATTATCATGCTATTTTAGTCCCAATATTTATTTTCTGACTTCCTATTCCTTGTTTGTATCCAGTTTTCTGTATTTTCTCAAGAGTTTTAACACAAATAATGTGACAAAAATGTAAAATTAGACTCCGGAAAAAACACTTTAGACTCCGGAAAAGCTATTAGACTCTGGAGCAAGAGGGTTTTAAGACATTAGACTCCGGAGAATCTCCGGAGTCTAAAAGCCTAGTGAGAACCCTGCGTCATTCCTATGTAAACCAATCGGAAATGGTGTGTTCGGGGCAAATCTGATTTCAGGATAATATAGTCCAGTAAAGGATTCACCAAAAAAATATTTTTATATAGAAAATTGAATTATCTAACTTTTTGTACGCTGATTGTTCAGCTTAAAAGTCATTTTGAAAATCCTTTTCGCCTCATGTGTTATTTCAATGGGAGGAGTTTTTTTAATAATAATTTTGACTTTGAAGATCTCTAACTTTTTGAAACCTGAAGAAACGTATCAATTTTATTATTCAATAAAGTTAGCAAATTCAATGGACTACCTAACTTGTATTTTTTACAAGAACTCGGATGGATGAATATTCTGTCATATGACTTGCGGCAAACCTACAGTACCATTTCCCATTGGTTTACATAGGAATGTCGATTTTCAAAAATTCAATTGATTTATCATCAATTTTCAACCTTTTGTAATTGAGGAAAAAATTGGGAAAATTTGGAGGCATAGGAAATAAAGTCAATTTACATCAATATCATATTAAGTATTTTCCTCGTAGGTTATGTAAATAAAAATTCAAATATAAAGAGGTTTGAACACGTAGTTCAATGGGGGGGGGGGGGGGGGGGGGTGCTAAGGTTGACAAACTTTTGGAGGGGAGTGTATATTTGATCATATGTTTAGAAACGTGTATATTTGATAGATGCATTAACTTCAGAAAAGGTTCACCTATAGGTATAAAAGAGTATAAAACGAAGCGACACGTTTTTTAAGATGTACAATGTAATATGAATGTCCAATATAATTTTACGACCCCTGGGATTAGTCTACCGCTCTCAATTTACCTTTTTGGGACCTAAATCCTATTACATTATGGTTTAACAATATGACATACATTGGTGTTGTTGCATCATTGCTCAAATCTAGATGGGTGTTTTTGCATCTTCGGTTTGGTGTTGTTGCATCAATAGTGAGGAACTAAAACCGTGAATTAATCGCTTCTCGATGATACTACATGTATACAAATGACAGTTATTTAAAATATAGATCGTGCACTAACTGCACGTATATGCATTATTGGGAAACTCGTCTTAAAAATGGGTTTAAATTGAGAAAACAAAATATCTTACGAAAATCTATCACCGGAAGGTAGGCCATCTTGATGCAACAACACGGTGTTGTTGCATCACGATACCCCCCAGTGAGGTATGAAGCTTTGGATTCATTTATTATGCTACTTCAGAGTGAACGGGAATTTTTTTTCTACCGCTTGAGAGAGTTTGAGACATGAAACTTAGAATTTAGCTCATTGTGACAACTTCTGATGGTTGAGGTTTTTTAATGTCTCAGACTATACACATATTTCGAGCCAAATGCGTGACATTTACTGAATTTATGTTGTGAAAAGTATGTACGGAATGTGTTTGGTTTTTTTCATCCAATCCAATTGTTACATTACGAAGCATCATGGGCATTCAACAAGATTCAATCGTCAGTAGACTAGTGGGTCTTGTTTTTTAAAAATTACCTCGAAGTGCAATGAGACCAAGGAGGGTTTGGTTTACCATATTCTATGGCCCCTGAGTGTGGATTGGTTACCCCCCAGGCTCCTGGCAGGGTGAAATCTGGAGTTAATACAGGTTCATATACAGAGATCAGCTCAGACAGAACAAGTACGTGTGACCATTTATTATCATACTTACATACAAAGCCAACCATCAGTTCACAGATTTTTGCGAAATATTATTGTGTTGAAAAATACATGCGATATATTTTTGTGACCGAACAACTCATAAAAGCTGTATATGTGCGTTGTAATATAATTCTAAATGTGATGATCGTAGAAATTAAAACAGTGTATGCAACTGTTAATAATAGGTCAAACAATAGTACAAAAAACTATATATCATCACATTTTATCAGATATGAGCCTATTTTTGATAAAAAAGAAGAAACTTAAAACTATATATCACTCCGCGGTGTGAAAAATACTTCCGGCACAAATTTGAAAAACGCATTATTTCAAAACTTTGACTTCGACTGGATTTTGCAAGTCTTTTGATCAAACATTGGGCATAAAGAAGAAGGTAAGGCAACATAATTGAAATGTTCTAGGCAAAGAAGGTATCTTTTATCGGGAAACACTCTTGATTCGTTGGAAAGTGACATATAAATTGAAATTTCAATTTAGATGGGCGATAATAGGTCAACAAATGTGGTGAATAATTTCTACAAGGTGCAATGCTACTATACTACGAATGAAGAGATCGAATGTTTTCTTAAATAAAGAAAAAGCATCACATAAGTATTGCAGTAGATCTAGTGTAAGTTCTTGAAGGGTATGAATATTTTGATATTGTTCTTCGCTCCTACTTTTTGCAAGGCCTGACTTCGTCGCTAACATGCTAAATATAAGAGTTAGCTGACGTTTGGGAGTCTGACTTACCTTCTAAAGGTTAGAACCCGAATCCTAATGAAACCATATCACCTTTGTTCCGTCAACCATGGAGCATTTGCCACAACATCCAAGAGGTAAATCATGGACCGAGAAAATGAATGATTTCCTTGTAAGTTCCGGAAGTTTCAATACGAAAAATTACCGAACATATATGAAAACCGAATATTTGTTCGTTGTTTTCACGATTTACAGGTTCGTATGTTCTTCAATGTTTTGGTCTAAATTATAAAGCATCACCAACAGGTCTTACTCTATTAATCGACTAATACAGCAGACGGCTCATATTTCTACGTAGCATTTCGTTCAGACAAATAGTGGGACTGTAGATCACGCAGTTTCGTTCGTTGCGTACTTCACTCAAATTGGTAATTTTATATTGGCTACTTCACTTAGCTTGGCGGATGTAGAACATTGCTTAATATTCTTTTAATTTTCACACCAGACATGCTTGGTTGACACGTCAACAAAGTAAAGTTCAAGGGTCAATGCGTTATTTCGTGATAACTACAACGCCTTCCCGAAAGTCAACACTGATGAAAAATGAAAAAGTCGGAAAAGCATTTACCCATTGGGGCAATTCAATGTAGAAAATAAACTTTGAGATAAATTTTGAGAGTACGCCATGGCATTTTATGCGTATATGACGCTAAGCCATTGGGAGGACTGAAAGTATCGCAACAGATTTCGGACATGTTGGATTTTGGCTATTTTCTGAAAAGAAAAATGGATCGCTTTTCAAATCAGTTGTTTTTCATTTTTTCTATTTCTAGGAATGAAGTTCAAAGCTCCTTTCATTTAAGTAATATATTGAGCACATTTTCTGAAAATTTCAAGAGATGAGCCTCCAAAAAATCGGTCTCATCACAAAAATTAAAATTGTGCAACAGAGCCAAAAATGTGCCCAAGATTAAGAGGAAAATGTGCTAAATTCAAATCTGTCTTTTTGGTCTTTATCTGCAATGTAATCTGGCTCATTTGAAAGGTCTCTTTGTGCTTTTTAAGATAAACAAGAAATCTGTGATAAGATCCCTTTTCCTGTGGCTTGGCTCAGATTCTGTTAGGTGACCTTTCCAAAAGTCCAATTTTTGCTTGCAGTATAGTGATGCAAACCCAAAAAGCACACCCCTCTGACAATTGCTGGCTATGCCCCTGAACAGATATTAAGTTTTGAAATACTAATTCACTTCCAGATTAAATATGGCTCATACATGGCAGAACAAACCAAATGAGATGAATCCCATAAAGTCCAAAGACCCGAAGTTCACAAACGCAAGATTATTTGTGGGCAACCTGAATACATTTCAAATGCAGCAGAAAGAAGTGACTGAGATCTTCCAACGTTACGGCAGAGTTATGGCTGTGTCTGTGCACATAGGTTACGCATTTGTGCAATTCTTTAACGAGGCTAATGCACGTGCTGCAGCTGCTAACGAGGATCGCAATATGTATGCAGGCCAGGTCATAGGTGAGGCACGAGAACACAAAAATGAAATTTTCAACTAGATTCATAACACAGTATTAACACATTTATTTCACTTAAGTATGAAAATCATTGCTCATATAGAATATTTTCAAAACCATTGATTTCCTTGTTTTTATTGCCTTCTCAAATTTTAATGAATGGAGATATTCATAAGACAGACAGACAGAAAAAATACACCAAACACATGTGTAATTGACAACATTTTTCATCTCCCATCCATTGAATTCTTGGATTTTTTGAAAATAAGGACAAGAAATGGCTGGTTAAAAGATAAAAAAAATTGGGGATTATTTCTGTATCCCTGAATCCTCCTTTCATAATAAGAACAACTTACTGGATGTATCCCATGTGCAGTTATACAGAACTCCATTTGGTTGGCTGAAGTATAGGCTTAGAGTATGAAGATAAATATGGTTTGATTTCAGATGTTACAATGGCAAATGAACCTAAGAAACATAGGCCAAAGAAAGGAGTCCCAGGGAATGTCCAAGGGTAAATAATTTGAGTGCACCATGTAAACCTGAGTGGTCTAAAACCCTTTATTTAGATGAGTAAAAGTAAAAAAATAATTATGATCAGACTACAAAAGATATCTGATCCTTTGATTCTAAGAACTTATTAATTGGTTCTTCTAATGCTTTATATGAATAATCAAAATTAAATTGTACATCTTTTAACCTCCATAAACTGGTCCATACTGAATAGCGAACACATATTATCATTGCAGAAGAGTTTATTGTTTTGTAATATGCTAACATAGGGGTGTTACCTTCCAGCAATCCTCCCTTCAACCAGCAACAGCAGAGACATAATCCAATGCAGGGTGGCCCGCCTCAAAAACGTCAAAGAAATGACTTCAACATTCCCCGCCAGAGAAACAACACAACACTAGTAACATTAACTAACAATGTAGGCTCATCAAAACCACCCGCAATAACCCGTACCACCCCAAAGAAAGTGAGTGCTTCCCCTGCAGTTCAGCAGCCAGTTATAACAACAGTCAATGTACCTGCCAGTCAACCCCCACCTGCACAAAAACTGCATACATATAGTAAGATACTTTGCTAAGGGAATACCTCTTTTAAGATGGGAATGTTGATAGCTTGGGTGTTACATTTTTGGAGAACTTTGCATTGAATGCTTAGGTAGCCTAGAACAAAATTCAGTTAAAACATCAAGCCTTAAAATCTTGATGAAAAGCTGTTGTTAAGAAAATTATGCAATATCAAATGCACACAATATCGGCAAGAAAATTGAATAACAAATGTTTGGCTAAACACCCTGCTGATTGTAATTGTCAGAATTGAATTGACTGTTTCTTTTATTCCTCTTTTTTCTTATTCTAGTGGTGCCAGATATTCTAATATGTGGCCAGTGTAAACAGATGTTCACCAGTATAAAGAGTCTGTCTAAACACAGGGAGAACAGGTGTCACTTAAAGATAGTGCAACAAGAGGGCCTCAAAGCAGGTAAACAGAAAGGCTACTGGCAGCATTATGTCACTTTAGATCTGATGTCATTTCTATGTCACCACCAGGACATATGGTGTTTGGCAGTTGGTGTTCGGCAGTCAGCAGTTACAATAATGGTTACTGTTTTTGCAGTTGCCTGATTTGAGAAATTGGTTTGATAAAGCAGCTATGACAAGATTTATTATTTTGATATAGTAATCCCCACACTACAATAAGATGTCAGTTCAAGTGTGACACTAAATTTATGAAGTATCACTATGATTCAATGTCACTTTTTATCAGAAGTCACATTATTTTGATGTCACTATCAATGAAACGATATGTCAAGTCCTGTTAGTAAGGCATCACTTTAAATAAAGTATCACTTAACCCTTTGAGTGCCATTGGGCCGATTCGGCCGATGGGAAAATGTATGTCGCTAAAGTGCCAAGATCGGCCCAAAATCGGCCCAAAATAACGCGTTTATATACACAGGGAAACATGTCATCAACTGAGAATGAATAATCTATTCTTATTTATTTATGTTTGTTTAGATCGGTCTTAATAAATCTACCCGGACTCAGTTTGATTTAAGTTAATTTAAAATGTGATGTTACTTTGGGCATATTGGATGTGATGACAATTTGAGTGAAATTATCATACCCTTTACATGTATTACAATTTTGGCACAATTGTATTGCTGCATTTAAAGTGAGATGCAGTACAAATATATAAGATACCCTCCATGAATAGGTTTCCACTTGTTCTCTCCACTCTAGGTGAACCCTCAATTCTTAGCTGTGCCACTTGTGGAAGTAGCTTTGAGACAAGCTGGGAGTTGATGCAGCATTGCCAATACAACCACAATATGAACATATACATGGAGGAACCCACTCAGGTATGTAGCATTGCCAATACAACCACAATATGAACATATACATGGAGGAACCCACTCAGGTATGTAGCATTGCCAATACAACCACAATATGAACATATACATGGAGGAACCCACTCAGGTATGTAGAAGTGAAAGAAGAGAACTACTGAGATAAATTCCCTTGTTCATTCCATAGAGGAAAGAATCTGATCTCAAAAGTTCATATGAGTAACCAATTTTTAAACAAACATGTTAAAAGATATTTACATACCACATCGTTGAGTGTTTACATGTAGAACCAAAATACCAAATAAAATAAATTTATATCACCAAATCAATTTAATTTATTAGCAAAATTATTACAGTATGTTTCAATCTCAAGAAATGTAGATTTAATATTTTGATTCTCACATCTTGAAAAAGTGTAAAATATAAAATGTCCCAGGCCTCAGGCATACATTTAAATGTTTGAGCATGATGAGTAATTGTTTCTTCTAGATATGCATCTTACATGTTAAGATGGACTTGTATATTACTTCATTTCAATTTTGTTCATTTATCTTTGTTTAAATCTTTTACTATTTGTCTCTCGTTGATTTTGTTATATGTTATCTTTGTTACAGGGTAACCCATAACATGTGTTCTGATTAATTTCAAGTACATTTTATTATCCATGATAGAAATGATATGAAATCAAGTAATGAAATTGAAATGAAATGTCTTGTTCACTGGTTAACACAGGATGATGACAAAGAAGAAGATAAAGATGAGGTAACAGCTAATGAGGATAAAGATGCTAACAAGGATGATGCAACTGCAGAGGAAACTAAGGAGACAACCACAACTGAAGAGATTGTTGTTGAGGATGCAAGCAATGATGTTAAAGATGATGTGGTTGATGAAGCTGAGGCTGATGGTGCTGTAGAAGGAGATATCAGTCAGGAACTGGAGGATGACCTCCTGGGCTAGACCACCACAATGTAACATATCTTGGGGGAACTGACATTTGACATGGCAGAGAAGTAAGAGAATGTATATTTTAGGTTCATGATGTTCTAGTACAGTGAAACTGTCATGTGGAACACCTCTGTTAGGCCAAAATTTTCGCAAATCCCTAAACCAAATTCTTGTCTTTATGTTAATATGAACCTCCAAAGTAAAACCCATTGTGCCAGAACCAAGTATTCCATTTACACAGGTTTTACTACAATTCTTTCATTTAATACAGAGGTCCAGTGATTGTCCTCAAGTCACCTCCTTGTGGAAGAAGTATTGTGGATCTCAAGTTCTCATTTGTAGGATTTTCAAACTTTAAATTGCAATAACATACAAATATGCATTTCAATGCAACGAAACAAAATATATGTGCTAAAATGAGAAGGTTGACATGTTAAAGTTAGAGTATGTAATATGATGTATATTAGTGGCTAACAAAGTGGTGATACATTAAGAACTTGAACGATCTATAGCTATATGATGACAGATAGTCAATCAGGCATTATGTACATACTTTTAGAACTCATTAATTGTTTATAACCAAAAATTGGCAAAATAAATAAGGTATGAGCTGTATAAGAGTGAAGATGTAAGATTCCAAGATGGAATTATCTTTAATGGGTTTATCATAATAACAACTGTTTAAATAGTTTATTTTTGTTATTAAATTCTACAGCCTTTAGCTGAATAAGTATTAAATCATATGTATATTTAAGAAAAACAAAGAGTTCAGTAAAAACAAGTGGTCATATAGATCATAATTATTTAGAGATATTTTTCTCTTTGAAATTCTGAGAGTTGGGGCCTCAGACCATTTTAATTTTCTGCATTTCTTTGAAGTTTGTAAACAAATTCTTAAAAAATCATATGGTTAAACTTTATAATGAAGCTCAAGAATTACTTTATCATGCCCCAATTTTATAGAATTAGGTCATCTGATTAAAAGTGGTGCTATCTTCTACAAGGTTTATGAGCATGTTTGTAAAATATAATTTGATATATAACAACACAATTACAGTATATGGTGTAACAATGATGTTATTTTAATGCTCATTTCAGCTTTTTGCATACATGTAGAAATAAGGTTAAGGGTAAATGTAAACAACGATTTGCATTATGTTAAAAAGAAAGTGCTTTTGATATTACATCTAGTATACATTGACACATGAAATGGACTTGTGAAGATTTTAGCAAATAATTGTGACCACAGTGTATAATAATAATACATAAGGGTCAAGGCACATTACTTTTATTTATGGAATTCAATTGTAAATGCAGGCTATATTGATAATTCTGTGTTCCTATTTGCTTAAAATGTTGTGAAATACTTAACATATATGTTATTGTAATATAAATACTATTAATCCAAGGGAAATAAACTATGTTCTGTAACAAAAAGTTAAAGATTTTGTATTTTTGTTTTAACCAAGATCTGTTGTTGCAGAAACTATGTAAAAGATTTATTTAGAAACCAATGTGCTAAATGAAATCTTAGGGCACATTTTATTAATCTTCTGTAAAAGTATGATTAGGCTGAAAATTACGAGATTTTACAAGAGCGCTGTCAGTATGAAATAATTAATCTTCAAACCTTCAGCAGTTTTTTACCCTGAATCGTAAATGTATGCTTTATGATTGTTTGTGAATCCAAATAGTTTTAATATGCCATTGATTGTTTCAAATATGGTTCCACAATTGCTACAAGTGTATGTTTTATGCATTTGAGATATATTTTATATTTACTCTATAAGATGTACAGGTGATTTTATTTTACTCCATAATTTTGAAAACAACAATCTAAAGAAATGATGTCTTTTATGACTTTGGCTCTACAAATGCTTCAAAATGTATTATGTATGTTATTTTATTGAAGCTACATATAATCAATATTATAATCATTGGGATTGGGAATAACCTAGAACCCCTGAATCATATAATCATTTGATACATTAGCTCAATGGTTTTGAGATGTACAAGTCATTTTTTATTTACTCAGTAATTATATCATGTCCTTTTTATCCTTCTATTGAATAAAATGGAAATGTTAAAATTGTAACTCTTGTGCTATGATTTTATCAGCATTTTCATGATTATGGTGTTACATTTTATTTCTGTCATTAATCATGCATTAAACATATAAATTAGTATCTTTGGTATATGTTTTAGAAGTAATATTTGAAAATTAAGGGGTGAAATGTGCTTTTTGAAGCATTTATTGTTATAGTATTTTATTCAATAACTGTGTCTAAAGATATCCATGTTTGGGCAGACAAAGGTGAGTTAGAATTTTGATTTTATTATTTATAAAATATAAGAAATATGTCAAGTTTACAATCATGTGTAGGGCCTAAACTTGAAATCTTTATTGGCCCATCCTTGACGCACAATTTTGTAAAAGAAATAATTGTGAATAGTTGATGACAGAAAGAATCTCAGGAATCATTAAAAAAATGTGGAATATTTTTTTGTATTTTATTTTATTTAGGTCCCACAGAAAGGGATAAAATATGCTTGTTTTTATTAAGTTTGTATATTTCCAAAATGTTTTTACATCAAACAGCTGTTATTAAAGAAGATAATTGTTATCAATTCAAGGTAGGTGCTAAACATATACATATTTATTCCAAAAATTGTATTATTAATTTTATACATTTTCTAAACTTCCATTTTTATTTAAAATGTGTATACAGTGTACATTAATCAGAGTATATATTTTATAAATATTTTATTTTTGAATCATACTAAAATGCATTATAATTTATTATTTATTTTTGATACAATTTAATGAACTAATTTTGTCAAAGTCTTGTCCATAAGAAATTTAAATGCAGTATTTTCTGAGCTGGTTTTTGTTTATACTATTTTCTCCATAGGGACTATAGCACCCATCCAGTACTATAAAAACTACTTTCAGTATTATTGATGTTGGTATGTAACCCTATTTGTGAGTAATATTTGAATCAAATTTGTTCCAATGTGTGTTTTCTCCATGTTTCATATTAATGTTAATATTCTGCATAATATCCCAACAGTTTTTGTATTATTACCTAAGATTTACATTAGTTTTAAACTCAAAGACATTCCTTTAAACAATATAAAAATGAGGTACTTGTTAAGGAGTCACCATATGTTATTTTATATATTTAGACTGCTGTTTTTTCAATTCAAATAATATTGCAATGTTAATGAAACATACAAGTATTGAAGACCATGACATCGCTTACAGCATAAATATTTGTCAAAACATTTTTCAAATGTAGTCTCTCTATTCATTATTGTCTTTAATATATTTTGTAACCGGAACCTTAATAAGTAAGCATTTTATGGATATTATGAAGTGCTCAGGCATATGTAAACTTATTTATTTAGGTTGAGAATGTGATATTTTTTTGTTTTATATTATAAATGCGACTTTTACATTGTATACACGCTGACTAGTTCCATGTGGTTGATTTTATGTATAATTAAAGGTAGGCCTTAAGGTAGGCATTTGTATTTTTCAGAAATACCAGTACTGTATTATAATTTTTTTATTATGTAAAAGGGACTAGGCAAGTAATGACAAGATAATAATTTAATTTAAGTATTTAATCGGGTATAATTTAAATACTGAAATATATCAATTGTTCTTGACAATCATTCATCTCCTCTCTATATTACAAATAGCACTAAATGCTTTTTTCAATGTATTTAAAAAGCCATTTCCAGTGAAATTACAGATTGTGGTTTTACAGTTAATTTTGACTTGTACTGTATCGGTTCAGTATATATGTACTTTAACACACTGTTTCAACCTTCAGATAATGAAGATAAACATGTAAACTTGACCTACCATAGCATAATAGAAACTGATAACAGAATACATGTACACACAATCAACAATGGCTACTAACTCAGGTGAGAAAATAGATCGAGGAATTTTAGAAGTATTGAAGAAAATTGAAGATTTAGTTTCTGAAAATGTAAACAAGAATTAACAAGATACAGGTATTTATGTATGACACCATCTTAAATGTCTAACACACTTTTTAATAGTTTTTTTTGAATATTGCAAATTACAATGGATATATTTGTAGTTAAATGATTATAAACTAGAAAGGGTTAATACTGCAACATAAAATATCTCCATTAGAACCATGTTACCTGAGTTTGCATGTGGTATTTGCTATATTGTTGGGGGCTACATTTATATGCAAATGAGGCTTTTCCTTGAGATAATGGTACCATGAGCAAACCCATGGTGCTATAGGTCTGTATAGCACCCATGTTGGTTCATATAAGTATACTAGTAATACAGTTTTTCATAGCTTGATTCCTCTGTATATGGTTCATTGCATTCAGACTTCCAGTTCAGTCATGATGGACAATTCCAGGTGTCCCAGGAGATGAAGGAAGCCTTCAAGGACAATGGATTCATCTTTCTAAGGTACGCAATTACCCTGATTTTTTGCATGTATCCCGTATGTACATTCTTTGGATCAGAAAGGAACTGACCTAACTACTATTAAATACATTATACTTGTTCTAGTTCTAAATTATATTTTTTAGCAAACCGTGCTTTGATTTTATGAGATTAAACATTGATGTGTCATTTTTTTATTATAAATTGCTGTGTTTGTTATAGGAATCTTCTATCACAAGAGGAAGTTCAGAAACTGAAGGGTGCTTTAGAGAGTGAAGATGGTGAGCTTTTTTTCATGTTTTTATTTTAATATACACCTTTGACTCTTTATCCTTTTTTATCGCACTTTTTCTTAAGTACAAATACTATATTGTTTTCTTCTTTTGCTGCTAGGTAGAAGGTGGGGGGGGGTGTGCACAAATCTTGCCATTAGAATTTCTAATAAGTGAGATTATTTGTGTGTCTTGTTAACTTTATTTTTCCATTTTAGGAGTTATGAAGCATGTATATGGGCGTGATGATGGTGCTGGCAGGAAAACTAAGTCTGTGCTGTGGAACCAACCAGGAAGTGACATCACAGGGGTAGCCTCTAGGACTGAGAAAATAGCTGGCACAATGGAGCAGGTCAGTGCCTTAAGTGTATGTCATACATTTAGAAAAATCAGAATCTAATCAAAACTCACACCTGAGCTTCAATGCAGCTAGCTATTGCTATTATATTTACTTCTAGATAATAATAAAATGATTTGAATTATTATAGCCACATGTCATGTTATCAAATTGATTTGAGATAACCAAAGAAAGTTGTAAATCAAACAATTTTTGTGTGAGGGTGCAACATGAAAAACAAAATATTCCAAACCGCCCTTGCTCATGGGAAATATAAGTATGTGACAAGTATAGTTACATAGAAAATATATATTTACATTTAACTGTTATGATTTGAAATATATGTATGTGACAAGTATAGTTACATAGAAAATATATATTTACATTTAACTGTTATGATTTGAAATATATGTATGTGACAAGTATAGTTACATAGAAAATATATATTTACATTTAACTGTTATGATTTGAAATATATGTATGTGACAAGTATAGTTACATAGAAAATATATATTTACATTTAACTGTTGTGATTTGAAATATTTATTTAGCTTCTAGGAGGAGAGGTTTACCATTATCATTCTAAGGTCATAATGAAGGATCCCCACACAGGAGGTGCTCATGTGTGGCACCAGGATTATGGGTAATTTTACCTTCTTTTGTTACTTAATTTAAAAGTAAATATTTTCCTTTATTTCAAAAACTTTAACACTCAGATACATTTGGTTGGGAATGCAAATTGATATAATAATGCTTGGACAAAGCAATAAAACTCAACATGTGTATAAAATTCCAGCCTTTTGTTTAATGACCCATGGTTTTCTAACTGTCAGTAATGGTTAAATGTTGTTGACATGTGATGTAATATGCTTCATTGATATCAAAAATATAAATTGCATTAGTGATACCATGAACAGCTTGATATTAAATCTTACTTTATGTATCAACACAATTACTCAGTTGCGAGTAGGTAGTTACCAGTTTCGCCACCAGGTGGCTGATTCGGGGTAAATAACATGGCAGGGTATTACAAAATTCCTTTAAACTTGAATATTCATCAGTTTCAGTGGTTCACTTTTCATATTACCCTTATGAATGTGATAGTTATACAAATTAAAATATGTCCAGTAAGAGAAAATATTATCTGCCCAACACAAGAAAAGATATTTCACTTTTTGTGGTTTTACAACATGGGGTCTATGGGGAATCTCCCCGACCTAGAAGTCACATTTTCAAAGAAAAATAAATTTTCATTGTTGATAAACTCTTTGCAAAACCACATTTTTAAATGTAATTTTACATGTAGATTTCAAATATGACATCAGTTTGACTGAACTGTGAATTTTGAATGACGTAAATCAAGATTACTTCTACTCGCATCTAGGATATTGTGTAATCATAAATCTGGTATATGACAATCGAGGTACGTGTAATTTAGTTTTGGCTTGTGCTTGTACCCCAGTGATACAGTTAGAATATCATGTTAATAGGTACTGGTACCTTAATGGGTGTCTCTTCCCAGACATGGGCACAGTGTGGATGGCAGTAGACAAGGCAACACAAGACAATGGCTGCTTGAAGGTACACACTTTCAACATATTTGTTTCAAAATTACGTAAATTCACAACTTAATATGTAGTCTACCGATAAAAATGCACACTGTTCTCTCTCAATAGTACCCCAGTTGTAGCAAACACTTCTTTACCTGCAGTAATATCATTAGTCAACAGCCATTATTGTTAAATTTTAATGAACTGATCGAAATTGATAGTTATTAACAATTTCAATTCTAAAGAAATCAGAAATCTGGAGTTTCATTCCAATATTGGATTGTAAAATTTCTACAATCATTTTGTTTCAAAGATAAAGTGTCATTTTTAAAGTATGTGTGAAGACATTGTGTTAATATATAAAATATATATTCAGGTTGTCCCTGGGTCCCATAAGCTTGGGCGTATAGAACATGGTCATGTGGGAGACCAGGCAGGTGCTGATCTGGAGAGAGTTGAACTGGCAACTAAACAGCTTGGTAGGTATAAGAGGGAACTAGGCCAGTCAAAGTTAAAAACTGCATATAATATGTTTAATTATTTAACACCCCTGCCTCCAAAGACAAATTAAGAGTAGAAATCTTATGAAGTGCCCAGATATTTATTTGTATCAAATTCCATTGATTGAAAAGTACATTTTCAAGCTTTAGAAGCTTTCAATATTGATATATTAAAAGATGAAGTTGAGTATTAGGCTGTAAAAGATGAAGTTGAGTATTAGGCTGTTCAAATTATTTTAAAACTGAAAATTTCGTGGAACTGCGTTCATACTGTATCTGTTTGTGATTATTTTGTTGTAGGTCTTGTACATTGTGAGATGGAGCCAGGAGATGCTTTATTCTTCCATTGCAATGTCCTTCATCGTAGCGATCAGAACAACAGTCCAAACAGACGCTGGGGCTTCCTCTGCTGCTACAATCGTGCCAGCAACAACCCAGTCTATGAGCACCACCACCCATGCTACTCAAAACTTGACAAGGTTGGTGATATAACTCTGAATTTATGCATGTAGCATCACATTTGTGCACTTCAGAATATCTTATCGGAGCCTTTGAATTCTGCTGACTGTTTGTTTAATAGAAGCTAAAATAGTACTATGTTTTTCATGACTATGTATTTTCCCCTTAATAAAAAACAATCTGTCCTTATTATGGTTATTGGAGGTAAAATAGCTGATTCACATTTTATCTTTCACAAATACCCTATGATAAAATTATAATGAAATGAAACATTCCTTTGTGGAATGGCTTCACTCAAGACAATTAGATAAGGAAAAAGATACATTCTATATTTGAAAAAAGTCAAGAATCATTTAATTAAACGTATCCTAGACTAACACAGACTACTAACATTTCTTCTATGCATTTCAGGTTCCCGACTCTGCCATCATGGAATGTGCAAATCTTACAGACACATCAGGAAAAGACTTCTTCAGCCTCAGTCAGGACTTTAGCATCAAACAGATTGACAAACCAGAGGCTGGGAAATAAACATTAATAGCAGCCAATTATGGCTTATCAACATCGACATAAAAGTAAACTATATGATGTTACCCACAAATGGACACTGAATATGCCATGTGGGCAGTTCATGAACAGTTGTCTCAGGATAAGGAAAATAAAGAACCTTATTGTATGTAATTCAGGCTCTCTCTTTGCCTGTGTATCGAGTCAGAAAAACGTCAGATATTCGTCAATAAAAAAAATATTCTACGATATTGTACATGTCATTTATTTCATATAATATTTACATGATTGTTCATTCAAGGTTTCCATGTAAAATACAATAAGTCCTACTATTGGTGTTAACTAAGGGTCTTGTATAATGAATAACTACTTTGTGAAGGAACATGCTACATACTGACTTCATGCTGTACTATAAGAGCTTAACTGTGTCATGCTCATTTATCAAGAATGATGAATTAATTCTGTGTGTTTCAACTCAGTTTTTGAAGAGTGTCATACTGAAGTATTTACATCCTAATTTGTGTTATTGTTAGAGTTCTCTATGTCCACGGATAGGTGGAGCTACCCTTGCTTTAGGCAGCTCATCAAGTTGAACTCTGTTGATATCTCCTGCATTAATATTCATATTCTGGAACATGTTCTTGGCAGCTGCAGCGTAGAAAACATCGAGAATGTTCTTTTTCTTTGTGGCGTCATCAAGACGTCTGCTTTCCTTTTTAGGGTCAGCTGGAAAATAATCATATTGCATTAATCTACACTTTGTGTCATTGTCTAGTTGCTATTGCTGTAGACTCGCAGAGGGTGTGTAATAAACTAGATGCGAGTAGAAATAACCTTGATTTACGTCATTAAATATTCAAAATTCAGTCAAAGTGATGTCATATTTGAAATCTACATGTAAAAGTACAACTAGAAATATGGTTTCGAAAATTGTTTATCAACTTTGAAAATTTAATTTATTTTGAAAATGTGATTTCTAGTTCGGGTTGAATCCCCATAGACTCCATGTTACAAAGTCACAAAAAGTGAAATATCTTTTCTTGTAATCGACAAATATCATTTTCCTTCACTGGACATTTTTTAATTAGCATAACTATTAGATACATGAGGGTTATATGAAAATTGAACCACCAAAACAGATGTAATTTAAGTTAAAGGGAACTTTCTACCATACCCGCCATGTTATCTGACCCGAACGAGCCACCTGGTGGTGAAATTGGTAACTACCTACTCGCATCTGCGTTATTGTTCTTTGACACCCTGTATATGTTGGATTTATTGGTTTATCAGACTTAGGTAACTTTGTGCTCTTGAGAAATATGATACTGTCACTCAAAATATAAATCATGTGTATTAAAAGATCTTAATTTGGAATTGCATGCTCATAGAATTTTAAAATTATCAATTATTGAACAGGAGGCTGAATTTCTCATTGAGACATTACAGAATCTTAGAATCCTGCATTCAGATAATGAAAATTATTGAAATCTCTAGTATAGTCGATCAGATATTTATGCAAATATTTATACACAGTCATTCCCAGTCTGTATCTCTAGTACAATGCTGTGCATGGTACAGTGGTACAGCACCGTTTTGGAAACACGGCAGCTTTGTTAAGAAAAAACACTTGATGAACACTGCTATAAAGTACTGTTTGAGATTGGCAGTGTAAGTAAAACCATTATATACCATTTATTAATATTGCATCTATTTGAGCAGACTCTTCTTTCAATCCTTTTTCTCCATGGTCATGCAATCCATCCACAATCTCCATGTAGTAGTTCAGGTAACTACAATAAATAATCTTTATAGAGAACTATGTGTAACTATTATGTAACTATTAAAAGATTTCAACTTTTATTTGAAAAAATGGTGGGAATTTGAATATTTGAGAAATGAAAAACGTTTTTCAAATATTTTTTATTTCTAAAATTACATGACAAATCATGACATCACAAATAGTAAATAGTAAATGAATGATAAAAACATATTTTCAAACTTTACATGGGGACTTTAAATATCATTCTTTCAAGATGAGGTTAATATACTAGTACATGTATAAGACAGGATATTGAACTTACTACTCATCATAATTAGTTTCTGCCTTTAGCCGTCTTCCTTCGCCTTTTACTGCTGTCTGCAAATATTAAAGATATCAAGTGATATACAGTAGAACCTGTGTATAGTGAACATTTTTTCAAGAAAAAACGTTCACTGTTGGTAGGTGTTCACTACAGCAAGGATTTGATTTCGCGGCATATCATAAAGAGACCAGTTACTAAACAAGGCTAAAAGATAGGAGGGAATAATCAATTTAATTTGTAACTTTTGGTCACGTAAACTCCGTTCAGTTTCTGTATTCAGTTATTCAGCTTTTTTTATAAAATGATACTTATTACTGTACATATATTCTCTATAAGTTACTTTACACAAACAGCATTTATTTAGCAGTAGTTTTCAAGAGGAATCTTTGACACAGTTGACATTATTGAATTTATTAAAGGACATAAGAGTAAATTAAGGGTTATCATTATAATTTTAATCCAATCTGTTGGATTGTACTTTAACATTGGAGTCAATGGGAAAAAAAGGTAATGCCGGGGAAAAGTTCACTTTTGAAAGGTGTTCACTAGATAGATGTGTTCACTAACTCCGGGTTTTCTGTATACTGTAGAGTCATTTAATCTTAGAGAAACATAATTTACACTCGACTGAAGTGTCGTATATAATGATGATGTATGATTGTCTTACTATTGCATTAATGTCGCCAGCCAACAGGTTTCCTATGTTCATCTCAACTACGACGTTCATCTCCGGAGATGTTGCAGCCTGAATAAAGAGAGGCCATATTTTGTTTCAAATTTGGAAACCATAATCTATCATATCTTGACCTGTTTGGAATGGTTCAAAGCAGACCAGCGAACAGCAATTCAACCCTTTCAATCTTTTCAACCGTTGCAATATTTCAATGTTAACACCCCAGTTCTCAAATTCCAATGCTCATCCATGATTCAATCAATTCTGTATTTCAACTGCAAATATATGCAGGGGCTAATCATAGTTGTACATTAATGAGAATTTGAAAGAAGGTTTAGAATATTAAACAGAGCAAGTCTAATATTTGACTACCTTTTCTTTGAGAGTTCCATCTTTGTTTCTTGCAAGCATGGCTTGATCGTTGACAAATGTTACCAATTTGTCGACTGTAATGGTCCCAATGAACTGGAATATAAATTATAACATCCAAAGTGTTGACTATCACTTAACATACATTATCCATTGGTATCCCCAGTAGTGTAGCAACCCGGTGTTGTACCTTGTTCAAAATTCAGGATTACTTGGCACCCTGTTGAAAAACAGTCGGCACCCTGTAAATTAAACTAAAATTTTGAAATGCATTTTTCTCTGAACCATTTTCATGCATTGATGAGTTCATTTTTTGCTTAAATTTATGAACCGATGTTCTTAATTTTTTCGGCAAAAAACACGTGAGGATGAATGCATTGGTATGAATTATCGCTTATTAAAAGATACGTGTGACCTCTAAAAGTTTGTTTTAAATGAAATCACGATTTTTCGAAGAAGAAGTCCTTCAAAAACCACTTTTTGAAATTAAAAAAAATAGTTTCACATATCACACTTTGATAACATTGAGTAAGACTACAATATAAGCCAAAGTGGTTTAAACTTTATATGGGGGCTTTAACATTCTCTGTATTTTTAGATAGATGCACATTTACCTCTTTGGAACGTCCTTCTTTTTTCCTGTCATACCACTTGACAGATGGGTTTGATCTTAGGTCCAGTCTAAAAGTAGAAAAAGACATGATTCTCCAGTGCAAATATTATATATTACTCATTGGGCCTATTTATTAACTAATTTGGAAAAGGAGGTTACATAAGGCATCATATGGGTGGAAACACAATGCTATCTTAAAGTGACTCAGCCTCCCCCAATATACCATAATTTAAAATTGCTGAATCATATGATATATATTAAGTTGATACTACATGTTTGATTAGTCTCGCTTCAAGACTGGTCCTCCCCCCCCCCTATCTACTTCACCTGTTGTTAAATTAAAAAAAAGGGGGGGGGGTCTTCAAGCATTACTAATGTATGGTTGAATATATCGGTTTTGGTGGTACATTCAATGCTACATGTACATAATACTTACTGCTTGATAAGTTTCGGTTTATCATTGACGTTGATGCGCAAGAAAAGAACTCTAACTTCATTCTTGAACGCCTGGGCAGCTTCTTCAAAGTACTGACATTCTTTCGTACATCCTAGAATCAACGCCACTGTTTAATAGTCACCGTTGAAGTATGGATGTTTCATTTGTACATATTTATACATAAATTATGCAAACGAGAATAATGATGCTTATGAAACACAATGATCATAGAATATCCAAATGATTTTCGTGAAAAAAACAGCGATACTTCAGGAAAGTGAGTTGGTCTTACCGGTAGCATAAAATAACAGCAGAACGCTGGCCATCTTTTCTTCAAGCACCTTATTTATCCTTTCAATGTTAGATACAAGCTTAGAGGTATATGTAATACTCGGGGGTTTCTTGGACGGCTTCATCTTAATATTCTTGCTTACTAGGTCTAGTAAGTTCTTCTTCGTTATTGCTTCATCCGGATCCAACCTGGAAAAATACGAAGGGCGTTCAATGATAAATGGCCTCATTTTTACATTTCTGAAGGAATCAACGTCATGTATCGAACATGTTTATTACAATGACAAAACCAATAGATATCTAATTGCGTGCGATTTATAGAATTTATAACCATAACATAAGATCAGTATGCGAAGATCATTCACTGGGAGCTAAATCGCCACCGGTACCATAGGTGCCCATTGATGTAAAAAGGTTTACACCTAGTCTTGCATAGAACCCTTGTGCACTCCTCCCCTGGTTAATTATGATGGTGTTGGTACAAGTAGTCGTGACAAGCGAGACTTCATACACGACAAAATAAACTTGAACATCAAATACCAGGAGTTAATAAAGAAGTTGATCGAGGAAAAGCCATCCTCCGAACACAAGACTACATCAGCCACTCTGTACATTCCTTCTTCCATAGTAGATGGTGTATGTAACCCTACAAACGGAGGATGTATATTTGGCAACACTATCATGGTCTTACTTCAGTGGCTCAGTGCTACCAGGTAGGTAATAGATAACCAATGGTATCATCCTCGCGTTGAATCTCATTTCCACATATTTGTCTCTGAGTGTGTCTATCTGCGCAAATTCAACATCAGCCCGCGGATCATTGAATGGTTCAGCAGCATCTTGGAACTCTTTCATGGCATCTCTACAATCCAGGCATCCCACTAAAACAGCAATGAGACAATGATATTCTTTTACGATTCATTAACCTAGTAAATACACTCCCCTCCATAAGTTTGGCAACCTTTTTTCTCCATTGAACTACGTGTTAAATCATCTTTACGTTTGAATTTTTATTTACTTAACCGGCGATGAAATAACTTATGATATTGATGGAAACGTAACTTGACTTTATTTCCAATACCTCCAAATTTTCTCAATTTTTTCCTCAATTACAATAGGTCGAAAATTGATGATAAATTTGATGAATTTTTGAAAATCGTCATTCTCATGTAATCCAATGGGAAATGGAGGGTTCGGGGAAAATCAGAAACCAGGATATCTTTTCAGTAAAAGATTCAGCAAAAAATATTTTTATATAGAAAATTGAATTATCTAACTTTTTTTAACACTAAGTGTTTAGTTTATTTGATGAATATTAAAGTTACAGCGCTTCAAAATCATTTTTGAAAATTATTTTTCGCCTCCTGTGTTATTTCAATGGGAGAGGTTTTTTGAATAAAAGTTAAATTGGTATGGAATACGTTATGCAAAACATAAAAATGGTAATATTCACCTGAAGAGTAAAACAGGATGATGTAGAGTTTGTCTCGAGACTCATCTATGAACTGAAATCAAAATTACAAGTTGTACTTGTTATCAAATCAAAATGTTACTCGTTAATATTAGAGTGCCCCGTACAAATTCGTTCGGATCTAGTACTATACTAATATGAGAAATGAGCATTCACAATGGTAAACCTGGCCACAATACGAATTACAATAATAAATGTGTATTTTTGTCAATTTAGTCATGCATACGACATACATTAAGGATTCTCGGCGGGTAATTGTATGATAATGGAAGACTTTGGAACTCAAACTTAATTTATATTATGAGAAATGCTTATGCAAGACATAGTTATCGTGATAAGCCACATCCCCTTTTTTTAGCTTTGAGGGTAAATCAAAATATGGGAACCATTCTAGTCGATCAAACTTGCTACATACCTCATCAATCATGGACACATCCAAGAGGGGAACACGGTAGATGCTCCTTCCATCCTTTAATAGGTTTAATAGTATGATAAATGTAGTGAGTAATCCAGAGATGTCCATGTTGTCTTACGATGAATAATAGGTCACAAAAGATGATGTTGGAGAATAAGACGCTACAACCCTTTCTATATATTTAAGTGTTTGTACAACACTTGGTTCAATTTGTGCAATTTTAAAGCTAAAAGATGTACTCTTGACAGAGATAATTGATAAATAATTTTCGGCAACTGTTCAACCAAATACTGATTATGAAAATATACCAATAGCACGTTTATTTTTGCTTTTATGCAAGGTTTCAAAATGTCCGATTTAAAATCAATTTTTAAATGAATTAGCCACCAATAAAATCCTTCTACGTTTGTCTTAGATATGAAATCATACATATTTATCAATTTTCGCATATTTATTCATTATGAGGATCGCAATCTGTGTAGAGTGTCTGCAATGTGTTACATATCCAGATCAATAGATAACATTTTTAACTTTGCAAGTATTGAGAGGAATCAATCTTTCTTGAAAAGAATCAGAAAGTGTATATTTTCTCCTTTAGGAGCCTGGTTTGGACTTTTAATTTATTTGAATTCATTAAAACGTTTTTTTGTGCACCTTCACGATCCTTTTCCACGACAAACGTTTCGGATTCTTTGGCTCTAGTAAATTTTATTGAGAGCTGATGTCCTCTTTACCATATACTGAAAGACACAGTGAATAGATATTGAAGCAAGTTTCAGAGGGGCCATTTTCCTTATTTTTTAAACATCTTAACTAAAATATATTTGGTATTTTCCATTGTTAAATTTATTTTCAATAGCTGTACAGAATAATCGATTTTTAATAATAGCACCAAAGAAATCCTTCTTTTTACAAATCATAACAATCATAGTATGCATTTACGCATAATTTAATAGTATGCATTTACGCATAATGTAATTATAATTAAGCAAGATGTTACAATGTACACATTAATATGAAATGTAAACTATAGAATGAGACCAACAAACAATGGAATCATGGGGCGTAGCTACTTGCAAGGAATGGCGAGGCAATTGTCTCACCAAAAATACCACAAATACATGTTTTTTTGTTTTCAGTGACAGTAACAGTGCAGTTGAAGTCCTGTTGATAATAATATTCACTTTAACTTGAATTTGCCTCGCCGATTTCCTAAATCCTAGCTGCGTCCCTGGTAATAATGCGATGATAGTAGATTGTTACTAATATCATAAATACATTCAATGATTAATTGCTCGTTAAACTATTCATGGAATTACAGCATTAAATTACGTGACGTTTGGTGTAATAACAAGACCACGAGGGGTGATCAATAAGTCCAATTTACAAATTTCCCTGAATGTTCACTCTACACATTTACAATCATCAATCAATATAAGCATTCTTTATTGTGGATTGTCATTTCAGCAGAATAGAATACTTCGTCAAAATAAATGATTTTACTTGAAAAACAGCATATTCAGTGATTTTTCAAATAATTTAGATACGTACACATACATTTACAGGTAAAAATCTGTTCAATAACTTTAAGTCTAATTCTTGCATCCGTTTTAATCTCAATAGAAATGGTATTTACAGTTCATAAGATATAATATACAGCGTAGCCTGCAGAGGTATGCATACATGAAAGATATTACTTGAAAGATATTACTTAATGGCAAGATAAATGTTGCTGCTATATCATTTTTATACACAATGATGATGTCTGTAACTGTGAAAAACCTCATATTTCCCAGGTGCAAATAATATGATAATGCCGTTAAAAGTATGTAATAGGAACATCATGAAATATGTTATATTGGATAAGTTCTTCATATTATATCGATAAAAATGAGCTTTCATTGATAAATTATGAAGAACTTTTATTTATGTTATATATTATTATGTGTTACATATCTTATTTACAATGGGTAATAGTTATAAGGACATCGAGATGTACATATCATGAATGGGGAATACTTATATACAAGAGATTGGGTAACTATAAATTGACAGAGGGGGATGTGCTGACCCCATACATGTAGGACACAACTTCCCACTCATCGCCGCCTGAGGAAAGTCGTTTAGGAGGGGTTGAAGAAGGTAAGAATGCGGTTGGGCTGGCAGTCTCCATTCTGTACCGTCTTGTTGCCGAATCCGAACTATCATCACTTGCAATTGAGCTCATTTCTCCCTTCCCAGGGCTTATTTCAGTTCTGTAAGATATAGGTGCATTCTGGGATCGAGGAACATCCACTGGCATTTCATTCCATGATACGTCATCAGATTCCCCTTCGAGTACTCTCACCTCCTTTGTTTGTTGCCTTCGTTCATCATTAATGGTTTCAGTAATTGTTTCAGAAGTGAAAGTTCTCCGAGTAGTATCAGAGTGGTCCGAATAAGGAACAGCCATCACAATATCTTTTGATTCTGAGGGGAACGTATTGCTTGGTTGGTCGGTAGTTGAAGAATCAAGTGGTCTGAGACCAAACGATAATTGTTCAGATGCAATACCGGTCGGGGTTATTGGCCGAATCGCAGTATCAAACTTCCCTCCTTCATTTTCTTTATCATTTATGTTGACCCTAATTTCACTTTTCACAGACGATTTTGGTGCCTTGAGATTTGATTTGCCTTTAACCCTGGGACTCTCGCCTTCAGAAGTATCAAACTGTGCAATATGGTTATCGCGAACTATTGTATCTCCTTTGATATATTCTATAGAGTCTTGCGGACGTGTCTGTCTAGTTGGCGAGAACGATCGCCTGTTGATATCAGAAACGGTCTTTGTTTCTATTATTCGTTCTGTTTGGGACGCTCGTTTTTCTTTTTTAGATTTGCGATCTTTTTTGTCAGAATCGTCCGATGTCTTGGGTGCTCTTTTTTCATTTTTGTTTTCTGATTTTTCTCTATCGCCTATCGTTGTGATGGTTTCGTGGGGTTGCGATATTATTGGTGGTCGTATATGCACTGGATCAGTTGAAGCACCCTCATTGGACGTTATTCGGAATTTTGTTAAAGTTACAGGTTGTTCAAACGCCGGCGGTTTTTCCCCTGTAAATTGTATTATGGTTTCTGGATCTCTTTGAACTGACCCTCGTGTAGGGGACAATGACTTGGACTTGGTGTCAGAAACTCGTTTGATTTCTTTAATTTGCTCTTCTTGATTCTCTTTCCTTATTTTCTGTTTTTCGGGGTGTCTCATTTGTACTTGCTCCGTTTCTGGATCAACTGATGTTACGTCATATGCACCTGTTTTTCCCTTTTTCATATTTTTGCCACGTTTTTCGAAACTATCGCGTCTTGATTCTCGTTCAAATTTCGGTTGAATTGATGCAACGTCTGTGAATTGATCAATATGTCTCTTATCCTCTATCAAACTACCAGATTTTTGAATTTCCCTGGGTTCATGGTAAGATATTTGTCTCCCGGGAGAGAGTGCTCTTGAATTGACATCTGAGACAGTTTTAGTTTCAACTATTTTTTCGATTTGTTTTTCTTTTGATTTGACACGTTTACTTTTCGCACTTGCTGATGGCTCAAGTGATACTTCCTTAACGGTGAAAGATTGTGAGCCTACCTTCTCTGTTTGTGGTAGGTTTGGTGACTGTAATTTTATATCAACGTCTGCTTTTGGTTTGTCTAAAGCGAACTCGTTCACGGTTGGACTTTCAAATTTAATACCTTCAGCTTGTGGGGCTTTTCCTTTTAGTTTAAAATCGACGTCTGCTTTTGGTTTGTCTAAAGCGAACTCGTTCACGGTTGGACTTTCAAATTTAATACCTTCAGCTTGTGGGGGTTTTCCTTTTAGTTTAAAATCGACGTCAGCTTTTGGTTTGTCTAAAGCGAACTCTTTCACGGTTGGACTTTCAAATTTAATACCTTCTGCTTGTGGGGCTTTTCCTTTTAGTTTAAAATCGACGTCTGCTTTTGGTTTGTCTAAAGCGAACTCGTTCACGGTTGGACTTTCAAATTTAATACCTTCAGCTTGTGGGGCTTTTCCTTTTAGTTTAAAATCGACGTCAGCTTTCGGTTTGTCTAAAGCGAACTCTTTCACGGTTGGACTTTCAAATTTAATACCTTCGGCTTGTGGGGCTTTTCCTTTTAATTTAAAATCGACGTCTGCTTTTGGTTTGTCTATAGCGAACTCTTCCACAGTAGGACTTTCAAATTTAATACCCTCGACTTGTGGGGCTTTTCCCTTTAGTTTAAAATCGGCGTCTGCTTTTGGTTTGTCTAAAGCGAACTCGTTCACAGTTGGACTTTCAAATTTAATACCTTCGGCTTGTGGGGCTTTTCCTTTTAGTTTAAAATCGACGTCTGCTTTTGGTTTGTCTAAAGCGAACTCTTTCACGGTTGGACTTTCAAATTTAATACCTTCAGCTTGTGGGGCTTTTCCCTTTAATTTAAAATCGACGTCTGCTTTTGGTTTGTCTAAAGCGAACTCGTTCACAGTTGGACTTTCAAATTTAATACCTCCAGCTTGTGGGGCTTTTCCTTTTAGTTTAAAATCGACGTCTGCCTTTGGTTTTCGCACAGTTATATCTTTTACAGTTGGCCTGTCGAATACCACTGCTTCAGTTTGTGGCACTTTGGCTTTCACCTTCACATCGATGTCTGTCTTTGGTTTTTCTAGGTTTAACTCTTTTACAGTAGGTGCTTCAAATTTTATTTCCTCGCCTTGCGGTGCTTTTGTTTCTACTTTCACATCAACATCAGGTTTTGGAGTCTTAACTTTTAAATCTTTCACTGTTGGAGTTTTGAACGTAACCGCCTCCGCTTGTGGAACCTCGGGTGTCTTCGTTTTCAACTTCAGGCTCGGAGCCTCTAGAGATTTGTCCACGTCTGTTATATTTATAGAGGTTTTAAACTTCATCCCTTTGGATTGAGTTGAATCCTTTACTGGCTTCTCTTTTTGCTCTACAGATTGGCTTGTTGTAAATTGATCAATGTGGAAGTTGTCTTTAGTCACTCCCTTTTGATGAATTGTTTCGTTTTTTACCTCAGTCGATGGTTGTCGAGTAGGTGAAAATGAGCGAACATTGATATCTGAAACAGTTTTAGTTTCAACTATTTTTTCTTCTTGTTTTTCCTTTTTATGTTTTTTCGATTTGCTATTCTTTTCTTTATGATCAGATTTCGTAACAGATTTTTGGGGTTTTGGTATTTCATGCTTTTCTCTATCACTTGTGTCTGATACCGAATCCTGTATATCTGCTTGAGGTTTCTCAATGTGGAATGTTGATGATTGTTCTTCAATCTCTTGTAGCCCCATGACCTCTGTTGCCATTCCGTCCTTCTGGTTATCTTTAGATTGTTTACTTTGCTCTGATGTTGTACTGTCTTTGCGCTGTTCCTTTGTTGGTGATTGCATATTTACATTGGAGAATTGATCAATATGAAAGTTATCCTTCGTGAAACGTTGTCTTTGTATTGTCTCATTGCGTTGCTCTCTCGAGTGTTGGCGAGTAGGAGAGAAAGATCGAACATTAATATCTGAAACAGTTTTTGTTTCAACAATTTTTTCAATTTGCGGTTCTTTGGGAGGTTTCTTAGGTTTTTCTTCTTTTCGCTTTGCATCATCATCCTTTTCTGTTACAGATGTTGTTTTTGTTACGGTTTCCTCAACCTGTGGTATTTTCGGCTGTTTTGTGACACTTGGATCTTCACTCAAGCTTCCGATGGATAAGTCCACACTCGGGATTGTTACGTTTACATCGAACTCTCCCTTTCGTGTTTCCTTTTCTATTTCCTGTGATTTTCGTTCTGTTTTATCAGCGTTATCACCAGATGTGTATTGATTAAGATGCAAGTCATCTTTGTATATGATATCGCTGGTTCTTTTTTCAGTTGTGGCATCTCTGGAAGTCTGTCTTGTTGGCGACAGCGACCTCAAGTTGACATCAGACACTGTTTTAATCTCAACAACTTTCTCCAATTTTGGATTTTTGTCACTTCCATTCTTCCTGATTTCTATAGGTTTCAATTTAGTGTCACTTATTTCCTGTTCAAAAGCCACTTCCTTCGTGCTTTCAGTCGAGCTTTTGGATTCCTTTGACGACTGACTATCCTTTCTCTTGCTTGACTCGATAGTCAGTCTCTCCTCAGAAACAATGATTTCACTTGCTTTCGCTTTATCAACCTCCTCTTTTGGAACGATGGATATTGGAACCTTTGTAGTTTTGGTACCCTTTGAGTATGTCTGTTGTGCTATACGTCCATCTGGTTCCATCACGGGCAACCTAGTCGGGGATAAAGATCTAGTGTTAATGTCTGTCACATATTTGTTGTCAACAATTTTCTCATGTTGACTTTTTCTTTTTGGACCTGCCTTCTTCTTTGTTTTATTTTTATTTTCTGGTTCGCTCGCCTGAAGCTTCGTTGTTCCCACTTGTGTGTCAACTTTCACGTGTGGTGTTGTCATATCTTGGACCTCTGGAACAGTGGGTTTAATTTCAATTTTCTGTTCTTCAGGTGTGTCGATGCTAGGCTTTATTTTGATTGATTCGTGTTCGATAGTGATATTCTTTGTTTCTTTTGGTACTTTCTTTTCATCTTCGTCTGAACTTATTGAATGACTTCGCCTCCTAAAACTCAATGAAGGCTTATTGAATTCTTTCATGTCCCCGTCAGTGACATCCAAGACTATACTCGTATCCTTGTTCATGCCTTCAGCTTTTTGTGCTTTCTTTTCATCTTCGTCTGAGCTTATTGAATATCTTCGCCTCCTGAAACTTAATGGAGGCATATTGAATTCTGTCATGTCCCCGTCAGTGACTTCCAAGACTTCGTCATTGCGATCAATTTCAACATTTTGCTTTTCTGGCTGTTTAGGGGTACCATACTGTTGGGCATAAAGAAGGGAGTATGGATACTCATCTAATTGATCCCTTCTTACTACAAGAGGCTTACCATCAAAACCTTCAAGGATTAAAATCTGAGGATCATTTTTGGTAGTTTGGAGGGGAATCTGCCTTTCAACCGACATAGGTTTTACAGGGGATGTATCGGAGCCATTAATTACAATAGTGGACTGTTGATTAGGCAATTGTAAAGGGAGGTCATCATTATCATTAATTGGGATTTCAAGGGATTTAAGCCTCCAATTCTGTTCTTTAAACTTGTTTGTATGGAAATCCTGACCAGAAGGAGAACTCGGAGGCTCAAAATGTATTTCCTCAATGACAAACTCTTTGTTAGGGCTACCTAAAATTGGAGTGGATGGTCTGCTGTTTTCTCTGCTAAGAGTTTCGCTCAACTCTGTCTTTTCTTCAAAGTCCATGTCTTTAATTTTATCCATAATAAAATCTTGAATAGATGGACCTTCATCATCTTGGGTGTAATTCATGTCATACTCGTATGTAGAGTCAATGTTCGGTGGTTCTCTTTTTTCTTCCACGTATTTGACTTCACGTTTCAAAGGTCTAAGCTGAGGTTCATCGACGATATAGGCCGCATCAGGTTTTACAGTTGTCAGTTGAAAATTTGGTGTCGTCTCTTTATTTAACTCGTCTTGGTCACCTCTAACGCTGTACATATATTCCTTGATGCTACCTATAGATGAGCCACCATCAGACACCTTACGTGTGACTTTGACGGCCTTTTCGTCTTTCCTTTGTGGGACACTTTTCCATTTGTCGTCTTGTGTCTGAATCCTTAGATCTGGTGCGGTTATTTCTATTTCTTCTTTGTCTCCTTTTGAGATTTTCAATTGAGGTTCTACAAAATCTGGAGTATCACGCTGGGAACACCCTCTTTGTTGTTTCGGCTCATTTTCTACATGCATATCTACCTTAGGCATATTGGCGTCAGCTGATGGTGTTTCTAAAACTGCATCCTTTGTTATAACATACAGTTTGCTTCTTGTCGGTTCTTCATTGTCGTTATCATGGATTGGAACCATTTTAACGTCTGCACCAGGGACTTTTACGTCAGGTATATACCCCGGATTGTCATATTGAGGGTGATGTACGTTATATGGTTCTACATCTGGGGTATCTCGCAAATCTCGTTCTGACGTGCCTGGACCTGTTACCCTACCTTCGAAGCTACCTTCTTCAATTACAGCGGGGGTGAGGTTTGGTCCATTTGTAGTGGAAGTCTTCAAAGCAGCTTGTTTCTTAGTCTTCCTCCAGTCCAGGAAGACCATGATAGCATCTATAATGTACGCTATCATTGCTAGAAAGCCAAACACCTGAAAAGGAAATTGTTTATTCTATTTTGTTTATAGGAAGTTTTTCGTCGTGTTCTCGTGTTGTCATATGTTCCTTTTCATCATCACATACATCATACATGTACACATACACATACATGATGTATAATCGCAAGTCAGGAAATGAATGATATACAAAAATGTATCATTTTAGAACTAGACTTGCGCTATTGCAGTAAAATTTAACATATGTCTTGTTTTGTGTTTTCTTATGTTGTCATTTGTGCTATCTCATAACCATAAGGGCATTAATACATGTACATACTATAACACTAGCCTACAGATCAATGTAGATCTCTGTGAGCATATTTAGCTAATAGCCACATATGCAATTTCATTGGATTGGATTGGATTTTATACAATGGATTACTATGGAATTTTCAAGTCTCACCGCTGCTGCAATATAAGCGTCTTGGCCTTGTCCACACCCTTTTGTAACATGAAGCGCCAACAGGACAGGGGATGCTATAGCATACATCAGTGCCCAGAACGCAGGGAATGCAATTTGCTGAAAAATACATTTTCGTTAAAACATTGTATACATATTAATGATTAGATTTTGATATTGATCTTTTGACCTAAAATAACTGGAGCTATTGTTCACTTGGTAAAGTGTGTGAACAGTGTAGTGTAGTATCATGTAGTGCCATGTAGTGTCATGTAGTATCATGTAGTGCCATGTAGTGTCATGTAGTATCATGTAGTATCATATAGTGTCATATAGTGTCATGCCATGTAGTATTCTGATGACAGTCCGCACTACCCAACTACTCACTCACAGCTCAACTACTAAACTGTTTGTTTATACTTGTTGTATAACTTGCATCCATTCTCTTTTTTATCCCTTACCATTATCTTGGGACATCCTCCGAACGCACAGACATCATCCACTTTGCTTCTTGAAAGACAATGATATCTCAACCTGCGTTTGGAGGATGGATAATACAAAGGCATCAGCATATAAACTTAAGACATTGAGTTGCCCAGTATACTTACCACAATGTGCCAGGGGATCTTCGCAGAGAACCTGTCCTGCAGAGAGAAGAGGAAGAACAGTCCGAATGGGATGGTAGTCAGGAAGGACGCTATGGACACGAACCTGAAGAAGTTCACGGCGTGGATCACTGGCTCACACGTGAATGATCTGGTGGCTATATCACAGATGGAGAACGCTATGATGTCAAATACCTGCAATTCAAACATACATGTACATTCAAATACATACAGGATGTTCCAAAAGTATTCTATGCCCGTGATATGATAAGCAGGGGGGGGGGGTTAACGCAGGGGCAGGTACAAAATTATCATAGACATGTCATTATCTGATCTTGATAACTATTTTGGGTGTCTGGAGACTAACTGAATGCAGAATTATGCATTATACAAACGCCTTCTTGCGTGGGCGTTAATGGGTGGTGCGTAGGCCTACAACCACAGGCTCTCTTGAAAGCCAATGGTGCAATTGGGGTAACATGATGTAAAAAAGGTACTCGTAGCATCTCTCTCTATTACATCGCAGAAGGATAGAGATGGAGAGGGGGTGGCTTACCACGATGACTAAGAGTTATAATCGGATTTATCTGATTTAAATAAGGTCTATGAGACAATGAGTATGACATTGTAAATGAGAAGGCGAAAGTGCCACTGAGCGATTTGGACGGGATGGTAAGACAGACAGCTAATGTTTCGATGTTGAGGTCCCTCAGAATCAGCCTAAAATAACTTATGCTAAACATTATTACTTTTTTCTACAAAAATTCAATCTATTTGGCCAGATGTCAATAGAAAGTATTCACAATGACTGACCAGCATACATATTCGGGCAGTCGCCAGAATCAACTGTGGTGAAGTTGGTGGAGTCATATTATTAACGCTATGACCATGAAATAAACCCTACTTTTGGCAATAAACTTATCATCTCGTGGATTTTAATATTTAGTCAAATCTGATCGCTCAGAAGTATTTAATATTTTTCAAAATCTCCTCACAACTCTGTAGTTAATGGGTAGAAGTATGCGTGTTTCTTTCGAATCAATTCTTGAAATAGGGCTGGAGTTTTAAAACAGGAAATTGGGGTTTTCAAATATAATTAGAATATTAAAATTAGTTTAATTGCAATTCCTTCCAAAAAGAGTAGTGATAATTTCCCGTTTAATTAAAACAAAAACTACAAAACGGAATCTACCCACTTTCCTGATATTTTGATACCATTTCCTTTTGTGTTTATTTTCTTTTTCTTTAAAGTTTAATCTATTATACAATTAAAAAAGAGTCATATTATGAACATTATTGTTTTACAGTATTTCACGTTTCTGATCAATTCATTGATGAAAGTAAGTCAGTATTAGAGTTACTTCTGAATATTTTTACCCTCTGACACATTCATTGAAAGACACGAATTAACAATCTTGTGACCTTCTCGTGATCAGTAAAATCAGTAAATGTAGGCTAAATATGCACTAATACTGAAGAGTTGTAAATCAACTCAAGATTTAATTAATGTATTCGACCTGCATACCAATTGCTCATACTTCACTTTATCTACTCAACTTATTCTGACCTAAGCAACATAAAAATAATTTTTTTTTTATTGTCTGGTATTCACAAATCTTGGGATTGACCCAAGAATTAGAAATTATATATTATCATAGAGAGTCGGGATCGTTTCTCAATGCTACAGTATACTTGGTGAAAGCAGTAACTTACAATATAATCCCGAATTGTATTTTCATTAATTGTAAGAGGATTGAATTATATGTATGATAGTTTTTGTTATCACTCCAGCGGCATGATCACATTTAATATATAGGGTTATGTACTGGGAGGTTTTGGATATGGGGTTTATCCAGAGGGAGATATGCATATCTACCTGAGGGACCGTAGGGACCGAAGGTAGATGTGCATATCTCACGAGGGATGAACCCTATATCCAAACCGACCGTTCATAACTGCTTTATCCTATACCAAGTAGAGTTTTCTAATTTTCTTTCAATTTATTTTTATTTTTTCAATTTCTTCACATTTTTCTAATTTTTTTTCAATTTTTTCAAATTTTATTATTTATTTTTTTCATTTTTTTTTTATTTTTTTCAATTTTTTCACAATTTTTCTTTTTTTTCAATTTTTTCTTATTTTTTCAAATTTTTTTTTCGAAGCGGGAAAATATGCCCTGGAGCGGGAGATATGGCGAGAGATATGGAGGTTCGGGATATGGAAACCTCAAAATCATGATACGGGATATATCTTACCAACTTATCTCCCTAAAACTCTACTTGGCATAGGATAAGATTGGTTCCTCTGCCGACTGGATGATGATATATGAAACCTTATGAAAGCTAATCTAGAAATATGTTTTCAATCAATGTGATCTTGCTTAAAAGGCAGTGACAAATCCGATCCAAGTAATTTTCAAGGGAATGTCTATGATTATTTGGCCGTTAATTGTACTTTCAAAATACTGAAAATGGTAATCCAATGTAAATTATTTTATTTTTGTGACATGATTAAACGCGAGTTCTTGAAAGGTAAGTGATAATTATAATGTAACATGACCTTCCCATCTTTACTCCGACACCCACAAGAATGTCCCAATATACACTCCTTTGAAAATGTTTGGCAAGCTCAACCTCAAAATTGAATAGCGTGTGAAAGCATAAACATTTAAATTTGAATTTTATCCTGAATACAATAGGTCTGGAACTTAATGACAGTGATGGAATTTTCGAGAATCGCAAAAAATGAACGGTTTTTAAAACATGGTCAAAAAGGGGAAGTCAGAAGTTGGTTACCAAACTTTTAAAGGGTAGTGTTATAATCATTACACTATCAGACATATCTATGTCTATCATAGTTTTCAGAGTTTTAATGGTATTAATGAGTTACTTTACTAACAACTACTTTTTAAGTTCTCTTGAACTTTGCAAATCCAACTTTGACTTGTATGTTAATATTATTATCAATACTTGTGTTTTTAATGTCAAGACTTGATAACGACGACATTCCATACTTACGAGTTTATATGTTCACAAGTTTTTTTAATTCACGTATTATAAAATATTTAAACGGCTGTTAAGCAAATTGATAAACATAGAATTCAATTATCATGAATGTGAGACTGGACAATACCATATTCAACTGGATTTTGAGCAATGATAATAATATTTTGAAATAAAGGTTCTTAAATGGACAGTCCTTAAATCATTCAACCAACAAATGTTTATGCTGACATATTGTTACAGCCCCAGATTTGATTTGATCCGTTTAGCATTGGCGTTTGCCGTCTGTGACTTTTACAGTTTTGTAACCATCACCAGGTGGTGAAATTTTTACATGTCAATGCCTTGTTTTAATGTGGTATAACCTGCACCACAAATGCACGTTATAGTTTTAATGTGGTATAACCTGCACCACATATCACTTAATAGTTTTAATGTGGTATAACCTACACCACATATGCACTTTATAGTTTCAATGTGGTATAACCTGCACCACATATGCACTTTATAGTTTCAATGTGGTATAACCTGCCCCACAAATGCACTTTATAGTTTTTTTTGTAAAAGTTAAAGATTGGAAACTTTGCTCACGTATACTTTTCAAAAACAGCAGCTCGAGAATTCCAAAGCGGGTGAATTTTAAAAGGCGATTTGTTAAATACCTATCAATGGTGCAAGTTACAAATTGGAGAGGGGGTGGTCAGAATTACAGAGAAAATCCCTTTAGTTACATGTATACCATTTGAACTTGAGCACTCGTGACTTACATTATACGATAGACTGATTGAAATTCACTACTTACCACTTCTGGGACTTTCATGATACCGTGTTTGCTTCTTGCATATTTTGAGTCAACCAATAGAACTGTATTGTCTGGTTTGGATGACTTCTTTTTGTCCTCTTTCTTAGAATCCTTGTTTGCAACATTGCTATGCTGCTGATTATTGTTTGCAACAGTGCTATCATGATTGTTATTTCCCTGCTCATTTCCAGGATCATCTTTGTCTTTCTCCTTCGATTTTTTCTTATTCCAACCCTTCGCCATTTTTGTCAATTCAGTATCGTTAATCCCTCTTTGAATTTATATTTTGAAGCATACTCCAAATGCAGTATCGAATGCAATGCACTAAGTGTCTAATGTCAGTCAATCCCCAGTTTGTTTGCTGACGATATCTGTCGGAAAAAGAGGATATATATCAATATAAGTAAATGCATAAGAATGAAGGATATACCAATATTTTTTACTTATTTACCTTGGCCAAGCATATTTTATTTTATGCAAATTTTTATTGGTGTCTTAAGATGAATTTTATTTGCAGAATCAATTTTTATGTGAGTTTCATGACTGCTTTAAGACCTTCTTACAATAGTTGGTAAAACACTTTATTGAAAATAGAAATGAATTGCATATTTCATAAAATACAAGTATCAATATAAACGTAAAACGAGGAGGTCAACGTATCGCTATCATAAATGTTACACCCCGGGTGTTACCGTATTCCCAACCATAGGATCCATGGGCCTCGAGATATCAATTGCATTTTGACATATAAAACTTGTAATGGATAAACATACATTGCATAAACGTTTTCAAATTCTATTTTAGAAGTCTCTGAGAATCATACGTATGTAGTTTTACTAGAACCTACTATTGAGACTTTTCTTAAACTTTAAGTCCTTGGTGTTCTTGGTGACATACCCGCAGTAAGTTTGACCATCGGAAGTCTACATTTAAAATAGCTCGTTAAAGGCTGTAAATTGTCGAATCTTGCCAACTTGTCAAACTTATGGAGGAGGGTGTAAATCTATAAGAAATATTTCAGGAAAGGGACTAACATTCTCCACAAGAAACAAAAAAACTCACAACTCACACTACAAATTCAATGTAAACATACTTATCATAGATTTTAACTATATTGAAGTGGACGAAAAAATAAACGACATTATGATGATACGTTCTCCAATTAGTTAGATTACTAGAATACTGTGAACCCCTCCCAGTTACGAAGAGGGATTGCTCTTGAACTTCCATCACTTTGCTTACCATTTGGCATCATTAACGCTTCCCTAGTGCCAAAATAGCAAAACAACATAGAAGTGTGACTTGAATGTTAATAACACACAAACACCAGTGATGCCAGAGCACATGTAGCAACTCTTCAAAAACGTCCTATTCATTCCATAACACTATCTTGGTTACTTAAAGGAATAATTCAGCAGAGAAAAGATACATGTGTGTGTTTTAAGGGGACTCGTCAAATTGTAAATGTTAAAGTCAAATAACATTTCTATTGCCTAGGTACAACTAAAACATGTCAAAACACTTGCTGATGGGTGTTTTTATTTGCATGGTTTATATGGCCTAAGGTGTTTGCATTGTTTTTCCACATTGTTTTATAACGAGTCAATCACTGTTTTACAATTGTTGACAGTCATGTAAATTACAATATTATAGAGCTTTCAATCAATACCTATGTAAATACTATGATAAACAGAGTAATACACGTATAGTACTTACACCACGGCCTCGCAGTCTTACATGGGACATTAAGTTTAATTAAATTAATTTGAACATATTGTGCATAATAAAACCTGCTTAAAAGTATTTGAAAAATACATCATCAGATTCTAAATGTTTGAAATGAAGATAGAGTTACTAGAGATTATACTCACCCAAGTTGTGTTAATCCCTTCGTTAATCTGTGTGTTAGGTGTTATCATCGAGAGACTTTGCCCCGCTCAGGAATTTAAAGGTCTGCGTTTTTAACTTTAAAACCTTCACTTCTCAAGCACCATCAAACATTATTTATATCCACCATCCAAAATATTTAATGACAGTCATCAAATATCAAATATAACTTTATGTTTTCTTCAACTCGTTGTTGGTTGCGCTCAGGTATCTCTGTTTTCAATGATTTAATTAAAGCTTAGATAAATCGTGCTTTTTCAATTTAACTTTTATTTCATTTCCCAGTCCTCTGGTGTATTTTGCAGTTTTGGAGTCCCAAGGGGAGTATTCAAGGGTGTCAATCAGGGTATTTTTGTCTGTACCGGAATAAACCTATCCCTTTGCATGACTCTGAGATCGAGCAGAGTCGTCCAAAAGTAGTTCCTCTTGATCAGAAAATAATCATTTGTTTAGAATTGTATGCGATGCTTTCGTCATTAATGCAAACTTTGTTACTTATGAAACGTCGCTTTCACCTTGGCGGTTATTATCATCGGATTCCCGTTTTTAACTATTCTAGATTTGACCAAGTGTTTTGGATATGTTCCAGAACTGAATCCAACATATTTTATCACCCGTGAATTAAATATCAACCATTTTATAACTATTCCAATCTAAGGTATAGAAGATTCGACCCGTAATTATGACTTGATGTATGATCTATATACTTATACTTTTATGTTGCCCATTGTGTTTTCGTCAGTCGCGTTTTTTATTTGCATGGAAGGAACGCGGTCCCCGTGACATAGAATCGCTTGCATTAGCATTCTCATTTCCATTAATTAGTCAGATTTGGCATTGTTTTGTGTAGTTCTCCTGGGAACTGCAAGTCAGGCCATCATCAGGAATTCCCTCCATTCAGCCTTCTAGACATCAACTTTAACAAATGCTCCACCAAAGTGCAACTCTAGCGCCCCCTTCCCCGAATAGAATACTGCAATCTGTTGACTGTATATCATTTCAAGACTTCGTGACCCATTAAGGTCAAGATCATGGTCAGGGGTGTTTTGTATTTTCTTATGTTTCCCTTTGCGCTCTTTTATTACATCTTCAAACTTGGTAATTTGGAAGACAGTGTACTCTCATCGGATCTAACGTCCGGAAGAGAATCCGGAATACTTCTTTTATTCAGAATATGAAAAGAGCAAACATTTGAATGATAAGAAGTGTTTATTATGCAGTTTATTTCACATACATTGTATACAAAATACACATGTAATTCGTCATCACATTCAAAATGAATATGTGTTTCATCGTTACTAATAATAACAATTATATTAATTGTTGTTGCTAACTCGATTACATCAATTGCTCCAACTCTTTCCCTCACTCAACCAACGTAAAATAGACATAGAGACATAGGTCAAGTTGAGGCAACACAAATGGAACCCAATGACAAGTTTTTCAATTTTGTAATTTCATTTTTATCCTTGCCGCATTTTTAAAGTGCCATTTGCCCTTTATTGACACGAGTTACTTCTAAAACGGAAACATACACAACTTCTTGTGTGTGGATATGAAGTATAACACATGTAACGACATATAGGAATTTTTCAACATTTTTATCTTCGGGAGGTGGTTACTTATTTGGCAATCGTTATGGAGAAACATATATCTAATTATATACTTCCAAAGCAATAGTAGTATTATGTACACTAGTAATGATACCTTTATGAAAAACACCCACTATACAAAGTATTTAACTTTATAAAATTGGCTGCACTGTTTACCGGTTTTCATGGGTCTTTTTCGGTTCAAAAGATTTGCAAAAGCTAAATTTATGGCTAATTCACAGTTATTGTCAAATAAGTGGTTAGATCGGGGTATTTTTGCTTGCTTACCTGCTGCTAGAAACATATGAAAATACAAAAATGTTACCTGCTGTTTGGACAAACAATGGCATACAATACATTAAAGCAATAAACCTGAATGAAAAATGTTGGAAAAGATCTTGGCGAAGGTAATAACTTTTTATTCAAGGACAGTGTTCACTTGCTATGCTTATCAAAGATGCCAACTGGTAAATGAATAGATGTATCCAAATATGTATCTCTCAACCCCGATGTCTTTGTTGCTTTAAGATTTTAATATTTCTCAAATATTCAAATTTCCTGTTATATCTAATGTAACTTAAATGTTTCGGGGTATTAAAAGGATTTTGTAACCTTACTGATAGCATCGTGATGTCACTCGGGTGGCAAACGTTTTTTGAAAATAATTTTTTTTCATGTCAATCTTTCCTATAATGATAAACATCAAAAATAATGCTATTTGTCTAACGTTCATGCATGGATGAGTTCATTTCTCGCTTATTTATCAATTAATTTACGTCGACAAAACAATACGCCAAGATGAATAGTGTGTAAAGTAACCCATATTAAAAGACGCGTGTGACGTCTAAAATCTATTTTTAATAAATTCACAGTTTTTCGAAAAAGTCCTTCAAGAACAACTTTTTGATACAGATTTCACAAATCACATTTTGATAACATTTGGTAAGACTTCAATATAAGTCAAAGTGGTTTAAAGTTTATATGGGGGCTTTAAGTATCTTCACTATGATTCAAAAAGTTTCCCCCATTATCGAAAAAATATTCAAAAATTACGGTTGCATTTTTGTATCACCCTGTATATATATTGATATAATGACTTTGTCATGATGATATTCAGATCAAAATTGACTACATTTAAAAAAATCATCCATGGACTCGTAGTCGAGTTGGTTCAACTTGTCACTGTTACCATCCATTGACATATAATTGCTCTCAACTGCTTCAATTGTCGCATTTTCATATGTCGGTACATCGTCAATAGCGCCTGTAAGATGAGGAGTCGTGTCATCATGTGACATAAGAGTTGGTTGTATTGCACTTATCGACCAATCAAATACAGATAATGGTGCAGACGATGCTGTTGCATTATGGGCATTGCTATCTGAAATATTTCCAACAGTATTGTTGTTGAAATGAACCCATTCCGATTTAACGTCCTTTTTTGAGTCGAATGTGGTCCAATTGTCAGGACCCAGGTCGTGTTCGTTCGTTTGGGAGGGCGTTTGTGTATTAAATTGATTCCACAAGGGAATAGTTGACCGTGAAGTCGATCCAGTATTATGCGAAAATGCTGCATTTTGGTTTGGAAGTACCTCGTGTGATGTATAAGATGATATATTTTCTGACTGTATATTGCTGTCGTTTTGGGCATCAACTACAGAAATGTTTGTATTGGATTCACTTATTGACAGACCTGATAAGGATATTGCACTGGAAGCTCCTGTGGAAATTGTAATGTTACTCGTTTTATCCATACGTGGCACAGAATGACCGAATGATATTCCACTTTCAATTTTTCCGGGTTCCATTTGGCATGCGTTGGTAGAATCAGGTTTTTGGATGGGGGGTTGTGAAAGAGGAAGTAGGGGGCAACTGAATTGTGGATGTCCACTTGTGGCCTGTATTTGATGAACTTTTTCATTCTTCAGCTTCGTGTCATTTCCAAACTCCTCAATGGAGGCACTTGCAATATCAATCACGTTTACTGGATCATGATTTGGCAAAACGTTTGGCGTCGTTATGATATCAGGAACAAGGAACTGGTCGATGGCTTTAATTGGCAAAAGAGGTACGAGTGTATCAGTGATTTGAGGTACGGAATCACCAGTCAACAAATCAACAACTTGTCTGGAGGGCATAGGGTCCATAATACTGATTGGGTCAAATGGTGTAATGTCGTCATTATCATCAAGTTGCAACAGATTCACCGATTCATCTGGAATCGAAATATCATTATCGTCTTTTGTCTCATCCAGCTTAACGTCTACAGTGACATCTTTTATTTTGAGCGATAGAGGACTGAATGAAGGCGACAGACTGGATGATCGTCTTCGATCATATAAAGCATTGTCAACAAATGAGGCGTTAGTGTCACTTCCTTGGACAAGTTTGTTTTCTTCTTGAGCTTCAATGATGATATCCTCAGTTTCATCATGATCTGCATTGTGTCCTTGGCTATGTATAGGCCACGTGTTAAGCTTTTGTATGATAGGAGCAGACTTAGGTGTTGTGGCGGCACTTTGAGTTTTTTCCTTCATTCTCGGTGACGCGCTACCGCCAAATATCGCCTTCAATCCTGTAGGCGTTTTAGGGACATTTAATGAGTTGGGACGCTTGGGAAGAGCAGGTGGGGTAGGTGCAACTGTAAGCTCTGACATACCAAGTAGCTTGGTAACATCCTTTCTGTGACTTCTCATGGTCACTTCTTCATAGTCGCCTTTCGACCGTTTATTCACAATACTAGATTTTAATATTGTACTCCTAGTGCCACCATCGCTCGACTTGAGTCCCTCGACGCCCAGCAACTTAGTTACATCTTTTCTAAATCCGTCTAAGTCTTCATAAATTACCTCCTTTGCAGTTGCCAAGTCTTCGCAAGACGATGCTCGCCTTCTTCCAACTATGGTATCTGTTTTGCGAGGGTTCGGCAATGTTTCAGTTTTTCTATTATGCTCACAATAAGATTCAGTCGTGTATTGATCAAGTTCTTCGTATAGTTCTTCATCTGAATCAATTGGTTTAATAGTCCCAACTTCTTCCAGTGTATCAACGACGACTGGTTTACTGTCGGGAAAGAAGTGGTGGTCACCGGTGTCATCAGACGCAGTGAAAGAATCATCAAACAAGTTCGTCCATTTGACATCTGGAGTCGTGATAAAACCAGAATCATGCCCACTGCTACACGTAGATGCCTGGGAAACTTGTGACGTTCCGGAAGATACAGAAAATCCACGATCTTTACAGGGAAGGGCGGGGGATTTGGGTAATGGAGAAAGCAATACTGAGTCAGGGTAACACATTGTCATTGATTGGTCCATTGCCTTGAGGTTTATGTCAGAATTAGAGTTTCTAAATTTACTTTGTTGGCCTGATTTGACATGACCATAATCCATATGACTGACATCACTCAGTCCTCGTCTCTTCCTAAAACTATGCTTAAGACTACCAAAAGTTAACTCATTGTACTCCATCTGACCATCCAAAGGAAGTTTGGGTAACTGACGCGGCAATGATTTTGAATCACGTTTAAACTCAAAACTTGTTTGACGAGTCTCGTCAACCGAAACAGGGATGTTTGGAAGAGGGCTTTCGTGTGATTGACACTTTGACGACATTGAAGAATTCAACGATCCAACTGAAGACCGTCTGCTATCATACGAAGCAGACGATGCATTAGAAAGGCTAGATTCACAACGCACAGACTTCATCAAGTCTTGGTTTACATTATAATTTTCCCCTTGTAACGCTGTAGTATCGTCACTTGACGATAGTGCAATGGCAGGTTCAGCATTTCGTTTATTGTCAGGTTTGATCACAGAATGGGATGTTGGCGACATCTGATTTATTGCACCTCTATTTATATTGGCATGTTCGATGGTAGGTTTAGTGTCCAAGCTATTCATACATTGTTGAATATTGTCGTAGATTGTCTTCAGTATTTTAGGGGCTTCAGTTGTGTAAAATTGATATTCACATTTTTCGTCTCTGGAAATAAAATTCAAGATATCAGGTTAAGGAAGTCGTGAGATTGAAATGACTGCCAAATCTAAGGAAAAGCCTCCGTGCATATTTCAATATCTACAAATATAGGCCTATGCATATCAGGTGATATATCAACACGGGGGCTATCCAGGCCCCGTGACATCGCAAGCAATGAGCTCATGCTATAAGCGGGGCCTGGAGAGATATGATAAAATTGAAATATAACATTTTCTATGAAAATTTAGATGTGAAAATACAAATTTATTTCATAGTACAATGACTATTTCAATTACAGGGCAACGACGTTCTTCAACTATAACTATATTTTATCACATCTCTCAAGGCACCACTTCTAACATGAGCTCATTGCTCGCGATGCCAGTGGGAACTTGTTCGCGATATATTATATGGGGCCTGGATAGTCACCATGTATCAAGCTACACGCTATGTTAAAAGTATAGTATGTCTTGGATGTTTAAATAAAATCAACGTTGGACAATTGACAAACAAGAAATAATTTTGGCAATAATTTTACAGAACAAAGTACAAGTTATGCAGAAACCGAATCATTTCACAATGATTCAGTAAATTACAAAACAATAGTACATAACATATAACCATGACAATTCTTGAATATAATACGATGTAAAAATATCATATTTTTAGTTTTAAAGCATTAAAATAGGCCCTTCTGGGATTTGAACCCAGGATCTCCTGTTTACTAGACAGGCGCTTTAACCGCTAAGCCAAAGGGCCATGGTTGAGGGACCGGCGCATTAAATCAATGTTATGGACTGGAAGTTGTAATACGTGTATACAAATATTGCGTAATTTGATGATGATTATTATGTTTCCTGGAAGGTGAACTTTTATTCCTTTCAAGTCGAATTCATTTCTGAAGTCCAATGATGAAACTCCTCTACGAAAGTTGACAGATATGACCTTGAAAATCTGAGATTTAGTAATACGTTTAAAATGATTAAAAAGTGCATTCCTGGGTTTCAGTTGCAATAAGTTCTTTAATTTCCTAGCGTAATATGTCCAAGCTTTATAGAATCATGCAATAAATGGAAAATTAGTAACCCAAACATTTGAGGCAACGCGTGGCTTGAAAATCACGCCATGGTAAAGGAACCTAAATTTTCAAGAACAATTACGTGGATTTTAATCTGAAGTATTTTTGAATGCTTGTTTACCTGGGAATTAGAAATATATCAAAGCATTGAAAACCCTTTATGAGTTTTTGTTTGAGTTGTATTTTGAAAAAGTTACCTATGTGCGACCCCAACAGGAAGGGTGAATGTAAATAACTAAATTATTAATATATCGCACAAAAAATTCCATTTGAAAGAATCCTAAAATCATTTCATGTCATTTTTGATATTACCATGTGAATTATCATTCATTTTCTATTTCATTCATAAAAATAAAAGTTATGGGGATAATTAAAAAAACATATGATAGGATAAAAATAGGCCCTTCTGGGATTCGAACCCAGGATCTCCTGTTTACTAGACAGGCGCTTTAACCGCTAAGCCAAAGGGCCGATGAATGCAACTACCGATAAACAGGTAATATGTTTCGTTCAGTCTCATGTTTAAATGATCATGTGTATATGTGATCATAAGAATACAAATTTATTTTTTACAATTTATTTTATCCTTATATGATTTAATCATAGATTATTTATGACATTTTTTCGTGTTCGTAAACAATTCGTTAGTCGGTTAATCTCCCGGGACTAAGTGCAATTACTTATCAATGATGTAATTAAATACAAACTAGAAGAGTACTATTTAGTGCAATGTCAAACTGGATTGTAGTCTGAGATTGTTTAAGTATAAACTTATCTTTATACGGCAATTACGCCGACTCTAACTCTATGTACAAGTAGGAATGACATAACACTCACAGATATAAGAGGTTCAAAGAACAATATTCAAGTTACATATATCATATGCGTCAATGCATAACTGGCAACATTTTGAAATACGTTAAAGGTACATAGCCTATATTGAATATTAGTAGTGATATCTCAAAACTACGGTAGTGATAATTAAAATTAATTTAATGTAAAATGAATTACCTGCCCTTTTCTATGTGAATGTATATGGTCACCGGTCAGTGTTTGTTTTTCGATACATATATGTTTATGTTTTATTATGTAGGGATTATGTATTAGGGAGTATATTATATTTATTATCATCATGAGATTTATACTGGATTGATCAGTAATAAATAAGAGAAGCATTAATACATATCATTTCCTTGTTTTCTGTTAGTGTTTAGTAGCCTTTCAGAAATTCCGTCGCAATAATTAAGCTTATACTTACGGTCCTTCTTGTATTTTCAGTATCGACATTTGGTCGACGGGCAGGCATTTGTCCTCGATCATGAATCTTCTGAGAGCTCCCATCTGCAATTGAAAGATCAGGCTCCCGTCGTCCGGCTTGAAGAGCTTGAGAGACGTGGGGAAGATCCCCAAGATGAAGTTTCCATTAAACCCTAGCCTCTCGGAATGAGCGTTGTCTACGAGGGCAACAGGAAAGCAGGTATCTGAAACATATACTTAGTTTATGTTCTGTTTCCTGAGCTGATTACCCAGTAGAGGCTAATTGCATCCATAAATCAAATCATTGAGGAATTGTACTCGTAGCCTATTCATTTGAGATCACAAAGGCCATTTGAAAGTGACCAAGCTCTTTCTTTTTACGAATACACTATCTAAACTAAAATATTTCTATTCAGTGGTAATGTTAAAATCAAAATGAGAAAAATGATCATTAAAAGCTGATCAAGGTGCGTAAATGTAAGTTACCTGTTCCAAGTTTTAGAGTTGACGAATCTTTACTCGGCCAAAATATTTGCCTCAACTTGGATATCCAGGTCTGGGAATCTGTCTCACTCTCCCCGGCGAGATAGAGCAGGCACCCAACCGCATCGCACACTTCGAATGCGTATGGGTGTGTGCGCGATTTCGTTTTCCGAATGACGGAAACGTTCTCTAGATACAAGACTGTCTTTTCGTACTTTGGTTTAGGTTCATCTTCGGCTGTGTTGAAAATTTCCAATTTTGCGACTGATTTCTTGGTTGAAATATCGTTCATTCGATGTATGATAATCCATTTGCGTTTCCATACCTAAAATTACAAACTTATAATTAAATTTGACACGTAAAGATACCCATTTAAAACAACAAAACAGTCAAACCATATGAATGTTCAGGCTCAAGAAACAAACAAGGTCATAGGACACTCGCAGCTTATCCCGTTCCCGGACTATGGTCCTGTGAACATCTCAATCTTTTGCCTGTGCGATTACAACATGGGAGAATTTTTTACTGATCTTACACTTCAGATACCTACTTCAATAGATTCCTTGGTAATTTAGCATTCTTTTCGTGTAGTTGAATCCACAATTGTCTGGGTTTATCGGCAGAACGAAGACATTTTCGTTTTTGATCGCAATATTTGCGTGTAACATTTAACTTATTTCAACCGTCAAATTCCTCCATATTGGTACTTCCGGGCTACATCCGGGACAGCCAAACGGGGGATTCCCCTTTTAAATCCAACCGCCATTTTGAAAAGTGATGGAATCTCTCTCGATGAAAAAGAGAAAATGTTCCCGTTCTGCCGATATACCCAGACAATCGGCGGTTCCAATATATTAGAAGTTACATCTTGAGTTCTATAATGCATTGAGGTAGGTATCTTAAGTGTAAGGGGCGTAGATAATTCTCCCAAGTTGTAATCGTACAGGCAAATGAATGCGATCAGTGCAGGACTATAGTCCGTGAACGGGATAACTCGCAGCCACAGTATTAAAATGAAACTTTGGCGAAAAGGTATGGCCCGGATGGGGATCGAACCCACGACATTCGCGTTATTAGCACGACGCTCTAACCAACTGAGCTACCGGGCCTTACTTACCGAGCTCCATGTTAAGCTGGCATGATATGCCCCGCGAACATGTATAAAAAACGTAAAGGCTAGAGTACCGACAATTGTCGGTACTCTAGACTCTGATGTGGTGGCACGCTAGAGGACCGACAAATAAATTGTCGGTACGGGAGATATGCTGTGTTTACACGCTAGAGGACCGACAAATATTGATTTTCGAATTTTCTGGCGCATGCGCAATGCGCGGGGGGATATTTCAGATATCATACGGATATTTTGGGAACAAGTGCAAAACCCGGGGAGGGCATTAGCCCCGGTTACCCGGGGATTACCAAACCCAGTAAAAAAATGGTAGCCCGGGAACAGGGAATGGTAGGGTTGATTTTTGAATTACGAAAATATATAGCGATGTAGGTCAAAATAGTTCCGAACGTGAGCATGTTTACTACGCGTTTGCCCTTCATATCAGAATTGAGGAAGTGGTAGCAAACGCGAGTTACAATAAACGGACGCTGATATCTCAAAAAGTAGCCTGACTCCCTATAATTTGATGTAGGTCAATCGAACCCCTATATGGACAGGTGCATTTTGATATATAACACTATGGGGGGGGGGGGGGGTAAGCGTTTCATAGTTGGTCACGAACGCCATATGTGCAAAGTATTGTTATGAATTTTCGAATTTGGTGTTGGATTACGGTACTCACACCTTATAGCACAATTTTTGATGGAAGTTGCATTTGGCTCCCTTAGTTAATGGCCACGATTCCAACTCGCATGAGAGAGCTACCAAACGCAAAGTAAACAGTGATATATTCCAAATGAGATATTTCTCCTGTGCAATGTCGTAGTAAGGGTAGGGAGCGACGGGGGCGAAAGCATCCCCTCCCCTAACTGTATATATCGACCCATTAGATAGGACAAGAAAAGAGCTTTAAAATGTTTTTTAATCGAAGCTTGTAGGACAATTTTGATGGAAGTTGAATCAATTTTTGTCGAAATAAATTATGGCTCACTACAAGTTAATGCCTGTACGATTCCATACTGCAAAAGAAGCACTATGCCCCCCTCAAAAGAAAAAAGTAGGTCTTGTCGGGATTCGAACTCGGGACCGAGGGTGTTCGAGTCGTGCTCGCTAACCACTAGACTACCAGTGATGAGGTTATTTCAAAGTGTAAAAGTAGTGGAATTATTTATGAAATTGTCGGCTCTCTAGCAAAAACACGTAGCAGCCAATTGCGTACCGACAATTGTCGGTTCTCTATCTGGCACTAATAGGTGACGATAGAGTGCCGACAATTGTCGGTACCCCAGCAAATACCCCTGGACAGTCTCCAGCACCGACAATTGTCGGTCCTGGAGCCACTCCGATAAACGGTACCCCAGCAAATACCCCTGGACAGTCTCCAGCACCGACAATTGTCGGTCCTGGAGCCACTCCGATAAAAAAAATCGAGTCGACATCTGTCTCGGGGCCTTTCGCCGGATGGAACCGTGTTCATATGAAATTGGTCAGGAAATTACGTTTAGATAAAAGTCGGTTCAAAAAGTTGTCCAACATATAAGGTCGGATGGGAATCGACGCTTGTGCTCAAGACGTTCGTGGTGACAACGCTTTGACAAACTGATTTTCCGGACCAGATGAAATATTTCGGTTCACGAACAATTGGTATTTTGTACATTTCATCCAACGTCGGGAAGTCTGAACTAAAATTAGAGTCCAATCAGCTGACCTCGATGGCTTATTTTAATATGATTGTCTCGTTGGCATAAAAGAGATTTAAAATTAAGCTTGTTTGGCTAAAACGCATTCGTTCATTTATTTCTCGCACACGGCAAAATCACAGTGAGGTTGACACTGCTACCCACCTAATTACACAGACGTATCGTCGGTGTATCATGGCGGAACTTCCTCCGGGACTAGGTTTCGGTAAGATTTTTTTATTTCCCGATTTACACCTACTTATAAGTCACGTTGTGGATAATAATTTGGCTTGAAGTCAAGGAATATAGTCTAGTTTGAGAATGTGTCGATGGTTTTAGGTTTTATATGTTAACAAAGACACAATTCACGTATTTAGTCCCTCGCTTTTCTTACACTGACGAACGACCAATGTCAGTTTTAATATTGGCAATATTAATGCCGATCGTCAGTGTAAGAAAAGCGAGGGACTAAATACGTGAATTGTGTCTTTGTTAACATATAAAACCTAAAACCATCGACACCTTCTCAAACTAGACTATCTTCCTTAACTTCGAGCCAAATTATTATCCACAACGTGACTTATAAGTAGGTGTAAATCGGGAAATAAAAAAATCTTACCGAAACCTAGTCCCGGAGGAAGTTCCGCCATGATACACCGACGATACGTCTGTGTAATTAGGTGGGTAGCAGTGAATGAGTCATATTCTTCTATGACTTCGGTAATTTTTACGTTGATATTAACAAGGGCGCAAGGTCATAGGACACTTACAGCCACAGTATTAAAAAAATTATATCTCCGAAATCTCTTGATAGTGATTCCGCACCTGACCAATGGCCAGGTGTGCCAATGATAGCAAAGACCCTTTTAATCTGATTTCCGTCATCAAGGTTTATATTCGCTATTTTTATGAATGAAAAAGGGTTAAGATATTTTGCATGACAAGTAAGTTTTTTAGCATGTGGTTGTTTCAGCAGAGCGATTATGTTGATTGATGGGATAAATTGTTTCTAGCTTATATCCATGATAATTTTGATACCAATTTCTATCGGCTGTAACCTTTGTTTATTTTTTTTGAAGTAAAACTTGGATTACTTGGGAGGGAATTCCGTTTGGTCAAACTCATTATGCTTTTTCTGCAGCCCATGCATTTCACTGTTTTATTGCGTAGAACCCCAAGAAATAAGAAATCAGGAGACCAATAAGCAAAGGTATATTCATATTGTACATGAATGTCATTTGTATATTTCAGAGTATTTAGTTTTTTTGTGCAATAAAGCCTATGCCCTCTTGGAATTTAAAGAATTTCAGCCATGTTAATCAGGAGACCATTGAGCAAAGGTATATTCATATTGTACATGAATATCATTTGTATATTTCAGATTATTTAGTTTTTTGTGCAATAAGCCCTCTTGTAATTTAAAGAATTTCAGCCATATGTTAATCTTTTTGAAAATACTATGAGAGAAGCATCAACCTGAATATAAGAGGCTACACACTTTATTAGCCTTTGAAGCAATCCAAGATAAACAAATGTTATTCATGTGCAGTATATATTTCCAAATGTCAATGCACAATGATCTTTTCTTATTTTTTAGGTTTTGCTGACGCAGAGTACTGCAAAACCAAAACTGTATGGCCCGGATGGGGATCGAACCCACGACATTCGCGTTATTAGCACGACGCTCTAACCAACTGAGCTACCGGGCCTCACTTACCGGGCCTCACTTACCGAGACGTTTATTTAAAGTATTGATAGATTTTCCTCTTGACCTTTACCTGATAGTACTTCTCTGATAACACATTCTCTTAGACTATTTTTGTTAGTATTAGGCTACTGATATAAATTATTAATGATTGACTAAATGTGTGCTTATGTATTCAGTATTGCTAGCTAACAAGGGTCGGGGCAAAACATTAAGCTTATATGAGAAGTCTTGTTCCATGCATATTTATGATAAATTCAGCAGAAGGGACGTACAACTGACAAATACATAAATGCAAAGACAAAATTTAAAGAATGATCAACTCAAAACAAACCATGATTAAATAGGATAAAATAACAGATAAACTTTAAAATCACCTGATACTCAGAAAAGCAAGCCACGATATCCAAATGTACCATGCAATGTGAAATATTACGTACGAGGCGATCTGGAATGATTGATGCTAGCTTTAAATAAAACATGGGGAATATTTAGGACACACGATACGTGATTCTTTTGAGATTCGTGATACATACCCTGCCCAACGCCTTTCCTCTTAGCTTTGCTGGCTGTTTAATCTCTACATAGCCCTTATGTCCCCACATTGTTGTTTGTTTGCATTAGATTTTGTTTTGATGCTCATCTGAAATATGCAGTCTATGTTAATTTTCGATTTTGTCATTTTCAAAAACTTTGTTCTTTTATTTTATTGTCAACGCTGATTCGTCTTCCATTGGCATCTCCTTACCATCGTGTCTCAGAATTGAACATCCTGGTTCAATATAAACTCATTCCTGGAATCGCTATTTCACATCACATAACACTCAAGAGCATTTGTCCGTGGTAAAATGCGATCTAATATATAACTGATAAAAATGCTGAAAATATTGCAAGTAAATATATCTCCTAGACCTTTTATTTTTGCCAGGGTATTTTTGCCAAGAAGAATATCAAAACCTCCGTATTGCCTTACATAGACAAGTATATATTATTTGTATACATGAAAATAAGATGAGATAAAAAATTGTTGCTAATTCTATGAGTATCACTCTAACGATTTTTATTCCAATTTTTAATGCTAATGCAACAATAGCGCGTTCAGTTCAAACCACAGAATGCCTTATAAAAGAGAGTGTCTTGGACAATGTGTGGCCTTGGATGTTTACAAAACACAACGAGACCTGATATGCCAGATCATGGCCGCCTCTTTATGATGAATTATGGATAAGTTAGGTGTTGTATCCTTCCAAATAATTTCATCCGAAAACTTGGTCATTCTCGCAGTGCCCAAACTTTAAATCTTTTCAATTTGGATAACTTTTACGCAACTTTTAGACATAAACTTTATCTTTTTTATTTCAGTTTATCTGATTACGAATGCCTGGTGTTGTTTTTAATTTTGTTTTTCGATAATTGCCTTGAAAATAAGGTAACCTGATATAATACGCACTGTTGTATTACGAGTTTTGCTTACAAGTCAACTTGAATAAATGTACGTCATCAAAATTATGACTGTTTCCAGTTTGGACGTACTACATGACATACTTGTTATTTAGGTTAATATTAGGTTATCCTGACATGTTTTATCCATATTTGCAACTTTATTCTTCCGTAACATATTTACCTGTACAAATACAATTTAAAATAACTTCTAGTTCTACAACAATGATAAATATTGACAGTGTAGTGAACCATGTAGCCTTGGCCAAGTCGGTCTCTTTAACTTATGATTTCTATTATGGGTAGTAATTCAAGATCAGATAAGTAAATAATACCGACTTGAATTGGGCAAGGCTATGAACCATGCATGGAAAGGTAGCCTATTAAGGTACTTAGTGGATAGGAATAGGATGCAAACCATACCCGTTTAGGCTCCCAATCCCACCCGTCTAGGGTCTACCCCTGATGTGAGTACGAGTTCAGCAAAACTCTTATCATTCAAAAGCATTAAGCATATAAAATCTTAGCTTTTTACGTTTTCGTTGTCGATTCCGAGTCATATTAATAAAAAATAGGATGTACTTCTTGTATAAGTGATAATATATTATATGCGCTATTCATTTTATAAACTGAATATGTCTACTCACCTTTAGTCATATATGTTGCTGTTTTTGTCTTTTTCAACTTTAAATGTTGTATACATAATTCTTGAGATATGTTGAACTCCATATCATCGATCCAGTGCGTGGTGTGTTATTGAGATTGGCCGCAATGACAATTCATTGTTGTAAAGATAGTCTTATCATTGTATGCTAAACAATTCTCTACGAATATTCCCACTATTTGAACCCAACTTTACTAATAACAGAAAGCGTTTGTTTAGGTCATCATCGTGGGATTTATGTCGATCGAATTGTACTTAAACTTTGGTATTATACTGCGCAATCAATCTAGAACAGCTAGCTATTGAGCTATTGCTTTTAGCAAAATGAAATAAATATTATATTTATAAATTAATGCCTATCATTCCATCAATGGAAAATCAAAAATTTATGGAGAAGGTTAACAAAATTATATCATTCAATATTTACAAATGTTGAAGAAAATGATCAGTCCCTGTTGTTCACTTGGTACGTGTGGTTCACATATTTTGGGTACAGTTCCTCATGGTATCATGTTTCTGTTGTTGTTTCAGGTTTCACTTGGTGGCAACCACAGGGCTGATTGTAACATTAACTGCCTGGTACAAGAATTGCTTCTGAGAAAACAGGGTTGGGGCCGTGAGAAGTCATTGAGTAGTCTTGTATGTTCAAGTCAAGATGAACTAGAATGGGGGTGGGGGGGGGGGTGCAGGGATTTCATGCAATTCTACACATTAGTTTAGCTTTTATAAATTCTACTAAAGCACAACCGATCCTACACTATCAGGATTTGTCTTGATGGAGCCAACTTTAGTATAGTGAATTGTATTATCGAACTTTGGTTGTGCTGGAATGATGCATTCCCGTGCGTGTGGCCGTGTCAGAAGTCTCTGTTCACTGTCAGGGGTGGAGTGCGTCCCGGGATTAACAACTGTTTCGTGCAGTGTGAAAATAAAATACGCGTCTCTGAAAAGACGTGTTGAAATGCTCCCGTGAATATATTTTGTGAAAATTTCTGTCATTTCTATCAAGTATTTGAATTATATGAGCCTATTATACCAAGTGCTAAACTTGCAGAACGATTCAACGTATGTTAAAGATGCGTAAGGTGACAAGTTATGCAGCATTTGGTGAGTAATTCTATACGTATGGCAAAATGAAATTTTAAAATTATGAAATTCACGGTATTATCGCTCACATTAAACTTGGATTTACAGTGGGGAACATAAAGAATTTACTCGAGTCTCTAGCTTACAGCTAGACGAAACTTCATTGATTTCGTATGTACTGTGCTACACGCACCTACACGCACCTAGAACTCATTTTTAATAAATTTTATAAATATTTTTAAGAATATTAATCATATTTAGGATGAAGCGTTGCTTGTCTGGATTTAGATATTTCAAAATTTCATTTCGGAGTTTTGACACATGGTGAAATTTTCTCGCTGTAGCTAAAAATGGCTTCCGGTTCTGGACGTGAATAACATTTGAAATTATTCTCGCTTAAAGAAATCAAATATAACAATAGATTCAGACGGGGATGTGAGCTGATGTTCTACAAATCTATACATAAAGGTATATTTCATATTATTATGCCATATTTACTGTGCGTGTGACACAATGATTTACAATATTTATAATACTAAGGCAGCTCAATCTCCTCAAAGCCGGAATATAGAGAAGGCTTTGGACCGAAGTAATAAAGAATAACTATAGCTATGAAAATTACATGCTGTCGCACATGTAATAAATTCTTACCTCAGTGTATTCAGTGCTCTATATTCTCCGTCCTAGTAAGTCCAGATATAGTGGAATTTGTGTCCATAACGACAAATAAGAATAAGAACTAGGGCGAAGGGGTGTAACGTCGACACCGTTTTGGGGTAACTTCGACATGTGGGGTAACTTCGACACCTTGTTGTTTATTTGCTCTAATTTCCGATCTAGGGGGAAGCCATGTTTTTTTTCTCGCATGGATCGAGATCTCGCGAGATTTTAATTTTTCCAGAAATCAAACATGGCGGAAAATGGAAATTCTACTTCTAATACGTAAGTGTCGAAGTTACCCCGTCCATTATGTCGACATTACCCCACACGTCGACATTACACCCCTTCGCCTTACAGTGCTGGTATATATTAATTGATTAGGCCTAGTCGTTTTATTGCCATATTTTCTTGAATTTTAACATTTAATGTCCCAAACTCACACAAACTGCAGAAAAGTATACACCATAAATCATATATACCAAAATGAGTGTCTCCAAGGCTTCACACCAGCGTATGCATAGTTCATTTGTCACGAGTTTGAGCTGAAATTTCGCCAAAATGAAGTAGGCTCAGGGTAGTCTCTGCCAGGTTTGTTTATTGTGGTAAGCTTGTAAGTGCTCAGAAGCAAATAATTCATGTGCGCAAAATAATCAAATAATCTGATTGGTTAAAACTTTGCTGCACATGCGCACAATGTATGCCATGTTCTTTCTAGTGATTTCGTTTCGTTTCATGGAGTTTGCGTTTCAGTGTAACTTCCGCAAAAATGGCGGATCATGAACAGAATTAACAGGTAAAATCACTTCGTAATTTCAAGAGAAAAACTTTTGTTTTATTTGTGCATTCTATCTATCAGATAAGAGTCTCAGGGGTATGTAGGCAAATTTATTTTGGTAGGAGCACTCTGTTTAGTTTGAAAACGCACCCTTAATTATTATATATCAGCACTGTACAGTGGGGATCATAAAGAATTGCAAAAGCTATGAAAATTACATGCTGTCGCACATGTAATAAATTCTTACCTCAGTGTATTCAGTGCTCTATTTTCTCCGTCTGAGTAAGTCCAAATATAGTGGAATTTGTGTCCCTAATGACTAGTGTTGTCGCGATGTGCCATAATCGTAGATCGATGCATCGGCAATTTTCAGTAGTAAACATCGATGCACATCGCAATGTACATCGAGAAAAAGTCCGAGAAAAATGCACTGAAATACCGAACGCTAATGCACTGAAATACAGAACAGAACAAATCAAAAAGAGTACGCTGGTACATCCGGGAACTTCTAGTAACGGTGAAATGAAAGTAAAGTAAATTATTTTAGATTAATGGTTCATTGCAACTAGCTAAAACAGTTTTAAAGCGAAATAATATCAGAAAACATTGGAAAATGAAATAAGACATGAGAAAGGTAAGCGATTTGCGTCAAAATAAGATAAGAAAGGGTGATTTTTAGCAAATTAAATTTTTTTAAAAACATCAATGTTTTGTTTCAGACATCGATGCATCGCCTGAATCAGCTTTGGCGATGTATATCGCGATGTATCGATTAATCGCGACAACACTACTAATGACAAATAAGAACTTCAAAAGTTGAAGTGGATATTCACATGTTAGGCCGACTCTTCAAATGTTGAGGTGATTTTGTCGCCCGATTGCGCCGGAACGGAGGATTGGCTCCCAGAATGCAACATGACACGTGTCAACTTTCAAAATGCTGTTCCGCCATTTTGAAACCTGTCATGAGTAAATACTGTAACTGATGTTGCATTCTGGGAGTCAACCGTCCTTGGATAACAAACATGGCGATTCATGAAAACATTCATTCGATTTGGTAGGGATTTATCCATTATTTGCAGGTAGGAAGCTTTGGATTCATTTATTGTGCTACTTTAGTGAACGGGAATTATTTTTCCACCGCTTGGGAGAGTTTGAGACACGAAATTTGGAAATTAGCTCATTGTGACAACTTGTGAACGTTGAGTTTTATTTTTGTCCCCCACTGTAGAATATTTTTCATGGCCTGACTTCGTCGCTAACATGCTAAATATAAGAGTTAGCTGACGTTTTGGAGTCTGACTTACCTTCTAAAGGTTAGAAACCGAAGCTTAATGAAACCATATCACCTTTTTTGCCGATGTCGATGATGATGCATAAACACAGCATTTGATAGAAATTAGTGTAAATGCTTTTCCGACTTTTTCATTTTTCATCAATGTTGACTTCCGGGAAGGCGTTGTAGTTATCACGAAATAACACATTGACCCTAGAACTTTACTTTGTTGACGTGTCAACCAAGCATGTCTGGTGTGAAAATTAAAAGAATATTAAGCAATGTTCTACATCCGCCAAGCTAAGTGAAGTAGCCAATATTTAAAATTACCAATTTCAAGTGAAGTACACAACGAACGAAACTGCGTGATCTACACTCCCACTATTGGTCTGAACGAAATGCTACGTAGAAATATGAGCCGTCTGCTGTATTAGTCGATTAATAGAGTAAGACCTGTTGGTGATGCTTTATAATTTAGACCAAAACATTGGAGAACAAACGAACCTGTAAATCGTGAAAACAACGAACAAATATTCGGTTTTCACATATGTTCGGTAATTTTTCGTATTGAAACTTCCGGAACTTACAAGGAAATCATTCATTTTCACGGTCCATGATTTACCTCTTGGATGTTGTGGCAAATGCGCCATGGTTGACGGACCAAAGGTGATATGGTTTCATTAAGATTCGGGTTCTAACCTTTAGAAGGTAAGTCAGACTCCCTAACGTCAGCTAACTCTTATATTTAGCATGTTAGCGACGAACTCAGTCCATGAAAACAATTCTAATAATTTGAAGTGGATCATGTTAATGCCGACTCTTCAAATATTGAGGTGATTTTGGAGCCCGATTATGCCGCAAGGGGGATTGGCTCCCAGAATACAACATGACATGTGCCAGCTTCCAAAATGCTGTTCCGCCATTTTGAAACCTGTCACGAGTAAATAAGGTAAACTGATGTTGCATTCTGGGAGTCAATCCTCCTTGGATCACAAACATGGCAATTCATGAAAACATTCGTTTGATTTGGTAGGGATTTATCTATCATTTGCAGGTATGGAGCTTTGGATTCATTTATTGTGCTACTTAAAGTGAACAGGAATTATTTTTCTACCGCTTGGGAGAGTTTGAGACACGAAACTTAGAATTTAGCTCATTGTGACAACTTTTGATGGTTGAGGTTTATTTTAGTTCCCCACTTTACATTAGTAGACTTGTTCTCTATTATTTCTTTTTTTAAATTCTGCTCTTTGTTGCTGTTGAGACTTATGGTGGTTGAATTGTATGTTTCCCTTACTAGATGGCGTATACATGCTAGCCTTATAAAAGACTCTCAATTTGTCATTATATCTGAGAGTATTTTTTATAAGTTTCCGTCATTTTTCTCTCTCATGTTAATTGTTGCACACTAGGCCGAAGGAGTAGAACGTTGAAGCCATTTTGTTTTTCGTTTCAATTTACTTAGATGTACAGAGTAACTTTGACACCTTGTTGTTTATTTACTCTAATTTCTGATTGATGAACAAATCAATTGGAATTGCCAAAATGGCTTGACCTAATCAATGCCTTCGCTACAAGGAGCGTCTGTATATTTTATGAATATCTACAGTAAGAGGACATACATAATTTGCTGGGGGATAAAAATTAGTTTTACTTTCCTCTCAGGACTGGAGTTGGATCAATTTGGCCATGATCAACTCAATTAACTCACAAGTGAATCGAAGGTTAAGGCCTCCCAACTGGAGTGTGATTTTTTTCACGAGTCCCACCACTAGACATTACCCCAAGTCCCCAACAGTTATCGTTACACCCCTTTACCCTACCGTGAGGTTTCAAGAAAAAGACGCCACTACCAAAACTTGGAAAATTTGACCCTCAAACTAACTGGAATTCTTTTCTATCTCTTGTCCTGTTTCCAACTATAAATGTTAAAGTGCGAGTCAGTTGGCTTGGGTGTCAATGAAACTAAGCAAATAAGCATATGCCTTGTTTTAAGTGCACTGAACAAAAAAGCATGCAATAATAAAATCCCAGGGAACGATGTCAAAATGCTTAGGCTAATGACTCCCTCTCTTTTGAAATGCTCCCTTGAACTGATAGGCTATTGAAAGGTAACTTTCTCATATACCTGCCTTGTTAATTAACCTGAATCAGCCACCTGGTGGTGAAACTGGTAACTACCTAGTCGCATCTACGTTAACGAGTGACACAAAAATAGGCGAGAAATTGTGAAAATTAAAACCTCACAGAGAAAACTGTTTGTATACACGATTCATGGCACTTTTGTGTTTTACATTTCCAGATTGTCAGAACATAACAAAACATACCTACTCAAATCATTCAACTCAAAAATTACTTGAGCAACTATCTGGGACAGATATAAGTTAGTGGTAAGAGGGGGAATAGCCCAGAATTCATTGATGATTGGACCTAGATAGGTTCAACTTTACTTGGAATTAAAATCATCTATGCATTCTGGGGCATTTCCCCCTCCCATAGTAATATTGGCTTTCTACTTTCTAGTTTCACAACTACCTCTTATCAAGGAAACGAATGTGATGATATGATTCTATAAACTCTCCCGATGTCCATATGTTCATGAGTTTGTAATTAACCTCTTGACTACCCAGAGTGACGAGATTTCGGGTCACCTAATAAATGACCTTGAAACCAAGGGTGACAAGATAATCTGTCACAAATTTTTTGAAATTTTTGGAATGTGTAGAAATGTTGATTATAATTTCACCTGTTGTGTGTTTATGTAGTAAAATGTCATAAGTTAGTAAAAATGAAAAATTCTCTGGTTTCAACTGATTTTAGAACCTGGGATTCAAGAGATTAAGGAAAAATTGGCTAGCTGACAGTCAGAAAGGAAAATGATTTTTTGTGTTTTTGTTTGTGATCTACTGCCAGTTTCAGCTCATCTAATAGACGGAGCTTCAGTCTATAATTCCCTTCTCTTCCCACCATTGATTCTATAATTGAAATGTTGATTCATGTACTGTAAGTCGACATATATGTCCAGTGCTATAATGTATTTATCATCCCCATATAATAATGGTTTAATAAAACGTATTCTGCAGCGTGGAGAGAATTCATAAAAAGTTCAGCATTTTGCAGAACCCCTGATTTTTTCCCGAAATCCTTTGAGATTACCAGAACTACATGTTTTATGAGCTGCTGCCTTTGCAAGGTACAGTCGTATAGCCACCAATCAATCATTAATGAGTACAAGTCCTTTTTACCCACCGTGAAATTCCACCTTAATTCCATCATGATTCAGTTCACAAAAGTGATCCGCAGTTCTGTCTTTGAAATAGGTCCTTGATTTCCGCTTCCATATGACTGTCATATTTTCATATGGCAAATAATCTTTCAACAAGCCCCTGAGTTCCATCCATTTTCTCTCTTCTCATGTAAAAACTGGCCCAGGATGCTATGACCAGATCAAACACACTATGGTCATTGTTCTTTCAATCATTTTTGCGCTTTTAAAAGTTTGATTTCAAGTTGATTTCAAAAACTTATATTATAGTCTGCGCAGGTATACGCTATTACTATCCAAAATTTACTTGTTGATTAAGACATTTTTTGTTTATGATCAAATATGTCGGAAATGAAAAGCAGTATAAATGTAGTAGATCATTTATAACGTAACTGTTACAATTAGCGCATCAGAAATCAAGTACTGAATACTTGTAAAGTGTCGGATATCACATACAATAGGTAAGAGTGTTTGAATATTAAAATATGGTTTATTAAAATAGCTTCCTAGGTACGCTTAGTATCAGGGTTTTTATCAGTGAAAATATTTTTCTCATTTTGAAAATTGTCTCACAGGATATTGAAAAGAATAGACGTGTATTTTTATCGTGTGCTTTTTTCATCAATGTAATTCAGAAGCAGCATTTGTTTCTGTATTACAAAATAGAAATGTGCGAGTGAACAGTAAAACCTGTTCTATTTTATTTTTTTGTAAAACCTAGGGTAAAAATTATTTTATATAAAGATTACCATGATAAACATGTCATATTTATTTTATTTTACTCTACATGTATGTAACAGAGGTAAGCTGTTACATCAGTTGAAAATCTGAATTCAACAGAAAGGCACAGGTTTTCATGTCTTTTCACTCAAACTATCTGCAGCAAATAGGCATAGGAGGGGGGATATATTTATTTCAATATTATTTTCATCTGGGTTGAATCGATCAACACTCCTGATTATCCTAGTTTCAAATGGGATAAATGTTATCCAGGGATTTGTTGAATATGCCTGAATGGCTGATTTCTAATGATTTTGCCTGTTGTTTTCCACCATGCCTGTAGTCAGTTATCCAAATAATATTTAGTGATTTTCTTACTGTATCATGCTTGGTCTTCTCATCTGCAGAGACCATTTAACATGTACATGTAAGTATGCTTTATACAAAGCTTTTTCCATCATTTACATTAGTTTTAGTCATTGTCCCAGCTTTCTTGGACTATGCTCAAGTCAGAAAGTTGTGTGTTTTAACAGACCAAAGTAAAAAGCTAGTTACACCAGACCAACACATGAACTAGGTTTACATTCAACATCTGGTTTAGTAGGACCAGAAATCCCCAAGGCCCGACAATTATCCCTGACCATGAATGGATAGCTGTAATTTGTTATGCCTCATTCATTCTCCAAACATGTATCCAATTCTTACTTTATGAATAGTTGTTTGTTGTTATGTTGATGTGGCATTGGATAATACAAGATAATTTGAAGACATTTTGCTTCATCAAGCTGTGGACTAACCTTCAGAGAGAACATAACGAGGAGACCAACTTGATTGGAAGCAAAATCTTCAGACATTCTTATATCACATATCAACAATCATAGATGAAATCAAGGCATATGAACTGAACTTTTGAAAGGATTGATTGAATCCATCTTTCTTTGGAGGGAAAACCTGCAGAACTTCATATTTATACTAACCTAATGCATATGATTACCATATACTTTCAGATTCATGGCATAGACTCAACCAACTGTGACTGATAACACTAACAAACAATCACTTGTGAACGAGGCAGAATTTCCAGATGGAAGATACAGCAAAGAGTGAAGGTATTCATTTGAGATCAGACACATGTGTTTACATGTTGATCTGAACTGAGATGTATGGAAAACATTTTAATTTTTAACTTTTATGGATAATATTATAGATTATCATTCTTAAGAAAGGGTTCTTCGTATTCTTCTTTTCTTCAAAATTTAGTTTAAAACTTAGATATGTTAATCAGAAAAATTCTGAAGATATTCAGAAGTTGCAAATGGTTTTAAGTATGCAGGGCCAAACCCAAATACATGGATTCGAAATGGACAATGTGGGGGGGACAAATGAATATGACTTTTCTTCCTAAATTTGGACCCACTTTTTACAGAATTAGTCTCCTTTTTAATATGAGACCTATTTTAGAAAGGTTGCCCAAACTTTTAAAAAGTCCTCATATTGTAATGGACTCATATTAGGGGGGGGGGGGGGGGGGAGGGGCTGATCCTGCAATTTAGTTTCTTTCAAAGCACTCTTAATTCTATTATCAGGAATTCAGGATTGTCATCATATGTTCCCATGCCTAATCATTACGTTTTATCATTGAGTTTGATGAAACAAGATTTATAATTATAACAGAGTCAAAATTTATAGCCTTGCCCAAGTCGGTCTCTTTTACTTATTTTGATTTCTATTATGACCGCCGTGTACCAATGAGAAAGCCACGTGCTTTACCGACTCAATGTTTATGTCAGTAAATTTGACCAATCAATGACGGCCCTGCAGCGTTAGCTCATTATTATGCATGGTCAAAACAAGAACACTTTTCGCGAACAAATCTTGCACAAATTCATCATGAAAATTCATTATGAAGATTTCAATAAGAAATGTTGAAAAGTTCGCAGAAATGATCAAACATGATAGCTCGATCTAGGCTGAGATTCAGATCAATCACGACTACATGGACCCGGGACATGGACTAGGTCTTTGTGCATTTTCATTGCGAATTCAGTTTTAAATCAACATTGAATTGCATAATTTAATTTATATTAATGACTGCTTACATTGCAATGTACATTTAATTACATAATAGATTATAACTGTGAAGAAATACTCTATCAGATCCCGAGATTAGATCATCCAAAATTTCAAGAAAATTTCGCGATAACCCTGACAGTGTATGAATTATTGAAATCTCGAAACCGCTGAATAACTTATCATAATATCAGCGGGGATTCATTTGATTGTGCAAGGCGGTAATAATTCAAGATCAGATAAGTAAAAAATACAGTCAGTATTTTGTTACATGTTGCACAGTAAAACAAAGTTCACCTTTGTAATATCTGTACAGTGTTGAAAGATCAACATCCAGTCACAATAAACGCTAGCAATAACTATAACTAACTCAACTAATAGTTAAACTAATATTATGCTTTAAATAATTTCAGAGGTTGGCTCAAAGGATGATACAGTCTGCCATGGTGGTAAGATTTAAATTAAAGTACCTTCTGTTTTTATTAAAATACTATACGCAACTTGATTGTGCTATAGTAGCTATTAGTAATTATTGTATTATCATCCCACTGAACAAATTTTGAGGGGGATAAAGAAAAGCCATCCGTGTCCATATGTCTGCCCATTCATCTGTCCATTTTTCCAGATTACATGCTGATGCCTGAGGAGATTTTCAAGGTGGCCATTAAGGCCGCCATTTTTTGGATCATTATTGGAATCTTTACAATGATGGGCAATTGGGCATGGCTTTTGTCAATGCTATTCAAAGTGTTACAGAGTACCAATAACTGTTCATTGATTTTTGGGTGGTCATCTTGTTTCTTAATTTCTCATTTCATTATTTGATCTTGTCATCACAATTCCAGAAAAATTGCTTGTCAGATTTTCTTCAAATAACATACATGTACTGGTATATAAAATGTATGATAAATCTTGTGATTGAACATATCAGGAAAATCTGCTCCTTGGATTTTTTTCCAATTTGTACTCATGGGACAGGAAGTCAAAGTTCATGAACTTTTGGATTGCCATCTTGGTGGTATGATTCCAAAAGTGTTTCTAATGGTAACCCAATCTTTAGTTTACGAAGGGATGTGTCTCATTGCTGACATTTATCAAAATGGTTTGTATCAATGACTGGAGACTCATCTCAAAATATAATATATGTGCTAGTTTGATTTTGTCACATTGTAGGCACAGAGGATGCTGGCAATGGCTTTGAAGGGATGGAATTGGGTGAAGAGTTTGTGGTACTAGATGAGGTTGGAGAGGATGATAACCAGAAAAAGGAAATGGCCGAGAATAAGAATGAAACTGGGAAAACAAACCCAGTTAAGGAGATTGATGAGAATAATACTGATAAGGTGCAGCAAAATGATGAAAGAAAATCAAATGAGGCAGAAGTTAGCATGATCAAACCAGGTGAAGCTGATAATGAGTCTACTGATAAGCCATCTAAGAAGGAGGAAGCAAGATTAACAATTTCATTGATATGTCCACAATGTGATGATTTGGTGACAGATCCTCTTTTGTTGAGATGCTGCCATGTGCTGTGTAAAACAAAATGTGCAAAGGTTTTACTGGAGAATGGAAAAAACAAAAATGTTCTTGTGTGTCCACAATGTGATAAAAGGCAAGTCCTGAGCAAATTTGAAAAATGTAAAGTAGATCAAACCCTTGCTGCCAGAGTAGAGGAAGAAATAAAGAACCCAACTTTTATACATGATGGTAAGAAAAGACCCAAGTCAGAGAAGAAAGAACCTAAAAATGAGAAGGAAGTACCAAGGGCTCAGGAGAAAACTAATGTATCAGATGTAAAGGACAACAAAAATGATGAGGTAGAACAAAGGTCTCAAGAGAAAACGAATGTATCAGATGTAAAGGACAACAATAGCAAAGAGCTTTCTCTCATTTGCCCAGAATGCAAAGAGCTCTTCACTGATCCAATTATTTTACCTTGCAGTCATGCTCTATGTAAAACAAAGTGTGCGGTAAAGATAATAGAAATTAACCGAGTTTTAAAGTGCTCCGAATGCAAGGAAAAATTCTTCTACAACAATGTAATGGATTATAAAATTGATGTTAATCTTGCTTCAAGAGTTAAAGCAATGAAGGACACCATTTCAGAAATTGAAAACACATTGGAAACAGAAGACACTGATATGAAAAATCCTGATGACAACGTGTTAGACAGCAAGATTCTTGAACTATTTTGTCCAGAGTGTGATGACCTTTTCTCTGATCCAATTACTCTTTCATGTAATCATAGCTTATGTAAAACCAAATGTGCTATGAACATCCTCAAGCATGAAAAGTTTGGGAAAATATTAAATTGTCCAACATGCAACAAGCGCCATTTCATGAAAAATCTTACTAAACATAAAGTTGATGAGGACTTAGCTGCAAAGGTGGAAAAAGTAAAAAAGGAGAATCCAACAGTTGATTGGAAGAGCAAAAAGAAACAAAATGCTGTATTTAAATTACAGGAGGACGAAAAGAAGGCTCTGAGGAAAAAGGCTATGGAAGCTGCTTCCAAAGCTTGGAAAGAAGCACATAAGGATGAGCTCACAGACCCAGTTACTCCAAAGGAATCTGAAGTTCTGGGAACAACTCCTCCAGGTTTAGGTCCTGTAATTTTACCTCCGGAAGGTAAACCACTAGGACCAGGAGGACCTCCAGGTTCCATGGGTCCAAGAGGACCCCCAGGATATGGAGATCCATGGGGCCCACATGGAGAATGGGGCCCGAGAGGACCTCCACCTCGAGGATGGGGACCAAGAGGGCCGCCACCAGGAGCATGGGGTCCTAGGGGATTTCCACCAGGAGGATGGGGTCCTAGGGGTCCACCTCCAGGCCACTGGGGTCCAATGGGTCCTCCAGGATTTATGGGTATGGGTCCTATGGGGCCTGGCGGATTTAGACCAGGCGGGCCATGGATAGGGCCAGGTATGAATCCTGGTTTCCCAGTTGATCCATCTCAACAACCTGAAGATGTGGCTAAGGATGTAGAAGTCCAAGGAGAACAATCTGAAGAGGAAAAGGCAAGAGCTGCTGCAATGGCTGCTGCAGCAGCTACAAATAGCTGGGGAGTGTCAACATCAAAAGAAGAAAATGCTCTTGATTCTCTCATTAACAAAGTGTTACGACCAACAGTTCCAAACAAGAGACAAGAGAAGTTTGTGATACCAAATAAACCTCTATTTGAAGAATTAAGTACTCACAAAGAGGAAACAAATAAATCGGAAAATAAAATGAAAGAAAAACAAAATCCAAATAAAGAAAAGACAGCTTCAGACTATAGTAAGCGAGCTAAACTTGCTGATAAGGCCCTCAAGGCTATTGATGAGAGTAGCAATATTTCTGAGAGTGATGAGTCCCCTCCACCACCACCAAGCGAGTCATCTTCGGATTCTGACTCTGATGATGAGCCTGTAATTGTAAGGTAAACATTTAAAAATACAAAATTATGTACGGTTCGTTGATTGTGAGTCCACTTTGTTTAGTTAGAGCATCATTATTCCACTGAATGTAGTTTTTGAGGGATAAAAAGAAGCCATGCATCCTTCCCTTCTTCATCTTTCCCATCACCATTTGTTTGGACAATAACTAATACTGGATGACAGATTTGGTTCAAATTTTGTAGGCCGATGCCTTATTATGGGCATTGGACCTCTGGTAAAGATGCATTTTCAGTAATGGTCACTCAATTAAAAAAAATAGTACCATGGGTACTAGGTTAACATGGTGTTGCTCAAAAGTGAATGATGGCTAAAATGGCAGAAAATAAAAAAAAACGGATATAATTTTTTGCCAATCTTTTGTAACAAAATTATTTCATACAACTACTCTTTATAGTGACATGGCTTTTTACAATGCAGGACACCTGAAATTATTTGTAAAGCTAGGAAAAGGGCCAAAGGTGAATTTCGTTGAGGCAAAAATGGTGACCATTTTGAAAATAGGCGAGCTTTTGAACCAGGAGTCACAGGGGAGTTTTCTATATTGGTGTTGAACAAAAATAACTGGAATCCTATCGACAGAGGTTTTAAGGCAAATGGTCCAAAACTGGATTTCGCGAGACAGATGGACAAATCAATGTTTATCTGTCTTTCAGACTTAGAATGAGAAATTTGAGATTTCAAGCCATATGTCTCAAGAAAATAGTCTTACCTTTCTAGTAGGATGAGTTCATGTGCCAAAAACAGCTGATCAAAGGATATACAGGGTGTTCCAAAAGTAACAGGACTGGTGCTGGCATTTTGTAAATTTTGCACCGCGCGTCTTCAAATTTTCACAAATTGTACTTTGAAGTATTGCAACTAAAATTGTACAGTTTCAGAAAATATGATGAAATGTGGGTAGAGTTGTGGTTACTATAGTAACATGACATCACAGTACCCGGGGCAACTTTTTTCTGAAAATGTGATATCTAACATTTTTGTATTACTGAAGAAAGTATCTAATTCACCTATTATAATACAACATTTCTTGTTTATTTTATTAGTTGCTTTGTTGTAAAGGTGTTGCTATAAAACTCAGATTCAAGTATAATTTCGTAATAATAATAATATTTATTCAATTTCCTGGAATATCGCTATGAATTACAGTCTGAACAATTTATGGTTGAGTTTTTGAAAAGACCCAATTTGAAGCCAGTCATCCACCTTGATAACACGCCTGCCTGCAGGTTACCATTAAAGACCATACAGCTATAGAGGAGCTAGGTCTTGAGTTCTAAAACCATGCACCATACTCTTCTGATCATGCAACATCCAATTTTTACTTACATGGAGAATGTAATGCTAATCAGTGCTGTAAGATCTTTAAAGATGAGAATGACCTTCTCCAAGTTGTTCAATCGACCATGCGCGACATGTCCTCAAATGGATTCACTCATGTGTTTGAGTCATGGATACAGAGTGCTACTGTTCTACTGACCAAAGAGGAGCCTTTTTTTTCAAAGTACATAGGATACATAGGAATATCAAATTATGTAAAACAAATGTAATTTCCACCAGTTGTTGTATTTCAACTTTGATATGGGATGTACAAAATGCTTAATGTCTCTTTCTGTCTTAAAGTAACTTTCTGTGTGGAATGTTGCCCCAGGTATTGTGATGTCATGTTACCATAGCAACCATAACTCTACCCGACTTACATATTTTTTGTCGAAACTTTGCAGTTTTAGTAATGATAGATGAAGGTACATTATGTAAAATTTTGAAGACGATTGGTGCATATTTAAAAAATGCCAGCACCAGTCCTGTTACTTTTGGAACACCCTGTATATCATTTTTAGCTCACATAGTGAGCTTTTGCAATCAATCACTTGTCCGTCTGTCTGTCTGTCCATCCGTCTGTCCGTCCGTCCGTCAACAATAGTGGCACGTTTTAAAACCTCTGTCGATAGGATTCTTGTTTTAAGTTATTTCTATTCAGCATCAATACAGAAAACTCCCCTATGACTCCTCGTTCAAAAGTTGCCTATTTTCAAAATGGCCACCATCTTTGTCTCGCGAAATTCACTTTTGACCCATTTCCTAGCTTTACAAATAATTTCAGGTGTCCTACATTGTAAAAATCCATGTCAATGTAAAGAGTAGATATATGAAATAATTTTGTTACAAAAATCAGCAAAAAATTATATCCATTTTTTTATTTTCAGCCATTTTAGTTAACATTGATTTGTCCATCTGACTTGCGAAATCCACTTTTCCGTCAACTACAGTGGCACGTTTTAAAACCTCTGTCGATAGGATTCCTGTTTTAAGTTATTTCTGTTCAACATCAAAACAGAAAACTCCCCTATGACTCTTGGTTCAAAAGCTCGCCTATTTTCAAAATGGCCGCCATTTTTGTCTCGCGAAATTCATTTTTGACCCATTTCCTAGCTTTACAAATAATTTCAAGTGTCCTACATTGTAAAAATCCATGTCAATGTAAAGAGTAGATGTATGAAATACTTTTGTTAAGAAAAATCAGCAAAAAATTATATCCATTTTTTTTATTTTCAGCCATTTTAGTTAACATTGATTTGTCCATCTGTCTCGCAAAATCTACTTTTGGACCATTTGCCTTAAACCCTCTGCCGTTTTAAGTTAATTTTGTTCAACATCAATACAAAACACTCTCCTATGACTCTTTGTTAAAAAGCTCGTCTATTTTCAAAATGGTCTCCATTCTTGTCTCGCGAAATTCACTTTTGGCCCATTTCCTAGCTTTACAAATTATATCAGCTGTCCTGCATTGTAAAAAGCTATGTCACTGTAAAGAGTAGTTGTATGAAATAATTTTGTTACAAAAAATCGGCAAAATATTATATCCGTTTTTTTTCAGCCATTTTAGTTAACATTGATTTGTCCATCTGTCTCGCGAAATCCTCTTTTGGACCATTTGCCTTAAAACCTCTGTCGATAGGATTCCAGTTTCAAGTTATTTTTGTTCAACATCAATACAAAAAACTTCCCTATGACTCCTGGTGCAAAAGCTCGCCTATTTTCAAAACGGTTGCCATTTTTGTCTCGCAAAATTCAATTTTGGTCCACTTCCTAGCTTTACAAATAATTTCAGGTGTCCTGCATTGCAAAAGGCCATGTCACTATATAGAGTCGTTGTATGAAATAATTTTATAACAAATAATTGGCAAAAAAATTATATCTGTTTTTATCAGCCATTTTACTTAACGTTGATTTGTCCATCTGTCTCTTAGTCAGTCCAAATAGTGGCAAGTGGCTTGAAATAGTTTTGCTGCAAAAAATCAGCAAAAAATTCTATTGTTTTTTTTTCTGTCATTTTAGCCATCTTTCACTTTTGAGCAACACCATGTGAGCCCAGTACCCACGGTACTATTTTATCTAATTGAACATTTTTGTTGAGCCCTGCATTTTTACACTGTTTTGACAGGAAGTCATACCCAAAATGAAAACTGAATAAAACAACATTTATCCTAAATGTAGATCAAATACTCACTCAGTCATGCATAATGTTATTATTAGTAGTAATGCTGATCATTTTAAAGAAAGCATGTAAATAAGACTTTTTTCGTCCATGATTATATAGATAAAGAATTTCTCCCTACAGCAAGCTTTTGCTCCATGGTGTAGTGGTTATAGCTATTCCAAAAGATCTGGGTTCAAATCCCACTGGTGGAATATGTTTTTAGTCTTAATTTATTTATTTTTTTGTTTTGATCCTCAATACTTCTAAAATAAATTTAATATATGGCACTTAAACCATATTTAGTATTTTCAAGGGGTTTAATTTTTAGATGAAATCATTGAAAGTTACTTTAACTAAAATGGCTGAAAAAATGGATATAATTTTTTGCCGATTTTTTGTAACAAAATTATTTTATACAACTACTCTTTACAGTAACATGGCTATTTACAATGCGGGACACCTGAAATTATTTGTAAAGCTAGGAAATGGCGAGCTTTTGAAGCTGCAGTCATACGGGGGTTTTCGTTAGTGATGTTAACAAAAATAAAGGAATCCTTTTGACAGAGGTTTTAAAACGGGCCAATTGTTGACAGACAGATGGACAGACAAAGGGACGGATGGATTGACGGACAGACAGACAGACGGACAAGTGATTGATTGCAATATCTCACCATATGATCTAAAAACACCATTTTCCTTAAAAAGTTGAATCTTTGATGACTTTTATACCAGTTGACGGATTTGGTTCAAATTTTATATATTGAGCTGATCGAAGCCATTGAGACATGAGATTACTCAAGAAGGAATTTCCAATATGGCCACTACATTCAAAATGGCCAAAATTTGTGTAAACAATATAAACTTTGATAATTTGAATATCAGTATGCAGATTTGAATTGAATCAAATACAGATTTGGTTCAAATTTGATATGCCGATTCTTTAGGTACAAGATACTGAATTTAAATGGCCTGATTTTTAGCTCACATGCAATCACTCACTTGTCCATCTGTCTGTCCATCTGTCTTTCTGTCAACAATTGACCTGTTTTAAAACTTCTGTCAATAGGATTCCTGTTTTAAGTTATTTTTGTTCAACATCAATATAGGAAACCTCCCTATGACTTCCTGGCTCAAAAGCTCGCCTATTTTCAAAATGGGCGCCATTTTTGTCTCGCAAAATTCACTTTTGGACCATTTGCTTTCAAACTTCTGTCGACATGATTATAATTTTCTGCCATTTTAGCCATCATTCACTTTTGAGCAACACCATGTGAGCCCAGTACCCACGGTACTATTTATTTGATTATTCAAATTCCAATTGTCAGATTTTTATGTCTATGCCATCAAATGGTAATAACTCAGTCACCAAGCATCGGTTTAAAATCATATTTGGCACATTTCTTTCATTCTACCTAGTTTCATTGGGGGAGGCATCAAAAGATCAATGTCTGATAGAAAACTAAATAAATCTAGTTTGGGGGGGAGGTGGTCAAAGCTATTTCAGTTTGCTATCCAACAAATTTCAACATTTAAATTTTTCGCAATTTCGTCTCGAAATGCCTTGGAATGGTTTAAAAATAAAGACTTTACCAGATGCCTTCTTCACCAAGATGCATGCAACATGGAATATTATGCCTATTGTTGTTGGCACATGTTTTAAGAATCATAAATAAGTTATAGTACTGGCCCCATGAAAGTCCAAATTGAGTCGCTAAAACATGGGAAAAGTCCGCGATCAACTTTCATTGTATTTAGTTTTGAGGGGGAGGGGGGGGGGGGTCCAACTCAAAACTAGATTTATTTAGTTACCTATCAGACATTGAACTTTTGATGCCTCCCCTTGGTCTATTTCAAATGCTGTTTTACAAAACATCCCCAAAATGCCTCTATCATCTGTTAAGGCTAATTTGAATGCACCAGGTGAATTTGTTCTGACTAAATGCTCATAAATATCTCTAAACATCCTTCTTATCTCTTTTTTTAACTCACAAATGCTTCTCCTAGGGTGCAGCCAGGATTCAACAAGGGATTCATTTTTTCCCAGCCTGGGGGTTCGTTTTATAGTTGGGTTCATTCCCAGATTTTGGTTTGTTGATCTTTAAGAATATTGGGTTGTTCTAGCAGAGGGTTTGTTTGATAAATAAAGGGGTTTCAAGGCTAATTGGGGGTTGGCATTGGGCCCATGAACCCAGTCTCACTGTTTCAATGCTTCTAGAGTTGTACATCTTGCTTCATCAAGCTTCGGACCTAACCTCAGAGAATGTAGTGATTGAGTGTGGGCAATATCTCTGAAATAGCTCCAAAAATAAAAGTTTCAGGATTCTATCAACTTAATTTATGCATTTGGATCATTTTTATTGAAATGGCCATAAAATCCTGGCAATTAAAACAAGACCTATTAGACTTTGTAAAATGAAAGAACATGGAACAAGGTTCATTTGTGCCAAATATGATACCATGATATGATACTATGTAACCTCAATTACCATCAACAGGACACATTTGAAAAAATTACAAATTCTGTCCTTTTGTATCACTGGTCAGTATCAAGTGAAGGTAAGGACCGTTACCTTCGCATCTAAGATGGCGGATGGTAAGTTTGATTTCAATGTTTTTTGTTTTCATTGGATTAAACCATTTTATAGTTTTATTTAACCATTTTAGAGGCAATGCTTTGATATTTGAACTATATCAGGCTTAAATGAAATGGACACTCTGGATGGTATCTTCCTCCGCTTAAGGGAAGGTACAGATACGGTAGGAAGCATCAATAAATTCGCAAATAAATTAATGCATTTTAACACATTTTAAATTTTTTCAAATTCATTTGGTACGCCTGTGCGTATTTTGGTAATAGGCGCTACGCACATGGCGATAATGCAGTAACGTCATGAGAGTTTATAAAGGCATGATCGTTACCGTATCATAAATTTCCAGTTACCTTCACTAAGCGGTGGGAGATATTATTGAAATGTGGCGCCCATCTACAATACATGAACAAATTATCATACTCCATAGTTCCCATGCCATATTAGCCTGATTTAATTCAAATATCAAAGCATAATGTTAACTATAAAGTAGTTTAATTTAATGAAATTAAAAATATCGAAATCAACCATTACTGTCCCCCATTTTAGATGCGAAGGTTACAGCTGTTACTTTAGCTTGATACTGACCAGTGGTATATAACAAAACATAAAATGCTACATTACAGAAGGTCTATAGGGCGCATGTTAGTGGCTGCTACAGCTGGAAAGAAGGAGAAAGTTCCTGACATTATACTTCCGCCAGCACCTAAGAAATCATGCATGAAGCAACCAAAGAGTGTGATGAAGCAGAAAGGTAGAGTATTATGAATTAATCATCTTCAAAATGGCTATGTATAAACAGTTTTTTTTTATTTGCATAACTATGTTAAGAATACATGTTTAATATTATGAATTCTGAAAGATTGGTATTTCTAGGCAATACCTGTCACATAGACCATTATGTGGCACCTAATACTGTGGCACCTAATACTCCCTCTTGGGGGTCATAGCTACTACAACCTGTAAATATGTTACATTGATTTTAATAAAAAACAAAACAAAAAAACAACATATTACTTATATTCCACGTATCTTATAATTGATTGGTTTTCGATTGATTGGTTTTTGAAACCAGTAGTAGTAAAAAATCATGTGAAAATATTATACTGAAAAAATCACTCAATATTACATAACTCATCATTTAATTGTACAGGTAATAAATATACTTAACCTTCTCTTACTATTGAAATATCTTACAGAAACTGTGCCAGAGTCAGATATAAAGACGGGATTCGCTGCTAAACCAAGGTAATTGCCATAATTTGTTGACCAGTGTTATTCTCTTGGTCAACATTGTAAAAAGTGTAATCATGGACCTGAAATGTTAACTTTGGGAAAAATCTGGAAAACACGGATAAACTATTTCTGAAGATCTACAGGTTCTCTGTCAGTCTGTAGACCCTTTAGAAAAACAATCTGATAGCAGGAGAGATAGAATTGCGTTATCGGTGGCGAGCTGTGAAGTAGTAATACAATAATGTTCAATCCGCCAAATTAAATAACAACCAAAATTTCAAAATTTACCCATTCCACCAAATTAAATTACTCCTCTGATCATTTTACAACTCACATAGTCCAGACCAATATTATAGAGATCTACCTTTGAGTGATATCTACTAATGTAATTGAGTGTGATGCTTGATCACTCAAAGGTAATGCATTTTCACGGGGTGCTTTATAATGACCGTTCATTCTTAAAACCAATCCTAGATCGTATGCCTAAAGTTGAGCTTTCATACAGTACAAATGTTGGAATAATGGGTCACAAATGTTGGAATTTATTAAACCCCTTATAATATATGTTATTTGTAATTCCAGGAGCATTCTGAAGAGAAAAGCTGAGGCAGATAATGAGACAGATTCACAAAAAGGTTAATAGAAACTTTTTTATTGACTTAAATCCCATGATATACATTATAAATTGAATAACCCACACATTTTCTGGAATGCCAGGAATATGCTCTTCCTAATAACACGAATAGCATTTCCTCATGTGAAATATTTTTGAAAATTGTGTCTCTAGTAAGTTTCATGAGAAAACCACAATAATGCCAAGTACGGGTTATCATAAAGTTTAGGGGAACAAGAAAGGATATTAGCCCAAATATACAAATCATAAAGCTGCCAAGTATCAGAAATCCAAAATAAATAGTTGCCGTTCCCCTTTATTATCTGCATGTGTTGTAAACTAAGGCAGTCAATTATTTCTAAAATGTTTTCTTTAAACATGGAAGTCTCTTAAATGCTTGATTTAAGCAAATAAAATGATTGGGCAAATATTACCCTTTGTATGCCACTATGCATCATTTGTGAGGGACATAAAACAATTCAAGAAATGGTTTCCCTGTAAGGAATTATTCCAGTAAAATAACTACATTGTGTTTCTGCTATGCCAATAACCTACGCAAATGATCTGCCTGAAAGTTGCACTTTCGTCATTTGTTGGAACTAACTTGATTGTAATTGATATTTGCTTTCAGCAAAGAAAGAGTATCACATATGTATATCAGGCTTACCTAGCAGTATATCAGCTGCCTTCATAAAGATCCTGGTTTGCCAGTATGGAAAGGTGATGTTATGATTTTACATTACATTATTTACTTGACATGTATGTTTAATCAATATAACATAATTAATATATTTACCATAGATAATGACATTTAATAGTTTATGTAAAAGGTCAATATTTATGTATGACATAAATCACTTTCTTGACTTCACTTTTTGCATGCATTGAGTGAATGCAGAATTTCTCTTGTTGAGTTTCCGAATGTAGAAGAATGTGACTGTAATGTGCCATTCAAAGATTTGTGAGACCCCCTTGCAGGAAGGGATGGGGATTTTAACAATATAAAATTGAGATCTCAAATTCTCTACCCTGGGCACAACCAAGCGGAATAATAATTTGTCAACTATAGTTAAAATTCTGATCAATGGGAATATACATTACTAAGGTCACTACTCTCATTACGAAGTACCTTGTCAAACACCAACTAGACAGTACTGCGAGTTGAGATTGTATATTATCAGACTATATATAATATGTTGAGCTTTTATGATTTTAGGTTCTCAATGTAAAGATAGCAAAGAAGAAAGATAGCGTTTTTGCATTTGTAACATTTGGAAGTTCTGAGGAGGTAGCCAAGGCTGTCGCAAAGTTGAATAACACTGAGGTGGATAGTCACATTATTGAAGTGAAGAAGGTACTTCAAAAATGTCATTGTTCCTTTATAATCTGCAATGAAGCATAGAATAGATTTGAACAAAAATGTTGTCCTGGCTGCATCATTTTACATCAACTAACGTCTTTACATGTATATAATCAATGAGGCTTTATTCAACATGTAACCTCAGATTAAGCTTTGAACAAAGACACCATGTTTGAAATAGAAAGATTTCTTTCCTCATTTATTGCCCTTAAGAAAAAAGCCATGCTAACCATGGTATTCCATGGCACATCCATGGTTTTCCATGGTAATCCATGGTTTTTCATGGAAATTCATGGTTTTTCATGGTATCTTTTATGGAAATTCATGGACACCCATGGTAATCTTCCATGGATATTTATCATGATTTTCCATGGTAATTAGTGGTTTGGTAATTGTTTTTTTTCATGGACGTGTCATGGTTTTTACCAGAACACATGGAGATCCAAGTTGGACTGAGACTTATCAGTGAGAAAAAAGGGTGGACATTTCATGTTTTTTAGGAACATTTGTCAAATATTAAACTCAGCTTCCTTACAAATGAGAAAATATGTGAAAATTGTGTAACTTTTCTAAAAAGAAATATGATAATGCAGTTAATGCAGCACAGACTAGGCCACAATATTTCAAAGAGAAATATGTATAGGGCTTTTGTGTAGATCAAGACTAGATAGAGTTTGATTTTTTTAGGCCAAACACTTTTTGGAAAATATTAAGTCAAACTAGCCCTACCTCCGTTTTGTTTCAATACTTCCTTATTCTTTCTTTAATATTCAGTTATGAAAATTAATGTGAAATAATTTGAAAAATAAATAACTCTTTTTCTTAAATTACATGTCTTACATTAGAATGCAATAAGAAACCATGGTTTCTTTCTTTGAAGTTGAGGAAACTACAATCAAAAGCCATGGAAGTCGGTTGATTGCAATCGAAAGCCATGCTTTTCCATGGTTACTTCTTTGATGTTTTGGAAAGTGCAATCAAAAGCCATGCTTTTCCATGGATATTTCTTGATGTTTTGGAAAGTGCAATCAAAAGCCATGGTTTTCCATGGTTTTTCTTTTGATCTTTTGAAAGTCCATGGTTTTACATGGCTATTTGTTTGGTCTTTTGGATGCAGAAAAAAGAATAATGCAGAAAAAAGAATAATGCAGAATGAACTTTTCCAAATAAAGTCTCATTTAACCTTTATGAGCACATTATCTGAAAAATCCATAGAAAAGTATTATACTTTTTAGAATTTTGACTTGAAATTAAGGTGGGGGATTAAACACAAGCCTATGGCTACAAACTGAAATCTAATGCCTAAGTGAAGTCATGAAGGAGGGAGGGGGGTTAACAGCACCATTTGGCTTAAAACATAAAACATATCCCTTAAGTAATCAAAAATTGATTTGTCTTTGAATAGGAATATATGATCATTTGCATAATTTTTAAATGTTTGGTTGTCATTGTTCTATGTTAATTAATGAGGTTTCTTAACTCTCAAATTAGTGTCATTGTTGATCAAATAAAACCAAATAGGATTAAAAACTCCAAGTAAACATGTCTCTTCGCTCTGCTTTTGCCTAGGAGGTTGACTTTCTCAAAAATTTGAGGGGGCATCATATTCTCTCTATGATTAGTCATTCATTAAAACATTAATTCAATTTGGAAGAATTGGTAATTACAAAACCTGCCATAATTGTTGATTTTACTCCAAGTCACTTAATGGTAAAAACATGGCATGTCCATGAAAAACCAATTGTACCAAACCACTAATTACCATGGAAGATCATGGTAAATATCCATGGAAGATCAACATGGACGTCCATGAAATTCCATGGAAAATACCATGAAAAACCATGAATTTCCATGGAAAACCATGGACGCACCATGGAATATCATGGCTACCATGGCTTTTTTCTTAAGGGTAGGCAATCACTCACTTGTTTAATGTTGGGGTTCTAAATAAAAAAAATCACTGATTCACTTCTAGACCTGTCAGTTTGTTATGTAATGTTGTATTTGTTTTTTTTAGTTGAAAAATCTTCCCGGTGCTAGTAAACCAAAGTCGGAACCAATTCCGAATGAGTCTGATGCTTCATCATCCAAGGGTGTGGTCCCATCATCCACAAATGTGGCCTCACCAAACATTGAAGAGCCAGCTATATCTGAAGAGGCTCAGAGTTTATTGGCAAAGTTCAAGAATACAACAAGCTTTAAAGAAGCTTCAAAGCCAAAGAAGAAGAAAATTGTAAGTAAGCAGCAGATGGAGGACTTGGTTGCAGGTGCAAAACTTGCTGCCAAGAAGGCTGAAGCTCTGCTACGAATAAAACATGAACAGATGAGACAAAAACAGTTTGCAGCCTTAGAGGAACAAAGCCAAAAAGTTGAGAAATTTGAGACTAGGCAACCTTTTAAAGGACAGAGTAATCGAGGACCAAAATTTCAACACCAACAGAATGATCAGGGTAATCAGGCTGTTTCATACGATGGCCAACCTGCCCAGGCCAACAACGGTCAGCCTGGCCAGGCTCAGAGTTTTGAAGATTGGTATCGTTACATGGGCTGGTACTTTTATCACTATATGGCAAACCAGGCTCAGACAGCAAATCAACCACTTCCTTCTGATTTATACACTCAGTTTAAAACCTGGCTACATGGTCAAAATTTTCCTGGCATAACACCTGAAACCCTACCTGATGATGTTCCAGGGATGCCACCAGGCATGGGTGGTGCCACATTTCAGACACAACCGAGTGTTCAACCAGGAATGATACCACCAGGTGCTCAACCAGGGATGGTGCCACCAGGCGCTCAACAAGGAATGCAACCAGGTATGATGCCACCGGGTGCTCAACCAGGAATGCAACCAGGGATGATGCCACCAGGTTCTCGACCAGGTATGATGCCACCAGGTGCTAGACCAGGTATGATGCCACCAGGTGCTCGACCAGGTATGATGCCACCAGGTGCTCAACCTGGAATGCAACCAGGTATGATGCCACCAGATGCTCATCCAGGGATGATGCCACCAGGTGCTCATCCAGGGATGATGTCACCAGGTGCTCAACCAGGGATGATGCCACCAGGTGCTCAACAAGGAATGCAACCAGGTATAGTGCCAACAAGCCCGAGTAATACTACAATGGAAGTTCAACCCCAATTGATGGCTGAACAAGACATATCAAAGATGGCTGAACTTCAGATGAATATGTTAAAACAACAGAAAGGTAACAACCCTATACCTGAAAAAATAAACCCACCTTCCGCTCCTGAGCCCACTGAACGAGGAATGGGATTAGGGGATGAGCGTGCACGCTGGGTGCCTCCTTCAGAGCGTAACAAACCTAATAAGAATGATATTGGTATGAGAATACAGAATATGGCAGGCTCCTCTGTCACTCCATTACTTTCTGACTTAGATGTGTCAGAAATAAGGAACAATGAGGAAAGAAGACCAAACGGTAAAAAGAAAAGAAGGAGGAAAAATAAATCTGTGATCAATACGTCAAATGTACCAAGTCTGATGGACATGCATTGATATAATTGATTATTAAAGATCCTCAATCATAATACTTCTTTGACAAAAGATGGACCTAGTGGGGTTGGCCTTTTTTCTGTACGACATCTATGAGTCTGTCAGTATGCATTATAACAAACCTATTTAAATTACCAGTCAGATTAGTCATTATCTCTTACCAAAAGTGACCCTTTTCAGATGCTGATATTCCAGAGTTTAAATAAAAATGTTATTGACAGAGTGATTCAAATTAGTAGCAAAGGACTGAAGGATCAACTTGATAAAAACAATGTAGTTTATTCTGTTGTATAATATGTTAATGTGGCAATCTGACTGAAGTAACTTTGGAACATGACTTAATCATGGAATCTGCAATCTTAATTTTTTGTTTTCCAAAATAACATGTTTGGATGCCATAAGGCCTAATAAATCCATGGCAGCTTTTAATGGTTGATAAAAATTGCATAGCAAAAAATATTATTTGTCATACATAGCTACATGTTTGTTGTAAAGATCTATGAGGTAACAAATCTGACTGTTTTAGATCAGGTAGATAGTGTCTTTGAAAGGGTTGAAAATATTGTAATGAACTTAAAAACAGAACAATCAACAAGATAATTTTTCTATTTTAAGTCATATATTAATTATGTTATGTTTGAATTTACAAATTGAATTTATAAATTGTTAACCTGTCAGGACAGACACATATGATTAACTGTACAATTGTAATAAACATTTAGGGATTTAGACAGTTTTCAAATAGTAACAATATTTGCAGATTATAACTTCAAAAATGAGTGTAAAACATGAAAAATCCGATGAAATGCAATAAAAGACACGTTTATTAAGAAAAAGGTGTATTTCAATGCTTATGAATAACAATATTGTACATAAAAATTCATTGTATATTATACTCCTCAAAAAAAGTTAAGGACCAGTGGTTTTCTTGATCTTGATTATATTCCCTATAAAGTCTGCAACGTTTCAATGTTATATCTCCATTACATTGGGTCAAAATTGATGAATTTCATGAAATTTAACAAAAATGGCAGATCCCATGTTAAACAAATGGGGAATGGTGGCTTAGGGGCAACTCAGATTTTGGAATATCTATTCAGTAAAAGATTTATAAAAAATACTTTCTAAGTAGAAATTTGAATGATTTTACATGCTAAATGTCTCGCTTATGTTGTTAAAATTAGCGATACGGAGCGTTAAAGTAATTTTGACCCTCACTGAACCACCTGTGTTATTTCAATAAGAGGATCATTAAAAAATTATTGAATTTGAAACCATTAACTTTTGTAAAGCCTGGACAATTAAATCATATTTTTGTCGCTTGGACAATTTAGCAAATTTAATTATCTCTTACAATTTCAATTTTGAGAGCAATGGGATGGATGGATCGTTCCTCATATGACTTATGGCAACCCAACCATTCCCCATTTGTTTAACATGGGATCTGCCATTTTTGTTAAATTTCATGAAATTCATCAATTTTGACATCAAATTTTGACCCAATGTAATGGAGATATAACATTGAAATGTTGCGGACTTTATAGGGAATAGAATCAAGATACAGATATATTTTCTTTATTGGGATTTCTTTTGTTCTACGCTTAGAAAATAGTCGTTCAAACAAATATGGGGGTTAACATGTAAACCTATGAGGAAAACCACTGGTCCTCAACTTTTTTTGAGGAGTATATATTACAGTCGTAGTTTCAAAATATATTTTGAAAAAATATTCCTTAGTTGTGTAAGTCTTTTTGAACAGAGTGGACTTGAAAATAATGAATAGCTCTCTGAATTCTTCATTATATTCTTGATTGGATACTTATATGATAACCGGTATGCCAATTATCCCTGATTCCAGACCAATAATGATGTGTAGATTTCATGGGCGTAGGGCTATATTTTGAGTTGGTACGCATGTTGTGGATGTCTGATTGTGTGGCCGAATGCCACCCATCTTTGGGAGTCCTGGGGTATGCTCCCCCAGGAATTTTGTTTTCAAAGATGTTATTTGATGCAATTTGAGCGTTTTTGTCAACTTTAAATAGGTCTTCTGATAAAATGTAATGGTTAGATATATAAAAAAAATCATCATTAAATGTGGAAACAAATTAATGCATTTTAACAATGTTTTTGGTTTTTTTCAATTCATTTGGTACGTACAGGAGTATTGTGTGTAACAGGTGCTACAGTCATGGATTTAATAAAGCATTAACATGACAAAATGTCACTACCTAGTTGCTCACAATATTATGAATTTCTTTACCCTGAGAAGGTTATTATATTAATGGTAACATTTCAAATCTATACTCAGATTTGGACTTTTGAGAAATTGTAGATGATTTTGAAATCTAAAGTCAATTTTGAAATCTAAAGTCAATTTTGAACTTCTGAGAACTTGTAGATTTGAAAAAACATTGGTCAATCAAAAGTAAGTTGAAAAAAGACCTTTTTGACCTTTTAAACCTATTTTTGATTTTAAGATGGTCATTGAAGGTCAAATCTTAAATTTTAAATCGGATTTGAACTTCAGAAAATTATAGATGATTTTGAAAAAAGAAGTCCCAGTGTTTGTTAAGTTATTGGAACTTGTAAGAATTTGTTACAGATGGGACCGCCAACTACCAACCACCACAAAAAAGTAGACCATAACGATATGTCACCACTTTTTGTTGGTGACATAATAAGAATATGTGTAAACAAGATAAGGAATCTGATTTACTCACTTTATAATCAATGGCTACTAATACATACATAGAGCTACACAACAAATGATGATGTAGCAAACAATTTACATGTTATAAACATGAAGGATTTGTATGTCTATCATGTATGAGTTACTGTAGTAACGAGATCTTTTCAAATTTTCTTCAAGTGCTGTATGCTATAAACAAAGCCAGTTCATGTCTATGTATTAAAATAAATTTGATCTATAAGATTGTTTTCTTCTAAATCAGTTAACAAACATTAGCACACATATCTTCAGGTATTCACTTGAGTTTGTGGTTTAAAATTGTGAGAAGTGAAGCCTCTCAAGAGAATCAAAGGGAGGTTCTATATTAATACTGTATTCATTTGGCTCAGACATATTAAAACAGTACAGGCAGTGCCACTCTAGATATGTAGATCAGGGCTTCTTCAATAAAATCCTTTGGCCAAACTGTATTCAAGAAATTGGAATGTTAGATTGCTAGTAATGGACACTGTTGCTTAGCATTTTGCTCAAACATGCATGCCGGTACTTCAATTGGCTTTAAAATCAGTCCGAGGCTAATTGCCAGAGGAGTATTCAAGTTACTTAGTCAATATGGCATGGTGGTAGAATTATTGAGCTTTATGACTGTCCTTTGTTACAGTGAAGATAGCCAACTAGAATGGTTTATTTTGTAGAAATGTTGAAATCATCTTCAGAGCTGCTATTGGGTTATCATGTGGAACAAAGTGACCCGAGCCCTGAAAATAAATATGATAAAATTTAATATACTGTAAACTGGAGTCAAGTCTCAAAGTGGGGTCTACACTCCACACACTAAATAAAAGCTGATGACCAGTGACCAGGTCCAAATCAATCCCATAAGTTATGGCAGCATAAAGAGGATTTGCAAAACAAATTAAGGCCATCCCAAGTCCTATTGGGCTCGGGTGAACTTGGACAAATAAGGGATCATCTCAATAGACCTATGTTGGAAAATTACTGTACAAAAAGATTGGAATAATTATAAAAAATTGACTACGGTATATTACATATTATGTTAGATATATTTTGACTTCAATACAATGACACATATCAACATTTTTCAAATACAGTTATGAGGGGAAGGGATGTGGGTCAGAGATTAGCTGTTCAAATACAGTTAGGTTATCCTACATAGAACTTTTGAGATGCTCCCCAATGTCTGAATATATTGTACAGACAATCAGATGAGGTAAAAGGTTACAGCACATTGGTGAATATGAAAAAGGTAATTCATCAAAGTAAAAACCTTTCATTGTGAATGTTATAAAGACATGAGAGAGGTTCACAGATCTTATTCACTCACCTTTACTGTTACACAGGAAAGCTGTTCATATTGTTTCACAAAGCCAGCTACTTGCATAGAGCCATCATCGAAGAACCACTGCTTGCGTTTCTCTTTCACAGGCAGATTTAAAGCATCTACAAACCATTCGTCTCCTAGGAAATTACAAGCCATGTCTACATCTCCATTGTACACCATGATTCGCTTCTGGAAAATTCAGGATAAACGCTGTTATTAACCATTAATTGATTGCAGATAAAATCTGCCAAACATGGATTCAGGACTGATATCATACCATGCCTGTACTGCATGTACTGTACATGGAATTGAAAGGTTTAGCCTTGAAGATATTCTAACAGTTTTCTTTGCCTTTTCACACAAGACTCACACATCATGAATCTCAATGGTGAACATTGATTTGGTGTTCATTAGATTTTCATCATATTTATAATCTGTATATTAAATAATCGACAAGACATGGAATGGAATGATTTCCATATTTCTAACATTATATTGGAAAATGGTGCAGTTATCAATTTATAGCTTCTACATAATAAACTGACTTACGCCTTTTGCTAATACTTTTCTATATTGAGCTACCATACTATTGTAATTTCTTATATAGTGTTCACCAACATCTCCACTGAAACAGAAAATGGCAATTTTATGTAACAAAAGAGGTCAGGTTTGTTTACTAAGTACTACATCAGTATTAAAAATATTCAATCTGGTATTTGTTTAATATAGATTTCAAAATTGATGTGGAAGGAAACTAAAGGCAGCTAAGCATTTTTGATTCCTGCATCTCGACATCTTAAGATTATCATTGATTGAAAACTGTGTTTTGTTCTTGAAAATTCGAAAAGTTGTAAGTTATTGTCATTGTATATTGTCATTGTTCACCTACCTGCATACTGCCCATGTGGCAGGAGACATGGCTGATATATGGAGAGCTTGCCTTACTGCTGGAATGTTCAACCAGTTTGTCTCAGCTGTAACATTAACACAGGGGGGTACCTCACCTAGTCCAGGGTTGGACTGGAGCAGTCTCTGAATAAAATTGCAGTAGAACATGTATTACCAAATTCACCCCTACTAACATTTGCACAGGGGATTACCTCACCTAGTCCAGGGTTGGACTGGAGCAGTCTCTGAATAAAATTGCAGTAGAACCTGTATTACGAAATTCACCCCTACTAACATTTGCACAGGGGATTACCTCACACAGTCAAGAGTTGGACGGGAGCAGTCTCAAAAGAAAATAGCAGTACAACATGTATTATCAAATTCGCAGGGTCTGGTGGTTGCATCAAAGTTGAATTGGAGAACTTTTAAAAGAAAATATTTTTGAAAAAAAACATTTTTCTTTCACAAATCATAAGATGCTTTAAGAAATGAAATTGCTTTGAAGTATGTAATGACAGATTGGTACCTTACATTGCCCATATTATCAAAAAGCAAGTACCACATGATAAGGGAGCATCTCAAAAGTTCAATGTAGGATAATATTAACACCATTTGCACTGAGTTAATCTGTGACCCCCTCCCTCCCCCTCATAACTGAGTTTGAGAAATGTTGATATGCGTTGTTTTGGAAGTCACACTTTATGTAACATAACATGTAATGTAGTCATTTCTATAACTATTCAAATCTGTATTTCTATACACGATCAGCAGTAGGTTTAATACTGGACAAGTCGTGACTTGTGAATTCAGTATCACTGTCATCACTGTGGAAAACAAATGAAAAGCCGCTCATTTTTTGTATAATTTTCCTTTTGTTGTGTACATGTTTTTTTATTTTTCGTACCAGAAGGGCACTACATAAAAAGAGAATACGCTAAGAAAATTCCTGGGAATGATGTCGGAACGCTAACTTTTAAGACCAATGACCCCCTCCCTCCCTAATAGAACAAACTACAAATACAGTTACTTTTCTGATATCGATCTTTTGAAATGCTCCCTAACAATATGGCAGTACCCATTTTTTGGACTGATATTTATACATAGGGCCTACTTATCATTATGAATTCCACTCACCTTTCTCTGCTCTTGTATTTGAGGGTTGTTCCTGAAGAGATGTGAAAAGTGAGGATGGTAGATGCCATATTTACCAGCTCCTCCATAGCAATCCTGGTACATGTCATATACGTTGATCCCCACTGTCTTAGAACCTGCTAGTGACACCTAAAAAAGAATTATTATTAGAGATGGTAAATATATGAATATAGTTTCAGGTGGGCATTGCTGAACGAAACAATTATACCAGATATATTCATTCCAGATTTTATTACATGTGGCAGTTAAGGATTTTGACGTGTCTTTGAGCATTTTATTTTCATGCATTTGTATTATCATTTCTATAGCTCCATTGGCTTTAGGGTTTGGTAATTGAAGTGGGTCAAATCATTGATTTCGGGCAAAGGGGGTGATTTTAGGCCTATAGCCTATTTGGGAAATGAAACTTAATTTGATGGATATTGCTCAATTTCAAATATAGGCAGCGATTCAATCTGGCGGATTCAGGACTGACTTCAAGTTTTATCATTGATCTGGAAATAAGCTTTTGGGATTCAGGTGTAATAGAGTTAGAATAACACTGACATCCAAATACAGGAATACTTAAAGCATGTACAGTACACAAGTGAAATCATAAGAAATCACAGATTCCCTGTGATTTTCCAAAATAGATCTGGCAGATTTTTAATTGGCGGATTTTATCAATCTGCCAAACTCAAGTCATAAAATAGATCAATAGTACAGTGTAATTGCGTTCTTGGTGATGGGACTGGGACAAAATCAACAGTCTAAGATTCATTTGAGGGCTGGAACAATAGAATGGATAGGAATCTCTTAGAATATCTTTAAGCGTGAATACTTTTCACCATATTACCTGTTCCCTGCACTCTGAAGATGTTGGGTTGAAGAAGTTACAGACTCCATTTGTGCAACAATATTTCTGGAGGGCATTCCATAGGCTGCAATAAAATCAAAATCTTCAAATTACTACATATATTTTGATAATTTTGTATTGCAGATATGTACTGTTAAAGTGTGCTTGAAAATATCTTATTTTTCATTTCCGTTTCATAGTGAGCTCTTTAAGCTTAACAGTAAAACTATATCTTGCACTTTCAGTATGAATGTAATAAGAAGACCGGGTGTGAAGTCAAGATCATGATCAGGTGGCAGACAGCCAAACTACAACAACAGCAACAACCTGACAACAATCCTTGAGTGACAGACAATGCCTCATATAATCTGCAAATGTAATGTGAGATGGAACATTGAGAAGTTGGGATTCAATCATGGCCCACATGTAATGTGAGATGGAACATTGAGAAGTTGGGATTCAATCATGGCCCACATGTAATGTGAGATGGAACATTGAGAAGTTGGGATTCAATCATGGCCCACATGTAATGTGAGATGGAACATTGAGAAGTTGGGATTCAATCATGGCCCAAATGTAATGTGAGATGGAACATTGAGAAGTTGGGATTCAATCATGGCCCAAATGTAATGTGAGATGGAACATTGAGAAGTTGGGATCCAATCATGGCCCACATGTAATGTGAGATGGAACATTGAGAAGTTGGGATTCAATCATGGCCCAAATGTAATGTGAGATGGAACATTGAGAAGTTGGGATTCAATCATTGCCCAAATGTAATGTGAGATGGAACATTGAGAAGTTGGGATTCAATCATGGCCCAAATGTAATGTGAGATGGAACATTGAGAAGTTGGGATTCAATCATGGCCCAAATGTAATGTGAGATGGAACATTGAGAAGTTGGGATTCAATCATGGCCCAAATGTAATGTGAGATGGAACATTGAGAAGTTGGGATTCAATCATTGCCCAAATGTAATGTGAGATGGAACATTGAGAAGTTGGGATTCAATCATGGCCCAAATGTAATGTGAGATGGAACATTGAGAAGTTGGGATTCAATCATGGCCCAAATGTAATGTGAGATGGAACATTGAGAAGTTGGGATTCAATCATGGCCCAAATGTAATGTGAGATGGAACATTGAGAAGTTGGGATTCAATCATGGCCCAAATGTAATGTGAGATGGAACATTGAGAAGTTGGGATTCAATCCTGGCCCAAATGTAATGTGAGATGGAACATTGAGAAGTTGGGATTCAATCATGGCCCAAATGTAATGTGAGATGGAACATTGAGAAGTTGGGATTCAATCATGGCCCAAATGTAATGTGAGATGGAATATTGAGAAGTTGGGATCCAATCATGGCCCACATGTAATGTGAGATGGAACATTGAGAAGTTGGGATTCAATCCTGGCCCAAATGTAATGTGACATGGAACATTGAGAATCCTGACACGAAAACGATACAATCATTAGTGTGAAATACAACATGCATTTTGGACTTTATATTTAAAGGAGGGATTACCCAGAATACCATTTCGGATGTTGCCTGAACCATGCGGGAACAGCACAAAGAATGTATTTTACACTACATCTTACTTAACTCTAATGGTGGCATTTACAGAATAGTGAAACAGAAATTAAAACACCACAATATATCAAATATTAGATTTATTTTATTAATTTGGAATGAAAATATCATTGTTCCTCTTGGATTTTGATTCAATTCACAACATCACTGCAGAAGTTCATGTTCAAATATACATCATGCTCTGAGAATCAATTTTCCTTTAAATTTAAAAAGATGTGTCAATTGTTAAGTGACAGAGTTATAAAAGTGTAAATTGTCATACCAGATACATGTACTTACGATTGTGCAATAACAAAGATGTGAATTTTTTGAAATAGAAGAAGCAAAAAAACAAATCTTACGTTGTTCCAATGAGGCCATGGTAGTACCAGAAGTATATGATAGAGTTGTCATTGGTTGCATCACTGCTGAGTCCATTACCCACTGCAAACCCCTGGTAGAAGTACAAGCAACTAATTAGGCCAAGCTGTAGTATTACATACACAATTTCCTCACAACCACATGAAAGACTAATATTTACTTATGTTTTCAGTCTACTTTCAAATAAAAGTCTCACTGGTTGTTCATTTCAAAATTTACCTCAAAACTTACTATATTTACTAGTATAGGCCTAGTATACGGATACAGACTCACTGACATTGTACAATTACTTGACTACATTATTTTGAATCATTCCTAAAATGCCACTAGCTGACTAGGGTATTATGAAATAACATGAGAAAATTCAGCAACATCTGCATACAGTATCTCACACATATATGTGGTCGGATAATTTCTACAGTGAAACAAAGTCAAATGTTCATTTGGTGAACTCAACACTTTCATGACTGAGCTTTTCATTATAATAAGATTTGGCCAAAACATCTTGCAGATTTATACTTCACCAATAAAATTATAATACATACATGTATGCAATAATACTAGGGTTTGAGAGCTTAATTTCAAAAATGTACCTTAAAGTTAATTTCTGGTTCATCCACTACCCTGGCTGACAGTGTTGGGACGTAGATTCCTCCGTAACTTTCACCAGTGATATAGAAGTCAGTTTTGCTGTATTCAGGAAACTTCTTAAAGAAGCTTTTAATTGCCATAAGGTTGTCAAGAGAAACCTACAATTTATCAAATGTATTTTATTCAGGATTTTGCTGAATTCATCAGGAGCTACAAGGTAAATAGTATTACTCTATTGAGACACAGGGGACTCATCCCTATCAAGCAATCTAAATATTCTTTTGTTTTGGTTCCCTTCTTAATGTAAATACAGAGAAGCCTAAAAAGTAGAAGTGGCCACCTCTGATAGTGGAACACTTTTCAGAGCCCCAAGACCAGCTGACTCATGTTAAATGAACCTCTATAAATGAAACACCTCCCAAGTGGAACACTTTATAGAGAGGTATCAAAGGTGTTCCACTTGACAGGTTTTTCTGTACTCAATGAAAAAGGGAGAGATTATTTAATGGCTACTTTGATTATTCATATGTTAGTCTCTGAGCTAAATTCAAAAGAGGGTGGATTTTGATTACTATTTCACAATGTTTAGAAAATCAAGAGATTTGACTTGAAATTATGAAGCATAAGTGCGCATGTCAATAGATAATAACGGCAGTTGCCGTCATGTCCGTCAAGTTACGTGCAATATTTTGCACGGCAATTGACGTGCATACTATTATCTTGTAAAAGTTTCACATATTATCGGCAGGACAACAGGCAGTTATAAACTGGGAAACTAGTGGGTGAATCATGATCTGCATCGTATGTAATAGTTATAATCATAAACATTTGCTATTTTCCGGGTTGCATTTTGAACTAACAACTATTATGATGTGCTTACGTCAATGTTTACAAGAAATATTTATTCAACAGCAAACCGGAAGTAAACAAATGATGGAAAGAAAACTAATAAATTCTGATCTAATGAGGATAGGAATTTAAATTGTTCAAAATTCATTTAAGGTAATCATTAGATCATTGTAAAGAAGGTTAAAAAACTAAATCCAGCCAGAAAAAACGAAAAAATCGGCAACAAACCGAATGTCTTTCAAATGATAAATGATTTAAGCTAGCATAAGCTTAATACTTTCCACCAAAACTTAATTTTCATACTTATATTTTTGGCTGGGGGGAGGTGGGGGTGGTGATGAACATTATGAAAACCCCCTAGAAGTACCACTCTACCTGGTCATCACTTGTGGTGTAGTTTGAGTCTGGTTTGTATGAGAATCCCACTCCAGCTGGTGCCTCAATATATAATACATTAGCAACAGTATTCCAGCTGTAGGGGTTGTATTTCACTGTTGCCCCATCATCTGCAATCTTGAAAGAAACACATTTTCGTGGATTTTAGCACTAATTGCTATGTACAGAGTAAACATGCTAAAAATTATTACTCCAGATTTCCTTTTGATACGATTCTTGACTCTTTGACTCATATTTCCATGTTTCCCATGAATTGCTCCATGAGCTGCTTTTTAAAAAATAGTATTTACTAGGCCTTTGATGTCTAAACCTAAACCTTTGAATGATTCATTACCTTGCACAACTGAGAAAAATGACTCATACCAAAATCTCTACTTCACTCCAAATAAAAGCTCATGGGCATTATTTTGAAAATACTTCCGATAAATGGCAGAATGGTTCATAATATATAATATGGCCCTATTATAAAAAACTTGTAATATTTCCAATAAAGTTAAACTTACTGTGAATGGTCCATTCTCCGTTAGGAGTCCATCTAAGGAGCTGCAACCTGGGCCTCCATTCAACCATAGTACTAGAGGATCACTGGCAGGGTCCCTTTGAGACTCTACAAACCTGGAAAACATGACATTGAAAACACACATGTACGATGTATGCAACTTAATATATGTATGATTTTAATGTCAGCATGTACATGTAAACTGTTATTAAAAGACCAATGTTAAAGTTTAAACCACTTTTATTTGGCTAACAGTATATTTTTTTAATAAAAACTCATAGACTTGGAAAAGTGATTCAGAGAAAAATGCATTTTATAATATTTTCAGTTCACTCCAATCAAACTGAATTATTTAATGACAAATGAAAAATAATATTTGGAAAATAAAATGATAGGCCTATTTTCCAACTTTACATGGGGACTTTAAAAATATATTGAAAATGTAAAAAAATTCTGATCTGATTAAATCTAAAGAAAAGGGAACTAAACATTGCTTTTATCATATTGAAATCATCTAACATTTCAATTTCTATGATTTGTGGCAAAATGGCAAATATTTGACCTGGGATATTATATCATAAATCATAAGATTTCTATCTAGTATAACCATGGGCTTCCAAGAATGTTATGCTTTGACATCTCTACATATTATATCTCTGAGATTATACCAAAGTTGTATATCAGGATGGTTTAAAACTTACCAGTAATGTAGCATTCTCCCATCTGTAGCTGCGAGATACCCCGAGTAATGTTTGAAGAATGGTTGCTTTGTGAGGCCTGGTAGAGTCTTCACCTCATCAGCCATGTCTGCAGCATGACAACCTGCTAGGGCCAGGAGTAGCAACACAGGGCAAAGCACTGAGGACATCATTTTACCTGTTGCTAGGAAATCACATGGAATAACATGTCACTATTTTGTTTCAAAATGGAACTAAGGCTTACATTGTAAATTAAATATTCACAACTTTTAATTTTACATAAACCTACAGGTCACAGACACGGGAATAAGAGTTCATCCCCCTCCCACTCACTATGTATTACTTAGGTAAAAAAGACTTACGATTATACAGTGGGTGTTGGGATTTAAATCTTCTTCCTGGGCCTGTGCTACATGTTGTAAATTCATCTACATGTGCATGTAGTGTTACATCATCAAGTCCCTTCGAACCCTTTCAAACACAGTTCCAGCCCAAGCGAATGGTGGGACCAGGGAATTGATGCAACAGTACATGTACCTCTACGTATGTTTAAATGATACCTGAGTCTCAGATGATACTGAACATAATGTACTCATCCAATACCATGTATTTCTGATTTACTAGCTTACCTGTAGTTTAGGTATGCATCCACAACATATAACTATGAAGAGGATATACTACTCAGTGGCGTAGGAACAATGTACGCCAAAACGCCAGTGCGTAGTGTTGAAAAGTGAGAATAAAAAAGACTTTTTAACTTTCCTATGTTCTTTAGTCATATTTTCTCATTGTTTAAATTGTAAAAGTAATCTCGAGCACACTAGCCTAAAGAAATGTTTTGTGGATACCGTATCATTATTGGTCTGTCTGGCAAATATCATTTAACAGATTGAATTCCCTTACCAACATGCTTTATTTCATGAAAATCGAGCCACTATTGACTGTCTTATAAATACAATTTCGCCAAATATTCGTGAATCGCGTTCTCTTTACGAATTTGAGAGGAAAACTGTTTTTTTTCAAAAACTACTTGATGAATACCTTTGACATTTTTTCTGCATTTTCCGTAATGCTTATGCTAACTATGGTATCATATAATTATAATGATGAAACTCTTTAAATTTAGATGTATATTTTTTTATTCTCCCCTACCCCAATTTTTCAATTTCACTATCGATTTATATTCCGTTGCTATGCAAAATCATAGACACGAAATTATAGTTAAGTCAACAATTATCTATTTTCTTACTAAATCACTAATTGTTATTGGTAGTACTTTTTGAAATATGGATGTTAAAGACAAAAACAACTTAAAATGCTGATTATTCAATTACACGTTCCATTGATTTCAGTTCTAGAAAAGCGATAACCTGTTTTTTTTCATTTGAAAAATAATAGATTCTTGTTTTATAACATTTTTTGGCATCCCCTAAGTCACGTTGACCTCGATTTGACCTTTGTGGTGGGTGCGTTTATTTGTTTCATTGATCACGAATGCGTTTCGTTATATCAATTGATCAAACTAGTTTCTTTAATCTGTACGTATTGTATTGCACGGTACACGATGGAATCCGACAATACTATATATCTTAATTCAATTATTCGAAAATGATTAAAAAATCTCTAATTGTTTTTTGGAAATTGGTCGTCTCAATCGTTCGAGACATTAGCAAAGTGAGAATGATTTGTGTCGAGATTTAAAAGATAGGCTTTCCAAGGTGATTTTAAATGCTGAAAATCATTCGAACATTTTAAAGCACATTAAAAAGGTATCGGGGATTTAAAGCTTGCATATGAAATCGAAACGCCAACCTATACGTATCGCCCATACAAATACAAATTTTCGTTCACATTTAGGTTGTGAATATTGCAAGCTTAAAATCTCTACCATAAAATGACGTTTTACGAACATAACATAGGCGTTTTGATATAGAATATTGACACAATTGTTTCATATTTTTTTGGCGGGATTTTTGCGTAGTGTTGAATTTACACCTTCCTACGCCCCTGCAGTACTGTATGGCTTCTATTTGGTTATTTCACACTACCCTACCTCGATAGCGCATGCGCGAATTTTTTGGCTTTCAATCAGGTCGCTTTTGAGTATATCGACTGCTTAGTGAAAAGGTTAATACGTTTGGTGCTCGGAGTGAGTCAATATTGCTATTCGCTGAACTTCAGTGGTACAATAGTGAAGTCCATGTTCCAAGTTATATGATAGTTGAAGAAAGAATGTAAATAATATCGTTTTAAATTTTAAAATATTTGATATGTCATAGTACAAGGTACACAGCTGCAAAAGTTGATCAATACAGGGTACAAGGAATGTAAATTGTTCAATAGTACAGGGAGCGAGACAGTAAGCTGATTATACAGACATACTATGTCCCGATCTCATGTATATTTACGTTGCAAACAGTGAAAATAATGCTAAAAAGGCCGCCTGTTGATGCTTTGAGGTGTCATCAATTGTTATTTAATCCAAATAAAGTAAACATTATTTAGTAGATTTAAACACGGGCTTTCAGGTCGTATATGCATTTTAGTCATTAAATTAACAAGAACGCTAGATTATACGTGTTACTAGGGTATCAAATTGAAATAAAATAACGAAATTAAATATAAACACGTAAGTGATAAATGACTATCGGCTATCAGGATTAATGACAATCCGCTATTCAGAATAATTAAAATTGCGTGAACTACATGTAAAGAATCTTTCTATATAACCCCTTGAATGGTCAAATTAACTAACGTCCTCAAAAACCGATCATTTAAAATAGTTTGTTCAAAATACCATCATGCCACGACATTTTGTTCTTCATGATTTGCTGTAGAGGTGATATGACGTCGTATTTCTCTATTATTGTAAAAAAACCAATACCAGATCGATGTAGTCTTATATGACGTGTTGAATGTCAGATGTTTTTGGATGGTATCTGCTCCAGTGATTTTGCATTTAATCATGAAACGCTCATCACGAGACACCTCGAAACAAACATTATCCTCCTTGTGACAAGAGGAAAAATGTTTCACAATATGTTATGCCTTACGGCAAAGTAAAGATACATTTCTGGGACGGCTTTTTTGCATCTTAAGATTTTAGAAAAACAATTAATTCACAAAAGTACAGTTGAATAACATACTGGAAAACGTATCCACATATAACACGATGACACGCAGTTTAAATAACAGTTTACTGGGGTTTTGTTACATATCAATGTAACATTTTCGAAGGGAAACTTACATGCTCCCTGTACGTTGACAGATTTACTGAAATGTATCGTGTATTACATTGAGTTTTGCTTCACTGCGCCGACTATTATCTATCTTTGCCTATAGTGGTTTTTTGCCAACAATATTCTACAAACTGCTTGATGAATCAATTCTATGTCTGGTAGAACACTAGAAATAAATGTAAAATGTATTTTACGTTCAAAAATATGGAATTAAACCCACGTCCTCCATTTGCAACTTAGCTGTACCCTGTTTCCCTTTTAAACGTGGTCACGTGGTAGGGTAGTGTGTATTTATGAGAATCATCTGATCATCATGTGATAAGTTTATTGAATGTAGATCTATTCATACTGTTTGTATTGTACATCATGTGACAGAAGCATCACATTGTCTGATTGCAGTCTAATCGTATTTGTGTAATTTGATACATTTAACAGATACTAATGTAAGCACGCGTTAAGTTACGAACTATAACTAAATTGTTTCAATTTACACTGTTTGTTCGTAAGCCAGGCTGAAACGAAACTGAAACCAGGAAATGTTAAATAACATTTTTTCCAACAAAGGCGAACCGTTATATCCCTTTTACAAAAAGTAATACATTTTATTCATGCATCTTCAAAACCATTGGTATCTTTTCTACATAATAAACATATTATATACTTCAGAGATCCTCTGGAGTGGCCATTAACAGTGATAGAAGAGGTGCCTCTCCGTGCACACCTACCCGGTCAAAACAGCTACTGGATTACGCCAACCAGGAAGCAAACCGGAAGTAAACACAAAATTGAAAATTATAAAAAAATTTGGTAAGATATTTACTTATTCTCGTGGTTTATTGGTCATTGAGCACCATGAGACTTGTTCATATGTTAAAGCCTATGTATAAGTATTTATTCCAATCAAAAAAAACTAAAGTACGTTTACATATTATGGCATTTCCACATGCTCAAACAGAGGACTCAATTTCTAATAAATCTCCAGATAATTATTTCTTTCAGATTTGTAAGCTTACTTCATTAATTTAGCTTTGTTTGTTTGCAGAATAATGTATATTAATTCCAGCCCCTTCAGTGGGGAACAAGAGTGCAAAGTGTCTGTACATTTGGTCTGTACATGTATGTGCAGACATGGGCATTCATAGAATTGAAAGCCCATGGTGCAGACTAGACTACCATCTCACTCAATCTTATACATTGTACATGTACAGTGTATACACAACTTGTTCTGTACATTGTTTGTATAATTTAACATTATATTTTCAGATGATGTGTCGCTTGAAAACATACATTGGATAAACCTCTAAAATGGGATTGAAAAGATTACCACTCGTCACAGGAATATCGCCAAAGGAGGGCCCACCAGGAACAAAAGTAACAATACGTGGAGAGAATCTTGGGGTTGATGCTAGGGATCTTATAGGTACTGACATACAATACATTGTACTAGCCTTATGTATCTAAACAGAATGATGGAAACCTCTTGAGTATATCACATATAATCTCCATGACACTCAAAAACACCTCTTGCAGTAGATCTACTTAGGTTTAGGCATATTGCCATCTGTTTGAGGCGGCCATTTGTTCTGCCTACAAAGATGTAATATTTAAAGATAGAACATACAATATACTGTACATGAATACACATACATGTACTCTGTTTTTGAATTGAAATTGCAGGCAATGGTCATGTACCAGTACATAACAATGTTGTTTTTAATATTCATTTAGGTCTGAAGATATGTGGTGTAGATTGCCACCTAGCTGCAGAATGGAAATCATCCAGCAAGATTATCGCACGCACAGGACTTGGGAAGGGGAAAGGTGATGTCATAGTAATGACCAGATCTGGAGGAGTCGGGAGCTGCACTGTCGGCTTTAGAGGTTTCTTTGTACAGACTGGTTAGTCATTTGCAGCTATGTTGACTTACTGGACTGATTAGAAAATAACCACACACTTTTCCATTGAATTTCCCTGGCAGAAGAAAGTTTATTTTAAGTTTAATTTGCCATTCATATAGATTCGTTCCAATCAACTAAGTTACACTTCACATCATTGTTATTGAATATATAAGTGAAGACATAACCTAATACATGTACATGTGTATTTAATTGAGAATTCTCTTCTCATATTGCCAGGTCCCCTCCAAGAGTCTGCTGTCTGGGTGGATGAGACGGCAAGATATGCCATGGTGGATGGTCGACATAGACCACAGTCACCAATACTCAAAGAACATGATAACCCATTAGGCATCTCAGATGAAGGCAGCGAGTAAGTTCAATACATGGTTTCCATTTTATTATGTTTTGCTGTATTACATTGAAATGTTGTTGTCAGATTTGCAATGTACTTTCATAATTTCAACTGCATTTAAATGCGGTTCAAATCTAGTGAAATGGTTAATTTTTGTCATCAGTTTTATGCAGGCCTGTCAACTGTCCCGCAATTTGCGTATTTGTCACGCATTTGCTGAAGAATTTGAAGTCACGCCAGTTATTTTTGCGTGACGGAAAATGTCACGCAAATACGCATTTTACCTGGTAATTGTCAAGCAAAAATATTTCTGTAGAAAATTTTCTAAAAAAGATCGTCTACACAGCAAAAGTATGAACGACGGGAAAAATACGTACGCATTTCGTTAGGACTTTTCACGCGAATTACGGATATGGCACGCATTCCGTTCGAAATTTTTCGTACCGGTGATGGATATTTGAAGTGCGAGCGTAGCGAGCGCGAAAAATTTGAGGTGTTCAAAATTTGGCAAGATGTAATAAGATTTAAACCAAGGTGTTCAAAATTTGGATCAAGGTGTTCAGATTTGGACCAAGGTGTCCACATTTTGAGGGGAGGTGTTCAACATTTCCAAGTCACTCATGTTAGGTGTTCCCAAGTTGACAGGCCTGTTTATGTAAGTGACAAATGGATGATTTAACATATCAATATTGTGAAATTTTCAATTGATGTAATCTAGCCATAAAAATCGACAATCTGCATCGTTTTATATTCTAACTCAAAATCAAAGGAACCAGTATTTTACATCCATGTATTTTGATTTATTAAATTAATTTTCAGGTCCAAGTTCCCTGAAGAAGAGTTACAGGAGCTGTTTCCAGGAGGTAAGTGGCTTTCATTAGCTAGATGTAACTAATTAGAGATGGGCAAATCATGCACTCAACTTTCCCTATTAAGTCATCTCCTTTCACTCGGGAGCTTAACTAATAACAGTTAAATCTGTCATCCAAGCTCTATTGGGACTGGTCAAAAGTGTTCAAATTAGCAGGTGTTCACATTTCAAGGTTTTTGGCTCACACAGTGAGCCTATGGGATCGACATTGGCCGCACAAATTAAAACTGCTTTTCGGATTGAGTCATATCCACATTCATTTTATGCATATCCATAATGCCTATTTGATTTCAAATATGTAAGTCAATGGGAGATACTGAGCCCAGTTGTTTTAATGCTGTGGAGTTTACAGTGTAGTTGTGTAGGTTCGCACATATCAGGGCAGTCTTAATTGACAAACTAGAGACCCTGCTTCTTACATAAAAATAGGTGGCTAAGTTAGCACTTTGAAATATTGAAATTTTATACAAAGTAGAAGGCTACTAACATGTTCAAACAGAGGCTATTTTTACTATAGTAGCCACCTCAGTTTGATTTCCTTGATATTATGTCCAACAATTGTACAATTTCAGGATGCGGAGCTACAACTGCAGATAATTTTGTACCTGCCTGGTTCTTGCTGGAGAATCACCATGGTACAGGGTAAGATAACCCCCTATATGATGTTTTTATGATTGCCAAGTTACATATCAATGTTTTTACCTGAAATAAAGTTGAATTTCGACTATTCCTGACCTGTTCGAATAAAAATGAAACATTGATTACTGGTTTTAAGTAAATCTTTAAATGTCACATGTCACTTGACCCTCTTTGAGATCTAGTTTGAAGCCATAAAATAATTTTTCAAATAGTTTAAAGAGAGTAAAAACTAAAAACCTTCAATTTTGGGAAAACTCAATAAGTGGAAAATATTTCAAAGATGTATGATTCACTTTGATTGACTGTGTCATGTTGAATAAACCTCTATAAATGGAACAGATCTTTGAGGCAATAAAGTTACAGTTCATGTTTTGTCACTTCAGGTTTGATGATTTAAAGGCAGGGCTAGCATACCTGAAAAGAAAGGCCTCACAAAGTAATGAAGGTCCACGTGAATTTGTTAAAACAAACCTTTCAGCCTTCATCGCTTGTCTTGATACATTATCAGGTAACCAAAAGTTATGTATCTCCTCTCAAGTATCTGACAACAGTATCTAAGAGAAGGACCTCAGATACTCAGTCTGATTGATTATAATAGAATGGGTTATGGATAAATGACCACACTGCCATCTTTCAACCAACTTAGAAAAGATATTTGGATGGACCAGAACATGCAAAGAATGTTTGTTGTATTTGTCAATCAGGTAAACTACAATGCTACCAGAAAATGGACATGGCATTCTGAGAATGTGTCTTAGAGTAATAGCATTGAATTGCATGTATACTTTTCCAGCAATGCATGAGAAGTTGGTCGAGGACCAGAAACAGCTTGTGGGAGGAGCTAACATGACAGAGAGTCTTGGCAGAGCACTAGCAGGTATCAGAAACATGTTCGAATAAAAATTAGATATGGATAATCATAAGTTTAAATGTGGTTCAATTTATCATATTTTTGCCTATTTTGCGACATATTTGGAAATTATTTGAATGTGATGTCTTAATATGTTTTAATATTATAAAGATTTCATTAGTTTTCTGGCTAAATGTGCTCTGTACTGTCTTTAGGGAGAATACAATACTTTCACTTATTTGAGTAACTTTTTTTCTAGAGGGCAATGACTGTGCAGACAATCTGTTCAAAGATGTCTTAGGAAGAAAGGACAAGGCAGATGCCACTAGGAACGCTCTTCAAGTCTTGCAGAGGTTCAAGTTCTTCTTCAGCCTTCCTTGTGCTATAGATAGAAACATAAAAACGGTATTTATTTCTCTTTTATTTGACACACCTAATTCACATTACAAGAAGTAGTGAACTCAGAGATATGTGCAATGCAAATTAATATTAATAGTACTGTTTTTGATAACGTTTATTGTATAAAATTCTTTAATAATGTAATTTACAATTGCTTTTCTTTGTCTTTAATAGTATTATTTTATTACAACTGTATATTCTTTATTTTTTAGTCATATAAAGTATAGAAGTTATTTCAAAATTAGAGGGTTGCATTTTTTATGTCACCCTGTACTTAAAAGATATTTGTTTTGAATATTCCAGGGTGATTATGACCTTGTCATATCAGATTATGCCAGAGCCAAGACTCTCTATGGAAAAACAGATGTAAATGTATTTAAAAAAGGTAAATCGGATTTTATTGCAATAAAAAGAAAATTTCAGATTTCTTCTCTTCTGCTATGTTTCAAATTGATCTTCATCTGGGTTTATTTTGAAACTTGACCAGAACCCGGACGTATATGACATCATATTATATTTTGTAAGGTTAATCTCTGGCGGATTCCTCAATTATCCAAGGATATATTTACTTAAATACTACAAAGGACATATTTGAAATGAGATAACATTGGTGTGTGGCACATATTAGTGAAATGGTTGAAAAACTGTTTTGAATTGTAGATTTTTCTCACCACTTTTAGTTATTCCCCTACATCTTGTTAAAAGCTCAAATAGTGGCTGGGGTCTTAGTACCTGTACATCGCCTCTTTTTTTTGTTTCTTGCCATTTTTTCACAGAATGAATTTACTTGTTTTATTTTTCTTGTTTCCAGTAAAATCCTAAAATCCTTTTGTCATGCTGAATTAATGAAAAATATGCACAGTAAACCTACGTATTTGGGATTATTATTGGAATTACAACTAGTTTTAGATAATCACAAATAGCTCACTAGAATTTTCTGCATTTTAGTTGATGCAGAAGTTGAGGAAAGAATACAAAACTTCCGCAGATTCATCCATGCCAAGTTAATGGAGCTACCCACTCCTTTAGAGGAACAGAAAAAACTTATTAGGTATTTGTCATTGTTAATTAAAATGATTCTTGGATGGAATATTTGTTTTTGATTCAGTTGTTTATTTAGTTGATACATGCTAGAGATATTTGTATATCAAATTCTTTGCAATCCAGTCTTGCTTCTTCAACACTTAAAACATTTAAGATCCTTTTAATCTTTTTATGTAAGATTATCATAAGAAATTCTCCAACAAACCTAATCAAAGGTTAACTTATTAATAAGATATTATTTTCCAGAAATGTCATTGGGTGTCAGAAATGGACAGCCTGCTATGGATAAAAACACAACTCAATTTCCAAACTCAAACTCAAAGTTGAAATAATCGTTTTATTGACTGACTTGTAATACATTATCGTTTTATGAATTTTTCCCCTCCAGATATCTAATCAGTTTGGAGATGGAAGGGGACCCGGCCTGGGAGTGTATAAGCAACCAACAGAAATGGTTATTAGACCTGCTACTTAGATGTAAAGATGAACACATTGAGAAAGACAAGTCTGCTTCTAAGGAGCTTCAGCTTATGTCACCCAAGAAAAAGAAGTCATCTCCCATGAAAACTAAAGGAAAAACAGGCTCACGTATGTATATCATAGCAGAGGCGTAGCTAGCCCATTTTGCGAGTGTACGCCCGTATGATTTCCCGGTTTTATCAAAATTAACAAAACGATGGTTCCATAAAATAGGAAGATCCCGGGTGTTCAGAAGATAGGGGACATGTTACGCGGTATATGGCATACATTCATGGTTGCGCGGTATTTGTGATACGGGTGAATATGCCATACTCACCTGCGGTATATGGCATATTCCGCAGGCAAGTATGCGATATTCCGAAGTGAATATGCGATACATTGATTTCAGTGAATACCCGATACTCACCTGCGGAATATATCATACTCACTTGCAGAATATGCCATATACCGCAGGTGAATATGACATATACCGCAGGTGAAAACGTGATACAGAAAGCCTTGATTTGATTGGTTGAGAGAATCGACTCTAAATGTAAAACTACGCTGGATTACCAATATACTTAGTGCGTCGAGTACTAATATATGAATCCTGGTTTGATTGAGAAAGTTTATTACGCGAAATTGGTGACTGATACTTCTGCTAAGTTAATATATTCGATACACAGTACTGTTGATTCAGTAATCATTATGATAATTTATAACGTTTTACTTGTTCGTTCAATCGATGCAATTGACAATTGCGTACTGTCATACACCGCAAGTGAATATGCCATATTCGTTGCGGAATATGACATATTTTTGTATCGTGTTTACCGCGTAACAGGACACACTAAACACTCTTAATTCAATGAAGGAAATATGTATTGTTTGATCATTTTGACATAGCTTTTTAAAGGGATTGAATTAACTGTATTAACAGATAATATTCGGGAAACAAAATAGACAGATTCTATATAATCATGCCATCGGCGCTCGAAGCCGTCTATCAAGGCGATTTTTTTGGTAAAATATTTATTTTTCAATTAATCAGGTAAATTTTATTTTTCCTTAAAATTTGAGAGTACGCCTGGGCGTACTTGGCGTACACGTAGCTACGCCACTGATAGGTCATGTTGCACTGCTTAGTGGAACAGTTTTTGTAATCTTTTCGTTTTGCCAGGTATTCATGTTATTCATATTTTTCTCAGTTTTCGACTCAGTTCACTACTGAATGGAAGATTTTGCCAAGAGGTGGTCTAGTGTAGGTCTTGTTAAGATGGATTGAGGTTGGTTCATCAGGATCTATTGCCTAATAATGTTAGGCAATCAGTGGAGAAGACATATAAGCTCATTTGGTCATTCATTCTGTCATAGAAGTACTACATGTATGTACTACATATCTTTAATGCCTTGTTTTAATTGCAGTGCTATATTGTAATCGTCTTGTGATGATGCGTGCTTAGACATCTGATTGGGCATAAATCTTGTCATCAAAATTTCAGAAAAAACACTTATCCATTCAACTTGAAATTTAACACATGCAAGAGCAGGCTAGTGCCAAGATCTGATTAGGTATAGGGTATGCTAATTTGATTAAAAAGTGCTCTATTTATCATTTTGTGTCTTGTTTGCAGTTACAAGAGTGCCACAGCAGGTTCACTTTATAGAAGACTTATGTAAAATACTCACTGATACATTCCCTGACCTCTGGAGATTAGGTCAGGCGTATCTAAGTGGCAAACTTGTGAAGCCTGGAACAATGGCAAAAGGCCCAAAAGTTGATCCAGTAAAACACCAGCAATTCAAGGTAATTCATTGTTTGTGAGCAATATCAATAATAATCTTTTCTTCGAAATGGGAAAGTATTTTGGCACATGTGAAACTGGATTATCAGAGAATTGTTTATCTTAGAGAGCTGTCAAATAATTTGAAGCAAGGACCAAACAATGATTTTTGATAAATGAACTCTAGATTTTGAGATCCTAAAACTGCACTGTGTGTTCCTCTTAATAATTACTTGTACAAATGTACATGCATTTCCCATTCATTTGTTATCTCTACATGCAATAATTCCTTGATATTGTAGAAAATGATCCTAGATGTGACCCAGACACTGAGCAACCTTGTAAGAGCAGCATTTCTCCCTACAAACCTCCCAGAAGACCTCACTCTAGATGAGAGGCACAAGTTTGGCATCTGGCCTGAGAGGCACACCCCTGGGGCTTGGTTACCTCAATGTGTCAGATGTGTCAGGTACTACTGAATATATGAATTATAAATCCTCAATCTGTTAAGCACTTGGAAAAAAACATTTCATGAATTAATGTCGTTTACATTGACTTCATAACATAAAAGCCTGTTTAGATGATATTAAAGGCATTATTTCATTCAAAATTGATAAATTATGCTTTTGTTTTATGAACTCCAGCACTACTAAGTCTACTATGGTATTAAGTGCCATGATATTTAGTTGCCATGGCTCACTTTGATCATCTCATATGTGAATACACGCTTTCCTCTCTGTGCATATATAATATATATTTGAATATAATGTATATATAGAAAATGTATAAAATACTGTATATAAAATAGTCTTCCACTTAGTAGTAGTGTCAAAGACCAATGTTAGAGACTATGAATGGACATGCATTGCGTCATGAATGGAAATACAATTTATTTACCATATTTATTACTCTGCAGGTCGTGTGTGAATTCTCTACTCAGCCTGGAACTTCCCTCTGATTCCATAGAAAGTCTACATGAGCTTGCCTTAGATATGCGGTCAAATTGTATGAATGTACTTCTCAATCAGGCTATAGAAGGTAAGTCTACATGAGCTTGCCTTAGACATGAGGTCTAATTGTATGAATGTACTTCTCAACCAAGCTATAGAAGGTAAGTCTACATGAGCTTGCCTTAGACATGAGGTCTTATTGTATGAATGTACTTCTCAACTAAGCTATAGAAGGTAAGTCTACATGAGCTTGCCTTAGACATGAGGTCTAATTGTATGAATGTACTTCTCAACCAAGCTATAGAAGGTAAGTCTACATGAGCTTGCCTTAGACATGAGGTCAAATTGTATGAATGTACTTCTCAATCAGGCTATAGAAGGTAAGTCTACATGAGCTTGCCTTAGACATGAGGTCTAATTGTATGAATGTACTTCTCAACCAAGCTATAGAAAGTAAGTCTACATGAGCTTGCCTTAGACATGAGGTCTAATTGTATGAATGTACTTTTCAACCAAGCTATAGAAGGTAAGTCTACATGAGCTTGCCTTAGACATGAGGTCTAATTGTATGAATGTACTTCTCAACCAAGCTATAGAAGGTAAGTCTACATGAGCTTGCCTTAGACATGAGGTCTAATTGTATGAATGTACTTCTCAACCAAGCTATAGAAGGTAAGTCTACATGAGCTTGCCTTAGACATGAGGTCTAATTGTATGAATGTACTTCTCAATCAGGCTAAAGAAGGTAAGTCTACATGAGCTTGCCTTAGACATGAGGTCTAATTGTGTGAATGTACTTCTCAACCAAGCTATAGAAGGTAAGTCAACCATTCAGCCATGCAGGCTACAAGCATTAATACATTCAATTTGAGTGAGTTAGTAAAGCAACCCCCCTCTGGCCAAACATTCTTTCCAAACCAAGTGATTTTGGACCAAAGTTGTTACATGTGGATGTGAACCCCCTGGATCATGGAATTTTTTGAAAATTGAACCCCCTTGGAAAAAGCTAGCTATGGGCCTGCCGGGTAACTTAAAAAAGTATTAGAGACTAATGCAAGTACTTGAAGTACTTGATATATACAGCAGTAAAGGTTCTTTCCTTGCCATAAAATGATGTTTCTGAAATTGCTTGTATGGATTTGTAGATATTGATGGGTTGAACAGCTGTGAAACATGGGCAGTTGCGACAAATGATGAAAATGGTGGAGTGACACAACTGGTGAGTTAAGGTCATCTTGATGAGGGACATTGCAATTTTGCTTCCCTTAAAAAATAGAGCTTGACAATATGAAGTCAGATAAGTTTGTGAAATTGAAACTGTAAATTAATCGTTTTATTCAGAGCTATTTATTGGGTAGTTTGGCTAGCCAATCAGCAATTAGTTTGGCTAGCCAATCAGAGGGTAGTTTGGCTGGCCAATCAGGGAATATTTTGATCGTCATCCAGGGCTAGCCAATAGGGACATGAGGAGTTCACTGGGAAGAATTAATATCAGAATCTAGAAAGAAAGTACATGTATATAAAATAATAAAAACTAAATAAACTTATCTTTAACTTTCTCTTTACTTTGATGATTTCAGCCTCTATTGTTTGAGAACATTGTGAATGAGACAGTTCAGCACTTACATGAGGTAGTGCTGCAGACCAAGGATGGGGAAGCTGAGGTGAGACTTATCATCTTCATAATAGAGGAATACCTGTTAAACATGGTCATTAGACTTACATGATCATTGGGCATACATGGTCTATTACTGACATGGTCATTGGGCATACATGGTCTATTACTGACATGGTCATTGAACCTAGTTTGCTATCGTTCCAATTCCAAATTTTTCAAAAGATAGGTCTTTACTGTAAAAGCACAATTTATATTAACATTTCCGTAATACTCATATTCTTTTAGTTCAATATAATTTAATTAGCACATTTTTTGAACTTTTTAAAAATTTTAAACTTTTAAAATAAATTTAAACTTTTAAAATATTTGAATTTTTAAATTTTTTGAAAAATCCTGGGGGCGGGATGGATATATTATATCTGCCCGCATTTAGTCTGGAGCGGAACATATACAATATGTCCCGCCCGCTCCTTAGATATGATATATGTTCTGGGTGATATCTACCCCAAACCCACTCAAGTATGAGACACAACATGTTTAAGAGACAACATGTTTAACACTACAGGAATAACAAGTTTAACGCTACACAAGATTTGGTTTATAGATATTTGAACAAAGGCCAATACAAAAGGAAGCTACGCTAATGTGTTCTAACATAATGCAAGCATTCTCACGAGTTCTTCACCACCTTGCTATGAAAGGGAACCTAGATGCATCATTGCCTAACAGAGCTAAACAGAAACAACAGTAAGTAAATGTTGTAATTGTTTAGTTTGCGATGAAAGGGAACCTAGATGCATCATTGCCTAACAGAGCTAAACAGAAACAACAGTAAGTAAATGTTGTAATTGTTTAGTTTGCGATGAAAGGGAACCTAGATGCATCATTGCCTAACAGAGCTAAACAGAAACAACAGTAAGTAAATGTTGTAATTGTTTAGTTTGCTATGAAAGGGAACCTAGATGCATCATTGCCTAACAGAGCTAAACAGAAACAACAGTAAGTAAATGTTGTAATTGTTTAGTTTGCTATGAAAGGGAACCTAGATGCATCATTGCCTAACAAAGCTAAACAGAAACAATAGTAAGTAAATGTTGTAATTGTTTAGTTTGCGATGAAAGGGAACCTAGATGCATCATTGCCTAACAGAGCTAAACAGAAACAACAGTAAGTAAATGTTGTAATTGTTTAGTTTGCTATGAAAGGGAACCTAGATGCATCATTGCCTAACAGAGCTAAACAGAAACAACAGTAAGTAAATGTTGTAATTGTTTAGTTTGCTATGAAAGGGAACCTAGATGCATCATTGCCTAACAGAGCTAAACAGAAACAACAGTAAGTAAATGTTGTAATTGTTTAGTTTGCTATGAAAGGGAACCTAGATGCATCATTGCCTAACAGAGCTAAACAGAAACAACAGTAAGTAAATGTTGTAATTGTTTAGTTTGCTATGAAAGGGAACCTAGATGCTTCATTGCCTAACAGAGCTAAACAGAAACAACAGTAAGTAAATGTTGTAATTGTTTAGTTTGCTATGAAAGGGAACCTAGATGCTTCATTGCCTAACAGAGCTAAACAGAAACAACAGTAAGTAAATGTTGTAATTGTTTAGTTTGCTATGAAAGGGAACCTAGATGCATCATTGCCTAACAGAGCTAAACAGAAACAACAGTAAGTAAATGTTGTAATTGTTTAGTTTGCTATGAAAGGGAACTTAGATGCATCATTGCCTAACAGAGCTAAACAGAAACAACAGTTAGTAAATGTTGTAATTCTTTAGTTTCAATTGATCACAGGGTTACATTTTTCTGAATTTTTAAAAGTCAAAATGTTGAATTGGAGATGAATTTTCTAGTTTGTAATTATTAATTTGGAATTTGAATCTTGTTATTAGAAACATGTACATGCATATTTAGATAACTGACCATTTATGTGCTCATTCTTTCAGATCATCAATAACAATAGCTTTCTTTCACTTAAAAGCCCATGCATAATAACTGATATAAATATAATTCAAATATTACTTTTCAAAATTTCCAGGCGCCGCTCTATCATTTCTAAAATGTCACACATGGATGACAGCACACAGGATGATCCAGTCCCAAACAAGGATAAACGTCTTATAATTGTCTTAAGCAACTGTAGTCACACCATCAATGTTATGATACCACGCCTAGTGGAGAATCTTGAGAAACATGGATACCCTGAAACAGAAACTGTACAGCAGGTAAAAACAAATCATCAACCCTTTGTAAAAGTAATGAACTTCTCTCACTCTTACATCCTCAGTTAACCTCTGAACTTGATGAGTCTATAATAGCCCTCTGCTTTCTGATTGGTTGAATGTAAAAACTGTAAAATGTTTTATTCTATATAGTCAGCACATACTGTTCTATGTTGTTTTTGAAGTATATTGCTGAACAACTTTCACAAATTCTACCAATGAGATGATTCCTTATAAAACATGTTTGATTATGATAGTATAGGCAAACAAAGTTCAAAGGAACTTAAAAAAACTCATAAAATCTGCAATGAAATCCTTAGAGTAAGGCACAAGAGATCAAGTTTTCCAGATGTTGTATGATATTTCTAGGATGCTGAGGAGACATATGGGAGACTGGACAAAGTGTTGTTTGATGCGTATGTTGAGGAGAAGTCTAACGCTATCATTGGTCACCTAGAGCAGAATATGTATGCTGGCAAGTTTGACTGGAACGACTCACAGAGGCCATCAGGTACAAATTATTTTTATCCCACCTTTATGCAATTTTGTTGTCATCTTGTGCTGATGGGCATGCATGCGACAGTCTGTCTGCGTGGGCAGTTGGGATCCACATAAATCTTGTCATCAAAATTCCAGGAAAACTACTTGTTTGTACAGATGCAAGATCAGACTAGTGTCAAACTCTGATGAAGTTTTGGGCATTCTAGATAAATTACTTGACAGCCATTTTTAATTTTTTTGACAAGTGATATAAAATATCACCGTTTGTCTTGTCATAATAAATAACAGATAATGTAGAGTATTGTGCATATTTATATGAGGCAACCATGCTATATGGAAGTTAAAACACTATCCTAAGGTGGTTGTCATATTGTATGGACTAACCTATAGATACATACCTTTCATGAATCAAACTTATGATATCTTGGAATAAAAATTCCTCTTCAATTGACAGCAGAGTGTAAAAGTGATATGTTCGCCTTTCTGCTCCATATACATTTTTTGTATTATTCAGGTGTCAGGAGTTATGTTAAGGAAGCGGTCATGGGTCTGATAGGGATCCACTCAGAGGTGTTTGCCATATCACCTCATCTAGTCACCAGAGTTCTTCATACAGTCTGTGAACATGTGGTAGAGGAGGTCTCCAGACTCATACAATGTGTGACAGGCTTTAACTCATATGGGGCTTTACAGGCAAGTTGTTTATTGAAACATTGAATGCTTTAACTCATATGGGGCTTTACAGGCAAGTTGTTTATTGAAACATTGAATGCTTTAACTCATATGGGGCTTTACAGGCAAGTTCTTTATTGAAACATTGAATGCTTTAACTCATAAGGCAAAGGCTTTAAAGGCAAACTAAGTGCAATAAACTAAACTAAGTGCAATAGAGAAAGCCATCAGAATATATAAAAGATTGCATTATGTTTGTTTCAGGCCAGGGTTGATCTAAGTGCAATAGAGAATGCCATTGGAATATATAAAAGATTGCATTTTTGGCCAGGGTTGATCTAAGTGCAGTAGAGAATGACATTGGAATATATAAAAGATTGCATTATGTTTGTGTTTCAGGCCAGAGTTGATCTAAGTGCAATAGAGAATGCCATTGGATTATATAAAAGATTGCATTATGTTTGTGTTTCAGGCCAGGGTTGATCTAAGTGCAATAGAGAATGCCATTGGAATATATAAAAGATTGCATTATGTTTGTGTTTCAGGCCAGGGTTGATCTAAGTGCAATAGAGAATGCCATTGGAATATATAAAAGATTGCATTATGTTTGTGTTTCAGGCCAGGGTTGATCTAAGTGCAATAGAGAATGCCATTGGAATATATAAAAGATTGCATTATGTTTGTGTTTCAGGCCAGGGTTGATCTAAGTGCAATAGAGAAAGCCATCGGAATATATAAAAGATTGCATTATGTTTGTGTTTCAGGCCAGGGTTGATCTAAGTGCAATAGAGAATGCCATTGGAATATATAAAAGATTGCATTATGTTTGTGTTTCAGGCCAGAGTTGATCTAAGTGCAATAGAGAAAGCTATCGGAATATATAAAAGATTGCATTATGTTTGTGTTCCAGGCCAGGGTTGATCTAAGTGCAATAGAGAATGCCATTGGAATATATAAAAGATTGCATTATGTTTGTGTTTCAAGCCAGGGTTGATCTAAGTGCAATAGAGAATGCCATTGGAATATATAAAAGATTGCATTATGTTTGTGTTTCAGGCCAGGGTTGATCTAAGTGCAATAGAGAATGCCATTGGAATATATAAAACATCTCAGATAAGGTACAGTATAAACACAGTATATTAGATACAACTGTCATAGTAAAGTAGAGTATGACTGTATGGAGTAAAATATGTAGCAACAGAACTAAATTAGTGTAGGAAAATAAACATAGATTAGATTTATTGCTATCCACTCTTTAGGAGGGGTTTACACCGGGGGTTTACAGTAAAAATGTACATGTAAATGATCTGTGATGAACCTTTTTTGATGATTTAAAGGGGCATATTTTGCCAGACTGATTTTTTGAATTACATTTTTAATACGAATGACAGGAAGAGCAGGGGTAATATCGTTGAATATACCCCACAGGGCTAGGCACAAACGTTTTCTGTACCCCGAATGACCGAAGGGAGTGATGGGTTTGAAAGCTTTTGTGCCTAGCCCAAAGGGGTGTATTCGACGATATTACACCTGCTCTGAGGTGTATATTAAAGATGTCAATTTAAGAGTAAAAAAGGCTCCAAAACTTAATAAAATATGTAGTTTGGATGTTCATTTATGTCTGGGGATGATATTTTATACCACAAACACTTATAGATACCTGAAATTTGCAATAAAAGTGCCCAAAAATTGTTGTTTAGAAATTCCCCATTTTTCCTGTATCACGCTAGTCACGTGACCATTACGCGTAGCAGGCAATACAGATATTACAGTACATATTTCAACATGTTCAATATGGCAAACATCAGCGATTCTGATTCCCGGGTTCTGAGAAATGGCTATTATAAATCGGCGAGAGGGTGTAATTTGACTGGGGAAAATACAGGGGAAAATGTGTCCAAGTCCAGTAAGAGAGCAATTATGGATACTTTAGACAAGTACTTAACTATGACGGTCGGAGAATCAACTAAAAATGTGAGTTCTGGAATGAAGACTCGAGGAGACTGAGGATCCGATCCATTCCTATTACTCAGTTTGAATTTTTGACGGGGAAATCAGGTTATGAAAACAGGTTTTCTTAAGTTATCAACTTTAGAAAATATGGATCTTGTTTTTGAGTAAGGCTTAACAAGCATTTAGATACAAGACTTGGCTATCTCTTGTCAAATACACGCAGACTTGCTGTAAATTGGCCATTGCAAATTGCAAAATCAGATCGTCAAATTAATCGCTTCGTATTTAAACGTATGCTTCATATCTTCATCCAAAACTTTAGTATTCATTAGAGATAAGTTATAACTTGTACAGGAAGAAATGGCAAATTCCGAGAAGAAATTGTTCAACATCACGATCAGCTCAGACTACATGTCGTACGCGTGTACTTGTCACTCTGAACTCACGTGATAAAATACGGCATCTTGATTGGTTACTACTCACGTTCCCTCATGTTGTCATGACGCGAAAAGCAGTAGTAAACTGAATATGTTAATGAACTGCCATATATGGAACAATTGTCTTTCTGATTGGTTAACTTTACACGCCTCCTAAATGAATATAGTAGTCGTAGTAAATGATTCATTGATAACTATGAAAGTGGGCGTGACCAGCTTTATTTTGACACCACATTCAAGATGTTTCAAATCAAAATGGCCTCGCAAGACGAGGTTGAAATATCGGCAATTTGATACTGATATGGTCTACGATAGATCAAAATTGACTGCCCCGCGTCACATGTCACGTGAGCCTATATTTGTTTAAAAATGAAAGAGATAGTGACACTTTTTAATCATAAGTTAATACCAATATTACAAGCACGTATCTATTTTTTTCATTATATATTTATTTCTTCATTATACATACATTTGTTTTATACTACATTGATTCATTTTTGCAAAACCTTTGCTATTAGATCTTTAAGATTCGAACATGAAAACTCACCAAAATGTTACGAATATTCATTATGGTCCGCCATTACTACGGTCCGCCGTTATGACGTCACACATTACTCGTATTACCAAGGGTATTGCACGCGAATATGCCCCTGGTGAAATGGTGACTTTGTTCACAGTTTATAGAAGGCGCAGATACAGTCATGTTTGAATCTTAAATAGGTCAATTTGTTCTTTTCTTCCATATCTATTCCCATTCTTCTAACATTGTTTTTTGAATGATTAATTGGTTTGAATAACCTTTAACATTTTAACAAAAAGTACATCTTCTTATGATCTGAGTTTTTTCTTTTCTAGGACCTCAATTAAGGAAGCTATCGGTTGCTTGCCACCAATGGATGAGGGTGCAGGAAAAAAGTGAGTATATTGACTGGGGGTTACACATGGTGACATACATTTTCGCAGTATCATACAGTTTTATAGTGTCATAAGCTACCAAAGCTGAAATAGTACTGTTGTGAATTGACTGTGTACATAGATATATATAGAAAAATCATAATAAATAATATTTTACAAAATGAAAGTTATAAGTAATATTTTACTAAAAGGATTATTTGATAGTAAAGTAATATTTGATAGTCAGTAATCAGTTTGAATATTTGATATTTAATATTATTTGACATTATTTGATAAAATGAATATTTCACACTCAACAGTAACTTATGCTTTGCTGTTTTTTACTTGCAGGTTAATGGAAGACTGTCAGAATAGGTTTCAAAGTCAAATGAAGTTTCACCTGCTTTGTTTCAAAAGTGACCCAGTTAAGAAACGCAGTTCCTCCCCGACATTATGATCTGTGCACAACTTGGAAAGTGACTGTATATGAAACGAACATTTTGCCAGAACCATACACAGCATGAATATTTCATTTTACTTTCTATTTTGTATAGAATTATCTGCAGATTGAATCCAAACAAATATTACAACAGGAATAATTTGGAATTATTGATAATAATATGAACCAATATATTATTCTATCATGAACAAAAATATGTTTCTCATTTATTATATCCAACGAACGGAGTTTGAGGGGATATAGAAAAGCTATCCGTCCGTCAGTGTGTGCTGGCGATAATACCGGTTGAGTAAAATGACTAAGCATTTCATTTTACACGTCACCAGGAAACATAAACTGCTTCAGTCTGGATTGAACAGTAACAAATACTAGGATAAATAAGTAACTCAAAGGACAAAAATCTATGTTTTTGTTAACTTTATTGCCGATGTACTAACAAATGCTAGCCATAATTATGCCACTGGCGATAGGCAGCATATTCTATAATATTTTATAAATAAAATTGCTTAAAAATAAAGACAACTCGCTCTAATACTCGTAGGTTTTGAGCCGATAAGAAGATGATAGCGCCGACAGTTAGTATATTTTCTCCTGTGGATTTTAAAAGTACCTCTTCCGCGCCCATTTGTGGTCCTGAGAAAAGTATAAGCACTGATCGATAACCTTGCGATCTTTATTTAAAAATGTTTCTATCGACCTAAGACTATGGTCAGGGGGGTTTTACCCCAGAGTTCAAAGAGGACACATCCTTATATATAATGTAAACCTGTATTGGAATGACATCATCATTGATTGTCAAACAAAATGGCGGCCTCAAAACTTTCGAAATATGCTTCGAATACTATTTAGTAATATTATGTTCATTTATGGCGTGTTAACAAATATCATATAATAGCTTCTTATTTCACATCCAGATAAAGAAAGGTGTACAGAATATGCCTAGAGTTTGGGTAAAAAGGCGTGGGGCGTGGGGTTTACGTTTGTGCCTACATCACATCGAAGAGTAGTATTTGGAAACTTCCCTGTGAAATTCGAACAAACGAATGTGATAAGCAAGTCAAGAGACGTAATTATGTCTGCTTTAAAGCTCTGGGGCTTTCTCTCCTCTTGCCTAGGGTAATACTTGTAATAAAAGTTAATTCTATATTAAAAGATGGCAGTACAATATGTCAATAAAAGTCAATATTTTGAAATATTCAAAAGCGAAATCTCTGTACAATCGAATCAATTAGGATTTTGTATAATTAGACTAATCTAATTCAAGTCATAAGATTAGTTGAATATATGTTTTACATCAGAAAATGAGAACAGCAAAACATGCTATTCGTTAAAACTGTTTATGAATGTATAAATAATCAATATATGGAGTTGTAAAACTTGGAACCAGAAAAATTGCTACATATGGGGTTCAAAAATTAGTCGTAACGACGTTTCGTGGGAGCGGACGAACGGACTTTATTTGTAAGGTTCCAGAAAATGTCTGATAGCCTGAAATTCAATGAAGTGGAGCCCAAGTCTATTGTGTTATACCATGGGCTCCATCAGAATATGGTTGAGCCCATGGTTATACCTAGCCTACACCACACTACCTCGATCGCGCATGCGTGAGATTTTTGATTTTCGTCCAGGGTGTTTTTGAGGAAACCGACTGCAACTCGTAAAGCTTAGAACGTGTCGAGTAAGAGATTAGTCAACGTTGTTATTCACTCAATTCCAATGGTAGATTGGTGAAGTACATGTTCAAAAATTAATGTCTGTACAAAGAAACATATAAATAATATTATTTTAGATTTTCAAATATTTGATATCTCTAAATATACCTTGGAAATCCAAGATGGTACAATGGTGCGATGGTACATTTGCAAACCGCTAAATGTAAATGGTCTAATCTTTATTTTCAGACTGTACAAAATCATTATTTCTAATTCGCGTAATATCCAGTGGTACATGGAGCTGTATTTGACATTCGAAACCAGAATATAATGAATGATAGAAGGAATGATACGTTTCGTTGAATAACATTTATGCTCAAATGCTTACCAAGGGGGACGTCATTAGAATATTTCAAATGCTATATGTGAAAATGCTTGCCAAAAACAGTGAAATAACTAGGCTGGGTATGGTTTACTGTAACATTTCTGGCACTTTTTATTCATCTTAAAATTTTATAAAAACAATTGATTTACAAAATTACAGTTGAATAACAAACTGGAAATCATATCTACATATAACACAATGCCGCGCAGTATAAATAACATTTAACTGGAGGTTTTGTTGCATATTAATGTCAAAAGAAGTAACATATTGAAAGTGAAACTACACGCTCCCTGTACATTAATGAATTTACTAAAATGTATCTTGTATTACCTTCAATCTTTACTTTACTGCGCCCATTATTCTCTATCTTCGCCTATATGGGGGTTTAGCTAACAATATTTCACAAACTACTTGATGAATCTATTTTATGTCTGGTGTCCTCTATGTCCTCTATTTGGAACTGAACTGTACCCTGTATCCCTTTTAAACGTGGTCATGTGGTAGGGCAGTGTGATACTGCAAGCAAGAGAAAACACAGGGCTCAAATTTTGGGCATCTATGCTGAAAATTAAGATCGAATCCCTTGGACATTGCGTATTAATTAAAACAAGGTCCGAATTCAGAGGGGGAGAAACACCAGGGTTCAAAGATGACATACGCTTATAATGTAAATCTGTATTGAGATGACACGGTCGCTGATTGGTCAAAAGTCGGCAAACAAATGACGTCATCAATGGCGGTTTCAAAATTTTCGAAATACGCTTCGAATAATATTATGTTCATTTCTGGCGTGTTAACCAATATCATAGCTTCTCATTTCACATCAAGATAAAGAAAGGTGTACGGAATATGCCTATATCAATTATAACATCCCATCGAAGTGTAGTATTTGATAACTAGCCGATGAAAATTCGAACGAACGAAAGTGGTAAGCAAGAGAGGTAATTATGTCTGTCATCTTGAAACTCTGGGGCTTTCCCTCCTCTTGTCCGAATTACAACTATTATAAAGTTATCAAAAAAGTTTTTTTTTCATGAAAAATGGCGACCATTTTGAATGCTTCCCTCTGTCGTTTGATGATATATCAATTATCTAAAACTGTATTTTCTTTTCCAGCAAATTGTTTTCGAAGTATATTATAAAAACCCTTCGACCTTCGTCTTGCACCTTCGATCCTTCTACGATTTGTCCAACACTTCTTGGGATACACGTCAACGGTCATAATTATCATCTCACTTTTGGAATAGTGTTTCTTGTCTGAAATTAAGTAAAACTAACAAAATAGTACATTTAACATGTGTTTATATTAATACAGAATGGTAGTCTGTGGTCTTGTGCTACATACCCCAATTTTGCTGGATACCGTTTCGGTAACCAGTTTGATGAGTTATACCAGTGTATAGGGTCCATACCTGATGGCAACGGCATTTACCCATTGTGCTGTGCCATGGCAAAGAACAAATCCAGTCGTCTGTGCTGATTTGGCCTGGGAGCCTAATTCATATTATATTATATTTTTAGTATGTTTTCTTGAAAACTACTTTTTATCCTAAAAGATGTGACAAAGCGGTTATTTATTGGAGACATTTTATTTCAGGATTTTTGCCCCGTGTTGATCACAGTCATCTACAATCCACATCTTATACAATCCTCATCGTATACAATTCACATCTTATACAATCCATATCTTGTACAATCCTCATCGTATACAATTCACATCTTATACAATCCATATCTTGTACAATCCACATCTTATACAATCCACATCTTGTACAATCCACATCTTGTACAATCCACATCTTGTACAATCCACATCTTATACAATCCACATCTTGTACAATCCATATCTTGTACAATCCACATCTTATACAATCCACATCTTGTACAATTCACATCTTATACAATCCACATCTTGTACAATCCACATCTTATACAATCCACATCTTGTACAATCCATATCTTGTACACAACGAGAAACACTATATAATAAACATCAATACGACGAGATAATAGATTTATTATCCAAATTGAATAATAACTAATAAGATCTGTTACTGCTGAATAACATCCTGCCCGGGATTTGTTATTAATCACATAGAAATGTCTTATCCGAACAGCTTACATGTACGTATTATCCGTTGCGGCCATTAACAATTTTACATATCTAATTAGCTAAGTAAATAAACATGCGTCGACACAGTCGCAGTTGACTATGAAAAGTTCAATCATCAATCTTATTTTTATTTTCTTGATTTAAAGATTTATTATGTTTAAAAAAGAAAATGTTTGATTTTTAAGTTCAACCTTTAATTCTTATTATCAAGAACGCGCATGCAAATTCGCCAACCATGTACATTGTTTGCAGTCTGCGCAATTTAATGTAAATCATTGTATATTTTTCGATATACTGTAATACTATTCATTATTTGTAAAATTGAACCGAATATAATCTAAAATTAATCAGCTTTAAATACATTATATGTCATAAAAGTTGCCTTAAAACAATACAATTCGTGCGTTTGTAAATGCTCTAAAGCCCCGCTAGTATATGAACGAATCCTAAATAGAAATGAGTAAAATCCGTTCCCATTAGTGTGTACACGTTCTACACCGAGACTTCTCCTTTAAATCAAATCAGTCCACTAGTATGAGTTAAGAATGGACAGAGGGACGGATGGCTTCATTCAATGGGATAATTAAGATATTTCAAAACCAGTGTCATTCTTCTATGCATACATCACTCCAATCATAAAATAAAACAAGCTGTTTATTTTAAAACTATTCTTTACGAATTTATGATAAGTGTATAATGTTCAATCATACAAATCGCAGTCAGTGATTGTTCTCCACACTCACCCCTCCCCCTTCCTGACATGAACTATTTTGTAAAACCATTGACAGTGTGGAAAGGATTCTTACACTCGAGTGTCAAGGGGGGGGGGGGCAGTTACAGAAATATACAAGGCGATGGTTCAAATTGGACAATTTTCAAAACTGTTCAACATGG